ATATTAATATTTATTATAATATTATATTATTATTTAATAAATAATAAATATTATTATTTTTAGCCCTTAATAATAGCTACCTTTATTAATACTTTCTTTTGCTTATTAAATATGCTTAAGTTACTTAAGCACTTAAGGTATCCTATTTTAAAATTTACCTTATTAAATGCATTATTATTAAAACCTATAAAAAGCGCTATATTTTCCTAAAATAAGCTGCTTAAATTATAATAATTATTAATATTATTAATACTTAATATTATAAAAATTAATATAAGGCTTATTAAGTTTTACTTAAGCTTAAAGCCTTAATATAATAACTTAATATTTAATTAAAGCTTATGAAATTATAATATATTAGCTTTATAAAGGAAATAAACTTTATTATAAATTATATAGCCTTAATAAAATTAATAAAAATAAAAAGCTATCTTATAATATTTAATATATTAAATTATTATATTCTTTATTATGCTTATCTTTTTATTTATATATTATATTAATTAATTATTTATACTATAATTAATTAATAGCTTTACTTAAATGTTTTTAAGGATAAATTTAATTAATTTATTATTTTTATTGCCTTTATTAAGCTTATTAAGCCTATTATTAGCATTAATATTAATATTAAACTCCTTATAGCTTATAGCTTTAGCCTTAGCTATAATGTTAAAAATATAATTTAAATTATTCTTTTTATTATTATAAGTAGCATTATTAAGATTTTTTATATTTTTTAAAGCTAAATATTTTTTTATTATAGCCTTTCTTATAGCTTAATTCTTAAGGTAAGTATTAATAATTATTAAGTAAAGAATATTAATTTACTTTTTATTTACTATAAGCATATTATTATATATATTATATTCTTATAAACTTTATTAATATAATTAATTACTTATATTTATAATAAATATAATAATATAAGTTTTTTTTATTAAGCGAAAGATAATTATAAAATATAAAAATATTTAAATTTTTATTATATTTTATATAATTAATTAATTATATATATATAAGTTAGTATTAATTAATATAAGAATGGGCTATAAGTTGGTATTAATTAATGTTAACTTATAAGAAAATATATACTTAAGATAAGTTATTATGCTTTATAGCTACTTTTATTTAAATAAAAAGCTTTTTAATTGTTATTATAGCTATTTATAAGGCAAGCTTATGGCTAATATTGCTTCTTAATTTATAAAAGATTTTTATATTAAAAGTATTAATTGGAAAGTACTTATAAATCTTATTAAAGTATTGCTTAATAATATTAATAAGCGCCCATATTATAATAAGTTATGTTTTATTAAAGCCTTTTTTAATAGCATTATTAAATATAAATAAGTTAGCTATTTTAAGCTTAGCCTTATGCTTTAAGAAATAAAAATATTGCTTTAAAAGCATAATTAATATTTTGCTTATACTTACCTTATTAATAAGGAAGATACTTTTTAATAAGCTATTTATTATTTAATATATAATAATAATATTTATAAAATCCTTATTAATTAATATATAAATAAGGAGCTTATAAATTAAGTTAGCATTAATTAATATAAAGCTATATTTTTACTTTATATTAATTAATGCTAACTTAACTTATTTAATTTATTAATAACTTAAGCTGCTATAAAATTAATATTATATGAATTAATTAAGCTATTATTAATATTATTATATTAATTAATGCATAAATTAATATACTTTATATTACCTTTAGCATTTAACTTATATTATTTTAAAAATTTTAAAGCCTTAATAAAGTTAATAACTATAAGGAATTAATTTAATATAAGCATAAATAAAATATAACATTACTTAAAATCCTTATAATATTATTTATTTACTTAGCTATTTATAAATAAAGTACTTTTATTAATTATTTATTATAATACCTTATCCTTTTACTTTTTTATAATTATATATTATTAAATGCTATTATAACTTAAAAGCATTACCTTAAACTTCTTAAGAATATTTTTACTTTAAATAAAAATAATCCTTAACTATATAAGCAAACCTTTTATATAAATTTCTTTAATAAAAACTATAATAATTTAATAATTAATAAAAAAGAAATAATTTATAATATTTATAATATTTTTATAACAAGCTATTTTATAATTAATATTAAATTTTTAGCTAAGAGTATTATATATATTAATATAAGTAAGGAAGCTTATATATTTATATAAATTTATAAAAACTTAATTTATATTAATTTACTTATCCTTAGTTTTATTTTTAGCAAAATCCTTCTTTAAGCATAACTTTGCTTTAACTTTTATATATTGCTTTTATAAAATATATATTTATATTATTATAATTATAATTACTTTTTAAGCCTTATTAATAAAAATAACTTTTATTATATTATTTATATTATTAATAAAATATTTATTATAATATTAAGCCTTAATATAAGTAAACTTATAAATAATTATCTTTTTATTAAGCAAGATTTTTAATAAAAGCAAATTACTTATCTTTTTTTTTATCTTAATAAATATAAATTATTATATAATATAATTATTATAATAAGCAACCTTATAAAATAAGTTATTATATAAAAACTTATATAAATACTTTTTATTAAGTTTATATTGCTTATATTACTTAGTTTTAATAACGCTTAATTTAATATTAATAAGGTAATATATAAGGTATTATAAAATTATAAAGTTAGCAATTATATTAATATTAATGCTTTTTAATTAAGATATTATATTTAAGTTATTATTTTAAATAATTAAAATAAGTTATAAAGAGTTATTAATAATAAGCTAAAAAATAATACATTATTATAATTAATTAAAACTCTTTATAAGCTTATTAAATTATTTATTAATATTAAGCTAAATAAATAAGTAATCTTAAAAGCTTAATTTTTTAACTTAAGTAATAATATTAAAAAAGGTAAATATTATAATATTATTAACTTATATAATAAATATTAAGAAAAGTTAATATAAAGTTAGCATTAATTAATATAAGTATATAAATATAATAATTTATATAAATCTTTAAGGAAAAAAAAAAGGTTAAAATAAAAATTAATATTAATTAATATAAATTATTATAATAAAAATTATATTAATTAATGCTAATTATTTAATATAAAGTTAAATAAATAATAATAAGTATTAATAAAGAAAATTTAAAGTTATTTTATTTAATAATTTTAAATTTATATTAATTAATATTAACTTAAGAATTAAATTAATTAAGCATTATTTTTATTTTATTTTATTTATTATTATTTAATATTTATAAATATACTTTATAATTTTAAAATTAAGAGTTTTATTAAATTTTATAATATTTACTTTAATAACTATTAAAAAATAAAAGAGCGTAATTTAACAATATTGCTTTTTAACTTATTCTTAATTTTATACAATATTTATATTTAAAAATACTTAAGGCTTAAGTTTAATAAATTTTATAATATTATTCTTAAGATTTTATTAAGTTAAATAAATTAACTTATTATTTTTATTTTTAATTTTATAAATAAATAAAAAGTTATAATTTAAAAATAAATTATACTTTATTAATTAAATCTTTTTCTTAATAAAATTAACCTTTATTTCCTTAATAAAAATCTTAAAATATTTAAATAAGCTTAATAAAGCTATAATAATAAAAAAATTATTATTATTATAAAATATTTTAAATTATAAAATATTATTATTTTTAGCTAATTTATTATTTAAAATATTAGTTAATTAAGCTAGTTTTTTAAATTTTAATATTTTAATTAGTTTTTTAAAAACTTTTAAAGAAAATATAAACTTAAATTTATTAACCTTAAAAGGTAGCTAAGTAGCTAACTTACTTTTTTCCTAAGGTTATTTATTAAGTAAATTAAGAATTATAATACTATTTTAATTATAATTTATATTATTATTATAACTTATATTATTATTATAATTATTAATCTTAATATTTATATAGCCTTAACTTAAAGGTATTAATAATTTTATATTAAAATCCTTAGCTAATTTATTAAATATAATATTCTTTAAATAATAACTTAAGCATAATATTATTTTTTAACTTTTAAGCTTTATAATTATAACCTTTACTTTCTTAAGGCTTATATTATTATTTTATATTTTTTTAATCTTTAAATAATTAATATTAATTAATATAATTTAATTTATATATTTATAAGATTAAAATAAAAAGTAAAAAATATAAAAAAATAAAAAAATAAAAAAAGGGTGGAAAGTTAAGAATTTAAATATTCCTAAAAAAAAATTTTACTACCTTATAAATAAATCTTTATTACCCTTTCTTAATTAAGAAGAATATTATATAATTTAACTTATTAATATTTACTTATTAATATTAAATAAAGTTTCCGCTTATTTAATAATTATTAATAATATTAATAATAAAGCTTATTTATCTTTATACTTTATATAAATTAAATAATTTATTATTTTAATAATATTTTTATTAATAATTTTAAGTAATTTAATTTAATAATTAGCCTTAATAAGTATAAAAAAATAACTTAAAAAAATATTAATTAATATATAATAAATATATATTTAAAATAAAATACTTAAAATATTTACTTTATATAAATAGTAAGGTAATTATAATTTTAAAAAGCTAGCTTTTAAGGTATATTTATATTTTAAAGTGCATATAGCTAATTTCCTTGTATTAGGTAGGCCAACGCTAAAAGCTAGGTAGGCATATTATAGAAGCTAGGTGGGCGTACGCTAACTCCCGGCGACCAGGCATCGCAGCAGAGAGATCGAGCTAAGATGGACACCTCCACCTGTAGACTCGCCAGGCTCGCACACGATCACCGTGCTGGGCACGAAAGTCTTCAAAGCACCGTTCATGAACATTGAGGTCATGAATATCGAAAACGAAACAAATTGGAATGTGCTGCTGCATGACAGAGGCCACAAACTCAGCTCTCCCTGTCTGAGAAAAATCACAAGACTTTTGTTATGACTACCTCGATCCACCTAACCCATGGAGAGGTTCTTCTTTGGTAGAGATCTCGGGACGCCACCCACTCTGCGAGAACTCAATTGCAACCAATACAATTCTCATATCAATTGCCTCCTTCTTCTCAGCCGCAAACGATTTGCAGAGGCCTACGACATTCTTGATCTGCCGTCCGTTCAGTGCTTGCTGGGCCAGCTTGTTCATGTCCTCGTCCTGCAAAGTGACCTCGATGTCTTGCGAGGCTTTTTGTATGAAGTTGGACCAAATCATTCGGCGAGCGTCGAAGGTTAGATCCGGGTAGTCTAAGCAGAAGTGAATGCGGCTCTGGAAAGCCTGATCAAGGCTCTTTACCCTGTTCGTCGTGAGCATCATGATGCCTTGGAAGTATTCCAGATGCCGAAGGAAGATCGACGTGATGGCGTTCCGCGATAAGTCGACGTTGTTGCGCTCCGAAAGGAACACGTCGGCTTCATCAAGAAGGACCACGACGTCCCACATCTCGCTTAGCTTCATCAACTTGGAAAGACCTGACTGGATTGAGGCAGACGTATCGCCCAGCTCTCCGGAGCTGATCATGTAGAGTGGCCTGTGGGCGATTTCAGCCACTGCCTCTGCTGTCATAGTCTTTCCAACGCCGGGTGGACCGGCTAGGAGGCCAAGCAGCCCCTTTCCCTTGTTGCGGATGAAGTCATCAAACCTTGCTGCATGCTCCCCAGAGCCGTGAGCTTTCACCACAACCTGGATGAATTCTTTCTTCTCAGGGGGAAGTACCAGCATGTCAATGGCAGACTCGTTCCACACAACATCGTAGATGGATGATTCGGCAAAGGCTCCTGCGATAGAGTTTTCTTCGTTAAATTCGGTGTCAAAAACTCTCAGGGGGCCGTCTTGTGCTTACCCCAGGTTTTGTCATCGAAGCTGAAACCATACAGGATCGGATTCAAGAGCATCTTCTCAGCAGCTGAAGCGCTCTTTGTGTCCACGGCGTTTCTGATCCGCGGGACTATTGAATTAACCGGTTCTAGTCGTTCATATCCAGCGGCGTCAATCATGATGCGCCCGGAAACCTGTAATGAGTCCTTCTAAGTTAGTGATGATCGGAATTTCTGTGCCTTTTATACAAAGATTCAAATGGGCTTACGGTAAATCTCTTCATCTCATCACTAGCTGCAGAAACCTCAGAAGATGGGTTTTTGAAATCTGGCCTGTTCCTACGAATTTCTCGCCAGGATTTCTTACAGAGACCATGACCTCTGTACTCCTTGAAGTGCTGGCCCTGCAAGCGGAGGATCCTTTCGCCGCGCTGGATCAGTTCTTGTTGCAATACTTGGAAACTCGGGTGGCGGTCAAGCGGAAAATATTCCAAGTTGGAGATGGGCACGGCGCCAACGAATGGCTCAACGTCTCTCGTAACTGTGACGAAGCCGGTCCGTGAGCCGTCGAAGTCTAGGTATTGTAGCGTGAGAGTATAGACGACGACCTTGTCCGAACGTTCCCTGTACTTGGAACTTGTGAGACGAAAGATCATATCCTGTTTCAACGCGTTCGTAGTGTATATCAAAGCGCCTGGTGAGAAAAGCATCCAAAGGCAATTGAATGTGATATGGTCTTCGGAAATTTCGCGCAGCTCGGATATGGACTGTGAAAATTGTTCTTCAATGAATTGCAGGGCAGCTTCAAGCTCAAAGATCAACTCTGGGTCAGTACATTCGGAACTCTGCTCCTGTCCAAGCTTTTCCAGAAGGCCTTGACGCGCATGGTACAGTAGTGGCAGATCGTCATCGTCCTTGAGAAAAGTCAGCTACTTGATAATAACGATGGTGGCAGGAAGGCCGCACCAGGGTCTGAGACTTGTGGAATTGAACGCCCACAACGTTCTTGTATATCTCGTTCAAGACATCTAGTAGGTACTTGGCGCGTATGTCCACCAGAACGTGTCCTGTGAACGTTCCTTTATCACTGATTTGTCTGGCCACACGTATAACAATACGGTGGAACTTCTTGTCGTCTTTCGGCTTTGCCGTTCGAACATACCGAAATTTCCTTGCTTTGCTAATGATGACGCTGAGAGTCAGTCTTGCTGTGCGTTCGAGCTGCTTTGTGGGCATCTAGATGGTGAAGTATCATGTTTCGCGGAGTGATTCAACTTACGTGTCCCATCTAGATATACATTATCAGCTCTGTTTGCTCTGGCAGGAAATGGATCTTTCATTGCATGAGAATTCAGAGACTCACACTTTATCTACACGACAGACTTTCTGACGCTCTGGCTTTTCCTTGACATTGGAGTCAATAGAAATGCTGTGGGTAGCTGGTCCCACATTGATCTGTGGCGTCTCTGGATTTTCTGGAAGTGAATCGGCCATCCTTGCTGGTGCATCAGGCGGTCATTGATCTCGCAATTCAAGAACGAAGGGGGCTTCCAAGTAGCAAACGGCAAAGTTAGTTGGCAGGTACATTGACAGTTCTCCTCATGGTGCATCAATGCTCTCTGGGACTAAATACTTCAAACATTTATTAGACCAGGCAAACAAACCTGCTCCACTAAATTCATTGGGCTGTAATCAAGGAAACATTTTGCAACTGGAATGCGTATTGGTCAGTCGGGCATTGCAGGAATCCAGGCTGTGCATCGAGGTGTTCTGCAACCTGTTGATCTTGACTGGAACTGGCAGCGTGACTGGATCAGGCAACCAATCAGGCAGTGCAAAACTTCAGATTTTGCCTCAATCACTTCTGCAACTTTGATCGAGGTCAGCACTACAGTGGAACAGTTCAGGCTGTGCTTTGATAACCTTGGTAACTTCAATTGGAAGCAGGACTGCAGTGGCACAGTCGGGTATACAGGATTCAAGGCTGTGCATTAAAAATTCAGCACTGTGCCCAATCAGTCCGCTGTCGCAGGAAACGATGCTCTGTTTCAAAAAAATCTGAGACTTTGGTTGGAACCAGCACACAACGGCAGGGCCAGCTGTGTTGCTGGCCATGCATGCAGCTGCAAGGAGAACAGCAGCCTGTTGAGCTCCACTTTTGATTGTGGCACTAGTAGCATTCCATTTCCTGGTGGCAATGTCTCAATGGTGCATAGCCTGCTTACTTCAAGGTAAACAGTCCATGACCACACAGCCCGATCATCCATGAGGGGAGCCCACGCTGCATTTTCTCATGTCATTGTTGAAAGAGGCCATGTCTGGCGCCTACACCCTGAGATCGACCCTTTACCATTGCCTTCTTTTAAGTATTGATTGGTATCACGCAGTTGCCTCTGCACCATCTATCCCTGAAGCCCCATATAATGGCATCTGCACCGCCCATGTAAGTAAAGTGATGAGGTCCTACTCTTGTGCGGTGATGAATTTACACCTCAGTGTGAATTCTATGACTGAAAACGTGTCCAATACAGATTCGAAGAGTCATTCGACAAGTTTTGTGATGAGCTACGACAGGATCCAACGAAGAAGAATCAGTTGGCTTTCTTCGAAGAGATCCAAAAACATAACGGTAACACCAGTGTGACTGAATTGCAGAATGAATTGGAAGCACTACTTGGCAAAGCCCAAAGTTCCAAGTTGAGGAAAAGGTACGGTGTCTTCAGGACTACTGTCAATGCGCTTAAGGAGTACACCGGAGTGTTGGATGTGTTCGGTGAGTATCTTCTACTGAATTGTTTCATCAACATTATCTCCTGCGTAGTGGAACATATTAATAACCTTACATGCGTCGTATTCATAGTCCAAGTGCAACCTATGCCACTGGCAATCATCTGGGGAGGGCTCAGAATCGTGGTGGAGGTAAGATTACTATCATGTCCCCCAGAAAAACCCTCAACTCCTTGTATGTCAGTCAGCAAATTGACGTCTTTTTGTATTAGTGCGCCAGTCGTTATGATAGTCACTTTGACAAGATCAAAACAGAAATCCAGAATGAACTCCCAGATTTACTCATCGATCTTGCAGGGTGTGAGGATATCTACGGCATGTCCTCGTACGGCTTCCGTGTAACCCGAAACATCATCGCTCTCTCATATATCAACATCTTCAAATTTTGCTATCATGCAACGAAGTTGCTTCAGTCACCCGGTAAGACTGTTCTTGAATGCGTCTCCCCAAAGCTTGTGTCTCTAACATCATGTGGGAAGTCGTCTCTGCCGTTGTGGAGAGCCGAGCCCGAAAGCTGCACGCGGCCCTCCAAGATCTGCGAAGTAATTGGGATCATTTGAGCAGGATTCGCGACAGTGTAGAGTCGAGACTGAATAAGGAGACCCGAATGAAGCTCGAAGCCGAGGCAAATTCAAACCAGTTGATCCGCCAGAAGCATGTGGAAGAATTTGTCAAAACGGAATTAGAACGTGCGGCTGCTAAGATTGACAGAGAAGAAGCGGCAAAGGAGAGGGACAAGGCTGAGCAGGAGAGGGCAGCAGCTAGCGAAGAAAGGAGGCTTGCTGCGGCAGAACGATTACAGGCGGAGGCTGAAAGACAAGCCGCTTCCAAGGCTCGAGAAGCGGAGGAAGTAAATCGAAGTCTTGACGCTGAATACAAAACCAGGCAAGTTATTGTGCAGCAAGGTATGTATTGCTTTTTTTCTGCTCGAGTCTGTTGAAGCCTGTTTCTCTAACGAAATTGAAATAGGAGAGAGACTACAAGCACTTAGAAGTCGCATCCTGGCTAACGATAGCCACGAAGAGTTGAACTGGGGAACGTATCATTCGGCCGAAAATCTACAGGGAACCTGCCAGTGGATCTTTGAAAACAAAGCGTACCTAGCCTGGACCACGCCCGATGGAAGGCAACCACTATTCTGGCTCTACGGAAAACATGGAACGGGTAAAACCGTCCTGACTGTGTCAACGATCAAAACCATTCTAAGAACCCAAGGGAAAGCGTTTCGTGTTTCATTTCGTCACTCGAGACACGCTGATGAGCCGACTACTCCGCAGCATCGCTGCTCAGCTCTTGGACAATTTCAAAGAAGAAGGACTAGATCCCGCACCGGTCCTGGAACCATTCCACCAGATCAACGAGAACAATCCCAGGGAAGTCGAAGGATTTGTTGACAGACTCTTCGACCTCCTTCCGATGACATATGTCTTCATAGACGGCCTTGATGAGGCGGACCATGATCCCGGACGAAGTAGTGCCATCGACAAGAGCACAGAAGTGAGAAAGGTCGTGCAGTTCCTCACCAAAAAGGCCTGCCGCTCACCAGAGCGTGTCAGGATATGGTTCAGCAGTCAAGACTCTCCCAGTGTTCGCGATCACCTCTCCAACGCAAAGAAGGCGATCAAGAATTCAATGTGTCTGGAAGATGTGATGCTCGAGGTGCCACTTTCGATTTCCGACACCGAACAAGACATTCGCTCCTACGTCAAGGATCGTATAAGCTCGTCACAAATAGTCGTATCCGAATCCGCACGGTTGAGTCTCCAGGGTATTCTGCTTCGCGACGTCGGGGGCAGCTTCCTGTGGGCCAGTAGGATGCTGGATGAGATCACGCACGATTGGCTCAGTAGCCACGAAGACGACGTCCAATTTCTTGAGTCAATCAAGGCAGGTCTTCCTCAGACCATTACCGAGGTGTATGAGAAAACCATGGAGCGTGTAAAGTTGAGGACGCCGCCAGATCGAAAGGAGTTGCCACTATGGAAGTAAGATTGCCATCATGTTACACTGGTCAAAACTCCGTCCTAGCTGACACAACACAATGCAGAATCGTTCTTTCTCTCCTTGTCTGTGCTGCACGACCCTTGAGAGTCTCAGAAGTCAAAGAAGCCGTTGCCATGTTACGTACGCCGGCAGGAGAGAATCTAGATCCCAGAAGAGAGCCCCCAGAGGAGAGGATCTTGTATGCGTGTGTCTCTCTGGTACATGTGATTCGAGTCGGAGATGAAGCATCTGAGCATTTGCTGCGTTTATCACACGCCTCCGTTGGTATATTTCTTCGCAACAACGTCAACGTCTTTGTCGGCTCCGAAAAATGTCTGTCAGACACCCGGATTCCTCGGAAATGCTGCATGCTATATTTACGCCAACCTCGCTATAATCAGCTTCTGCAAAGACATGGCGATGGTGGATTCTGTGCCAAAGATGGCACGAGGATTGAGTCGACCAAATTCCTGTCTTACGCGGCCAAGTATTGGGCAAACCACTGTGATTTGTGGAATTTCTCCCATCCTGAATCTGCACATGGTGTTCCGGATGGGCGCCTTCTCGAACCTCTTGTTCCGGCAGCCGAAGTCGAGTCATTCATGCGGTCGGATAACTTCCAAACATGCATTCAAATGCAGAGCATTTTCGTCCAAGGGCATTTCTTGCAAACGTTTGACCCGCTTACAGATCGAATGAGTTCTTACAGAAAGACGCTTCCAAACTGGATCGAATACGTTTTACCGGAGCTTTTCCACCAGTACCTGCGTTTCCAGAGTGAGTGGTGCCCGTTGTTGGACATTTTCCCAGGCGAAGCCTTCAGTGGTGAGCTTGACCGATGTTTCTCGCCATCTTTAGGAAGGGAAAACTTTCTGTCCCGTCATCCTAGCCGCTACAGATGCTTCGTGCTTGGACACAGCGACATATCGGACGACCAGAGTCAGAATTGTTGTATCACGCAGCACACTTCAGCAGATGGGCGACAAGTCACCGTGTCTTGGGTCGAGGATAAGGGGTCAGTTTGACATCAAGCTCCACAATCTTGGTCAAGGATAAGGATTGATGCTGACACATAACCTAGTGATGCAAGAGAGCTGCAAATGTTTCATTGGGCACTTGATCAAGCCCAAGGTCCACGGGTGATATCTCAAACGTCCCACGATTTCTCACGAGACGAAGAGATCATCATTGGGGATTCAATCAAGTGCTCAACATCGTGCAATCTGTTCCCAACGATACCGGATGCTGCATGCTATGTGGCTCCAGAGCCCGTGCAAATCAATCAGGACTCGGAGTTCACTATTCTTCGCATTGGACAGAGCTTTTACCGCTATCCATACCTCGATGACCAGCACCACTCATCTGAGAAATTTGTTAAAGCAATTTCTGGCAGTCCTTGGGACCAAGTCTGTACACGCGGTGATTTCCTTGTGGTCTGTCACAGACATGTTCCTCGCACGAAGGGTCAGGACGCCGAAGAAGCAAGAAAGGAGACCGAAAGGCAAGAAGCTGTGAAACAACTCGTATCACTGCAGAAAGGTCGTCGGAAACCAGCTGCTGAGGATTACAAATGGAAGCATGAGGAGCTCCGTCCATTCAAGTCAGAATTTTCGATGAGGTATGGGAAGCTCATGGATCTGATGCACGATCGACTCGCAAAGGACATCGACAAAAGGCATGGCAGGTCAGACGGTAAATCCACGAAGTCGCCCATTGACAGTCACATAAACGGCGTGACGTCAACAGCCGCAACCTCTGACTCTGAGCTCTCCTCTGAGCAATCTTCCGCCGAAGTATCCTGGAGTGAACAATCCACAGACAGTGATATCGCTTCTGGCTACGAAGTTGGGCAAGCCAGCAGTGAGTCGGAATCGGTCGCAAGCAATGACGCGAACTCTGAGGACTCATTGGAAGCGTCTATTGCATCACAAAGCGATTCTGATAGCGATGAATCGATTCTGAACGCGTCGAAATCTCTCGACAGTTCTTCAGCTTCCGAAGAAAGCGAAGAATGGAGCGAGGCAGATGAAGACTCTGTATTTTCGCAACCTTCAGCATTCATTCCTGAAACCTCAAGCTCAGACTTCAACCATTGCGGAGGTCAAGGAATCACGGTCAGATCAGGTCCCGAAGAAAAGGTACCATGCGACGTATGTGACCGTTCGAGGTTGCGTGAGTGGTATCATTGCACCATCTGCAACGATAATAATCTCAACATCTGTCAGCATTGTCTGCGTCGTGATATCTGGTGTTTCAATCTTGGTCATCGGCTTTGTCGTATGATCAATGGGAGGGCCGTCGGCGCGATATCGCAGAACAAATTCCACGCCAGGCAAGAGCTGTTGGTCCTGAAGGCAGGCGTTTCCCGTCCGGTATTTCGTTTCCGGAAGAATTGCCGAGTAGCTCTCTACGAATCACCCCCAGTCATTCACCCCGAACATCCTCTGGTCGTTTGGCCATTGAGCGGCTCAGAACTTGTGTTTGCCGATTTCAGCAGTAACAAGTGCTTTGAGCTCGATATCAAGTCCTCAAGCCCCGGGAAACGCAAGTGCATTCTTATTCTCTAGCCCTCTGGTGGTCTATGATTTTGCTAATAGCTGGATTGTCACAGTACGCTCGATCTGTGTGAAGATGTCCTTCTCCCCGTGTGGGCAGTTCCTTCGTGTGGCAATTCTTGATGCGTTTGCGGGAAACAAGGCGCCGAAAACTGATGCTGCGTCAGAGAGGGCTGGAGCACCAAGCGCAAGTTCGAAGATACGTTTCAATCTATCCGTGTTGACACTCAGGCTATCATCAACGAAACCAAGCAGAATCCCCCCAAAGCTGATCGACACCATCAGTGTCGACCTGGGACATTGCACAAGACCAGTTGGGCCTGTATTTCCCTTTGCGTTCACATGGACAACAGCCAACCTTTATGTGACAAAAAGCGATTGCCGACTACGCGTTTACAAGCTTGAGTTGATGCATCCGATTCCAACTGAAGGAGAGGTGCCCAGCGGCGGTAGGGACTCTGGAAAGGGTGATAATTTCAATACGCGCGTCACTGTGCCCCACGAAAAAGTCTTTCTCCCACGCTCAGCACGGGTCCGCACGGTGCAATACTTTCCTCCTATCAACCCTGGGGCCAGCTCTTTGGTAATTATCGGGCCTCACCGTGGCGAGAACTCGAATCCTCCTCTTGTTGTATATCTTGACGGCCAGGATCTGGGCAATTGGGTTGCTCCGAGAGAAAACACATGTGGAAAGACGGCTCTTGTGCGGAGACGATTGGAGGGCCCATTCGAGAAGTTTGACCAGGACGATGACTGCGTAATAATTCCGATATAGATGGGGATAAACATTGAGAGGCCTTCCGCCAATTTTTCAAACAAAGCTTGATCTCGAAGTAAGTAATAGAAGGGGAGCCAAATGACGAAGTAACTCATGGCCCCACCGTTGGCAGGTCCGGCAGCTGATCGTTGAAGTCGACGACCTCTAGGTCGACCTCTAGGTCGACCTCTATGTCATCTTCGTATTGCCCCCCGTGGATGGTGAGAAGCCTAGTAGACAGCTGTCTAGACGGGTAATAATCCCACTGGTTCCTTGGGCCTTCCCAAGGCGGCAGAGGTTCATATTCTCGCCAGGCCGCAATGGGTTACAGATCTTCTGAACAAGAGTCTCCGTCAGAACGCGGACATCCGCGTTCGCTCGGCGCTTACTATCTATCTGACCACCCCCGCACCAGCTGAATATCTTCCACCATAGACTGTTTCAAGACGATGATCAAGGACATTAGAATTAGCCCTGGGCTGTTGGCGTGCCCAATGAGAGGGCTGTTCCGGGAAGACTTTATGCGCCTGTGGGTATACCAACTGAACCCATCCTGGTGCTTGGAAAAGGAGTCAGCACCAAAGCTTTGGGACTGGACGCAGAACTCAGGCGTGGCTAGCTTGATTCGAGCCAGCATGGCCGACTTCCGAGTACCGATCCGGGCTTGACATCAGGCAACTACCTCGAATAATGAGAAAACGAGCTTTACGTTCAAGCCGACGATACATACTATTGCTCATTCGAACATCTCAAAGCCATCAAGCATCCTGGTTCCCGGACGCAGGCTTGCGTGTTTAAATTATCATTTAGTGAAACTTTTCTTCTTAATGTCAGGGCTAAACTTACAATCTGGACCATGATCTTCTTTTAACGCTTTGCCCAAGTCTCGTACCACCGTTGCTATATCCGTCGCAGAGTAAGAATGTGTCAACGTACATCTTGAAGGTGGTTTGGGACCGATATACCTCAGGATATCCGACAGCTAGCACGGTGGTTCTCTTGTTCAAGCGTCAGAGGTGTCGAAGAGGTATCTTCACTTGGACATGGATCTGCTTCACACAGCCCTTTGCAGCATTTCTCTGTAGTTCGACTTTCTATAGTACATAAATGTACACCCATCACCTGAGAATTTCGTTGCGTGTTTGTCTGCGTTTCCAGGGCAAAATGAATGGCTCGGCGACGCCACGGTATCATTTATATATATTTTCCCAGTAGCCCTCGGACTCTGTGAATCGGACTTTGTCAGGAGGGTCATGTTAGCGCTTACGGAAAGAATGGAAGCAATGCGTGGTCCTGCTGAGGTTGATGACATTTCCTCTTTCGGTAATGAGAGACGCATAATATAAAAGATCTGTGATAACCGACATGGCCTTCTTATTTTTCGGTTATTTCATTTCCTCCTCCACTGTATAACCTCCAATCATTCAATACTATAAGTTTAGATCCGAAATAAGCACAAGCAAGACAAAACCGTTCTCATAATTCACTATGAAACTCCTCGTGCCAGCAACTATACTTGCCAGCCTCATGGGCTTCGCGCTCGCTGCTCCGCCGGTTAGTAATTCAAATTAGCACCTTTGAGCGCAAGAGGACTAAAGGCATGGCAAAACAAACCAGGGATCAGCAAGCGAAATGTCTCCCATCAGACGTGGAAATGACGTCCTGAACGAGCTGGGAAAGCGATGCAGTCTCTGCAGTTGCAGCGGCTTCGAGGGATCTTGCTGCTGTGATTGTTTCAATACGGCACAAAAGGATTGTTGTGGATGGGGGACAGACGACTGCCCTAGATGCTGTTGAGGGCGTAGTGCAATCTAAGGGGCATGAATCCGCGTCGCATAGTGCTTCGATGTGTATAAATGAGGTATATACCAGACGAGCCCGGTGGAAGTCCAAAATTGGCACTCGTATATCCCTCCAACCATTTAGTATTCTATTTTATCAGTCGTGTGAAGAGGTCAGGGGAATAGCAACAAACTTAGAACGTCTTAAATCGCCTCCTGCCAACAGACTTTAGGCCGTCTGAGATGAAAAAGGAATCTGACAATTAGTGCCTGGCTCGCGTGCTTCCGAGAATTGGCCTTCTTTCGCGGCACAAATGGAATCGGTTCATCAAGCGGGAGCAACTTGGTGCTGCTCAAAGATTCGTCTTGACACACAGCGACCTGACATGGCGGAATGTTATACCGCACAACGGCGTCATCATGTGCATTGTTGACTAGGAGAGGAGCCGTTCTTTCCGAGTATGCCTTTGCTATAGCGCTAGGCCACGTCATTGAAGAGTGGTGGATCTTGGTACTGGAGCAAATCCTACAACCTTGCTTCAAGCACATATTCAAGTTCACAAGCTCACTAGAGCAGAAAGGTTGGTAGAATCAACTTTGAAATCACGCATTGCGTCAAACACCAGATGAAGCTTCTTCTGCGCCAGGCTTGATGTGTCTGAAATCATGCAAGGGGAATACCATAAATTTCATGCACGCATGACTCACGACCTGCTAACTTTTAACACAACTAGGTCATTACACATCGTGATGTGAAATCAAGATTTATGTGAACAAAATTGTTTACTGCTGGTATCTGGACGCAGTGTGGTCGCCGAAGGCGATCAGCACCAACTCTTCCCTCAGGCGCCAGGGCTGATGGCGCTTTCGAAGATAGCTGCACCATGGGACACGGCATGGTTTCGCAGCACTGGAGTGAGAGCGTCCGTTGCGGGTCGGCACCTCGTATTAGGGAATTCTCTACCGCTTCAGTGAGTCCTGCACGCCATAGACCAATGTGTTACGACTCGTTGATCCACCCAGCCGAGTCACATATCACTTGCTGTTCAAATTGGAATTCCCCTGCCGATGAGTTTTGGGCGACGAAGCCGAAACAATGGCCCGGGAGTTGGACGTCGACATTATTCCACCAACACACCGTGTTGCTGATACAACATAGGGCAATGTCAGCGAGATATTGCGCACGTGCGAAAGAGGAAAGGAAGGGAGTGGCAGCAACAACGGAACATACCAAACAGGATCACCTGCAGCAATTTCCGAAGCGTTCTGGTGGTTGTACAGGGCGCACTTGTTGATACACGTATTTAAGTCTGTTGTGGGTTGGTTCACGAGGCTATTGTCCCCGATAGTCATAAGCACTGTGCTGCAGAATTTTCGGAACGTATAGGTCTTTGCGCCGAGAGTGATATCGTGTATTGTATTATCCGATGAGGGGCAGTCGCGATAGAGTGTCGTCGACGGGCTCCGGGAACTGGTTCCTCGTAGCATAAAGGCTTGTGTCCGGAACCGCTTTGGGAGCAGAATATCAGTAGTCCTTATTCGAATTCATAACTGGTCAAACTCGCCCGTAGGCTTAGGGGAAGCCGTCAGAGTCTTAGCGGCGCAGGACTCTTGTTGATACTCACCTGGTAGGGGGGCGTAGTTTTCGGAAGAGCGTCCGGTGCCAATGAGAGCTTTGTTTAGGCTTGCAAGCTGAACGTAATTTCGAGGAAAGCATGAGGTAGCGACAGATGAGACCACTGAACGAGTGAAGCGACACTGTTACCTCAAAGCAAAGCAGAAATTCAGGTCAACTTGAGAACCTAGTTGTACGTAGAAGGACCTGGAAAGTATTTAGCTTTTCCTCGGATGCTCGCCATAGTTTATAGACAGGAGCAACCAGCAAATTGAAATACAACGAGGCACAGGTGGACAAGATGTTCTCCATTCCTGTCTGCACCCATTTTCATAACACCCGTCAATCTGTTGCACATCATCTGCATGTTGGTCCTCAAAACTAATCATCGGCCGAAAGGCAACCAATCTGGCTCTCTAGGTTAAGCGCTGCGCTGAAAAGCGCGGCTGCAGCTAGAACTGATCCCAGCCTCCCGAGCAATAAATGACACCTGGGCCAACAGCAGGTACGGCACCGACGAATGAGAGTTCCATGATACCCGACAGAATGGTTCAATGTCACCAACTCCCTTTCACAACTCAGTGGTTCGATTTTGCCAAGTGTGAGCCCTCTTTCCAAGCGCTAATCGTGTCCTGTTTAATAACCGCCTGGGGTTGGCACCGCCCTTTCACTTGTGGGCACCGCCCATTCACTCGTTGGCAGCAGAACTGGGAACGAAAGATTCTCTGCCATTCAAATTTAATCAGTGTCCTGAAATGTCGCTGTCTCTGACCCTCCTTTGAGGATTTGTGGAGGAAATGCTCGTGGCACTTCGTTCTGCAGCCCCCAAATTTGCAGGCTTTATGCACAAACAAATGCGCCGAAGAGAAGATTTGCAATGGCAACAGGTCTTACCTGCACAAAGCGCAAGTACAGCGTCATCCTCGCCTCCATCTGTCTAGGTCTCGTACCGTACCACATCTACTGGGCAGGCGAGATACCGAGCTATTCCTTGGGAAGTCAGTACAGCTTGCCGGCTTCTCCGGTATCAAAGGCAGAAGACGATGTTGAGTTCGAACCACAGAACCCCAAGGCATCCAGCACCGATGCTCCGACACTGCCGCTTGAGTACTCGACATTGACCGAGGGCCAACAGAAATGCGACCTATTTTTCACGACGAATTATCTTGAACACACGGCCACACACCAACAGCCGTACTGCGACGCGCAATCTCCAAGTGCTTTCCAATGCTTCACAGCCCCGCGGCTGGTGGTACCCGCCACCGCATCGTGGGGACAGACTGACCCTCTCTGCATCGCCCAAGGGGTGTCTTTTGAGCCGGCGCAAGCTGGAGAAGCTCGAGACTCTCAAGCAAGTAAGTCTGACTGTGGAATTTACTCTCATCTACGGCCAGCTAATGAGGGACAATTAGAAGAGTTTGAGATGCAATGCAAGTTGAGGGACATATCTGGGGAGAGAGCCAGCTCCGCAGACGCTGCCAAAGATCTCGAGGGCTTTCGCGACCTTCCTACAGACTGGGGTTGGTATTGGGGAGACACCGGCGTCGGGGCGTCACTGAACACATGGCGATTCTCGGATGACCGCAACGCTAGCGGCTGCACTAAAGAGAACAGCAACAACGAGTGGGTAATGCTCATGAGGCGGGACAGCACAGACACGCACAATCTCTGGCATAAGCTGATGGAGATCCTGCAAGCGCGCCACAGCTTCGACGCGCTGCGCATCGCTATCAACCCTACCACTGGGACCCCTTGGCTGTCAGAAGGAGATGCCGCAAATGTTCAACTTGTCTTTGATGATGATCGAGAGGAGTTGCTCGAGCCTCTCTGGGAGATCGTCACTGGCAAAAAGCCCATCCGCAAGAGCTCACTACAGGCCACTTGCCTCGGCAACGTGATCCTGCCGCTCCCGGGTTCTGGAAGCCCTTTCTGGTCAAACTTGCTTGACACCGGCTACCAAGAGCGATGCCCATCACAGACGCTACTGACGACTTTTGTGAGCCGGGTTTTTGAGTTTCATGGTGTTGTACCACGGCCGGTGACGGAAATCCACGCAAACCCGACAATCACAATCGTTCAGCGAAAGAAGAACAGGAAGTTCATGTCCTTGGATCGATGGATACCGATTCTAAAAGAGCGCCACCCACAATCTACCATCCGCGTGGTTGACTTTGCCGACATCTCCATCGAAGAGCAAATCCTTCTCGTCCAATCCACAGACATCCTCGTGGGCCATCACGGTGCAGCGTTGACGCACACCATCTTCCTATCGCCCGAATCCACCGTGGTCGAGATACTGCCGCGATACTTCGACCAGCATGGATTCCGCGCCACGGCCGCTCTGCGCGGGGTCCAGTACATAGCGGGCAGGGGCAGATACGAGGAGGAATATGAAAACGCGGTGCACGGTGAGCCGCTCCCACAAGACTGGCCGCCTCCCCCTCCGCAGGAATTCAATCATTTTCAGCAGCAAGAGTGGGTTTATCTGACGGATGAGGATTTCCTGGGCTTGGTTGACGCTGCGGTCAGGACTCAGTTGAACCGACTTGGTAGTAGTAATTTATAGGCGGTTAATGAGTAGATCGGGTGTTGGTTTGGCTTTCCCGTACGGTATCATTTCAGAAGGTACTGAGAAGAATGGTAGAGTAGCACGGAACCTCCATTTCGTTTGAGAGCTTAATTTGTGTCTGCAATGCCTGAGTCTCGGGCAACATGTCCATGCGCATCCTGCATTATGCCATCGTGCCCACGGAGCAACAGAGGAAGAAACTACATAGCTTTCAACGATGGGAATTCAGAGGCGCATTCAGAGAAGAAAGTTTCCAGACAGACTAAACGATTCATTAAGATCCACTGACCAACTCAAATCCTATAAGTCATCTTTCCCACCTTCCTGGTAATTCGTAAATCGATCTCGATTCTAATTCGTAAATCGATCTCGGTCCAGCCACAGGCAATTCATTAATGGATACCCATTTAGTCACCGGTAATTCTTCCAGTGTATTACTGTGTTGGGTCGGACTAATCACCGGTGCAAAACCCTCATAATCCAGCTCCGTCTTGTCCGGTGACGCGCCAAAATCACTGCCTTTGGAGTGCGCCCGAGCCAGCCTTGCCCGCCGTCTCCTCCAAAGAACAAAAGCCGCGATGCCTAAGAGCAGAACTGCGAAGACAATGCCAAGGGTTATCCCTATGCTTAGTCCTAGTGTTGACGTTCCGGTAGATGAGGCGGAGGACTGTGGAGATTGAGAAGATGGAGTCGTCGTTTGCTGCGTTCCCCCGGCTGCGGAATCCGTCGCCGTGGCCTGGCTGCTGGTGGCAATGTTGAAACCATTGACCGGCCCGGCGAACATGGTCGCGGGGGAAGTGAACACGGTTGTCGTGGAGAGGCTCGACCCCGAGGCCATGCCGGTGAACCATGACAGCGTCTGGCCCTCGGTGATCATTGATGTCCACTGGGACGGAAAGACTGCGGCCTCGTTTGGGTGGGCGGATAGAAGAGTGTATTGACTGGCTGTCTGTTAATTTGAATTCTTTTCCCGGCGGGTGGGCCCTCTCGGCTCGGGGCTGGGGCACATACGAAGGACAGCAGTAGACCTTCTGAACGGAGCTTGCGGTGACTGTGGTGGACACGGTCGAGTATGCCTCAGGACAGACAAAGGTCGGCCCTATAGCAGTGTATAACAATGCATCCGGGTCCTGAAACCGCCAGGTTGAGACCTGGGATGGGATACAACTTGCGGCGTCGGTGACACTCTTGCCATAGGCTGGATCCCACGCAAGAAACGTCGGTGTCGTACTTGCCAACTGATAAATGTTCGTACCGCAGCCATCCTCGGAGGGATATGGAGTAGGCAATGGCACGAAGATTGTGGGTGTGCCCCCTATGGTCATGACGGTAGACGTCACACTCGCCATTGTGGTTGAAGTTAGCCCGCCGCAGGCCGGAATCCAGTTCCTAAAAGGCTAATACTTGGAAGGACGGGTTTACGTCGGGTCCACGACACGGAGAACCTCTTCTTTATTTACAGCACACTCAATACATCTATATTTACTGCTTAAGCGCCGAGAAGGCATCCCTGACTCGCTTCACAGTAGCACCAACAACGTACCTAGCACCAACAGCATATGTAGCACCAACATCCACTTGGAGGGCTTCGATAAGATCAGGAATGGATACTCGCTTGACAAACTTCAGTGTATGTAACGGGGTTGATCCCTACCCTGGCACCCTGGTGGGTCTCTCGTCGAGCCATTTCGTCTCACTGGACACTGATTTGCGCTGCGCCGCACGAATACACCTGTTGGTTGTTCACGAATGGCAATTGGTGCCAATTCGGGACAAGCAAATAGGCTCTGGGCCACGAACAATTTCGTGCCACGTCCGATCTCTTACCAACAAGAGTGGACACACCGGCTGAGGGAAGTATACCGTCTCCTCTGGGGACTGGGTAGCCCTTTGGTGCTCATCCGTCCAGGCTTGCCTCCATCTACACCTGTTCCTGTCCAATAGGGACGTTCAAGTGGACTTCTCTGCAGCAACACACCCTGACGAAGAGTGTATTGGTGTCGCCATGGCAAGAACCTACTTCACCTAGTCCGCAACGGCATATGTCATTTCGGGTAGGTATGGGACATGGACAACCTGCTTAACGAGGTTAAAAGCAAGGCCAGCTCCAGAGCGCATGATATCCCAGCCATTTCTAGCAGTTCCAGCAACTACATAAGCACCTTTATCTTTGCCTACTTAGCCCATAAATAGGCCGTAGCCCTGGTATTAATTAAGTGACACGTTTGTTCTTGAAGGCATCTCAAGATGCCCATCATTTTGGCACCCATTGACAGGTTCCGAGTCTCTTTCCATACCATACTGGATGCAGTTTCCCATGGTGACCATCGATGGCCTGCTCCTTCAGTTTCGAAGACACAATCAATCAAGAATGTTTTGCAACCCCCGAATGCTCCTTCCGCCTGTGAATGTTGTTCGCCTGTGCTTGGTATGATGTCTCCCTTGCCAGACAGACGATTTCGATTCTTTCCTCTTCTCTTCTCTTCATGCATAGTTACAAGTACGTTGTTCAAAGCCTACTGTTATCGATATTGTATTGTTTTTTTAACGTTGGGTGTTTAAGCGTTTATCACTGTATGAAGGGACTGGATGCATATTACTTAAGAAGCACATGTGTACAGACTAAAAACGAGACCACTTACAAGTAAGTGCCCACCCCTATGCTCTCATCATGTCTGTCCCACGCCCAGTCTCTTTGCACAAGATCCCATCACTCTCCCTGCCAAAGGGCATTTATCTGGACCCGCGTTTCCGGAATCCCCCTATGCTTCTCCACGGACAGATCTCAGCCCAGCCTCTGCCGATTCAGCGGCATCCACACCGCGATTTCTTTGCGCCTAATGATCCTCCGGGCATCATTCCATCTGGGATTGCAGGCCGCTCCATGTGGATCAGTCTTGGAGACACCAGACGCTGCGCCTCTGGACCCCGGATGCCTCCCTTCTTTTCCCCTGGCTCATCACCTCTTCGGTGACCTCGACAGCTTCGCGCCAAATAACGACAGCCAGCCATTTTTCCTTGCGTTTCCTTCCTACGCCTGCACATTGTTCCCCACGATCCCTTCCGCTTCCTCAACTTTGGGCTACCGAGCGCTACAAACTCATCGGCCCCGGAACTTTGCACGACATCCGTCCGGCTCAGCAACATCCTGTTACAACTCAAGGCCATCGTTTCAACATCTGCCGGATCTGCTGTCAACCCTGGATCCTTGCTCATTGCCTTCACTGGAGCTCCATCACGTCCCCTCCCTCACCGTGCAATTCTTGCTGCTGAAATCTGGCTAACGTGGTCTCTAATCTATAGTTTGATTACAAATTGAGAAGTTTGGTAAGCCTCCCTCCACATTCCCATGATCTCTTCCCTCGCTTGACCTATGTTTGAATGATGCTAACATGTTTGTAGCAAGTCAACAACAATCACAGTAAGTAAACCTTCTTTTGACTTCAACACCTGTCTTCTCCGAACTTGCGCCTCAACGCGACGTCTACCCCCAACCGACCACTACCTCAACCAACTCCTACCTCGACCGGATCTCTGCCTCGACCGAATATCTGCCTCCACCAGATCTCGGCCTCCACCGACTTCCACCTCGACACAACTTCCACCCGTATCCGACCGAGCTTATCCCAAACCACTCCCGTCCCAGCTTCTACCTATTTCTCTCGTACTTATATATACATTGAGTGCTGATAAGAGTAAATTAGATGCTGACCGCCGGATACGTTACGCTTACGATAAGGAGGCGTGTGACCCCTTTTGGGGCATGCAGCGGCGCCCCCCCCCCCCGGGGCAAAAAAAAAGACCTGGGGTTCTATTGGGCCTCAAAGAGGCCAATGTCGTTGTCGTTTTGGTCATTGCGGCGATACGACCTGCGTCAGACATACGATTCAGCGAGCCTGGCTCAATCGACTACAGCAGTAGCAAAGGGCACTCACGAAGTTTTCCTGACATCGGCCAAAATGCAATCGATCGGTAGCTTTGTGGAAAGTTGGTGACTCATTTGGTGGATGTTCTCTTCGTCTCTGAATGCCTCGATGATTCGGCTTTCCTGAACTTTATCCTTCATCATTCCATCGCGAATGGGAGAGCAGTGTGTCTTGTCGTTTTCTCAACATGGCAGTCAATGGGGGCCCAGTGAATAGAGAATACGTACTGCGTACGTACGCTGTCTGTCTTTAAAAAAAGAGAACATTTATTCGCACGAAAAGAAACGGATGGTATACGGACACATTACACGCACGCCAAGTGCACTCACACCCAACACACTCACACCCACACCTAACACATCCAGAGCCAAGATACCTATACCCAACATACCCAATTTACATACTCAAGCCTAAATAACTTTACATATTTATATTGAGCGCAGTTATATAAATCAGTTGTGGGTTTGGGAATTGGATGTGGGTATTAAGCTCTGATTAACTGCGGGAATATTATTTAAGAGGTATCTGTGTACCATCCCTTTTCTTCTATGCAAATATCCGTTTTCCTTTAAAAAGGGGTGCCCAGGGCCCCTTCCGCACTCGGACCTTAGTCATACGCCCACTTCGAATACATGTTTGCCAGACCCAGTCTTTCCTGCCACACGCATGCTGGTCTCGTGTGAACGAGTTACTCGCGACTACATGAGATCAATTTACCAATTAGAGAACGACACAAAGGACGGTCTAAGTGAACGAGGACGCGCAGGAAATCGTACATGCAGGTCTGCTCGGGGTTGCTTTACTGTGTGAGCATTTCATAGTCCACATGCTGAGTGATGTGCATCTCCCTTGGCGAGGGCTTGCCTTAAGACTGGTCCACGACCGAACGAGGAGGCAAACAAAACCGTCGGACCGACTTTGTTTCCCTTCAGTAATTGTGAACTTTGATCAGCAATAGGCCTCTGCCAATAAGATTTTGTGAGAAGCTCTTTTTAATGACGGTGGGATACATATATAAAGGTGACCCTTTGCAGTGACTTGCGTGGACTTGACTTCCATCATTCCACCGGCTAGAGTTGCTGTCGGACAGTTTATGTGTATCTGAACACGTTAATCAGGGGAATGTGCCTAAAGGGATATCCCGGCATTAGAAAACTAGCGGTTAGAATAGTGTGCCTCGTCCAAACATACGGAGTTTCTTCTGAATCTCAAGAAAGAGTGGCCTCAAAGGTCAAGATTAAGTCACCAAGTGGCCAACCTCAAGGCTCTTAGACGCTGAGAGGCGGGCGTGAGAGACGAAAATCGTTTATCTTGGCCGGCACACTCCGACAAAGCTCAGCTAGCAGTCTTTGCCTCTCTTGTGTCTCTTTACGGCTGCTGCTACCTCGGACTTGGTAGGCAAAGGGCCTGAGACCCTTGATTGGGCCTTTCGACTGGTGGCGTGACATGCCCAGAATGCAGATGTCCCGCCGGGCGATACGGAGCGTAACCACCAGCCTTTCAGCCTTGCCGACACTTATCGGTTGGGCAAGTAAGATCCACCTTTGGGAATTTTCCCAGCCAGTGGCTCATACCATAGCCTCTCCCAGGTTTCTCAAGTCGTGACGGCGTTCAAGTTCGATCCCCAGTCACTGCACGGTGACTGGCCCATGCTCGAGCCTGTCAACGCGATAGACCTGGCAGCTTCCAGGCTCAAGACTGGCCCATTGAGTCGCATTTCCATCATACAAGCCTCATGTGGTACTCCATGTCCAGGCATGGGTAAAAACATCTAGCTGCACAAAGACTGCGTGCTCCTTGGGCTATCCGCTCGTTAGAGCTGGCGCATCTGCGTGGTGTTTCATCGCGGCAGGTCCTTCCGACGACGGGTCGCTGGTACGCGGCCACATTGCGACGGTGGCATGGGACCGGATCGGCGGGTCGGTCTGTTAAATCATATCTTGCGTTGTGGAAGTCCGTGGGTCAGGAGGTTTGTTTGGATTTATGGGCAAGACCAAAAGAGTATGGACCGCAACAGGATCGACTTGTGGTCACTCGCTCCGAGTGATGGCTTGGCAGGGCTGTCGAGACCGTAGTTTACTGAGCGAGATACGCACACATACGCATGGATGCAAAGGCATGAGGACAGGTGTCTCGTGGTCTTTGGATACCCCGGCAGCAATAGAAGTGGTTATATCATAGCAAAGGGGAAGGAGAGTCAAACATACAGTAGGTAGATAGACAGCTTGAAAGAGGAAGGACGTCGTTGCTGACAGGGAGTTGAGCTGGCCGACAGGGATGCATGTTAGTCGGTGGGGGTGCAGGGATGGGAGCTGCATCCTGCTCTCCCAGCCTCCCTCATTGTCGTTTAGCTAAGCAAATGCCCGGCCGAGAGTGGCTGCTTTGCGGCTACGTCACTCGCTAGACATGCAGGAACCACTTTAAGGTGGGGATGCACCCGCCCGCGCTAGTCCTGATTGGGTTCGGTTGCTGGCCCAACCTCCGGATTTTTGTTTACCGGATCCTGGGGGAGGCTGCTGCTGCTCACCTGTTCCGCGAGCCTCATCCACCTCAATCGGTCATTGAGAATAGATCAGGTACCACCCCTGGCCTGGCCGCAGCCCATCCTGTTGCTACGGACGACCGCGAGGTACATGCAAGCCCACCCCAGGAAGCCAAAAAAGTGGTGGCGCAGGTTTGGGATTGTTCTCTTGGCTGTTGTTGTCGAATGTCAGATCCCGCCCAATTGGCACTACGTAAGGCACATGCGCTCCACCTGCCCTGCCCTGCCGTCCCCCTTCCTGCAGGCTTGCATGCTGGGCCAGAACTACAAGTTACATGGGCCTCACGGGTGCGTTTCCCAGCCATCGCAATACTCGACGCCAGTCCAAGATTGTACATGCGCGAAGCAAGAGGGAATCCTGCATCAGTTTTCCTGCTGTCCTCCTTCTCCCTTTCTCTCTCCATGACAACCACACACACCATACCATACACAATACACTTTCGACTTGCATTCCACCCGCAGCTGTAGTCTCACTGCTATCTCCATCTCCATCTCTCTGCCTCTGCCCTTCTTTGTTCACCTTACCCACAACAAGTAGTGTGGCATATCTAGGACTACAACATTCCAGTCTGCCGCCTGCTACCCACCACCCCTCAAGTCAACAAGCGGCGCCAGGCCGTTCTCCATTCCAGCGCAGGCCTCACCAGGCTCAAAGCGGATCCTGTCCACGGCAACAAGCAGACAGCAACACCGCGAATCCCCACGGCCCTGACAGCACCGTCCGGTCGACTGGCCCGCCAGGGCGCCCTTCGACGTCCCTCCGACTCTCCACGGAGAGGTCGTCTTAGGGATCAGCAGCGGCGGAGGACACAGGCGACAACATGGCGAACGAGAGGTTCAAAGTGGGGTGGTACCGTACGTTCAACCAATTCCGCACCCAGATCCAGCGACAACAACATTCCAGTCCCTCGATGTCTCGGAGGCCACATGGGCGGGCTTGACAGACAGAAGACAAGGCATACAGACTAGCTGCTAACACTGCTCTCCAGGCTTCGTACCATTCCTCGGTTACCACCATGTGTTGATGATATTAATAGCGATAGCAATTATCCTGCTATGTAAGTCCCCGTCCCAGCGTCTCCACAACGACTCCACGCGCGCGCGCAACAGACACACGCACCCCAGATGGGGGAGATCCAAGTAATCCTCACCTTACTGACAATGCCTCTCTCTGTGCAGCCCTCCTCCTCGCAGGATGCTCATCATCGAGCCCGCTCATCCCCGACATCTTCCTGATATCCCTCTACTATGACGACTACACCCCGCGGCCCGACACGGCCCAGGTCAACTACGCCGCCTACTCCTCCATCAAGGGCCTGGCCGGGGACGCCCACCTACAGGCCCGCGTGGGCTACTTCGGCATCTGCATCAACCCGGACGGCGGCAGCTGGCTGTGCTCCAACAACGCCACCTCCCTCGCCCAGGAGGTCTCGGTCGACCAGGACCCCCTGAACCTCATCTGGCTGGCGAGCCAGTTCAAGGACTCGATCGTGTTCCCCTACCTCATGTGAGCATTGACTCCCCTACTTCCATAATTTCTGCCTGCCTGCCAGCCAGTACTGACCGTGCCCTTTCCCCCACTCAGCATCATCGCCATAATCTTCGCCTTCATCTGTTTCCTCCTCCTGGCCACCTTCCCGGGCTGGCACGAGGAGGAGGACAGCGAGGGGTCCGACCGCGAGGTGAAGCCCTTCCCGAGCCGGCCCGTGTCGCAGGTGGCGCTCGCCATCATCTTCATCGCCTCCATCTTCGTGCTCGTGTCGGTCCTGTGGCAGCACACCGCCTCCGTCGCCGCCAGCACCATCGCCGAGGACTTTGGCAACGGCAGCGTAAAGTCCGGCGTCGGCACCAGCGCCATGGTTCTGGGGTGGTTCTCCTTCACGCTGCTCATCATCGTCACCATCGGCCTGCTCGTCATGATCCTGAGCATAAGGGTGCTGAGCCAGCTGGCCGACTAGGCCGAGCCCCCCGCCTCTTTGTAGAAAAGGATTTTTTCTTGAGGGAGCAGGGGGTGTCGGGACGAGGGCACAATTTGGAAAGAAGAGATGTTACGATGATGGAAATGATATGATAGACACGGGTACGAAATGGGGAAAATACCTCTGGAAAAAGAAAAACAAATATGAGCAGAATCGTCCAACGTACGAATGGAAAGGGAATATGCCCACCCTCGCCATCGCCACCATATTCCGTCCACGCCAATGACGAACCGGCGATCACGAAACCCTCCTCCAGCCTCCTATACGCCCAATGCGGTATATATAATGAAAGGGACGGGAAGACGACGATGATGACAGGGCCCGGCCGCCGGGGAGGCCAGGGAATGGAATGGCAGGGCAGGATTTGGAACAGGCGGGCGGCGGTATGCAAAGGAATATGTACATGCAAATCTGGCTCTCTCTCTCTCTCTCTCTCTCTACCTCTCACCTTCTCTCCGGATCTCCGCCACCAATCACCGCCACACAAACATCCCATCTCGAAATAATCCGACCAAAACGAGGAGAGAGACGGACAGAGACGGACAGAGAAAGGCACAGCAGGGTGAGGGGAGAAGGGAGAAGCCCAAAGAAAGCAAGCAAGCATTTGGGAAACGGAGTTCTTTATATCCATCCACAAGGAGGGGAGGTCGGCCTTCGATGGTTTGGTCTTGTTGCGGCCCAAAAAGAAGGAAGACAGACGCCCCTTTTTGTTTCTATTGTCACTTAATTCAGTTTATTGCGCACTTGTTCTTGTGTGGTCATTTTTTCTGCTTTTCTTCTTCTCTTATATTTGCATTCCCGTACTTGTAGCTGCCCTCGAGCAGCAGTGTTTTATTGCGCATAGGTCATAGGAAATAGAGAGAGAAAAGGATACCTGCTGCTGTCAGTCGACGGGCGGATAATTACCGTTGGCGAGCAGACACCTGAAATGAAAAACAAACTTGAGCATCAATGAAACAAACACACTGTCCCAGGCCCATACCGTCACGATTTGTGCATGTTGCATTCTGTTAAAGGAAATAGGACTCGTGAGTCTCTAATATTAGAGATTTAGAGATACTCTGTTTAGGAATTCTAGGTATGCCATGCTTTCATGGTGCATGATTTCGCCCCCAAATGACAAAGGGGTTGGCGGTACCGCCGCCTATCCATGATATGCAATGCCTGTTTTGTTGTTGATACGCCAAACTCCATCCCATGCTCGCTTGCCCAAGCCATACATGAAAAAATTTCAGGGACCTCAGATACACGGAAGAATCCTCATCGAGGCCGTGGGAAGGGGTGGGCCTCGGTGTTCAACACCCAGTCGTCCAGGCTGATGAGGTCAGTATCCGAGTACAGAAGGTAATAGTACTTGAGCGTCTCCGCCAGCCAGAAGCTCTCCATGGAGTCGATGGGTGTGGTGGTGCCGTCCTTGTTGTTGACCCCGTCGACGGCTACGTTGGCGACCTGGCTGCGCGTGTGTTTGGCGACCGCCTGCCACATCTTCCATCCCTTCTCCTGCCAAATGGGGTCGCCTGTAATCCGGTACATGTACCAGACGGACTCGATCGCCTCGGGCCTGCATTGGGAGGACAAAATCATTAGTTCAGTGGTCCAGAAAGAAACCAAGCCGAGGACTGGGGGAGTGCTAGCTTACCGCAGAATGTATCTCTTATCACCAATCCGCGTGAAACCTGGGGGAAGGCCCTCGCTCACGATCAGATTCTGCACAAACTCCTCATGAGTATCAGGCTTGACTGGTCGTGGGGGTAGGTTGATGACAGCCTGATCGATGGGCACCTGACCCACTGTCCCACCAAAGGCTCCTGAATCCGAAGTACGGCCCGTGGTCTCGTCGTAGCGGTTGAGTTCCGCCTCGAGCTTCTTCATCTTCTGCTTGATGGCCTGCTGGTCCAGCGTTGCCGGGTCCACGGTCAAAGCGGGCGGCACGTCGTCGGATGCGTCAGGCGTTGGCAAAAAAGATGCCTCCTCGTCAAGGTCACGCTTGTGCACCGCAGGCCGAGATGCGATGTCGTCATAACGCCTAGGAGAGCCGTCTGCGTTGCTTGCTGGGCTACTGCTGCCGACACGGTTCGCCCCGCTGTACCCAGCTGGCACTCCTGGCTCCTGAGAAGTCTGTCCCGTCTTCGGTCTTGTCTCACCAGGATACGGGTATGGGGTCTTTCGGGCCGATTCTTCTGCTGCTTGGAGTCTCTCGGCTTCTGTGCGCAAGGCTTGCTGTTTCTCAGTCTCCCAGAGCCGGACACGCTCGTGATAGTTCTCCATCTGCTGAACCCTCCATTCGGGGTTTGGGTCCAAATATTCATCGGTCCATAATGTTTCGTTCCATTGGCAGTTCTCAGCATCGCTGCAAGGAGCAACATGAGAGTACTCAGGCATGATTCCGCTCGGCATCACGGCGTATGCCCAGACACATCCGTCGGTGAGACGCTTGCCGATTTCCAAGTCCTCAGGTGAATCGAAGATTTTTGCGCCGAGGCCGAACATGCCGCCCAGAAAACACGTTAGATGGGTGATTTCGTACTCGTACGCCATTCTCTCCGACAGACTCAAGTCGTTGCCGCTGGAGATTCTAACCTTGGCGGAGAACAGAATATCGGGCTCATCCGGAACCATGGGACGGAATAGGAGCCACTTCTTGACTGCTGCCACCGTCTTTTCATGCAGCGTGCGGTACTTGGGCTCGAGTCCGCCCAAGAGAAGATATTGCTTTGGGAAATACTCGTAGGCAGAGTCCTGTGATCCGCCCATAGAGAACGACTCCATACCCGGTGCCGCAGTGAGATTTGAAGCCACACAGTCCCAATCAGCAGGCAGACCATTCGCCGCGAGCGGCTCAGCTGGCTCATGACTCTGGAAGCGAGTACTAGAAGCTGCTGTATGTGGAGGGGTCATGTCCGGCACCTGGCCCGGCTGTCGAGAAGGTCCCTCCAATTGTGCATTGTCGTCGCCAACTTGACGTTTCTCAACATTCCTAAAGCCACCAACGTCGGGGCTTCCCCCGCCGCCCGGTTTCACCTGGAACTCTACGCTGGGCCTCCCCTGGGTCGACGCATCGGTCGCGCCTGAGCTTCCAGCCGCCGGTGGAACGTATCCCTGGGGTTCCTCAAGAACAGCGGTCTCCGCCTGCAGCTGAGCTTTGAGGCTAGCCTCCTTGATCGCTGCGGTAGCTGATGCATTGCATCCAGACGTGTCCACGTTCTCGGGGAAGATACCAGGGAGTGTTGGGGCTGTCTCGTCGTCGCGATTTTGCCACTCTTCCAGTGCATCTGTAATACGAGCAATAGCATCGTAGTACTTGTCTTTTCCGGTTAGCTGGGCTAGCCTCGTGAACTCCATGGACAACGTGCCGAGCTCTGCTATGCCAGCACGTGTGCTACCCCGTTTTGGCTGAGAGGCGTACGCCGGCTTCCACTTGTAGTACAGTACGGGCATCCTGTTGGGCGTATCGAAAATACCCATCAAGACCTCGGCAAGCTCGACAGCCTTCTTCAGAAGAAGTGGATAGTCGCCCTTGTGGCCACCACTGACGTCGTATGCCGCAAGAAGACCCCCCAAATACCGGATTGTAGTTTCGAAAACAGGGATCTCGTTACGATGCGGGGTCGTTGTGAAGTCGATGTCCTTCAATCCCTTGTACGCCGAGTCGAATTCCTCCTTCAGGCCCATGATCCAGAGCGTGTCCATGGCGTCCACGAGAGTAGCCGCCCAGCCGCAAAAGGGGTCCTTGAAAGACTTCTCAATGGGTACGAGCTCGTCGTGGCCAAAGGCGAACTTCTCGTAGCCCTCCCATGCGCGCTTCATCTCCGCCTTGACCTGCGCCAGGCGGTCCTCGCGCTTCGCCTTCGTGTCGACGCTCTCAGAGCCGAAGTTATACTGCACCCTGGGGACAGACTTTGGCTTGCCGGTGGGAAGAGGAATCAGAGAATCTTCGGGGACTGGGAACCACTCTGGTTGCTTTTCCCAATAAATGGTGGTTGATGTGGTGGTGGCGGCCACAGGACTGTCTGGGTACCTGCCCGGCGGGTCTTGGATGTGTAGAGGCTCGTCAACCGCGTGTGGGTAGGTGTCCCCAACCTTGCCAGGTCGTCGATCAGGGATGAGAGGGGTGGGCGGCTCGGTCGTGGCAGGCGGCTCCTGTGCTGGGCGGTTCCCTTGGTCAAGCGGTGCGAGGGGCTCCTCCACGGTGGGAGCAGGTGGCAAGGCAAAGCCATCCTTTACTTCAGTTGTGGTCTTGAGTTTGGGTATCTTGACCTTTTCCTCTGCATCATCTGCGGCAAAAGTGTCCTCGACAACTGGTGGGGGTTTCTCGGCGAGTGGCTTCTGCACCTGGTCCCGCTCGGCAGCCTGAGGCTGTGGGTTGGGTTGCACGGCGGCTTGCTGGTAGTCGAAATTACTATTGTCCCAAGCCGAGTTGACAGAGACTCGGTAGAGCAAGAAGACGAAGACGAAGGCGCACGCGACGAAGACGCGGTATCTCCTAAGACGAAGCATCTTGTAAAGCTGGCGACTGGATGTCGCGATCGTCACCAGGACAAAAGAGGGGAGGCCGTTTTGGGGCGCTCAAGGACGTTGCGACAGGTGTCGCGCAGGTTCGTAGTCAGGATATAAAATATGACATGTCAGGTGGGAGAGCAGTGGGAGCAAAGGAGTGGCCACTTTGGGTTCGCAGGAAGCTATACGGCGAGGTTGCGATCAAAAGGTGTTATGTGAGCGAAAGGAGCTGGGCGAGGCCGACGATCATGTTGTTGGCCGCAGGGAAGAGGTGCGGATCGCAAGTCGCGGGTCGCGGGTCGCAGTCGCAAGCAAGACGCAAGCAAGTCGAAGTCGGGCAGGCACAAGCTGCTACTTTCGAGCTTGGATACTGTGGTCTCGGTTGTCAGGTCAGGAAAGAATGAGGGGAGGAAGAAGGAGAGACGGCGACATGGACATGGCGAATGCGATAGGAGAAACAAGAACAGTCGCGAGACAAGGGAGCAGCAGGCATGATGAGATGGATGGGCGGGCAGGTGGGTGGATGGATTCGGTTCGGGGATGGAGCCAAGGCAAACGAGGCCTGCTCCTGCATGCTGCGGCACTGTATCTAGACTGGACAGACAGAGACAGCGCTGGGGGGTTGGGCTCCGTGCTGGCCTTGGCACCGTCTCACAAGGGAAAGAGCTGGGGTGAACGGACACACCTTGACTTGGACGACTAAGCATTCACTAGGAAGGAGTGGCGTTGATTAGTATTGATATTGGGTTGGGTTACCAAGGCAAGGAAAGCCAAGTCAACTCAAGGCAAGTCAAGGCAAGGCACGCGACCTGTGTTACCGAGGCCTAGACCCAGGCTTGCGCCTGTGCCTGTGTTTCTGCGTGCATACCTGGTTACGTAGACTGGTGTTTCCAGATGGGTTGCATGGCATGTCTGGCGACAGTCTCCACGATCATGCATACGTACTGTGTAGAAAGGTGGTTCTGCTACAGTGAGCAAAATAGTGTCAACGGTCAAGACCGACAGGCTGTGGGCCAGCCAATCTCTAAAGACAAAGGCGAAGGTCCAAGCAGAGCCAAAAGAGGGCACGAGCAGACACAGGAGCACAGCTGAGAAACGAGAGTGCCGCAGCTGCACGGCGGCAGGCGGGACAGAGCTGCTGGGCGGAGAACCAGGACCGTTTTGTTCCTCCCGGTCTAGCCCCATGTGGATCGCGCCTCCCCCCTCCCCCCCCCCCCGAAATGGCAAGTCGAAATAACGAGCCCAAACGAGCAGGCGGGCACCGACACGACGGAAACACGGATACTTGGGAGCAGGAGCGAGTGGCCTGGGCGGCCGGGCTGGAAGAGTGGCTCTTGCCCTCCACTGTTTAAGCTTGTAATTTGGCTCAACGCACGAGGATAATCAATCCTCATACGGTCAGCTGCCATCAATCAATCTGGCGTATATCATCGATGTATGCTGCATACGAGAGCGGAGGCCATACAATAGATTATGGCACGAACGGGCCACGTAGTACACTGTGACTGATGACCACCCTCGGATGCCACCTTCCGCCTTTCTCTGCCCGCCTGCTTGCCAGTCCCGAAAATCTGGATTTGGGCATCCTGCTCTCGACCTCGACCTCGATCTCGACCTCGACCTCGACGTCGTCAACCTCGGCAGTCGCCCGTCGACTCTGTTTCGCCGAAGTCGTACAGCTTCACACCTGTCCACTCACCACATATAATATCATCAACATCAGCTTCTCAGCTCGCATCGCACCCGGACCGTCACCGAGTAAACACACCATATCCCCATGCTTGGCAAATTGTCACAGGGCCCATCTGCCCCTCCAGATCCTGTAGCACTAGCAGACTACCGAGCAGCCTATTCAGCCCGCCGTGGCCCCCATGGCTCCACAGCATTTTATTTTAGTTTAGGGGTCCAACGGCCCCCTCCCCTCCCCATCCTCTCCTCCTTTGTTCCATCGCTTCCTACCGCCGCCTGCCCGGACGGCGGCTCATCTCCGGCTGACACCTTTCCCATTTGATTGATTGACTACCCACCAATGCACGGCGCAACAATACCTTCGCAACCTGCTTCCGGCCGTCAAGTGGGTGGGTGGCTCTCGGCGGGGCGGCAGTCGCCTGACTCCAGCCCACGAACCAACGGCCGTCTTTTGGTAGTATTATCGACGTCGTGCCTCAGGACGGCATGGGCCCGGGTTCAGCTACAATTCCGCGGCGGCAAAGAATTCCCCGAGCAGGCGTGCATAGGACGGAAAGAGTTTTGTATGCGCCGCCACGTGATCGTCTCCTGGCCGTCTTTGTAACACCGTGCTGCCACGACTGATAACCGCTGTTTTGCTGACCAGAGAACCTCAAGCCTGTGAACAGCCATCTCGTAACCTTGACTGTACTCCCGCCTCCAGGTCGAGCACGGCGGCGACGCATTTAGCATCAGGCCTGGCGGTTGGATTACCCGCCATGAGAGCCATCAGCGGGCCCAATGGCTTCCAGACAAGTTTCGTGACAGTAGAACTCAGCGGGGCGTCTGTGGTGGTCGCTTTGACGTTATCGTCCAGCTCGCGATACTCCACAATAGCCGGCCGGAGAGGGCCCGATTTGCCACGCGAGTTCATCGGTTCTATCAGGTGCCAGGTTTCGGATCTGTGAAGGAAGGAATGCAGTCCCGGTCGGACTACTTTCCCGTGCAGCGGGACGGCTGTCATGCACTGTCTGTCCCAAGCAAAGTGATGCCCCCCCCTGTCGTTTTGACTCACGCTCCCCCCTCTGCACAGAAAAAAAAAAGCCCTTCGCGCGTGCGCCCGCGCAGCGTTAACGCATATCAAGCCCTCCTCCAACCAAGCGCGCTCACGCAGTATTTTCATACCTTCTGCATACCTTCTTTATACCTTCTTTATACTTAATATAAATTTTTATTTTTTTTACCTCTTTTATAAGTATTTATTTTATTATTAAGTATTAAAATAGCTTATGAAAATAATTATAAAAGAAATGATTAAAGAAACTAAGATAATTAAAGATTAAAGGAAGGGGTGCATATGCTGCGTGGGCGCGCGCGCGGAGGGCTGTATTTTTTCTGTGCAGAGGGGGGAGCGTGAGTCAAAACGACAGGGGGGGGCATCACTTTGCTTGGGACAGACAGCAGGACCCACAAACATGCAGCCGCCCTGAAAGATCTCGAATGCGCGGTCGCTGGCACTGAGCAGAGTTATGTTGGCCGGCACTGGATTTCACTGTTGCGGATCGTCCCTCATATTGGAAGCAACTGGCAACGAGACCTAGCCCGCTTTCCACGAAGGCATGCTCCGGTGCTATCTTCCGGTGCCGCCTTGATGTATAGCGTGCTCTGCCGTCGCGCTTGTAGGAGTGGAAACCTTGCGCGATGCCTCGACACTAATGCGGTCCACCTGGACCAACAGTCAATATCAACCACCGTCATATAATAATCCGCCTCCGCCGGATTCCCTCTTGTGATCTTGATGTCTTCCGTACACCTTCCAGCGAGCTGGGCATAAACCTGAGCATCTACAAGAAAATGCCCGTCGCAAAGGGAACCATCCTCGTCACGGGGGCCAACGGTGGCCTCGGCAGTGCCATAGCAGAACAGATCGCTTCCAAGGCCGAGCTTTCCGCCTACCACGGGCTCTACACCGTCCGCGACGCGGAACACGCGCCGGCGCTCACCTCCGCACGACGTCTTGTCCCTCGGTCTGACGAAGCTCGATAATGTTCGCAAGGTGGCGGAGGAGATCAACGTGAGTTTACTGAGCTCGATCACATATGGCCCCATCAAGCAACTTCCACAACGCCAGGGTCGTCCCTGCCTTGACCATTGGACGCCTGATCCGCAGCCAGAATCGCATGTGCGGCTCGCAGTTGGGACGCCATCACCGCTGCGGACGGTCTCTTCCATTCATCGATCTCGAAGCATGACTCGATGGTGTCAACCAACTGACCAAGTGCCTTTGGCAGAGGCGGATCCAGCACTGCTATTCTGTGACGCAGCGTCTTGAACTGCCTGGATACAGGCGGACTTATGGCTATCTCGCCATTTTTCACTTCGAAGAAGGTCCCGTGGCGTGTTTGTTTGTATCTGAAGATTGTCAGTGGATGTAAACCGTTTGAGAGTGATCTCGTGAGTCTTGCGCACCGTGATCGCTTAAACGCCTCGAGCATTTTCCTCCCACCAGTTAGCCAGCAAGCGAACTCCATCAGCACACACCCGAACGACCATATGTCGTAAGCGGAAGACAGACGATGGCCCGGGTGGTGGTGCTTGAGCTCTGGTGCTCCATATGTTTCGGTACCACCTCGCCGTGTCGCAGGGCTGGTCAGGCCGATGCTTGAATTGTGGACCTTAGCGAGTCCAAGGTCAGAGATCACCAAAATGCCCCTTCCTTTGCTGTCGCCAGATTCTTTGAACCACAGGACATTCTCTGGTTTTATGTCGCCATGGCGGTAATTACTGGTATCAGCCGGTTCCGAGAACATCCACTCGGCTCCGGTGTTACCCTGGAGCTTGGAGGCGGAGTGGATAGACTCGAGGGCTTCAGGAATTCCCACCAATTGTTCAAATGCCCAGCGGTGGAGATCTGATCGAGCTTCGGATTCTTGAATTTCGGCCGGGGATGGATGGCATCTCCAGTAGTCTTGCAAATGACACTCGGCCCAGGGGAAGAGAAGATAGTAATTACCGCGCCAGTGGTAAGTTGCGAGGAGTGTGACGATATGGGGGTGTCCCGGGTTTGATAAGGCCTTCAGAACCTCAGCTTCTCTTTCGAACTCGGCCCTTGAAGAGCCATGAAGTTGTTTGACAGCAAAACAACCAGTGGGGAGCCTGCCGTCCGAGTTGTCGTCTCGAATACCCAAAATGTTCGAGTGTGTATGGTCTAATGCGACCTTGAACACAGAGCTAAAGCCACCGTTTACTCGATTTCCGGGTGCTGAGGTCTCAGTGAACGGCAAAGTGGCCTGAGATGGGAAATCGAAGTGATATGGCTGGTGTAGAGTGTTCAGTCCAACTTGGATTAGATTCATCGGTCCACTTCTCGACAATTCGGGTGATGCGAATCGCGCCAGAATGCTAAAACTGTCATACGATCCGTCTCTCAGCTTGTTGACCACGTATTCCAGGAATCCCAGAGTGAGTGGGAATCGGTGCTCATCAAGTTGGCCACCTGTTTGGATGGCGGCGCTGATACGGACAACTCCGCAGTATGAACCGAAGTCAACACCCGCATCTAGAAGCACACGGTCTCTTGTGTGTAGTATTGCTTCCTGTGACTTATCGAAGTGATCCGATGGTTCTCGAACGACGAGTTCGGTGGAGGCTGTGCCGATTCCCTCAACGACAACTGAGACCACGGGATTTTTGTGTAGAAGCTTGTCCTTGTTGTATTCTAGACCGATGCGTGCCCTTTCGTCAAGAGATGAGGTGGTTGTAGCCAGCGTTGATCTGGTCGGATTCGCAGTTGACGACTCTCCGGTTTGCTCATGCCAACTGCTCGCCGATGTCTCGAGCGTTGGCGAAGGGCGACTGAAGGCTGTAGCGTAAGAACACTCTGGCATCGGAGGCTCCTTGATATTGTCTGATTCCGGACCAGAGAGATCAAAATCTCTGAATGAGCTTGCACAGTCACCTTCGCTGGCAATTGCGCTGTTGGAAGAGACGGACATGATGGAGGCAGTCCCACCGCTATTGGACCCATTCTCATCTTCGAGTACAGTGCTCACTTCCCGGATCCAGGAAGATTCGAATGCGCGACGGTAAACTTTGGACTCTAACAACACAGAGTCGAAAGAGAACTTGGTGAATTCATCCTCTCTGCAGAGCTTGGACGAAGAAATGGTCAACTTGGCGGACATGGATGATGCTGTCTCAAACACTTCTCTGCTAGATTCTTTCTCCAGCACCGTTGTCCTCTCATCATTTGAGTGTCTGTTCATCAGTGGCTTAGCTCGAGATGTCTCCCATCGGCGGTCGGCGGAAGGGTTCGGCCTACAGTTGAGCAACTTGGAGTAATAGCATTAATGCTTGCGTTTGTACTACCAAAGTGGCACCCCATTCTCTGACTTGGGCTGATTTACGCAGATGCCTTAATTTTGCCCTGCTCTTTGATGTTTCAGCGTCCGTCCTGACCGAATGGACATGATCTTGTATTTGCCCGGCGATGGTATCGACTGCGGATATTGAGTCACTGAGGTGTGACTCGAATGAGGACGGGAAGGTCTGAGGCCGCTGATTATAGATAGAACATATCTCTCTAATCGCCAGATCGATGGTGCTGGTCTGCTGAGAAATGCTGTCGATATGGTCAAGGGCACCGCTAAATTCCATTTGCAAGTGCCGACAGCCCATGCCAACTTTAGTCGTGATCTCTGCCACGCTCAGCGCGCTGGCGATGAGCCCAAACATCGTAATTGGGTCCATATTGGGAGATAGACACCCGTCGAGGACCCAACGCCGGATGGTGTGTCGGCTATGTCAATGTTGAAAGAATGGAAGCAGCCAGACTTGGGACAGCATGAAGATCAAAGCTCTGGACCGTGCTCGCGCTGGCAGGTGGGCAGCAACAGGATTCGACGGCGATCTCTTTGCTGCGCCCACCTGCAGGTCTAAACAAGGCAGATTCGATGCAGTATCAGCTGCATGACACCAATCGGGAGGTTTGAAGGGTGGGACGAGCCTGTGGCGCAGCGTCATCTTTCAACCACTCTGGGCATGTGAGTGGCTGAACACAAACATGTAGAACGCTGTTGAGGCCTCGGGAATGCAGTTGTACCTCAATGTGAACGATCATATTATTCATCATATACATATTCTTACTACCTTATTTTTGGCCCAACCTGTCTTGAGATTTTCTCTGCCCTCAAACAAAACCACGAGGGCCGCGAATAGATACGGCCGGCCATGGCTGGATGCCCTCGGCAGGTTAGGCGAAAGGTAGCAGCGAGACGAATATCAAGAGTCCAGTTATAACCAACTCAGCCCTGACAGGATGAGGAGATCTAATATGAGTTTGCGAGGCCCTTATAGCCGAATGCAATATTACCTTGAAGTCGAGTGGGGACAAATATATATGGGCCACGGTGTCACACGAGCAAGCCACCGTGATTACATGTCCTTCCTGTGCGCTTACCCCGCGTTTTCCCGGTCAACTTGCCCGGCGGAATCGCTACAACGACGGTCTTCCCAGGGACTCGACAGGCTGATTACCACCATGGCAACGTGTTTGTTCAATCTCCCTCTCGAGTTGCGAGAGAAAATATACTCGGAGCTCCTTGTTGTCCCAGGACCTATAGTTTTTGAACCAGACGACGGTAACCCCTGCCCACCTGTAGGGTCCCAAAGACGCGGGCTCTATCCTGCAATCCTTCGCGTTAACAAGAAGGCTTACCGCGAAGCCAGCCGACTGTTCTACTCGAAAAATCGCTTCGAAGTCCCCAACGTCATAGGGTCTCCTGGATTCCCTGAAATCGCTTCAGTCGCCTTGTTCCTCAGTCAGATCGGTTGCCAAGCAAGTCTCATTCGCTACATCTGTATCGATTTCCCTCGCTGGGACTTTGATGATCAGCCTGAAGGAGGAAGCTTCCACCCAGGCGACATTCGGAACCTCGAGCTTGTTCGGGCCAGTTGCCAAAATATCAGGGTTCTTGAATTATCACTGGACACTGGGCAAAACTCGATTCTCGACGAACCAGTAACACCAGAGACACTCGATTCGATCGATGTGGCAACCAGAGATGTTCTATCACCGAAAGAGATTGTGGTCCGTATCCAGGTCTATGGTGAAGATGATATATGTGACAGTGTGACGAGGATGCGCAGTTATGGATGGACGGTCGAGGTCACCAAACGAGAACCTGTGAAGGAAACTTGGGAATACGATGAGCACGGAATCGAATTTGACAATGGAGATGACTACTGGGATTACGTGAACATGATAGAGAAGGAACGAGAAGAAAAGGAATGGCTGGAGGATTATTGGGAAAAGAGAAACGACCCCTGGCGCAAAAATGATTCGGATTATGATTGAAAGGTGAGCCCATAACACTCGCTTACACCCACGGGTTTAAACAGCTCACGAGAAGTAGCCGCCATCAATATAAGGATTTTGACATCAGCAGATGAGGTGGGAAGCTGGATTGCACCCTGATGCTAAGAAGTGCAAAGATGTGCAAAGCTATACGCTTGTCTGACAGGGCATTCAACTCGCCATGTATTGCCGGAAAAGTTTGTGGACTTATATATCCGTCTTGGATCACAAAGTACTGCAGCTCTGCACCTGTGCTGAAAGTCGCTTGTAGAGTCTCTCCTGCCTCTGAAGTACTCTGCTTACAGAACGCCTGTGTAAGTAGGTTGCGTAGAAGTATCATGCAATATGTATTGGTACTCGCTATGCTATGTCAAGCCCCTGTCCTGTCCTCTGGCCTACCGGATGCCAATGCGTCTATGACAATCTCCACGCTATGCCGATGCTTCAATGCCGTACTTGGCGACTAATATAAACAACCAAAGGGACACTCTGAGGGCAGATTTCCTTCATCTACGGCATGAAAGTATCATGTCGGGACACAGTCAATTCTCAAACCCCCTTCTCAACATCCGCATCCACAGCCACCGCAGTAGTCCCCCCATCCGCAGCCGTCGGCACTGCCCCAGCCGCTCCACCATCCACCCCGCCGCCAACAACCGCCTCAGGAGTGACCACAACTGCCGCCCCCTGTTGCCCCTGCTGGTTCTGGAGGTTCTTAGCCGCGACCCTGGCGCGCTTCCTGTCGTTCTTGGCCTGCTCGTCGCGCATCTGCCTGATGACGGGGCTCTTGGCTCGTATCCGCTCGCCGCGCCGGTAGAAGATCCAGGGGATGGGGATGAGGGCGACCTCGAGCAGGCCGAGGAAGGTCCCCGCCCAGCGCGGGGTCATGACCTCGTACATGCGGGCGCCGGCCAGGGGGAGGGTGGCGCCGAAGATGCTGCGCATAACAGCATTACCCGCGAGGGCGGAGGCGGCGAAGTAGCCGTAGGCGCCTGCGAGGTAGTTGGAGCCGTAGATGAAGCAGAGGGTGTTCTGTTTGCGGTTGTCAGCACGATATATCCACCATTACAAGGCTGGAAGTCCTGCTTGGAGCCAGGGAAATTAGGGACTTACTCCACATCCAAAGGGTATGCCAAAGGCGATGGGGATGGCATAGTGGATGGTCGTCGGGACGCAGGTCCAGGAGAACACCAGCTGGCCAATCGGGGTCAGGACCGCGCCGATACACATGATGCTTGCGGACGCCTCGGGGGGCACGCGGCCCGTCTCCGGGTCCTTGTCGTGCGAGTTGATGATCTTCCGCCAGAGCGGCTCGAGGAATATCGCGATGAGCGTCCCGATCCCGATGCCGATGAAGGACAGGCCTGTCTGCCCAGGGCCCCAGCCTCGCTGCTGCTGGAACACGATGGGGTATGCCACGAAACACTTTTGGAGGATGGTCAGCTTTCGCACACTCGGGTTGCATGTCAGGATGTGACGTGGGACGAGGCTTACCAGATACAGGATCCCGTATATGACACTAATCCTGTCGGAAAGTCAGCACATTTGGGGGTAAGACCTAAGGAACAGACACACAAGACACAAATGGACCACCTACCACAGGTTGAAGAACCACAGTATCGGCTCCGTGAAACTCAGCACGAAAGGCCGGCTCAGGTTGACCTTCATCAGCGCGGCCGTCGACTTCTTAGAGTCGTACTGGCACCAGTACCTCTCGTCCCCCTCCTCCCTCCTGCGCTTCGCGGCCTTCTGCTTCAGGATCTGCGGCACGTACGTCTCCTGCACGGTGGCCATGGTGAGCACCGCCGCCCCCGCGAGGATCAGCACGATCCAGTTGTCCCACCGCCAGCCCAGGTACTGCGCGACGTAGCCCCCGATCAGCGGGCCCGTGACCGGCCCGTTCAGGGGGGCGATGCTCCACCAGGACATGTACCGGGCGCGGTTCTCCTCGGTCGAGATGTCGGCGATGGTCCCCGCGCCGTTGCAGATCATGACAGCACCAAAGACGGCCCCGAAGAACCTCACCACGATGATCTCGGCCAGCGACGTCGCCAGCGCGCACGGCAGCACCAGCAGCGCCGACACGGCCATGCACACCAGGTAGACCGGCCGCCGCCCAAACAGCTCGCTCATCGGCGCCACCACCAGGCTCCCGCACGCCAGCCCCAGCAGGTACGTCGTCACGCCCAGGGTCACGACGGTGGCGTCGCGCTCCCCGAACTCGGACATCAGCCCGGGCAGCGTCGCCGTGTACGACGTCGAGTAGAGCACCACCACCCACGTCGAGAAGCTCACCGCGAAGATCACCCACCCCTGGTACCAGGCGGACCACTCGCGCGGGTTGAGCGGGTCCCTGCGGTCGGCGTCGAAGGACACCTCCAAGTCCGGCGGGCGCGACCACGCGCTCGTGCCGGTGGCGTTGGTCGCGCCGCTCCGCACGCGCGACACGTGCTCCTGGTAGTCTGCGTCGTGGTCCGGCCGGGACAGGGCGTTCTCCAGCGGCGAGAGGGGGTCGGTGTTGTTGGTGTAGAGGGACGACCTATCACCGTCGTCGTCGTCGTGGGCGTTGGCGGCGGCTGCTCTCGACACGCGAGAGCCGGACCGTCTGCCCGTTGCGCGGCTCCGGGACCGGGACCGGGACCGGGACCGGGACCGGGACCGGCGAGACGCCGGCGTCCTTGTTTCCATGGGCGGTGCGGCGATCTCCAGTGAGTCCTTCTCGTCCAGGGTCGATGAGTTCTCGGTGTAGTCGTGGTCCTGGGAAGCCTCCTCGCCCCGTCCATCCTGTCCTGGTGTCTTCGCCGTTGCGAAGTCGCGGGCCTCCATTGTGTGCGCAGGAGCTCGGCCCGGTGGTCAGCTCGGCCGATCGCGGCCACACGGCACGGGTGCCGAGGAGGGTTGGGAGAGAGAGGGAGTAAGTGAATTTGCGGAGGGGGTTATTGTTATCCTAGAGCTGATGGGAAACAAAACTCAGAGAATAATGGTGTTAATTGATATACCTATCACAGATACACGAAGGCGGGCCTGTCGCTGTGGGCCTGTCGAGCATGGGAGCAGCCGGCTGTGAAGAATTATGACCATGTGGGAGATGCCGGTGAATCCGTGAGTGGTGATTCCAAACACGGCTCAGGGTGTACAACGGACTATTCACCTTTGGAGGGTACAATGGTATTAGAGGTGTGGCAACGTGACAGAAGCAGCTCCCCGGCATTGACTAAGAAGAGTCAGAAGGAAGGAAGGGTGTGATAAGCACCATCGATTTTTTTTCTTTTCTTTTTCCTTCTTTTTTCTTCCCTCGCTGGCCTCTCCTCGGCCAGTCTCGCCCAGCAGGCGCAAACGCGCATGGACGGGAGACGGCAAGTGGACCCCGGAGATAACCACAGCGCGCGCAAGCGGAATCGAGGCACTCAGCAGCAGCTGCTGTGACCGCTGCTATGCCGCTGCCGCAACGGAGGGGCGACGGCTCCATTTGCAACCGCCGCCCTTCTCCCTCCCATGACTCCTGGGGCTCCTGGTTGGCAGGAAACGGGCAGTTGGTTGGCTGCGGGTGGATGCTGATCTCTGCGGGCCCCCTCGCCCCCTTCTGTGGGCATATCCCGCATCCCGCACCACCACGCATCCCGCACGCGGGCCCCTGTCCTCGTGGCAGAGGACAGGAAAGCCGAGGGCGTTAGCGTAGATGTCGTGGGTTATGAGGAGGGCACCCGAGAGAAGATGGGTCTGGGGATACCCCGCAAGAGCGTTCACTCTGCCCAGAGGGTGATTCCTTCTCACTTTTCACGCCATTTTAGGGTGTCGTTGGCAAAGGGGCACCGCACCGGTGTGGCACCATGGACCCGAGGCCAGGCTTGGCATCGCTTCTTCTTGGGGCTGGTCTTGCGGCACAAGCCGAGCCGAGTCTGTTCTGGTCCCCTTGCATGTGTGACAAGGGCACTCAGGGCTCAGCCCGAGTCATCCTTGTTGGATTCCGACCTGTTCGACGGCCCTTGCACCTCGAGTGCAGAGGGCATGTTGTCGAATTAGACACCCAGCGCACATGGCAAACCAAGATCAAAAAGTCAATCGGCGGGGTTACTACGGGATGCATGGGGTTGCGCAAACTTGGAGTTGCTTGCATGGAGCTTCCACCGTTCCGGGCCACTCAAGTCCGGGGTTGGTGGGCAATGAGAGCTGGTCCCGGACAAGCCAGACAGACAATAGCGCCAAGTCGAGACAACCTTGACCATGACTGCCGATCCCCTCCCTCGGCCCTTCGCGCTTTCGGCCCTGGCGGCGAGGGCCTTGGCAGCATGTTTAATTCTCCTTGAATGGCCGGGCGTGACCACCTTGTCCAGCTTGTGCGACTGCTGTTGGTGGTGTGCCGGCCACACATCCGCTCAAGGTCCCACTGATTCTGCCGGTCGCCGGCGCCGTTGCCCCTGCCGGCCTCGTATCACCGAATGCAACGCGCCGGAATGTTGAACCGTGGTCACTATCGGTAGGGAATGCTGTGGTCCGGAGGAAGGGGGAAAAAAAAGAAGAGAATATCACTCAGTAGAATTGTTGTTGTGGCATTCCAAAGCCAAACCAAAAACAGACACGGACACAGTCAACTTAGCAGTGTCGTCGTGTTCCCAACCGCCCCCAACGCCGCGTCTATATCACAGTCACAAAGATTCACATCAACATCACCGCCCGCCCACGATGATGACGACGACGACACCACCAGGCCCCCGCCCATGTATTGCTGGTGCCGGTACGGCACGCCGTGCATGTACTCCGAGGCGGACAGGCCCAGCAGGAAGCCGGCCAGGAGCAGGGTCGCCGCCGACAGCGCCGTGAGGAAGAACTGGCCGCGCATGAAGGCCCGCTCGTCGACCCAGGTGCGCCGGAACCGCAGCCTGCCCACCCGCATGTAGAAGAGCTCCGTCGTTACGTGCTCGCCCTCCCTGGGCATCTTCATCTCCGGGCTCGCGCGGTCCGAGTACTTGTCCTCGACCCTGTTTTGTTTGGATTACATTTCTCAGTTATTGATTTCTTTTCAATGACACGGTCCAGTCAGCCCACATCTACTTCACACTCACCCCGAAACCTCAACCCGACGCTGGGGGGGGGGGGGGACAAATGGTGGTAGGGGATAAAAACTTACACCAGGCTCAGGCACAGATCCCCCTTCAGCTGCGCCTTCAACTCCAAATTCACGTCCAGGTTCAGGTCGATCTTGAGCTTGGGCGTCTTGCCGTCCCCAGTCGTCGCCGGCTTCGGTATCATCGGCCCGATCCCGGACGACCCGCCGTCCAGCCCGAGCAGCGAGTGGGCGCCGCCGGGGCCGTTGGCCTTGGCCAGGGCGTTCTTGTTGCGCCGCCGCCGCCGCCGCCCGCTGCTGCTCGTCGTCGAGTGCGTCGAGTGGCCCGACACCGACACCGTGTCGCCCTCCTCCTTGAGCTGCTTCTGCAGGTGGTCCATGAGCTGGTTGGCCGTCGAGCTGGGCCCGCCTGGTGATGGTTTCGGGATCGTGCCTCTTGAGTTTGGCGGGCTGGGGGGATGGTCTGGGCCGGACATTGCGTGTGTTTTTGTGGAGAGTGTGTTGTTTATGCGATGGGGCGCTGGTTGGCGACGAGTGTATGTCGTGGCCCTTGGACAGCGTCTGCGTTCGTGCACGCGTCTGGGTCTTGACTCGACGGGTTTGACCTATTTGTTGTTTGGTTGGGTCTCCTACGAGTCGACGCAGAGGCAAATTCCCGTGCTGCAGGACTCTTGTTGTACGAGAGAGAATATTTGGACGAAGCCTCGAGCTGAGCTTATGCCTCCAGGGCACAAGTATTATCTACTGCAACCTTGATGTCCCCAAGGTGGCGATGGTCTTGACCAGGGGGGCAGAGCTCTTCAGCCCGCGGATTCTCTGACAAGAGACTGTCAGAGCCGGGGTGCTAGTGAACGAAACAAAAGCAGATCCCCAGCGGACGTGCCCGCGCTGCATCTTGACAGCAGTCTCGCCCAACACGGGGCGGGGTGGCGAGCTCGTGCATCGTGCAATGTGCTGGGGTCCTGCGACAGAGGGCGGGTGGTTGTGGCATGATGCGGCTCGTTTCTGAAACGTGGGCTCGGGTGCCCAGTCCCCAGCTGTGGTTTCGAGACCCGAGTCGCGCCTGCAGCGTGCAGCATGCAGCAGGGTGCCGTCCGCCAAATGTCGACTGCGGGAAGAGCCGCCCACCCCTGCACTTTACTGTGTATGTGCATCTTTTAGTCTAATCCATGGTTGCTCAAAATCTAGACCGTGTACCTCCTTGTGATGCCTCCCATTGCGTGACCAAACAGTTGAATTGGGCTGCTCGAGACGAGTACGGGAGGACAGGGCTCCACTTCCCCTTTCACGGCCGACACGGGCCACGAGCAGGTCACACGCTCAAGGTGCCTCAACCTCCACAGTCCGAAGGCTTAAGGTTTCCTACCATCTTCAATCTGACTCGGTTGCGACCAGTGCATGCTGCTGACAGGTCAGCGTCGAGCTTCCCCTGTTTCCTGCGGGGGAGGCATGGAATCTCTGTCTTTCTCCTCGATGTCAGATGAAACGTCCAGGCTTGTTGGGACCAGGGGAGCTACCTACCACCCTTGCCCTGCTTCTGGATGCTGGCCTGGCTGGAGGTTCCTGAGGGACAGTTCACTAATTGAATTCATGGGCTGGGGACTTTGGTACTGGTGTGCGAGCCAGCGGAGCCCAGGGTGGTAGAAACTCTCCCAGTTCGGTGGACTTGATCTACAACTGGGGTCGGTATCGGTTGTCCTTCATGGGATGAACCTTATTATGGCTCATTGGTCCCTATGAATTTCCAGTCTTCTCGTGCGTTTGTCAGGGAGCAATCATGGAAAACTAGACGCCTTGCAGATCAGGCACAGCAGAAGCGGCTTCACGCTGACCGCCGTCACCATAGTGCGGCATTGCTGTCCAATAAGAGTCATCTCATGTAGCTAACGAGGTACCTGAATTGACAATAGCTTAGTTATCGCGCTCGATTTCAATTTTTTCGCCGAAGCATCGAGCAGTGTGACGGAAGAGACATTTTCTCAGCCTCGTGTAAGTGCTAAGCCGTTCACAAGGCTGCATGGATTCTGTGCATATGCGTCTAGTGCAGGCTATTTACGCTCATCGACGGACCATCAGGTGTTATGCATTGCGAGAAGGTACTTTTCAAGCACAATCTTCAGGCCCGGGCCTTTCCTTGGAAAAATGGAACTACGTCTGGTGTCTGTCTCTCGATGACCAACAACGACAATTTGCTGTCCACTCCTCGCTAATGGTAAGTGTGTCTTGTTTGTGAGCGTTTGGAGCAGTTCCCTCGTTACCGGAGAACAGACACAGGCTCTTGTTCTGCGCACCGCAGGCCATCCGTATCACAGACATCCAGTTGCGGCTGCTGGTGATGAGAGCTGAGGCAGCCATGGTGCACAAATCTCGTTGTACGACTTTGCATCTCGGCCTCGACTTCGTACAACAATCTCCCATTAAGCGAAGTCTCGGACTGGAGAGCTGACAGGATACGAAGTTGTTAAAAAAATCCCTGAAACATTCTTCCGTTTTGCAATTAATTTCCACGGCACATCACGCGTGAACGTTACAGCACGTGAGCGGACCGCAGGAAACGTGAAAAAGAATGCCTTGATGGCGCAGAACTGCAACACCAATGGTGTTGAATATTACCTAGAGAGGCAGCTGTCATCACTTTTTGGCGTCAATTACGTCTATCAAAACTTGTGGCCAAGCCGGGACCTCCGATGTACATTTTTATCTGGCAACCATCATCATGCAGCGGACCCTTACCCTACCTATGCTCATTGCCCGAATGGTGAAACCCATACACTCTTCCATGTTTACGTTGACCGCGTCCATTTGAGAATGATATGCAGCCGGCTGATTGGAAGATTGTGTTCAACTCTCTGCACCATGACAGTTGCTCCAGCTGTCAACCTTGTTCTCGTTCGTTTTCAACTGATTACACAACCGACCTGCATACACAACCAGTCCACAAGTCATTGATTAACACTATTAAGGTCTTAATATGGTTTTTGATAGTAGCAGTTCAAGAGATAAATATAGAAATATAATGATAGGAGGGGACTGGATGCATACTGCTTAAGAAGCATATGTGTACAGATTAAAAACGAGACCACACACATAATGATAGGAGAGTGTTGAAATAAGCCGGGTGAGTTTTGTCCAATTTACACAATATCTTAGGATATTGATAACATCAAGCAAAAGAAGACAAAACTTACTTGGTAGGAGCTCCCAAAATATTGGAAACGAATGTAGACTGCTTTACATAGAGTACGGATGAGTGATTGTACCCATGTGACTCTTATTTGAAAAGCCGGGTATTGAGCTTCTTGAGCAGATCAGATGCTTGTACAGCCTCAACCCAAGCAAACAATGCACACTTGCATGCCGACATAGTCACCGATATTTTTTCTTAATCGAGATGGAGTCAAAAGAGTACTCAAAAAGTTGATCCATAGCTTGCCTTCTCCGTGCAATCAGATGTGAATCATTATTACTCTCACCCAGCACACCTGGTCTGGCCTGCGGGCTCTTCAGCAAGTGAAGGCCTGGGCCAGTGAAATGGGCAGGTCGACTACTAGAAATCCGGTCACTCACTATTTGCAGATTTCAAACAGACTCTTGTGAATGGATTCGACCCCGCGTCCCTGAGCTTCTGTTGTTGTCCAGCAAGCCCACTCTGGCTTTCGTCCCTTCTGTCACCTAACCTTTCCAACCCATGATGACTCCCTCGCAATCTTCCTTTGCTCTTCGTTTCCAAGAGTCCTCGTGAAAGACCTTTGAAGTCTCCATTCGTGACATTCTGATATTGACGAAGACACATCGCTCATCGACAAGCAGCCATGGCCACCACCAGGTCGGCGAGCAAGGGCTCGCAAGTAGATACCCCCGAGAAGCACGCGACCGCCAGCGGACACGTTGAGAAGCCAAAGAAAGCCACCAAAGCCAAGAAGAAGCCAAGTGCCCCCATGAAAGCTGAGGACCTGATGTTCGAGGCCGAGCTTATGAAGCAGGTTGGTCTTGGAGAGGTAAGTCTGCACGAGTGTCGGCGCCGACTTCAAAGCCAGTCACGGTCGAGACTGACGTTGTTTGACTTGTAAACATCTAGGGCCTCTTCTCGAAGCGCGCCAATCCTCCCTGGATTCAGTACACTGGTCCATGTCTCATGGGTCTGCCTGTCCACATTCGCTACAAGATCATCAATTACATCTTGCCCATCAACCAGCAGTATCAACCACAGAACAGCGTGGTGCGTTCGATCGATTACCAGGGCTTTCAGGGCCCATTCTTCCATTGCACGTACATCCATCCCATCCTGTGGACTTGTCGCCAGATGCGCTACGAGTATGGCCAGCTCTTCTGTATGTACTAGCACACCTCGCCTCCCTGTGCCAACTCCAATGTATCCATCCCTCTTCCCGCGCGCCACTACGCGTCAGGTTCGCTCGCAGGAAAAGCTGACAAAACGCGCCACGCCCCATCACAGTGACCAACAACCACTTCATGTGGTTCGTGCCCCGCGACTGGGACTCGACCCAGATCACCCGCTTCACGCAGCACGCGGCCTCGGTCGGCGCCCCCAACTTCGCGCTGTTCATGGACCTGTCCACCCGACACGACGGGCCCGGCTACAAGTGCTACCCGCACGAGCCCCTGGCCGGGGGCTGCCGGGGCAACCTCGACCGCTGGATGAAGGCGGTGTACTACGGCGTCGAGACCCGCGTCCTGGTCAACGAGTACCCGCTCCGCCGGGACGACGGCATGCTTGCCCACTTCCTCCACCAGGCCCAGCAGGTAAGCATACATCCACAAACGAAATCCCTCGTATTTTCCAAAAACAACTCTCTTCCCACTTTTCCTCAGATGTTTAGTGGCTTACGCGGCGCAATGTAGTACCGGCAGCAGGGAAAGAGCTGGGACCAGCTTCTGGAGAGCCTCAAGGAGGCGTGGGAGGCCTTCATGGAGCGGCGGGACCTGGCTGAGCTGAACCTGGGCAAGGGCGTCAGTGCCATGACTGCCTTGTACAAGGCGAGCAACGAGAGGCTGGAGAAAGTCCGTGCTGTGTCTTTGGGCACGGGCAGGGTCTCTTGAATGGGATCAGAACGACATTGAGCAGGGCGGCATTGATCAAAACGGTACGGAGCGGAATGATATGGGCGCCGCTTGACAAGGGGGTAAAAAAAAAAGGAGATTGCGGGAGGCTAGATGAGTCTCCCCATACATATTTCCAGGAGCAGCATGGCGCATGCTGTTGTAATTGTACGTAGAGTTTACATTGCCGCAGGGCATCACCTGGGCTCGTCTCAACTACGGAGGAGACAAGCCAGATCATCAATGGACACCAGAGACTTGTCGAGATAATTCCATGAACCTTAATTCGAAATCTGTGTGATGTAGATAAGTCCACGAACCTCTTCGAACCCAGCAGATATTATTCAACAGGCATAGTCCTCCTCTCATCTTAGGCTTGCCTCGAAGCCATCTCTTCTGGCAGCGACTGACTGACTGGCAGGCTGGCAGGCTGGCAGGCAGGCAGGCAGGATCTGACACCCAGTCAAAGAAAACCTGATCAAATCCCATCAGCCCTAGCAACGGGTCACACCGGCTCCTATTTATCCCAGCCGCCACGACCTCGCCTACGCGTACATGCACGTAACTCCACAACAGCCACAACCCGCCTCTGCCGCCACCAGGGGACCAAAACTCCGGCGGCAAGGCCTCGGGCCCGGTCACACACGCCCAGAGCAATCTACCTGATCCCAGAGTGCGGGACGGGGTGCGACGCTGGGCTGGGCTGGGCGATCACCCCCCGACGGCCCTCCCTCCCGATGACGCGGCCGGCCTTGCATGAGATGCCCAAGTCCGCGCGGTGAGGGTGGGTACGCAGGTCAAATCATATGATGACGGGGCTCAGATATGATGCACGACTCTGGACCGCATGAACTTTTCCGCCTAGAAAACAAAAGAACGTCGGATGGGAGGCGGTGTCCTTGATTCCAAGGATGCGGTCGAAACGTCGAGAAGGGCAGCCAGCGACGGCCCCTCCCCACATGTCATGCACAACATAGTCCACACGCTCGTGCCCTTGCCCATGCGATGCGGCCGGAGGGACAGGAATGTTCCCAGTCACGATCGCATGGCAGGCGCGCGAAAGAATGTTCAAAGAAGGAAAAAAAAAAAAAAAAAGGAAAAAAAAAAAAAAAATCGGAAGCCCCGATACTGCCGCATCAAGCGCCGCGGCCCCAGGACCCTTCCCACGGGCCGGCCAAGACCCGGTCACAGGGCCATCGTCCGGGCCCTCGCACCGCCCCAGAATCCGAGGCACGTAGCCTACCTGTATTGTATGTAACATACTGTAAACAAGGCCCTTTGTTCTTTTCGTCATTCAAGGTTTACTGTGTAGGCTTGAGACCAGGCGCACCACCCCCACAACTTCTGGCCCTGGGCAAGCCCGCCTGCCGCCCCGGGGATTCATCAGTGGGAGGAGGGGAGTGGGCGGTGCAGGTCGATCACCGCATGAAAAGAGGGTGGTGGAGCCCTGCCGGTCCCCACGGGTTGATGCCGATCATTCGGGGGCGACACCTTGCCTGCTTGCCTGCTCGAGAAAACCACACCCCGCTTCCGCTGCGACTGTGGACGGGCATAAGACGCGGGTGGTCGGTTCGTCCTGCCAGGGTTGCCAGGGGCAGAGCTCATTCCCGGAGAAAAAATTCCTGCATGGTCAGTTAATCTGTAGGGTACGCTATTGTGCGATCATATATCAGATTTCGAAGGGGAGTGGGGGAAGTGGGAGCGAGGGGCGGATTTGTTGGATCGACCATGGTAGGTGTGCGGGTTATGGTTCGTGAACGAGCAGCCCGGTTTGGTTCGCATGCGCCGTTGCGATATTGGCCACTGCCCTTTCCCCAAACCTTCTGTCAGTTCCTCCTGCCTGCAGTTCTCCCCTGATCGCCGTTGCGAAAAGTGATCGACCAATCGCCTTGGGGCGGCGGCAGAAGGGGGACGTGCCAAGCATCGGTCATGAATGATTGAGAGACCCTGAAACCTGGATCTGGAGTGGGGACAAAGTGGGACAGCTGACGGGGCCGTAAATTAAGATTGTTTGTGTCCATCCTCTTTTTTCTGCTTTGGAAAAGTCGCGTTGCGGGAGCGGGAAAAAAAGCAAAGTTGGCGCAGGTGCCAGCTGCCAGCTGTCAGATGGGCAACGGCCGGAAAAGGAAGTCAATGGGCGCGCGCGGTGCCTTGCTCGAGCCTTGGTGAGAAATGCTTGGGAGGCGGCGCTGTATTCTGCGTGGAAGGACAGGCTCGCCTCTTTGGATGACAAGAGAGACAGTGTCAGTGCTTCACATACTGTCACTTGTTCTGCATCGGTAGATCTGTGTTTCGAGTCTGTGCTCTCCAGGCCGACATCCCTGTGGGGCTCAAGGTGGTGACGTACTGAGAAGTACTGCACCGTTGTTCTGTCGTGGACAGGATACCGAGGGCCTGCTGCTGTCAGGCTTGGTATGGAAAGCCCGGAAGGACTATCGAAGGGGAGACGTCAGCTTCAGGTCCGTGGGTGCCGAGGCAACGTCGCATTTCCATCTGTAGCCTCGAGTCTAACGGACCCGACACGAGGTCTATCACGGCGATGGTGGTGATGGTGGTGATAAGTGAAGGTGATGGTGGTGAGATGAAAGAAACACGGCGGCCCCCAGAGGCGTCCACGTGCGCAACACAAGCGTTTCTGGCACTTTCCCCTTGCAGCTAGCCACCTGATAGCACGGCTCCCAACCCCTGACTAAAACATGCGCGGTTGCGTCTTGGGATTTCTTGGGTGTAGCAGATCTCTATTTTTAACAAGGGCTCGCTTCCGGGCGGTCCTAGCAACAGTGCATGTTTGCACCAGGGGAATTTGTGGCGGCCGCCACGGCTCGCCATGTTTGCTTGCTCACATCCACTTCACAGACGCCAAACGGCCCTGCGGCCCTGTCTCGGCATGCCGAGGCTGTTCATTGTCCAGCACACATAAGCTCGGATTCAACGGACTTGCCGCCGCGGGTTGCCACTGGTGTGAGGTTATTCCCGGTCCTCGACAACGATAGTCCCGGGCGTTGTCCCACGGCCGTGTATGCTAAGCAATATTTCTTCCGAGGAGCCGAGATGAACCTGGCTCACTCGTCCAGCGCACTATTTGCCAGTGCGTCAGCCTCACGATTCTCCCCTCTCGGCACGTGCCAGAACTGGAACTGCAGACCGCCGTCGTCGCCATAGGTCATCTCGTCTATTGCGCCGTGGATATCCTTGAGTTTCTCCAAGTGAGCCACCGGTTGCCCGTTCGGGCGCAATCCATCGTCCTCAATCCATCCCTCGACCCACATGGACATGGCCTGGCAGAGATACTCCGAGTCGGAGCGGATCTTGATCTCCTGCAGGGTCAAATCGCCATGGCTGATACCCCTGATGGCATCGATAGCCTGGGAGAGAGCCTCGATCTCGGCACGAGAGCTCGTCTGTGGGCAAGAGGGGCTGAGCCGACCGCTAGAGTTGAATCGGGAGCCTGGGCCGAAGAAGACACCCCATGACGCGCGAGCCGTCGGTGTCCCGTTGTCACGACAGGCACCGTCGATGGAGACCACCAACGACATCTTGTCGACCTCAATCGCCTGTGTTCTGGGGTGAATCATCTGCAGCTGGCTCACTTTCTTCTCCGCCGAGTACGTGATAAGCTGTGCCTCTGGCACACCGCGATGCATCGGGCTGTAGTCGAGGACGAACAGCCGCTCGATATCTTCACCATTATCGTTGACTGGAGTTCCAGTACCGGAAAGGAAAGCAGGCGGAAAGACACCCTTCATGATGACTGAGCTCGTGACTGATGTCGTAGCCTCGTTAAGAAACGAGATTAAACGCACGGCTCACCGAAGCTTTGCGGAACTGGCGGGCTATTATATTGTGCGCTGACTGTTAACCTGGCTAGGTGAGCAAGCAGAAAGAAACACAAACAGTTGACAAGCGGTTAGCAACGATGCCCAAGCCCCAACACAATCTCACCAGGGGCAAACTCGTGGGAGATCTACTGTGCAACAGTAGAAGGTTCGCAGAAGACCAGTTTGTGCATGGAATGTTCTGCGCGCGCCTGCACTGTATCAGGGTCACAGCAGAGCTACAGTTCGAAGCTTGGAGGGCTGAGGGGCCAAGGCGTAAAACGTAGACCAGAGTGTAAATGAGGCCTGAGGTTGGGCCTTGTTGTTGAACCTTGTTCATGAGATTGAGGGGCTGGCATTACTGCATCGCATCGCAGGGTGGTGCGTGCAGACGAGCAGAGCAGCAGTAGAGTTTACCGAATGCTAGCGGCAGCTGGTGGTTGACCCTCTCGGAGAGTTTCTTCTCAGTCAAACGGCTTTCCAAGGCGCCTGGTCCTGGTCGCGGGCTGCTTGGCCCGCCTGAGCCAGTCAGAGACACATGCCCCTCACCATCTCGATGCTCCCCTGCAGCATCCTCAAACACGCCTGTCTTTGACAGCCACCCCAGCCCAGAGGTGTGTCGAGTCCCAAGGGACACCAAGGCACTACCCAAAGAGAGGCCAACCAAGGTTTCCGAGAAATTGCTGCACCAACGACGGTACGTGGGGGTCCTCACATGTGCACGGTAAGAAGTAGCTTGCAACTCTCGAGATGAAGCTGGGACAGAGGCGGAGACAAAGTTCCAGCTGCAAGACATGAGAATATTGTGGTGCCGGGACGTCACCGGGTCTGTGGAACAAGGTGTCCTCCAATGTTCCAACACCCGATTCCTACATCTTTTGATGGTGTGTGGTCCATGGGCTGCGCCGACGGGGCCAGAGGGCGGCCCGATGTCGACAGCCAGATGTGGCTTTTTCGTTCCATCTGGCCGGGCCTGTCGTCGACTTGGGCTGACCGGAGGAGCAGCGTTCAGCCCATAGCCGAGGTGAAGCAATCAGGTCGCGCTACGTATGCCGTGTGTGTCGCTGTGATGTGATGTGATTGATGGATGGGTGTGGGTGGTCTGGTCTGGTTGTCTGCCATCGATCGTCAGGGCCAGGGGCGAAAGTGCATGTTGCTGCCTGTATCTTCTACAATACAAGAGGCGAGTGAGTGACTCTCCTCTTCGTCCGAACTTGGAGATGGTCAGATGCACTTGGCCCAGCGCCAAACGGAACATTTGATGGGAGGGGGCCCACTCTCAAGCGGTTGCGCCTGCGTGCCCCTGGTCATTGCAGCCAGCACCTGGATGCACTGCAGCGTTGCGGGTTCTGTATCCATTTCCTATGTAGCTTGACTCCCTGACGGCCTGCCACGTCGGTTCTCGAGCATGAAGTTGAAATGAACATGAGGACACCGAGGAAGGGAGAGCCACAGATGCATCCGGCTTATAACCGGACTGCCAGGGAAAAACCAAGGCTGGAAAGGCTGAGCAGGAGAGAGACACGTGTTGCAGAGTCGGAGCACAGAGTCGAGTATTCCTTGCTGGATTATGCCGACCGTTGTGGTGAGGCCGAGGGCGAACCTTGAGGGACCTCGAGGGACCGTGAGGAATATTGGACGGACCTGGCAGCGTCGCTGCAGTGTGCGCCGTACATGTCGACTATACGTATTTGTGTTCTTCTAGCGTGACAACATTCGAGTGCTTTCACCGTGCAGACAGGCAGAAAGACAGAGAAGCGGGCCAGTAGACAGACGATAAGTTGTGCAGATGCGCAAATGTGCAGATGTGTTATCGTGCGGCTTGGGCAGTAATATAATATAGGATGCACCGTACAATATAGCCTCGAAGTGCTCGCAGCAACCCCCCCTCTCCCCCTCCTTCCTGCCACCTCCTCCACCCTCCTTCACAAATACTCTGAAACAGCTCACAATTTTGCACACGAGGCCTGCAACACGCTAGCCCTTCTCAGCCACGCCACCGTCCAATCCCTCCTTCCCGTTCCAGCGCTGCAGAGTTGCAGTTTCCCCAAGCGCATCGGTAGCGGGAAAGAGCAAGCAGCAGCAGCAGGGCCTAGAAGGTGCAGTTGCGGGCGCGGGCGAACCTGTGTGGGTGTGTGGATGCGGGTGGGCAGGCGCAGGTTGCAGGTGCGGGTGCAGGTACAAAGTGCCAGTTTCCAGTTGTGGGCAGAGCCCAGCAGAACTGAGAGGGGCCCAGTGTGACTGCGTGAGTGACGGCCAGCGCAAAGTGAAAGTGAAAGTGGGCTTGTCCACTCATCTCCGTCTGGTGCCTGTGCTTGTGCCTGTGCCTGGCTCCTCCCAAGTCTTTCCCTTCCCACCCTCCGTCAATAACCCTCCATCGCCATCATCGACAGCACCCCCTCCCTATCCCCAGTCTCGCCTGTCACCCATCCCACCCACCCATCACAGTCGCCCTCCAGCCATCCCGCCGCCCATCCTCCACGGCCTTTTCCCAGACTCCATCCACATGCACCTACACACTGCATCCATCGCGCAAGCAATTGACTCGCCTCGCCCTCCCTTCTCTCCCCCTTTTCCCTTGCTCGAAGCGAAGCGAAGCGCAGCAGACCTCAGCAACCCAGAGCAGAGCAGAGCGAACCGACGCCGCACGCCCGCTCACTCTTAATCACCAGCGACAAGCCAAATCCTGCCTGTCGTCTCCACTGCGCCTAATCGAGCAACCATACGCCGACAAACGACATTCGTCCACCCTGCTTGCTACCGTATCCAGATCGGCAAGGCCCTGTTCCTGTTCTGATAACGTCCCGCTTTTCCTCTTTGTTAGGGCGCTCGCTGGTCGACAATCAATCGCGCTGATCATTGAACGCATGCGCCTTTGAGCCCCCAAGAACGACCACCCAAACTACGCATCTCGTTCCGCTTTCACTGCCGTTACCCTTTCTCGACCGCCCGCCCACCTTGGACCTAACATCCTCGAGCCGACTTTTTTTTCGGCTTGACAGTCCGGCGCCTCGTCAACGACCCGATCAAACGCCGTCACACCTGCGATCGGTCGTTCAGTCCCGTTTGATTGCTGTCGTCCCCCGCGATTTCAATTGTCGGCGCGCCCAAAGTCTGAACGAGCAGCGGTGGACGCACGCGCGCACAAACGCACACACGCACACCACCACCTAAACGGCGGCCTACGCAGCGCCCCCCGCCCAGCCGACGACGCTCGACGAAATACACGATCTATTGTCTTTCGAGACATTGTCCAATTTCCGCCACGAGCCGAGTGAAGACGCCTTCCCAGTGCCCTGTAGCATCCTGCTACACACATTCCAGAGGTCTCGGGTGCTTTCACGCCCGGCCCCCTGAAATCGACCTGTCTACACGGCGTCGGGCCCCATCGTGAGCATGTCTGTGATGCTGCAAACTCCTTCCCGGGCCTCAACCGCATCTTCCTCTTCCTACCAGGCCCTCTCCCGCCAGAACACCATGTCTTCATACGATGGCTCACGGTCAGCCCGCCAGTCGAAACGGTACTCCATGTCGGCATTGTACATGTCAATGTCGGCACAGGAAACCGACTTGGAAATAGAAGACGATCTTGCCAAAGGTTTGTCTCCACCCCCCGCCCCTCAAACCGAAGTCCTGAGCGAAGTCCCTTTTCTTACTTTCCGCAGCTCAAAAGATACTTCGGGACCTAAAGTCCAAGATCTCCTCCCAATCCAAGAAGAATTTCGTGCTTGAAAAGGACGTGCGGTACCTCGACTCTCGGATTGCCCTACTGATTCAGAATCGCATGGCTTTGGAGGAGCAGAATGAAGTTGCCAGCCATTTAGAAGACGCGACAGATATTCAGGAGGGTGTCTTTCCAAACGACGACAAGACGCAGAGATATGGTAACCTGATGTTTCTCTTGCAATCGGAGCCCAGACACATTGCGCACCTCTGCCGGCTTGTGTCCATGTCCGAGATCGACTCCCTGCTGCAGACAGTCATGTTCACCATCTATGGAAACCAGTACGAGAGCCGAGAAGAGCATCTGCTGCTCACCATGTTTCAGGTTTGCTTCCCTTGGCATTGGAATTGGGTGCTTGTGCTAACTTGTGCTCCCAGTCTGTTTTGACGTACCAGTTCGACAACACTCCAGAGTACTCGTCCCTGCTTCGCGCCAACACACCAGTTTCGCGGATGATGACAACATACACGAGGAGAGGCCCGGGTCAGAGCTTCTTGAGATCGTCGCTTGCGCACAGGATTAATGGCCTTATCGAGCTGCACGATTTGGATCTGGAGATCAATCCCCTCAAAGTTTACGAGCGCATGTGCGAACAAATCGAGCAGGACACAGGCAGCCTTCCGCCGTCTCTACCAAAGGGCATCACTGCTGAACAGGCCGCGGAAAATGCCCAGGTTCAAGCTATCATCGAGCCGAGACTCACTATGCTTACCGAAATCGCGAATGGCTTTCTGTCGACCATCATCGACGGCCTGGACGAAGCGCCATATGGGATTCGATGGATCTGCAAACAAATCCGCAGCTTGACGAAGCGAAAGTACCCCGATGCCAACGACCAGGTTATTTGCACACTAATCGGAGGATTCTTCTTCCTGCGCTTCATCAACCCCGCCATCGTCACGCCGAAGTCGTACATGCTTATAGATGGAACTCCGGCGGACAAGCCGAGAAGGACATTGACGCTGATCGCAAAAATGCTGCAAAACCTTGCGAACAAGCCGTCTTATGCGAAGGAGCCTTACATGGCCAAGCTGCAGCCGTTTATCCAGTCGAACAAGGAACGGATCAACAAGTTCATGCTTGATCTTTGCGACGTGCAAGACTTCTACGAAAGTCTGGAGATGGACAACTATGTGGCGCTCTCAAAGAAGGATCTGGAGCTGTCTATCACGCTGAACGAGATATATGCCATGCACGGCCTTATCGACAAGCATCGGAATGAAATCTGCAAGGATGAGAACTCGCATCTACACATTATCATGTCCGAGCTTGGCCCTTCTCCCCCACAAGTGCCCAGGAAGGAGAACAGAGCCATCACTTTGCCACTGTTCAGCAGATGGGAGTCCGCCATGGATGACTTGACCGCCGCGCTCGATATCACTCAGGAGGAGATTTACTTCATGGAGGCCAAAAACGTATTCGTACAGATCATGCGATCGATCCCGTCAAATAATTCGGTTCAGCGAAGGCCTCTTCGCCTGGAGCGCATCGCCGATGCAGCAGCGACGTCTCGGAACGACGCGGTTATGGTCCGCAAGGGTATCCGTGCCATGGAACTGCTGAGTCAATTGCAGGAGCTGCGAGTCATAGACAAGTCTGATCAGTTCAGTCTGCTACGAGATGAGGTCGAGCAAGAACTACAGCATCTAGGTTCCCTCAAGGACGCAGTCCTTGTGGAGACTTCCAAGCTTGACGAGGTCTACAAGACGATTCGCGATCACAACACTTATCTGGTCGGCCAGCTGGAGACGTACAAGAGCTATCTGCACAATGTCCGCAGCCAAAGTGAGGGTACTCGACGGAAACAGCAAAAGCAGCAAATTCTCGGTCCCTACAAGTTCACACACCAACAACTGGAGAAAGAAGGGGTCATTCAGAAGAGCAACGTGCCGGACAACAGGCGGGCGAACATATATTTCAACTTCACAAGCCCGCTGCCGGGAACATTCGTCATTTCTCTCCATTACAAGGGCAAGTATAGCAGCTCCAGGGCTGAAGACCATCCGACATCATTAGTGGATCTCTTACTGACACACATCCCAGGGCGTAACCGCGGCCTCTTGGAGCTCGATCTCAAGCTCGACGATCTTCTGGAGATGCAGAAAGACGGACAAGACGAGCTGGACCTCGAGTATGTCCAGTTCAACGTACCGAAAGTTCTCGCCCTTCTGAACAAGCGGTTTGCTCGGAAGAAGGGTTGGTAAATAATGGACTGTCACACGCCATTCGGCGTTGTGTGCATCCTACAGAGTGAGGAGCGTTGGGTCACTCACGGTGGCCTACTTCACATCACATATCTCACGATCAATCATTCTGCCATCTCAACACACAACATCATGTATCGCTAAGGGACTGTCGGCGTTTTGGAGCCGGCGTGCACTTTTATACTCCTTGATACCACCGCCTATACGCAATACCGTCCTTCCAGGTCGCCTGCCTGCACCTTCACCTTGACCACTATATATCCCGACCGACAAATTCCTCACCGTCCTGCACGCCCCCCGCCCCTGGGACGGCACATCAACAGACACAGCCTTTTATCAATATCTAATTCTTTCGGCGTGGCCTTATTCGTGGCGGTTTTTAAACCCACTTGTTTCTGTCTTGCGTTCCATTCGGCACTGTTGTTATCACATTAATGGTGGCTGGCTATGCTTCGGCTGGACCGGCGGCTTTTTGGCTTCGCTACACAGGTGAGGTGGAAGGGGCGTCGTCGTTTTCTGTCCTTTTTGAATGAGCGGCTTCCAGACGGCAAGCATTGGAGTTGATCATTCATTGTCAGTCCTCAATGCCCATCCCCCGGATTCAGTCACCCAATTTCGGGTTTTTGGTCGTTGTTCTGGGCGTAGTGAATATCCCCACAGTAGAATTGGTTCTGTGGTGGAAATCGAGGGATGTCAGGGATCAAAAGGAGAGGCCTTCATTAAGTTGTTACGCTTGCAAGGCATCGAGGATAGTCGACGAGTTTTGGCCAACTTTCTGCTTTTATTATTCACAGGTGGAATCTCGGAAGGGACGTCCCGGGGGGGGGGGGGGTTTCATGGGAGGGACTTTAGGCGAAGAAGGGACAAGGACACGAGAATGATTTTTTTGTTTTGTTTTATCTTCCTCTTGCCGTTTTTCTTTCCCTCCTTTTCTCGGAATGGATGATTTGGCTCACGTTCTTCATGTGTATGCTGCCCATGGTATAGATGAGACAAACATGGAATTGATGCTGCGAAACCCCTTTTGTTGTTTTTGAGTTTTGTTTTTGGAATTAGCAAAAATACCTACTGCTTGCTACTCTTCCCTTCATACCATGGCTCTATTTGACGAGTGAGTGAATGAATTGGATGTGTGCGTAGCTATCTGCCGGTCTGCTTGCCTACCCACTGGTTTCACTGGCTCACAGGGTTTTCCTTCGTAGCCTGTGCTTGCCGCTTCTTCTCTTGACATCGTAGGTATGTGCTAGGGATGCATGTGCGATCGTGCCTCGGATTGCCTCGGCGGAGACAATTGATCCCAAGGCAATACTTGCGTCTTGTAGTGTCCTTCCTTTCTTCATTCTCCTCGCCTCAGGAGACAGGCTGGCTGGCTGGCTGGCTGGCTTTGCTGCCGCAGGCGGACCAGTATTCATAAAGCCTGCCACTCAATCACCGACTACCAACCACCACCGTCGCAGATCATCTCAGTGTCCCGCAAGATCATCACGTCTTTTGATCTGGAACGCGCCAGTCTTACCCTTGCGAAGCCGTGGTTTGGAGCCACTCAAATGGAGGTCTTTCATTCTTGGCCAGCCATCATGGATGGGGATCAGGGGCTGAGAGATTTTCATCCAGGGAAGAAGGACGGCCGGCCGGGAGGGGGGTGGGGGGCGGTTCTTTCGAGGGATCTCTATCTCGCGAACGAGGAGAGAGCCAAGGCTGTGTATTGATGGAGCAAGGGATTGGGAAGATTCGATGCCATTTTCTCTTAGCATTCCGGGTGCCACCCAGACCACCCACCCAGGAGCTGCATCGGCCGCATGAGAGCTACTTTGCTGTTGATCGCGACGGTGACTGCACGCGAAACAGGCGACTGCTATAGACCGCCGTGCTTAGTTCAACAACTGCCTATCGATACCTATCTTCTGCTTCTCCGCGGTGCTGAGGGGATGCCACTGGCACTAACCCAGCTCGTTACAGAGGCACGGCATATCTGACATGCTTCGATACCTTGTGCCTGACCGTCATGTTTCCCCTTTGCTGCGATGGATGTGTGTCCCCTTGTCCATTGTCCTTGGCCCATCGCAATAGCAACACGATGCTAAATGACGTGCTGTGATTCGCGGTGTCCACCACCGTGCCGAGGGGAGACGATCAGTATTTCCTGATCGGCAGAAGATCTGAAAACACGATTCGAGATGTCATGCTTTGACCAGAACTTCGGTGCCAGATTCGAGTCAAGCGCAACAGCTCCATCTATCGACTGCTCATATGTCCCATGTTGACAAACGTCCTGGTGGCAATGCCATAGGCCGATGCTCGATTAGCACTGCTGGTCGAGTGAACGGTCCTTGGACCGGTTCACAGCAGACTCAGGATAACTCCTCTGGCCACGATCACCAATGACCTCGCCCTTGCGCTGCTGAGCAGCCCGAGCCCATGTCAACCGCCCCATCGCGGAGCAGACTGCTAGTAAACTTTCAAGCACAATTCCTGCCCGTGTTCACCTCCCCTGGAACTTCTCCTTCCACCCACCCTTCTCGAACAGCCAGAGCGCCTCGATGGCATACGACCTGCTTCCCCTGTGTCCCTGACCCTCGGGTACCTCAGCCGCCTCGAGCAGGCTCTCAATGACCTTGGCCTCCTGGGCCGTCCGCCACAAGCCCTTGGCGAGGTCGCCGTCGTCGTCGCCGCCGCCCCACTCGCCCTGGCCCAGCCTGAACAGTATCCTGCCCAGGGTCTGGAAAGCGACACACCGCTGGGCGGGGACGGCGCTCCGCGCGAGGATGCCCAGCTCGCCGATCGTGTAGCCCGCGGCCTCGGGGGCCTGGCCGTGGTGGTGCAGGCCCTTGGTCACGGGGATCGCCCTGCTCGTCGAGGGGGCCAGCAGGCGGCCCTTGAAGTCGAAGCGCAGGGCGGCGATGGACAGCGACGACTGGCCCGGGTAGTAGGGAGACTCCTGGTCGGCGACGGAGCCCGGGGTCGGGATCGGGGCCATCCAGGCCAGCTTCGTGGGGTCGGCGGGCAGGTTGGGGAAGTACTTGGAGTGCAGCGTCTCGAGGAAGTCTGGGTCGGACGGGTCGAGGTCGGGCAGGGGCTTTGGGTGGGGGAAGTGCGTGGTGTTTGCGGCGAAGGTGTCGGCGGATGCGGACGAAGGTGTTGGTTGTGGTGGGGGCTCGGAGCTTGGGTCGAAGAGGTCGGAGGGTGGTTCTGGTGGCGGCGCGTCTTCGTCGAAGCGCACTGTCTTCTTTGGCTTGTTCTCTTTGTGTTCGGGGGCAGTCGTGTCTTCTACCACGATCGCGGGGGCTTCCTCGCGTTTCGGGGGCTCTGTCGTGTTGGCATCTGAGCCTGTGGGCTCGTCAAACGGCGAGGGCCCGCTCGGCTCGTCGAGGTTGGCCCTCCTGAGTAGCATTTGGACTATGCTAGGGTCTAGGCGGTTCAAAAGCTCTTGTCGCTCCTCTTCTATCTGCTCTGGCGACATGGATGCCAGGAGGTCCCTATTTTCCCGGTCGATCGCAGCTTGCTCCATCGTTGAGCCCGGCCGAGCCGGTTGGGGAGTTTGCGCCGGGACTGCCGGGGCCGGCCGTGTCGATGTTGTTGGGGCATCTTGAGGTTCGTGAGCACTGGCGTCGGCGCCCTGGCGTTGCTTCTTGAAAGCTGATACTCTTGTGCGCTTCTTGTGCTCGGGAAAGCCGGTGGTGGTGGACTTTGGCTGGGGGAAGCTGGGCGGCTTAACGGCGCCGACGTCCTTCTCTTTAATGTCGAGGGAGAAGTCCATGGTTTCGGACGACGTGGATGGAGATGAGGATTTGAATCAAGGCCAAAACAAGAGGAAAATCTGTGGCTTGTACCACCTGCAGAACATTTGTCAGCCTGCTGTACGCAGGACGTAGACACATGTAGGTAGGTAGATGGATTAGATAGCCTCGTCGGATCTTTGCTCCAGACTTTTTTTTTTGGAGCTCGCCGACCCCATCCATCTTCCACTGTCACCCCCGCAACTCGCGCCAAGCCACTTCGGGCACCTCCCCTTCCCTCAGCCTAACTTTGTTTGGGGGGTTTAAGGTTTCTCTGAACGTGTCAGTGGGACAGCCGGGACAGGCCACTTGCATTAGCGTCGATCACTCCATTTTCCCTGGTCTCACTGAGAAGCCCTGAGGGAGCATGCACCGCCTACACAGTAACAATCTGAAAAAAAATACCCCAACTGCACCATTGTCTTGTCAGGCCACCGGCTGCCGGCCATGCAGCTGGAGAACCCACGCCTCTGTCCGGCCGTTTCAATCCGACCTGATGACAAGTATAGCCTGAAACCTGCAACTCTTCTCTTGCGTCCACACGTTGAAGGGATTCGCACAGGGACAGAGGCAACAGATGCTGCGGATGTTCAGATTCAGGCAGAGTCTTGAAACTTGAATGTGTGCGAACACGAAGACAGGAGGATGAAGACATTTCCACCGTCACATTCAGCTCAGTGGCACATGTACACCCCCCTACCAATGCATCCTGGACTCCGGAGTCTGAGGGAGGCGATGGTACCAGACCAAGCCAAACCCGCATCTAACCCAGCTCAGACCCCAAATGTCGGTCTGTCACATCTCCGTGCTATCCCATTGCTGTAGAGCTCTGAGATGATCCGCCTGGTTTCTGTTTCAGATCATCAGTCAGTTGTCTCTCCCCGACGGTCAGGGTGGTGCCATGACAATGGCTCCAAATGACTGCAGCAGACGGTACGGAATTGGCGGAGATATTTTCCGCCCAGGGCACAACTTTTGTCGCGAAGTGATTGCATCATGCAATGAGACAGCCTGATGCAAGACGTTCGGATGCAATTAATAAACAAGTCAGTGCAGCCTGAGATGCAGGATCGAATCTGTCGCGTCACACAGCGTGCAACTAAAAAAGAAAAATGCACCTACGAATCGTGCCACGCCCGTGTAACGGTCACGGCTGGCCCGTACTGTCCAGGCCGCCAGAACGGTGCTGGTGCGTTACCTGCACCGCCGATCGGGTTGGTCACAGACTCGGGGTAACTTTGGAGTCAGCCAGTCAGTGCATGTGCCCCCACGGATCTTGGTGAGCGTATGCTTGGCCGTGTATAGTACCGCACACGCACAAAAGCACCAAGACTTTAGTTAGATATCATGCTGCATGCGCAACCGAACGATTCCAGGGACTGGGCGGGGGGGAGGGGGGGCGGAATAGGAGCTGGTGGCCTGTGCAAGAGGCCGAGGTCATTTGAGATTAGGCCCGTGTCTACATATCGTATCTACGTTATTTATCGGGCTCCCCTCAATGGTAGATTATGTCCGTCAGTCAGTCAGCCCCTCCTCCGTCAGGGGTTCAAGATCAGATGGAGTACCTTGTAATCACCTAGGGTTCATTCTGGGCAGGTCCCTAGCTGGGCATACCGGCCGAGACGGGACAGGCTCCTAAGAAATCAAAGGAAGCAAGACAGAGTGAGAGAAAAAAAAATGGATGCGCCTACCGTACTCCTTCCACGCCCCCTGCAGCTACTGCGGTAACTTGGCAGCGCAGGCCTGACGTCGACTGCTGTGTGATGTGCCCTGTATCACCATAGGCACCCAGGCCCAGGCACCGTATGTGGAAGATGTACCACAGTAGGACGGGCAGCTCCACTCTTCGACCACCTGCGTGGTACGGCGCGGACAGGGGTAAGCTGGGCCGGCCGTGGAGGTACGAGGACACATGTACCCAAGTACCGGGGTATCTGCCCGCAGCCCAGATGCAGAGCGCAACTTGAAATGCAAGTGCGCAGGTGCACCCGCAGGCAGGCAAGACAGGTCAGGCAGGCACACACTCAACGCTCCCACTGCGGCACCCGCACCCGCATCCACAAACACGCCCACAGGAACAGGGGTCCTGCCCGGACAGGGATGCTACAGCCGCCTCGATGATTCTTCTTCCGATTGTCGACCTCTGCTTCGGCCGTCATCCAGATCAAACCCAGACCTGGAATGACTGGCTGGCTTGTACCTCGTCTACCACCTGGCAGCAGCAGCACCTAGCCGATTCCGCCCTCCCACCGCCGTGTCGGCACTTGTACACAGTACCTCCCCCTCCTCCCATCTTCTCTCTCTCTTACTGCCTGGCCTGTCTTTGCCGTGAGCACTATTTTGCGCGGATACCCCCTTCCAGATCAGGACACTTCATATACCCCACCCCCAACCCAGGTCACTCCCACTTCCACGCCCCCCTGCCTTTACTACCTTTACCTTTAAGCCACATGCCAGCAATGCTAGCCAGCCCCTAGTCTAGTTGGCTCCCGTTCCCGTCGAAGTTTCTCAATCATGTGCCCATGCCTCCTGCCATCACCCTGCCTCCCTGCCTCCCTGCCTCCCTGCCACGGCCATGACCACCACCTACCCACGGGCTAGGGTAGCCCTCGTGTCTCCTTGTCCTGTCGGAGGCTGGATCTGGCATCTGCTTGGACTGTGCTGAGGGCGGTTGCCGGCTGGCAATGCAACCACCTCGCCAAACAAGTGAAGTGTTCGCGCACACATCAGACGAATAGACTAATAATAAATGGTGCATGGGTTGGATGGACGGTCGGCCGGTTGGCGATGATGGAGCGGGTGAGTGACGGTCCATTGTCATGGTGTTGGTGGTGGTGGTGGTGGTGGTCCATGCTCGCTTGCCGGCCATCTGCGTGTTCTGTCGGGCCCTGCGCGTGCATCAATCTGCATCTGGTGCATCTCCCTCAATCAGACTCCGGGCGATGCTGTTGCTTGTCGCATCTCGGTCCTGGGCCTGGTGTTTTATTCACTTCGTCCTGGTCCTGTCCCGATCCCACACCGTTGGGTTGGTCCTCTCGCCAGTTCATGCCCACCCAGAGCTCAGCCAGCCCTTGGTGGTTCTGCGTGTGACTGTGATGGATCCCATACAGTTCAAGTCACTATCCCGACCGTCCCATCCCATCCCATCATCCCCTTCCCCTTGGTGGTCGTGGTGGTTTGCTGCCTTCCTCACTCCGTCTGCCCTCTGCCGCCTTCTTCTTCTTCCCTCGTCCTGGTCCCCATCTCCATCCCCATCCATCCATCCCCCTTTGGCCCGTCCTTCCGAACAGCTGGGCGTCCCCATTCCCACTCTCACTCTCCCGTTCCTGTTGTGATCCTCCCACCCCCCACCCTCTCACTCCCCGTCTCTTCCCTCCTCGTGCCCATCTCCCTCTTCTCCAGTCTCTCTAGTCTTGTTTGCCCTGGTGGTTTGGGTCTGGTCTGGTCCGGTCCGGTCTGGCTTTGCATTGCCCTTCTTGCCTTGCCGTGCCCTCGCCTTGCCTTGGCTTGGCTTGCCCTGGGCCTGCCCTGCACCTGCTCTGGTGTGGTTTGGCTTTAACTCGCGTTTAATAACATTTTCTCGTTCGTTGCCTCTATCCCGACTCTGTCTGATGGTGGCCAGGGCCCCGATTTTCCCCTGCCCTTTTGATCCCTCCCAAAAATCCAATTTGATGTTCCCGACCAAAACGTAACCATCTCCAATCTCGTACCAACACCCTCTGCCCGCCCGCATTTCCAGTTTCCTCATCCTCTCCCGCTTTCTACACACAACACCTCACCACCGCCCTTTGGTGTTGAACACACAAATCCATCCAAAACCACCCTGCGCCATCCGATCGACCCTTCAAAAAGACAATCATTTTGTGCCTCTCAATTCCCTCATTTCTTTTCTGACCTCCATTCTCGCATTTGACCCCTGTTTGGCGCCTTTTTTGCCGCTGCAAGAGTCGTGCATCCGCTCCGGAACGTGTCCATAATCCGGCGGCTGTGTTTTGTGAGGTTATTCAGACTGTCCCTTCTCCACCGCCCGCTAGCCAAGCCTAGCCGACAACCGCGCGACACACACACACACAGCTCCCGCCTCACCCAGTCCCGGCGCACCTGGTCACCGCCTAACACCCCACCCCGCCACCCACACCCTAGAATATCGTCACTGCTGTTAGCGACTGTACTCAACGCCATTATTTCCCATTTTGGCCGACTTCTGCCAAAGGAAATATTGATTGTTGCCATTGACCTGCAAGGCAATATTTCAATTGCTATTGCACCCAACTATTGTCAAGCAGCAGACAGCACAGCAGGGTAGCGTACGACAACCAGTATCCCCGTGCTTGCGTCGGTCTTTCCTTGTACTATTCTAAAAAAAAGGACACGCCGACCACCTCTGGCAGACACAATAGAATTCACCTTCTATCAACACCACACAACACAACTCAACACACCTTGCAGGAGATATCGACAGACCTCCCGGCTCAGTCAGCAGAACAGAGAGAGGCTTTAGGCAATTTTCTTCCCCAGTTGAAGGCGGCTGCCCAAACCTTGGAAGGCACATATGGCATTGCAAGGTCGCGGTGCGATGAGCTCCTCACCCACTTCTCTCTCGTCACCACCAGCAAGCTCCATCAGCAACCCATCCTCACCCTCCCGCCTCAACGTGGGCAGGGCCAACATCGAGATGGACGAGATTGTCGTCGACACAGCATCAGGGCCTCGGTTTGGGGTGGTGGCCCCAGCACAGCCCCCTCCGCCCGATGTGCCGCTGACCGCCGCCGGCCTGCCAAGAAAGAAGCCCGGTCGAAAGCCCGGCAGCACCGTCAAGCCAAAGGTCAACCCTGATGGCACGCCAATCGCTGAGGCCCCAAAGGTTCGAAAGCCACGGAAGCCTAGAGATCCCAACGCCCCGCCCATCCAGCGAAAGCGCAAGATCGCCGCCACCCAGGAGGTTGCCGAGCCAGAGCAGCCCTCTACCCTCTCGAGCGGCTCTGCGTCGCACCAGCCCCAGCAGACGACTGAGGCCAGTCCGATGCGCATGGATGTGGACTCACGCCCAGCAGCAGCGGCCACGCCCAGCAGCGGCAACACCCCCAACCAGCAGTCCAACCCAGCAAAGGTCCCAAAGCGCGAGGGTCCTTCTTTCATGTCCTCCCTGCTGAACCGCGACTCTCCCCCGCCACTCCCTGCCCCTCCTGCCCCAGTGCGCATGGCCTTTGACCCAGTGCGGTCCTCCAGCTACGACCCTGTCCGGGAGACAATGGTCACCCGCGACCCCTATGGAACTTCTGCCCTGGCTTCTCCTCGCGGTCCTTCTCAAATGACCAACCGCGCCAGCGCATCGCCGTCAATTTCAAGCTTGATTGATGCACCACCACAATCTTCTGCTTCCAAGGTCGTCTCGCCCACACAGGCTCACTCCTCTTTCCACACCACTGCGCAGGGCCGGTTCCAGGACCCCTCCTCCCTACCGCCCTCGCCATCCAATCAAGTGCGCAAGGACCCCCCGCCCTTGTCCGGTCCAGCTCCCAAGTCGTCTACAATCGAGATCAAGAAGCCTGGCCCACCTCCCATGCCTCAGCCTCCCAAGGCAACCGAGCCATTCAAGCCCACCGCGCCAGCCAGCTCTGGAATGCCAGCCCCCAGCACCATGCCCGCTCCATCCAAGAAGCTCGCGACCGTCGCCGCCCAGACTCGCAAGGAAAAGAAGCCTGTGTCTTCTACATCTTCCTCCCCCAAGATGGGCAGCCTCAAGAACGCACTGCCTGATGTTGCTCCCCTCCCTGGCACCTCAAATGACCGGTCCATCCTCGACTTTGGAAAGGTTGCGCCGGGAGAGGAGGAAGCCCCCTCGATCATCTTGCACATCCCGCTTAACGGCGAGGGCAACAAGTACGTCAACTTCATGCGCCTGGCCGAGAGCAAGTACGGCTGGGATGCGCTGCACCCCCGCGAGGCAGCCAACCGTGACCGCAAGGCCCGCATCGCCGCCGCCTCTGCCGCCTTGGAAAGGCAGCAATCCGGTCGCGATTCCGCCGAGGAGGAGGACCCGGAGTTCAATGCGAGCGAGGACGAGAACAGTAATATTGAGATGGGTGGCATGGGTAACAACGGCGGCCTGACGAGTGGTGCTGACGCTGCTGCGCCCGAGAAGCCAAAGCGCAAGAAGCGCAACTGGCGTGAGGACGAGTACGATCGCGGCGACGATTTCGTGGACGATTCGGAGCTTTTGTGGGAGGAGCAGGCCGCAGCTGTCCAGGACGGATTCTTCGTGTACAGCGGTCCTTTGGTGCAAGAGCTTCCAAAGGCTCCTGAGCGGTATGTCACCGTGCAATTGTCCCTCAAATCTATTCGATCCTGCGGTTTTACTGACTTTTCGTGTCACAGCGAGGGACCTGCCAAGCGAGGTCGCGGACGCGGCGGCGGCCCTGGATCCCGCGGAGGACGAGGACGCGGCGAGGGTGGCAGAGGACGTGGCGGTGGACCCGGATCCCGCGGCGGCACCACAACACGCAAGCCTCGAATCACCAAGGCCGAGAAGCAGCAGCTGGACCGCGAGAAGGCCGAGCGCGAGCAGAAGGCACAGCAGCTGGCGGCATCCAAGTCGAACACCAGCACCAACGGCAACTCGGCTGGATCTTACGGCCTCTTGGCTGGGCTGGTCGGACCCAATGCCTCTGTGCCTTCACTCTCGGCTGGGCTCGGTGCAGGTATCATGAACTCGTAGGACGGGTTGAACAGGAACCTGCCTTTGACTTAGGAGCAGGGCGAGAACGAGAAATGAAGGAAGGGAAGTGAACACCGTGGGCCTTCGGTGTATTCAACAGGAAGCACAGCAAAATTTCTCTCGGGACTCATCGAGCACACGAGACCGACGGCCGACAACCAAACCCACTTCTGGACCACGGACTCGAGCATGCACAACATTCGAGTCAAATACAGGATTATTGTGATAATACGGGGAAGGTGACAAAACAAAGACGAGGAGAGTCTAAAGGAACGCGTAACTAGAGGCAGGAGGCGTTTTGGTCATTCGGTTTGGAACGAATGGCAGTTGTATTTTCCCAGGCTTTTGGAGGGGTAGTGTGCGTGCATTTTTGGGAGGGGAAGGTAAATCGTCTGCATAGGTCGGTTGGTGGTCGAAGGCGTTTCTGGAACTTTGGCTGGCAGCATTTCTTTGGAATCGCCATGCAAGAGGGAGGGGAAGGGGGAAGGTCAGTAGGTGTTGGTTCTTTTTCAACTGAGGACTACCGGTAATGAGTCGTCATGTTTATTACTACCTATCTTCGTACCCTTCCGCACAGATCGGTGGGTACGAAAGGTAACCTACCATGAGGTTTGCTCGGTCTGCTTGTTGTGTTTTGCTGGGCTCGGCTCCGTTGGCTGGGCATGGGCCATAACATAGATTCATCATCCACCAGATGTTCATTCTGAGGAATATGCATGTGTCTGATCATTGTATCTATGCGTGTCGAAGTAGAGGCCGTCAGTATTGTACTTATGTTATTCATCCGTGGACGAGGGAGGGAATGCCTGACTGCTCTTATCGAGCTCCCGAGGTCATTTGTGACGTGCCTTCGACGGGTCGTCCTGATGCTTGGTCCATTCTTTATATACTTCCCACAGCCACGGTCTCGCCGAAGGTGTCTGTCTTGGGAAGTGTCGCCCGCGGAAACCGGAGCTGGCTGTGCATGTCAAGGTCTACGCGTGCATTGAGGCTTGTTCAGCATTGAGGCTCGTTCAAGGTTCAAACCTTAATCGTTGGCAATGCTTGTGTTGTTTGGAATCAGGGGTGGGCGGTGCAGCTCAGTCGGAAATAGGATACGCAACCCGAGTTGGGGTACCCAATATAGACAATACGCAAGCACGATTCCCGTCGTGTATAGATCCCCCAGTGGAGTCTAGGATCGTGCCGAACGCCCGTTCTGACATTCGCCGCAAGTGTGTAACCAAGGCCCGGCCGCCCACGGTTCCCGTCGTCCAAACTGCCGCGACCATGTGGGCCAGAAATCGGATTACAGGCAGGAAATGCGCCTCCCCCCCCCCTACGGCGACTCAGTCAAGGACTGCTGGTCCAAGGGCGCATCGAACAGAGACGGAGACGGGTGGTCCCGTTGGACTGACGCTCGAGTCCTGTGCTGTCAATTCCAATTCTCCCACAGACTGGATTGAACTACTCTATCCGCTTCTTGGACATCGAAGTGCAGGCACAATCATCAAATTCGTACTATTTACCAGTGATAGAAAGAGGCAACCAAACACACGAGCCACAGCCTTGGAAGCTCGACGATCGCGCAGAATAGATACTGGTCGTCGTAGGAGCCCAATTTGTTTCCACCCGTCGTATTAACATGTCCAGGGCAAGTGAGAGCTGCGTTCGGCGCCTCGATGCCCCCCCTCGAGCCACCACGCCGAAGCCTCGTACGACATCCCCTCCGTTCTTCTTGGCCTGCCTCTGGAAGGAGCCAAAGCACTCGTGCGTATCTCGAACACGGCAGTCCAAAGAGGACTCCCGCAACGGCAGAAGTCCCCGGGCAAGACTACACTGCGGAGAGAATCTCAGAGGAGCTGTCAGAATCCTGTTCACTCACTCCCCCGCTCAACTACACCCTGCGAGACAAGAAACTGCGCATAGCTATATTCTGTTGCTTCATCGTGTTGGACTGCGCCGTCATGCCGATTGGGCTTTACTTTGTCCTGTGGTACGACGTTGGGCCAGGGAGCGAGGAGACGCATGCACTGAGCGCCAACACCGTCCTGAGTATCGTTACAGCAGCGATAGGTGGCAGCAGCATTCTCGAGTACTTACTCAGGGCTTGGAAGTTATGGAAAAAAGGAGGTGATTGCCGGGTAGGTTGGCGGTTCGGATTCCCCAGGCTCGCCTCCACGAGACGAGCTCGCTGACATCCGGAAACAGGTCATTGCGGCTCGGGGCCGATGGTATTTTGACTGGTCCCACTGGTGGTTTGGGTTGTGCTTGCTCGTAGTCGCAGCGGAGCTTGTCATGTGAGTCGTACCCTATTCCATGCGCAGGCGATGCGTCGCTAATTCGAAGTAGGGGGACTGCCCTGGACGAACATAACATACAGCTGCTCTCCTTGCCATTAGCGTCTGTCCAGGCCGTGTTTGGGACGGTGCTGCTGCTTACAGACCTTCTTCATCTCTTCGCAGTACCGGCACCTGTACGCATCTCATCAGTGCCCAGAGGCGCCGAGGTTCCTCCTGGCATCTACCCACTTATCGAGGATAGCTGTGCGGTAGACGGCGCGGGGACGACGGAATTTCCTAAGTCGCTGGAGCGCCGGTGCAAGGCAAGCCCGATTTTCCGGCACCATGCTGCGGCATTCGGGCCTCTTCTGGGCCCTGGGGGCCCTAGCATCTGCGGCCGGGACCATGTATTTGGTCTTTGACATCGGCGATACTGACGTGGGGTACACCATCGGTTGGACGGTGCCGTTTGTCTGGGCGGGCATCTGGTTGCTTATAACAATACGTTACGTGCAGTATATGTTGAGAAAGGAGCTGCGGCAGTGGGTTGGAGAAGTGATCTTGCTAAACGCGGTCTCATGACGGTCGTATCAGTGTACCTACGTATGTAGCCAAAAAATACAAGAGGATCGTAAGACTAGCTGCCTATATCCCATATACAGTCGAACGATGATGATATTTTGCCCCCTTACATGGCAAATTCGTGGCCTGTATTTATGTAGCTCACTGATCGGGTAATTATGACCCGGCCGAATTCTAAATTAGCTTTCAACATTTGAAGTCATGAATAGCTGACATCTTATCAACGTCTGCAACTACCAGTATGCTACCGAGAAGATTCCAGCGTCCCGTCCTTTAAGCCACCTTAAGGTCAGATTTCAGTACGACGTGTGCCCACTGCCTACATATACGGGGATTATTTACTGTGGCAGCTGCTGTTTTCCAAGTTGTTGGGCCTAGCGATTATCCCAACTTGGATAAACCCATCTGGAGACACCCTTATTACTAGAAATAACTGCATTAGATAGCACTGAACAGAGACGTAGCGATCTGGTGGTCATCCATTGCATTAAATTGGTAGTGGGCGGTGCATGCAGCGGGCCCAGATCGACGTGGACAAGGCTCGGCACCCGCGGATTTCGAAGCAAAAGATCCTGGTAACCACAGCACCTGGGCAATAAGTGATGGAAGCACCGCCAGCCTCGGCCACGGCCACGGGAGGATGAATTCAACCGCATTTCCTGCGGACGCCTGCCGGCCTTGTACGCAGAAACTTGAAAAGTCACGATGCGCGACCTGTTGAAGCGGTCACGCAAACAAACATGTCCCTTCTCCAAGGATTTCACAATGGCGCCCGAGCAGAAGAAGAAGGACAACAAGCCAACCGCCGTCCAAGGACCGCGGCTTGAGCGCATCCCCCAGCCCTCGACCGTCCCCGTCGTAGGCAACCTTACCAGCTTGGACCTGGAAGGCCCCTCGCGCTCCTTTGCGCAATTGGCTTCCCGCTATGGCTCCATCTACAGACTGTCTTTCCCGGGGCAGGACTTGATCGTGGTTTCGAGCTGGAGGCTCGTAAACGAGGCTTGCGACGACTCGAGGTTCAAGAAGTCGATCCAAGGCGACCTCGAGGTATGTAAACATAGTCACTCACTTCGATATAATCATGACTATTGGGATTGACGATTCGGTGCATAGGAACTACGGAATGTGGCGCTGTCCGCGCCGCAGCAGGGTCCACAATAACTTTCCTGAATGCCAGAACCTCCAGCTCATCTTGTGCTGCATATTTCCGAGACTAGGCCACATCGAGCGACTTGCCTGCGGTTGGTGGTGGATATCTTGGCAATCACTTCTAATCCATACAAATAACTTGTTGAATCCAGTCAGTCTAGTTGATCGATCCATCACAGTCTTTCCAAGGCCACATCGTCGCCTCTCGTGCAACATTGAGTCTTATTTTCTTCACCAACAAAAATCGCTTTTGATCGAAGTCCAAACCCGCCTCCGAGATTTTTTGCCGTCTAATTATCGAGCACTTGAGTCTTATCACCGTCAGACTTGATGACTTCAACGCAAGGCAAGGGATCAGGTTCCACTGGGTCTAGTCAGCAGAGTACGAGCCCAGAGGCACCCCAACATGACCGGTGCGAGTTCTGTCCATTTGGAGCATCCCCGAAGCTCGAAACGATGCCATGGTACGAGCAAGTGAAGGAGTCGGCAGAACGTGGACATTGCCAGGCCTGTGCAGGGATCGTCAAATTCCTCAAAGCTCAGAGGCTAGAACCCGCCCAGCTCTATTACCACAGCCAACTCACTGGAAAAACTGGAATACAACTAGAATTGATGACTGATCCAGGTGTCAAAGGAGACTCTCCTCCTCTTGAGTTCTTCGTCGAAAACAAGGCACCTGCAGCGGAGGAAAATACAGCCCCCGGCCTTTGGCTGAATTTCGGCGAGATCCCGCGAATGCGCGCACCACCGGGCGACACCTCCAGCACGGCAGCGTTTGATACTCTGAGGCATTGGGTGTCTCGGTGCAAGGCAGAACACACGCAATGCAAACCGGCGGCAGACAGCTTGAAGACGCTGCCGGACCGAGTACTTGAGATCGAGAGCACCGAACCCCTACGCGTCCGACTCGTGGAGAACTGCACCCTACGTGCGGATTATGCATGCCTTAGCCACAGGTGGGGCCCACAGACGAGGCCAAACTCCCTCGTCAAAGACAATCTGGACCTCTACAAGGCAGAGGTGCCGGAAGATAAACTCTACCCTCTGGTGCGAGATGCTATAGTTGCGGTAATCAAACTCGACATCAACATCCGCTTTATCTGGATCGATTGCTACTGCATTATCCAGGACGACCCAGGGGACTGGGAGGTACAGGCAGCCAAAATGGGGCGCATCTACGAGAACGCGCTCCTCACAATTTCCGCTACCTTCTCCGAGGAGGGTCGCGGTATATTTTCCACCACGCCCAGTGAATTTGAAGCATTCCCAATCACCGAGATAGGAGGCGAGCCTGTATATATCCGGAAGCCACTTCCACACCCATGCGCCATTGACGTTTCAGGCCAGGAACAACTCCACGGCCTATCCCTCACGAGGGCGTGGGTCTTCCAAGAGCGGTTGTTGTCGAACAGATTTATCCACTTCACCAGCAGCGAGATATTCTGGGAGTGCCGCGAGAGCACGTGGTGCGAGTGCGACTCGGGGAAATCCAAGTGGGAAGGGCACCGGAGGGCAGGACCCCGGACGATCCTCGACCAGGCCTGGGACACCATCGCCGAGCAGTACAACGAGATGCAGCTGAGCTTCGAGAAGGACAGGCTCCCGGCGATAGCCGGGATAGCCCAGCGGCACGCGGAGCTGCGTGGGGGCTGGACGTACCTGGCGGGCCTCTGGAGGGAGAACCTGCCCTCTGCCCTGGCGTGGCGCAAGAGCGAGTGTGATGAGCCCAGGCCGCTCGAGCAGTTCGCCCCCACCTGGTCGTGGGCTTCGCTGCCCCGCGGGAGGGAACTCACCACTGCCCCCACCTGGACGTGGGCCTCGCTGCCCGTTGTGGGAGAACCCACCGGCGGCCCCATCACCGATTCTGCTGGATCTATGCGTCTCGTGCGATACGAGATCAATCCAGCCGCGGCGGACGCGTACACAGGTGCCAGGTGGACTGAGATCACGGTTGAGGGTTTTACGCTGGACCTGACGGTCTACAATGAATCGGACGGAGGCCTGGTTGGAAGGCACGAGGACGTTTTCCTCGAAATGAGGGCAGACTTCAAGACTGACCCGGACGACGACACCAAGTTCCGCGCCGTGCCGGACGGCTCGAGGTGTCTGCTTCTCCTCCTGTTTGACGATGGCAAAACAGACGACTGGGCTGACCTGTTCGGCATTGTGCTGATGCAGAAGAGTAGCGGCGCTGGTGCGGGGGGCGCAAAGTTTGAACGCATCGGATGCTTCGACTTTGGCAGTGGTTCTTACGTGGACGACACTGGCATCTACGATGAGTACTGCGGCGGTAGCTTCCTGCACTTCACTTATGGCAACCCGGTGTATGTAGCGAACCCAGCTCCATTTCAGTGGGTTCTGGACAAAGCCAAGACGAGACAGGTTACACTTGTTTGATTACGAGTCCTTTTATATGAAGTAGATTGCGCACAATTCGATTAGCAACGTGCTCACGTCCAGCGCGATAATGGCACTCGGTTCTGCATATTTACAGCAGACGAAAATTATCTTGAGTATAAGAGAAAGGACGCGCATTACTCTTTAGTACATATGACATAATCACTCGTATCGGTATCAACAAAGCTGTTGAACCAACAACCATTCTTAGCTGATCTCTGCGCTCTGAAGCCCAGCAAGACCGGACAGACACAATGGCGGACCGAGCGACAAAAGCCCTTTCCCAGATAAGGAGTGAGAGGATTCGATGTCAGGGCATGAGCATGTCATGAGCCGTGGCAAAGTACGATGGCTAAATTGGGCATGGAAGTCGTCATAAATTGCGACCTCGTAGGGGGATGGAACTTGTTTGATTGCAAGTAAGTGGGGAGACACAAAAGAGATGATGGGCAAGGAAAGTTGCCGAGCTTTCTGGTGATATGCAATTCCAGGTCGAGGGAAGGACCCTTGGGTTTTGTGACCAAGAGCTGTTGGTGCCGTAACCGACAACACCGGGATGTGGTGCTGGAGGTCCTTTTGGTTGCATGTTGTGTGGCTCAACGGACAGCAGGAATGGCGACCCTGGCCCTATAGTATAAAGCGCTACACCAGATGAGATGGGGCTGTGCCGCCGAGCTGCTGATGTGCGAGTGCATAGAGAACGGAAAATCGACTAGTTGCGATTCGGCAAGCCACTGCAGCCGCGGGGCATTGCTGTGAGCCCAACCAACATGTCGTCGGCGGTGACTCACGGCCGCCTACACTTTTGATATAGAGTGTATAACATGATCGCTATCACCAGCAGTCACCAAAGCTGCTGGCTCGACAACCATTCTCAGCTTTATCTGTGGTGTCCCCATCCCACCAAGTCCCGGACAAAATGGCCGGCCCAGCGCCAGAAGCCATCGCCAAGCTCGAGCTTGACAAAGAGACAGGGGAGATGGTCTCGAAGAATGAGCTCAAGAAAAGGATCAAGAAGCGGGCCAAGAGGGAAGCGGCAGCAGCGGCGCGTGCGGAAGAATTTGCGGGAGACAGAGCTCCAGAACCAAGTCCGACGACGGCAGCCCAGGAGAGCGTAGGCCCGCCCGATCCGGACGTGGTGTTCGGGCAGGGCTGGCTGTCGGACGTGTACAGAGAGCGAGCAGGCCGGGAGGTGGTCACGAGGTTCCCGCCGGAGCCGAATGGGTACTTACATTTGGGCCATGTGAAGGCTATCGCTGTGAACTTCGGGTTTGCGCGTTATCACCATGGCAGGACTGTTTGTTTCTGCCCCCTCAGATGCCACGGGCTTCTTGTTTGTATCACGAACTGACATGCCTGCAGATTCTCAGGTGAGCTATGTCGACTCGGTATACTGTGGCTTTGTATTGACTTAACGCCAGGTTCGATGACACGAATCCTGGGAAGGAGGAGGGGAAGTATTTCGTTGAGATAGAGAAGACGATCAAGTGGCTAGGTTTGATTTATACTTCGACTGACAATCAGTGCATGTTCTGATCCTCTTCCGCAGGCTTCGAGCCACCAGCCGTGACCTACACTAGCGACAACTTCCAGAGGCTATACGAGCTTGCAGAGAAGCTGATCGGGCTCGGAAACGCCTATGTCTGCCACTGCAACAAAGTCGAGACCAGGAAGCAGAGGGGAGGCAAAGACGGCAAGGAAGGGCCGCGCTACCGCTGCGAACACGCAGGGCAGAGCGCCGACGTCAACCTACAGAAGTTCCGGGACATGAGAGACGGCGCGTATAAACATGAAAGCGCCTTCCTCCGCATGAAGCAGGATATGGACAATCCAAACCCGCAGATGTGGGATCTCGTCGCGTACAGGATCCCTCCTGCTGATGAGGCTCATCACTACCGCACCAAGGACAAGTGGAAGATCTACCCAACATATGACTTTGCGCACTGCCTATGCGACAGCTTCGAGGGTATCACGCACAGCCTCTGCACCACCGAGTTTTCTCTATCTAGGGAGAGTTATGAGTGGCTCATTGGCACCCTCGGTGTCTACGAGCCAATGCAGCGAGAATTCGGCAAGTCAGCTCCACTGTAGTGGCATAATTTACTGGGCCTAGACTGATACTTGTACCGCTAGGCCGTTTCAATATCAACAACACCATTATGAGCAAGCGTGCGCTCGTCGAGCTGGTCACCAAGAAGTACGTCAGGGGCTGGGACGATCCCCGCCTCTACACCCTCGCCGCCCTCCGCCGCAGGGGCGTCCCCCCGGGCGCCATACTGGCCTTCATCAACGAGCTCGGCGTGACCACGGCCAAGACCACGACCCAGGTGTCGCGTTTCGAGCAGGCGATCCGCAAGTACCTGGAGACGTCCATCCCCCGCGCGATGCTCGTCCTGGACCCGATTCCGCTGGCCATCGACGGGTTCGAGGACCTCGCCGTGACGGAGGTCGAGGTCCCATTCTCGGCGAAGGACCCGTCCATGGGCACTCATACGCTGCGGCTCACGCGGACGGTGTACGTGGACAGGTCTGACTTCAGGGAGGACCCTGACGAAGACTTCTTCCGCCTCGCGCCGGGGCGGGCGGTCGGACTCCTGGGGTTCCCGGGGGCACACGTCACCGTTACGGCGTTCACGAAAGGTGCCGATGGGCGGGTTGACGGGATCCGGGCCGTCATAGACGGTGGTAGTTCACGTAGGCCCAAGGCGTACATCCACTGGGTCCCGGATGGCTCGACGACCGTCGAGGTCCGCGTGCCGGGGAGACTCTTCAGGTCAGATGACCCTGCGGCTGCGCCGGGGGGCTTTCTGGAGGACATTAGTCCTGATAGTGAGACTACGTACCACACCGCCATGATCGAGGCAGGGTTTGAGGAGATCCGCCGGTCAGGACCGTGGCCCAGGGAGGCTGGCGGGGCAGAAGACCAGGAGGCCATCGGCCCGGAGAACACAAGGTTCCAGGCCATGCGTCTCGGTTACTTTGTGAGTCACTCCAACTTCACTGACTGACTCACTGTTCCAGTCACCATGCTCGTGAATATCCGGCTGACGGGGAGGTGCGTCCTCAGGCAATTGACAAGGACAGCACGAGTGAGCGCACCGTCCTGACACGGACCGTGTCGCTCAAGTCGGATGCAGGGAAGGACTAAAATGCCGCCGGCGTGACAAGCAATTTGACTGTATTGTAACGGCATATGAATAGAAAACGAAGCAGAAATGCCTTAGTATATTAACCTGAACCATTTGTCCTGCTTACCCTCGCTCCTTTGGAGAGCTTCACCATGCATGCACCCATGTACGTAATAGTCCCCAAGAAAAGTGTACTCATCAGGCGTTGATGTCGGTCGTAAAGCGTACGGCGTCGAGCCTCCGTACAGCACACAGATAGTGTCGTCTTCCTCAAGGTTTGGCGGCCCGACGCCCATGGATCCTTCGTCTGTAATGAAAATAGACCTGGGCGCAACTGAGATCATAGCGCCCCTGTCAAAGCGATGGCAAGCTTCAGGGTCCCAGGCCATCAACATTCTGCCAACCCGTTCGTCCGCACTTGAGCGGTCATTCAAGACTCTGGGACAAAAAACTAATAACCAATTCTTAAGATCTTCAAACCAAATCATTGCCTCTGCGCCTAGATCACGAGGACCTCTTGTCGAAAGAAAGTCGATGTTCGCGTCGAAGACGGTCCGAGCCAGCTGAAGATAAGCTTCAACAGCTTTGACATCGTTTGGGTCCCTCGATCGTAAGAATCCAATAGCAACGAATGCGCAGAAGTCATCTAGTACCTTCTCGTCTGCATTTTAAGCAGAGGGCGTCTCGTCCACATGAGAGTAATTGCCCAAAATGATACAACAAGCCAGCTCCTTGACGCGATTCACAAATGAGTCCCGGGATACTTCCTCAGGCTTTATGAAACCGCTTGCCACCAAGCGAGAAATCATCTCCGGAAATATTTGAACCGCCTGGCCATCAAAGATGGATCGGAGAACTTTGGATGTTATGAGTGCCATTCCCTTTCCTTTGACCTTGAGCACCCTTGACTCTTTCTGCGGGTCAATCAAAGCTTCAGAGCTTCCAGAAGTGTTGAATCCTCTCTTCCTCAGGTCAGGGGCGGGTGCTGGCGCATTCCAGCGTGGCACCCAAGAAGGAGTGTCACCACGATTTTGGTCGTCGTGTGTGACGCCTGACAAGATGTTGAGGTTCCTTTCCGCTCTGATGGCGTATCGTGCAAAGCCCTCAAAGACATCCCTTTCATTCTTCTAATACTCAATTGGAACCTCTTCTCTACCATCGGCGACTCCAGCTAGCGCGAATAATTTATCCCTTGAATCCGTGCTTTTCAATAACCTAATATTCCGGGAAACATCATAGAATTTCCTTGATATCGCGTAGCGAGAAAGCTCATATCCCAGATAAATGTCCAAGATCTTTGGGTGAGGTACAGAGAAATAGGGTTCGTCGGGTAATGGGTTGTTGGGCATGTCGAAATGTTGAGTGAAAAGCCAATCCATCGCTTCTGAGAATGATTTCCAGCTTATCACCCCTCCTTCGAAGATGATTAGAGGTTCGCGAGCTTGAATGATTTCTTGTATGACCCAAACTCGGTCGAAGCACGGCAGCAACAACATTTTCCTCAACGCAAGCCATGAGTCGTCGGCTAAGTCGGGAAGGCCTAGGTCGACTAGTTCTGTTCTTTTGGGGAAGCACCGGGATCGGGGAGGACGCGAGCGCGAAAGAAGATCCATGTTGTCGATCTGAGTGAGCAGGCGCTTCACGGGAGCAGCCAGATCGTGGGAATCTTCTCCGAGACTTATGAGTACTGTCGCAGCCCGGCGATAGATGTCCTGCATAACGCTGACTTGCTGGTTACGTTCCTTCTTGTCCTTCTGATTGATGCAAATTTGGTCGATCCAGACTAGCTGGCAATGAGGCATACGTGCAGTGGCTTGATCATCAACAGAAATTTCGAAACGGCGCTGCTTGCGCACGGCGATTAGTACTGCATACAGACTCTGTGTGATCTGCAGGCTTCCCCCAGAACACAAAATTGTCTTGTCTGGGGCACCGTTTCCACAGACGTAACTCAAAGCGTTGTATTTTGGTGCTTCAGCCAGAGCATGCGTCTCCAAGGTGCAGCGGATGATGCCGTCAGTACTATCCGGCAAGATCGCAAGAAGGCGTAAGTGATGTTGATCGAGTTGTGAATCGTATTGAAACTCCGTGTGGGCTGTGCCAGGGGTGATTCGTCTTCGTCGTGTCAAGAACACGCTGGCTCGCGCCGCCTGGAGAGCCGTCGAGGTTAGACATGTCGCTTTCTGCGCCTGGTGCCAGTGCTCCGGGTAAAGCCATGCTGTTCCCTGAAGTCGCATGCAGAAATAATTTGGTACAAAGGTAGAAACGCAGACGTTTGCTGACGAGTGTGCGGTATTTGTGACTGACCCGGCACTTCATGAGCAGCAAGGCTTTTTGTAGTGTATGTGTATTTACATCGTGGGCTGTCCCCACCGGATCGGAAAATGCCGTTGTGATTTTTTCAGCCGCATCGATCGGCATTTTTGTGGCGTTGCGTATGCAATCCAGTGCAGTACATCAGGGTTTCTCGGCCATCTTCCTTCCAGTCATTGACAAAAAGGCAGGAGTGTGCAGAGGTGGCAGAAGTGGAGGAGAAGCGTGCATGGACGAGATGCGAGACCAGACCAGCAGCACATCCTCGACTAGGCGTTACTTCCCGGAAAAGCAAGTGGGATTGCTGTTTTCAAGTGAAGCAGACTGGCCCTACTGCTTTGCACGAGACAGGTCTTTTAGTTGTACAAACTGGGATAGAGCAAAAAGACGAAGAACCTGACGAGACTGGAACCCTTGTACAAATACGCCAAGAATTGAATCCCTTCTCTAGGTAAGATTGCCTCTATTCGATCTTCCTAACGGAGCGCATTCCCAGCTCCGAGATCTCGCTAGAGCACACCAGCAACACACTGATTCCTCCAGACGTCTCTGATCACAACATCACAGGGTATCATTGTTCGAATCGCTTAGGTCACGACTCTCTGCGAATCCGACAGGATTATTCATTGCCGGAGGTCCCTCTCCGTCAAAGATCCTAGATCCTATCATCGTCTCGCCTGAAACTTCTCAACCAACTTCCCCTGAACCGTCTCGCCCAGCCGGGCCAGGCTCTCGGCGCGCACGATCTCCAGCACCGTCACCTCGGCCCCGATCCTCCTCCGTATCCAGTTCTTCAGCTCGATGCTGACCAGCGAGTCGATGCCGACGGCCCCCAGCGGCGCGTCGAGGTCCAGCTCCCCCTCGGCCCGCATCATGAACCCCAGCAGCGTCCTGCCGACCTCGCGCGCGAGCAGGGCCGCCGCCTCCCCGGACTTAAGTAGTGCCATGTCGGACGCGATGTCGCGGAGGAACCTGCTCAGCTCCTCCCCGGAGGCCGAGTCCCCCGGGGCGGTGGCGTCGGCCCCTGCGCCTTGCTCGATGTTTCGGTAGACGAGCATGCGCGGGTCCTTGCGCCACGGTGTGCGGTTGTTGGGCGAGGTGATGGGCAGCAGCGAGCGCAGGCCGGTCCCGAGCTGCGATTGCTGGACGTGGCGGAAGGTCCCGGGATTCAACGATACCTGTTTCTTGCTGTTGTCTCGTCGTACTGCCGTGGCGTCTGACGAAGCTGGCCTCGAACGCCTGAGCATGAGCTCCAGGCAGTCCAGCAGCTCCGGCTCCCTCATGATATACTGCCCTGTGGCCCTCAGGGAGTCCAGCACGGAGGGGTTCTCGCTCACGTAGCCGACGTCTCCGACGACGCCGATGTTGACAACGCTTGCTGCCAGGCCGAGAGAGTGGCGGTACGAGACGAAGGCGTCCAGGAAGGTGTTGCCGGCGTTGTAGTTTGCCTGGCCCCACTGGCCCGTCATCGCGCCGAGAGAACTGAAGAGGAGGAAATGGTCGACCGGCTGGTCGGCCTGCTCGTGGAGGAGGGCGTTATGCAGGTTCCACGTCCCCTGGATCTTGGGCCGGGATGCCGCCGTCCATTGGGCCCAGGACATGTCGTCGAGGCTTGAGTCCTGTGGCACACTTTGCTTTAGGGTCTTGAACGTAACAAGGGAAATGAGTCTCATTGAAGCTCACCTGCAAAACCATCGATGCTTGCAAAACGCCGACGATAGGCTTGCCCGCCGCTTTGATGGCGCGCACCACGTCTTCGTAAATAGTCACGTCTCCAGACACTCTGGCGACTGTGCAACCCAGACTCTGGAGTTCCTGGACAAATGGATCGTCATCAACTGAATTCCCGGCCGAGCGTGAAAAGAACACCAGATGTCTTGCGCCTTTCTCAACCAGCCAAGTAGTGATGGAGCGACCGAGCCCGCCGAGTCCACCCACGAAGAGGTACGCGCCATCGCCTCGAAGACACAAATCATCATTCCCTGTCTCCGAAGGGAGTTCCGCGGGGTCATGCGGCATGCTCACAACCAACTTCCCTATGTGGTCTCCTTTCTGCATGGTCCGGATTGGGTCTGAGATTGTGCAGGCACTGAACGTCTTCATGGGGTGAATCGGCTTGATGTAGCCCTGTTGATAGAACTCGACGGCGCGACGCAGGAGGCTGACCACGTAGTAAGTATAACCAATCAAAGCAAGACACACTTGGGCAGGCCTGGCGAAGAATCCCAGAACTCTTCGTAGGAACACTTACCTTTTCGTCACAAGCGGCCGCTCCTCGCCGAGATGCGACAGGTCAAAGCCCACGAACGCCCGGTTCGACAGGAATCCCTCCATCGCCAGCTTCCCCTGGCCCACGAAGTCGCGGCGTCCGATCTCGACGAACGTGCCGCACTCGGCGACACAGTTCCACGACGCGTGTAGAAGCTCGCCAGATAGGGCATTGAGAACGACGTCGACGCCTCTGCCTCCTGTTGCCTGTTTGACGCCGGAAAAGAAGCTGGCATCGCGCGAATTGAAAATTCTGTGGCGCGGGATTCCAAAGTTGGCCGTGAGGAAGTCGATTTTCTCCTGGGTGCCAACCGTGCAGTAGATCTGTGCAGTTCGTTGGTGTAAGCTTCAATGAACACAGGAGGGCGTGCAGAAAGGGAACTTAGAGAATTCACTTACCTCGGCACCAACCATCTGAGCAATTTGAATTGCTGCGATTCCCACGCCACCAGCCGCCGAATGAATTAGAACGGACTGAATATTATCATCACATTGTCAGTGTTGTTCAAAGCCGGATATCATCCGAAATTGCTCGAGGCCGCACTCACCATCCCTTCAGATAGCCTTGCAGCATCAAGTAGACAGTATATGGCCGTGCTGTACACCACCGGCATGCTTGCTGCTTGCTCGAACGTCATGGTGTCCGGAGCGGTGACGCAAAGGTGCTCCGAAACGTCCATACTTGTGGTGAATGATCCGCTGGAGCACACAACCACGCGGTCGCCCACGCGGTGCTTGGAAACACCGGGTCCTACATGCGTGATGACACCACTGCATTCGCAGCCCAGGCCTCTTCCTATGGCGGACGGCTCGGCGACAACTCCCACCGAGATAAGCACGTCCTGGTTTGTCTTCTGTCAGCCTCATCCCGACCACAGCTGTGATAACATCCTGCGGGAACATTAACGAGTGTATCTCTTCTCACCTTGAAGTTCATCCCGACAGCCATAACCTTCACCCTCACCATACCAGCACCCAAGCTCGGTTCCGGCATCTCCTTCCAAAATAAAGTGCTGGCCAGACCGGCTCGGTGCTGCTCCAGCTTTTTGAACACCCCCAGAGAGCCCCTATCCTGCCCTTCAGACACACAAGCCTTGAGCTCCCCCGGGACCCTGACAAAATGGTACCGGCCAGTGAGCACCTTGCCACCGGCCACAGCCCACTCAGCCTCGGGGCTCACAGGCTCCTCTCCAGACGAGCGGCGCTTTTGGAACTCGGCCAGGACGCCCGGTACTAACGAGAGCGCGCCCGGAGAGAAGTCCTCCAACTCCAGCGTCGCAAAGTCGATGTCCGTCTCGTTGCGCAGCACGCGCGCTGTGCCGATCGCAGGAGCGTGGCGCGGGTCGGCACAGCCTACTTGGCTCGCGCCCGTGGCCCAGAGGATACCGCACTGTTTGCTGCTTGCCTGTCTGAGCAGTTCTTGGAACTGCGCGAGCTGCTCCTCCGTGAGGTCGTGGAAAAATGGCCGAGTGATGTCGAGTGCCGCGATGATATCCTGACTGGGCGGCAGGACGTCAGAGCTCTTGCCGAACGGGCGAGAATCAACAGCGAACCCGGCGGTCTGGAGCTCGGCGGTGAGGTTCTCGAGGGCCTGCCCCTTGGGGCTGTCGCCGAGGTGCAGCAGCGTCACACGCTTGTGGACCTCGACAGCCTCGGCCGGTGCGGCGATGATGTTGTTGTTCAGGTAGCCGTCGTACGCGACCGTCCCTGCGCCCGCGAACCCGGCCCGGCGGAGCTCTGCGTCCCAGCGCTCGCTGCTGATGTATGGCTCTATGAGGCGCCCGTCGTCTGCTCCGAGCCACCACCCTGGGAGGACGCCCATGACCATGTTGATCCATTTGGTCTCTGCAGCCCTTTGGTCAGCCCGATCCTGGGAGAGATTTCTCGTTCACCGCCCCTATTTGGGTGTGAGCGGGGGGGGGGGGGGGTGGTTGGAAAAGACTTACTGGGAGACAGCTCCTGCAAGAAGAGCTTGCCACGGGGGTGCAATAGCTTGCGGACATGCGACAGAGTTTCGTTGATGACGGGCGTGGCATGGAGAACCTGCGGTTGTGGCGGTTCAGCAAAGCGCACCTGTGCCTAGGCACCAGCAAGAAGCCCAAGATGGGTTTTGGAATTTGCAACCGGCGGGGGGGGGAGGGGGGCTCACATTACAAGCAACAATAAAGTCGAAGCTCTCCGGCTCGAAGTCCTGCTCCAACGGGTCCTTGGAAATATCAAGGACCGCGTACTCAACAGCTGCATAGCCCTTGAACCGCTCCCTGGCCGCAGGGAAGAAGCCCGCAGACACGTCGGTGTACGTGTACGAGGAGTACATGCGCTCGCCATAGGCGGACTGGAGGGCGGGCAGGACGGTCGCCGTGGTGCCGCCGGTGCCGGCGCCTATCTCCAGGACCCTGAGGTTGGGCTTCCGGTGGGCCTCAAGGTCGAGGAAGGTGGTGTAGTCCGAGTTCTGCATGAAGTCGTAGAGGTCGTGCAGCACGTTCCCTTCCAGCAGGAGGGCCAGGACGTCGGTGGTGCCGTCGAAGATGGAGACGCAGTCCTTTGTGATCCTGTGGATCGCCTCGGCTGCGGCGTGTGCCTCTGTTTGCATGAGCTGGGCGTGTAGTGAGGCGATGGTGTTCTCACGAGCTTCCGAGTCCATTCTGGCTACTCTCTCGTCTTCTTCCGGCGACAAGTATTTTCCGGCCGTAATTTCGGCTGCGACACTTTTCAGCCAGTCGCGATATTTGTCAAGATGGCCTCGGGTTGGAATAACCCCCGCAAGAAGATGGCCTGTGTCAAGCATGCATATCGCTGAGAACCGGTCCAGAATAGCATGAACCTCTCGCCTGTCTTTGGCCTGGCGTATCAAGGGTGTAGGATCCATGAGGTTGATATCCTCCTTCCACTCGAGCTCGACAGCAGCGTGTAAGTCTTCCTCATCATCGTTGCCAGAGTCCCCGATGAACGACATCTGCACTCCTTCCACCCGTACGACCAACTCGCCGTTCGAGACAGCTACCGCGTCGCCAATGTACGCGTTCCTCGGAGACTCTGATGCTGTGATACGCATAGTCATCTCAGGCGATGCCGGCGGGCGGACGTACATCTCCTCGATGTACGACGGGATCCCAACGGCTCCCATCCGCCGCGTGAGTCCGTGGCTCACGGCCGGTGCCACGGCCTGCAGGACACAATCGAGCGTGGCGGGGTGTATCGCGTACGGCGACTCCCCGTCGCGGACATCGTTGGTCACGCTTGCGACAAGCTGGGGCTCCTGGGTACCAGCAGTGATGTCCCTGAGGCCGATGAACCGCGGTCCATATTCGATACCTATCGACCGGAATTTCCGATACCAAGCCTTGGCCGATGCGATGCGAGGGAGAGGGGCGATGTCTGGAGGCACGGTAAGCCCCCGCTCCGGCCCTGGGCCTGCGCGGACCTCGCCCGACGCGTGCTTCAGCCAGCCGCCGTTCTGGTGGCTGGATATGCTGAAACTGTACCATTCCGACTCAGACGAGCTCGTCAGCGGTATCTTGTGCATCTGGGTGACCACCTCGAGGGCCGCCGCGTCCTGTGTCAGGATCATGGCCGCCTTGATATGCACCCGCCGCGCCGTGAAGTCGCCGGCGCCCGTGAGCTGCCGGACCGCCTCGCCAGCCATGGCGATGTAGCCGACGCCCGGGAAGACGATGTCCCCGGATATCTCGTGGTCCTTGATCCAGGGCACGACGTCCAGGCGGAGCAGGTTCCGCCAGCTGGGGGCGTGGTCGGTGCTCTCCAGGACCCGCGAGCCCAGGATGTCGTGGTGCGGGAACTCGCGGAGGCGCCACTCGCGCGCCAGGCGGCTCTCGTTCCAGAGGGTCTCCTCATAGTGCCACGGGTACAGAGGCAGGTCGGTCAGGAAGGTACCGTCAGTGCCGAAGATGGCGCCGAGGTCCAGACCGTGGTTCAACGACCAGAGCTCCCCCAGGGCTCTGAGAAGGCTGGCGTGGGAGTCTTGGCCCCGTGTCAAGACGCTTGTGTACTCGGCGTTCGCTGCGTTGGCAGCTTTGAAGATCTGACGTACGGGACCGGCCAGGGACGAGTGTGGCCCTATCTCGACAAAAGTCTTGCGTCCTGGCTCGAGAAGGATCTTGTCGACGGCAGTGGAGAACCGTACGGGCGAGGTGAGGTTATCAACCCAATACTGCGTGCCGAGCTCGGCGCCATGGGATATTTTTTGACAGGTTACGCTGGAATAGAATGACACTCGCGGGTCCTTCGGCGTGCTGACGTCCGGCATGAGGTGCAAATATTGCGATGCTAGTTCCTTCATATGATCTGATGGTAGACAGATTAGTATCCATTCTGAGTATGACTTGCAAAACCGGAGCATGCAAGCGCCCAATGAGTAAAATGGGAAGCCGGAAGATTGCGAGAAAAGATGTTGGAAATCATCAGTTACGTACGCGAGTGGTAAGCCCTGTCAACCCGAAGAGCACGAACGAACACATCCGGGTTCGCATCCTTGATCCTCTGCATGGCTCGCTCGACAGCCTCCTGGTCGCCAGTGATTGTCGTGCTCTCGGGACTGTTCTCACAGCCGACCAACACCCCCTCAGCCAGGTACGGCCGGACCTGGTCCGGCCCAAGGCCGATCGCAGCCATGCGGCCCGACGTTGTCTTGGTGTTCCCGGCTTCTTCCAGCATGACTTTTCCGCGGTAGTAGGCCACCGCGATCGCGTCATCTGCCGAGATGGAGCCGCACGAGTATGCCGCGGCGATCTCGCCGCTCGAGTGCCCGACGACCATGTCGGGCCGTACGCCGTATTGCTCGAGGAGCTGGACGAGCGCCACCTGGATGGCCGTGCTGCAGGGCTGTGACAGCTCTGCCTGGTTGACGCGACTAGTCTTCTTGCCGGCCAACATCTCACCTGGCAGGGAATCAGCATAGGTAATTGAGCCTCAGCCATTTCTTCGCATGGAGGTGTACGCGTAGGGGTGTATTGATGGGTTCTTCTCAGTCGTTTGGTAGTCAGGGGTCTCTTCGCTCACCGATTAAACTCCACGTTGGTCCATCTGGAAGCCCATGCAAGAAATCATCCATGGCTTGAAGACTATCCCGGAATTCGGGGACATTCAAGATTAGTTCCTTGCCCATCTCAGCCCACTGGGCTCCCTGGCCTCCAAATACAAAGACTGTCTTGGGAGGCTCGCGTGGAAGAGGCCGTGATGAGTACATAGGGCTCCAGTCCCCAGCTCCATCTGTGACGACGAAAGCTCGCTGGGTCAATGCTTCCCGCTTTGATCCCAATGAGTAGCTCATGTCCGAAAGGCGCGACGGATTAGAGAGGTGATAGGACTGATGATCTTCAACCGTCTTCTTCAACGCCTTTGGGTGCTTCGCTGAAAATAATAGAAGTTGAGGCCTAATCTTGTGGTAAGGGACGTCCGAGTTCTGGGGTGGCTTTTTCTCGACACCGAATGATGCCGCAGATGAGAGCACCACCTAGTGGGCATCTGAGTCAGCCTTTCCTTACAAGCTTCCGTGGGTGGGATTGTTGTCATTAACTTACGTGGGCGTTTGAACCTCCAATCCCGAAGCTGTTCACTGCGACGACGTGGTCACGGTCCTCCGGCCAGGGTAGAGCTTCGGTGGGGACCGTGAGCTTGCGTTCTTCAAAGGGGACTGCGGCCTGGTTAGCAGACAATCTTAAGAGCCGTTCAAGTCTTAACCACGCGATGTGATGGTTTCTTACTCCTGGGGTTTGGCGTTTTGAAATTCAGATTCGGCGGAATGGTCTCATTTTCCAGTGCCAAGGACATCTTTAACAGACTCGACAGCCCTGAGGCGCCCTCACTGTGTCCCAAATTCGTTTTCACCTTAATAACTATTAGCGCCAGCTTAGTGACATACGAGAGCGTTGGGAGTTTGTAAGTTACCGATCCTATGTATACGCCGTTGTCGCCAAAGACATTGGCCACCGCAAGTGCCTCGATGGGGTCGCCGACCTGAGACAATTCCCCGTTGTCAGCCAAAAAGTCAAGCGCCAGAGCGAGAATATCCAACAGTAGTGCTCACATACCGCTGTACCAGTACCATGACACTCCACCATGGCAGTCCTGGAGAGGTCCGAGATCCCAGCGAGCTCATGGCCGCGCCTAATCAAAGCCTCGTGGGCGGCCGTGTTGGGTGCGGTGAGGGTGGAAGACCTGCCGCCGGCATTGACGCACGTCGACCGGATGACAGACCGCACCGGGTCCCCGTCCCTGAGGGAATCGCTCAGCTTCTTCACGTAGACGGCGGACACGGCCTCGCCGCGGGCGTAGCCGTCTGCGTCTGCGTCGAAGGTCCGGCAGAGCGCGCCGGGCGAGAGGACCCCCTGCTCTTGCATGGTGAAGGTCGTCCGCGGGGAGTAGATGATGTTGGCACAGGCCACGACGGCGGACTCGCACTCGCCGGAGTATATGGCCTGGCAGGCGTCGTGGAGGGCGGTGAGTGAGGAGGAGCACGCGGTCCTGATTGTCACACTGTTCCGTGGTGTAAGCGTCTCACAGTTTGTTGCAACCATGCAGCTCGAAACCGGGACCTTCCAACACATACCTGGGACCCATGAATCCAAATTCGTAGTGGATACGGTTAGCAGACATGTAGTCACCATACCCCGTGAGGCGGTACATATGATAGTGCTGGGTGTCGCGGCCATCCAGCTCCATCCAGTCGCCCTCAAAAGTGCCCACGTACACGCCGACCTTGCGGCCCCGAAGCTCGCTGGGCTTCTGTCCGGCACTCTGCAGGCATTCGTAGACGACTTCCAGGGTCAGCCTCTGCTGGGGATCCATGGCCTCAATTTCTTCCTTCGTCATTGACCAGAAGGACGAGTCCGTGTTGCCCAGGTCGATGCCGTCGAGGAAGTAGCCGTACTTGCTGGGCGTGTGGCCGAGCTTGCCGGGCCCGCACCAGGCGTCGGCGTTGTAGCGGTCCTTGGGCACCTCGCAGCGGCCGCTGCGCCCGTTGTAGAGCATGTCCCAGAATCCTGCGGCGTCTTTGATGCCGCCGGGGAGCCTCATGCCCATGCCGCAGATAGCCACGGGCTCAACCATTGGCTTTTCGGGGGCGATTCCGTTCTGGAGGCCGTTGGTGATGGCTGGACTCTGTCCGTTCTGGCCCTGCGCCATGGCCGGCACGGCATTGTTGTCGGTCTCATTTTCAGAAGTGCTCATGACTGCACATAGACTTGCTGGTTAAGGAGCCTAAACTGAAAGCTTTGCAAAAAAGGGATTTTGATACAGAAAGAATTCGGTGAGCAAATTTGAAGGACAGCAGGTCTCACTTATGAAGAAGCCAGATTTTGAACAGCAAAGGATTCATACCTGGCAAGGCGTCCGGAATGGCCCGTCTTGCTGTAAGCTGAAGAACCAATCCCATTTCAGAGTTCTACGTTTGTAGATCACTAAATGGGCACTCTCACAACACGGGAGTACAGCCAAGCATAGTCAGCTCCCCAGACCAGCCAATGGCCGGGCCTTTGGATAACATACTCAGACGAAATGTTCTACAATGTCGAAGATCTGCTGGTTGCGCCAAGGATCTGGCTGCTGACATACAGGATCTAGTGGGTGTCTGTGTAAGCCGCCTCGTCTGGATCGGAACTGGGCCGGCACAAATACAGTCTCGCACGCTGCTGACAGGGCAAGATAGAGAATTGATACTTTGAAGTACAACATAATACTTTTGAAGATCCCGAAGCATCCGGGTCTTGCAGTTATGGAAGCAAGCTGACTACGACTTTAAACGCTGGGGCCAGACGTATCGCCGTCTAATGTATACGTAGGTATCTTGATCCACATAAATATCAGCTCGAGAGCATTTGGTGGTTGGTGCTTACGTTCGCGTTCTGTCTTGCAACCAATCAATTTGAAGCTCAACACATATTGAATAGGATGACTCACATTTACACGACTACTAGTCCATGGGTCATGAATACAATAACCAGTCCACGCTGCAAATCTGGGATCATCTTTATATCACCACCTTATTTATTTAGATGTTAAAGCAAACAACAGCGTTTGGTGGTAAGACCCTGGCGCTACATGTAAATTGCGTGCTATAGGGGTAAAATTAAAGCTGCCGATAGCAGAGAGAGCGCAACGGCTACCGATTCTGAGTGCCTGGACAACAATCAAGCCAGACGACTCGTTTAATGTTTTCTCTCCTAGTCAGCCATTCGACTCGGATACTCTTAATGTCCCAAGTCCCAAGTCCCAAGCAAGAGTATGAGTATGCTGCTTTCCACTTCTTGCGAAGCTCTTTTCTTTTTTCTTTGCTGCCCCTTGGTTGGTAGCCTGTCCGCCCAAGAATAGGGGCCGTTGAAATCTGTTCGAGGACTGAGCAATGTTCGTTATTATGTGGAAGGTTTCGGATTGCCAAAAAGAGCAAAGCTATGGCGAAGTTCACGCCGTTTCCACCGTTGTGGAGTTCGTCAAATGGGCAGCAGAGCTTGGTTAGCAAATCACCAAGAGTGCCGCAACACTCCATTACCTCATTAGCAACTTCGAAAGTATCGACGGCGGTGAACCTAGACGCAAGAAATGGGGAAACCTAGCGTCTGCAAATCGAAGTTCGGCTGAGATATTATTATGCCCAAGAACAATGGCGTGCCGGCCCTCGGGGATGACTGTTTCAATTTTGTCAATGAAAGTTGTAGGCTTGATGACTACTGTGTTCCCTGCAAGACATTTCCGTCAAGATTTTGTGATATACCTTAGCCCAGAAGAATACGACTTATTGCTTTCTGTGATGCTAACTGCGACTGGCTGGTGGCTTAGGCTATATTCTCTCTCACGGAGGTCTTTGTTAGGTACGGAATAGTAGTTGTGTTACTCGCTGTTCGCACTGGCTATGCCTGGGCTACGTCTACATAGATGGCCAGGATGCTGCCACACGCGAAGTCGTCGGTTCGCCAAGACAAGATAAAGGAGGCTTCAGGGCTGAATGCAGCTGACCGTATTTCCTAGCTCTCGCCCCCTATGGAATGGAGGCTCAGGTCGATTCTTGAGCGTGCCTGCGTCCTTAGCCCCTTTTCCCCCTGTCTCCTATCGCCGCGGCATCCGACAAGCCCGTCACTTTTATGCACAATTCGTTCAGTTTGAAGCCTTGATTGGTTACCAAATGCACATCTCGGCTAGATGCATTCCGGCATGCAAGGACCAGGTTCACCTCAGCCCTATCTGCTGATTTCAGCCTCTCCCACGTGCGCCTTGCATTTCTATTCCTTCAGGCGTCCACCAACTCATGTACTCCTAGGAATTCCACCTCCCTGTGATCTTAGCCTGACGTGTTTCCAGAGGCTGTTGACACCAACATCGCGATCCTACAAGGCAACACTGATAGGATGCCGCCACGTTCCAAGTGGGAGGGAGACGAAGGAAGCTGGAAGAATCTAGGTCCGTACTGGATGGGAGGGAGTCGAAGGACTCTGGCAGAATGTAGTCCTGTTCTGGGTCCATTATCTGTCACGCTGAAGCACAGGTTTTCTATTTAATGTCCGCTCGATCGCCCACATTGTCAACCTGGAGCTTCATCGACCACGATTCTTCTTCGTTTCCCCTCGCTATCATCGATTTCACCACTATAATGAAGGTTTCTATTCCTCTTCTGTGTGGTCTCGGCCTGCTACCCACGACCCGTCGCAATGTGACCAGCACACAAGTCCAGTTGGAGCTGGGTGGCAAGGTTTCCAACACTACTGTTATCTATGGACCACAAGACCATCGCTACGCTGAGGCCACTGCAAGATGGAGCAGCTTTGCCATGCCTCACGTCCAAGTCGTTGTCGAGCCTACCCAGGAGTCCGACGTCTCAACAATAGTAAGTACAATGAACACTGCTATCAAAGGTTGTCTTAGCTTACATCGAGTTCAAGGTGGAATACTGCAATGAGAACAACATAGATTTCTTGGCCATAAACCGTGGCCATGGACATTCGGCAAGTCTCGGCACCTTCAACGGCATTCAGATCAACGTGGGAAAACTTGACAATATCGACATCCAACCTGGTGGCAATTCTGTCTGGTTTGGTGGCGGCGTCTTTGGTGGCCTTGTGTCGAAGACCCTCTGGGAAAATGACTATGTTGCCACGACTTGATCCTGCAATTGTGTCGGCCTGCTAGGCGCCGGCCTAGGGGGTGGCCACGGGCGGCATGAGGCTATCTCGGCATGGTTGTCGACAACATGCTGCAGCTCAACGTTGTTTTGGCCAACGGCACCACTATTCGCGTGAACGAGACGAGCCACGCCGATCTCCGCTGGGGAATGAAGGGCGCAGGTCACAACTTTGGGATTGTTACGAGCTTCGAGATGAAGGTCTTCCCCCGGGGACCGGACACTTGGCACTACCACAGCTACGTCTGGACCGGCGACAAGCTCGAAGATGTTTTCAACGCCCTCAACGAACTCCACCGCAACGGCACCACTCCTCCCAACATGGCCGTAAACTTCGGGAACTTCCTTATCAACGCAACGATAGAGGAGAAGGAGCCCATCATCTCCTGGTCCTTTGCCTACCGCGGCAGCGCTGAAGAGGCCGAGGATCTCCTCGCCCCATTCAACTCCATCGGCAGCGCGTGGGACGAGTCCGGCGACGTGCCCTACCCAGGAGTCGCCGCGGCCCAGGGCACCAGCGAGTCCGACTTCATCTGCCAGGACAACAACAAGTGCATCCTCTCGACCGCGGGCCTGCAGGTCTACAACGTGACGGCCGAGCGGCTCATCTTCGACGGGTTCAGCCGGCGCGCCGCCTCCGACCCGGCGCTCGTCGCGGGCGCGGGCATCCTGCACGAGGGCTACTCGACGTCCGTCGAGGAGCAGTACGGCCATGAGGCATGGCGCCTGGAGCGACTTCGAGGCCTCAAGGTTGAATATGACCCCGAGAACCGCTTCCGTTACTTCAACCCTATCATCAAAGGCAAAGGCCATTAGGTGCAAATGGGCAGTGTCGCATTACATATCGACTGAGGCTTTGGATGGTTCCACTTTGAGTTTTGTTGTTGACTTTTCACACCGGCTTCTGGCCTAGACTTTTCTTCTTGATCTCCCCTTACTCATTTCCTTCGTTTCAAACCATTTGTTCAAACTTTCAAGAAAGCAATCGCAGTACTCCACCTTGTCAATTTGCTGCATGCATTGGGAAAGAACTCAATATCGATTCAGGGCTGTTGAGATGGAAAGACTAAGAGCAGAGATGCATAGAGCTGTAAAGAAGCAATCGTGGCAAGTGCGAACCTTTTAAACCCGATTCAAACAGCAGCATTAGAATAGAACGATTTCATAGTTTAGATAGTTTTCGATGTTTTACATTGCTTTCCTTCACCCCCCCTCCCCCTCTTGATCTTGCAGCCTACACTGTATTTTGAAAACTCTACTAAGGCTTCTAAGCCCTTAACTCAGACCCTGCAGCCAATTAAAAGCAACCCCCATAAGATCCGCGAGAGAGAATCGAACCTGAGTAACCGGCTAATCGCAGTAAAAATCACAGAAGGGAATGGGTTGCGTTCTTCTGGGCCAAGCAGCACGTCGCAGGACGAATGCCCTCGGAAGGGGATGGACAGTGTCTGTTAGACACCGTACCAGGAAACCAGGCCTGTTTTCCCTTTCCGTCTCTCCGATCCGGGATCGGGATCCTGGGAAACCCAACAGGGCAGGTACATGAAGCCCTGAAATGGTACAAAGAAATTGACCTCGCTGGGAACCGGGCCTGACGTGGCTGTCTTTCTAGGAGACTCGACCATAGTTGCCCACCCAAAGACTTCTGCTTAAGTGCTGATTCTCTTCAAGGACTCAAACTGGAAGCCATTCTCAGCGGCTGTCTGACGCAGCTGCTACCAGTCGACATGCAGTACGTTAAGATGGATGGGAAGATGGCTAATTGCTGATTGATTACAAGGTACTTGTATTTATATGGGAAAATGCTGATAAAAGTGTGTACCTCCTGCTATGGTTGCATTTCACCCACTGGGATGGCTGCGGAGGTGTCGAGCACGGGCCACATCTGCCCTGATTCAGTGCCGAGTCCGAGGCCCAAGCAAGCAAGCGGGAGGAAACAAAGCCCCACCTGAGCTGTCGATCCGCCCCCTGCGCGTCACCCGACACCCCCACAACATCCACGACGCGACATGGTCAATTGACTCTTTTGTGCACCTGGGGTTTCGGTGGTGATTATATGTCGATTTCGCATCAATGACAGCATAGCCCTTTTGGGACCTGTCCTCTCTGCATTCCCTCTCAATTCTGAGCGCCAGCGTCTTTGTTTCGTCTCAATTGTCTTGCGACACGGCTTTGTCTTTTGCGACAACAGAGCCAGGAACTACTCCTCCAGATTTGGACCGGGGACATCTTGCCTGCGCATCGAATCCGGGAATTGTAGTTGGGTAGAGTGAAAGGGAGGCACTCAGAACATGGAAGACAAAGACCTCGAGGCCTCTCTCCTTGCTGTGGTCAAGAAGCTCTTTTCCGGCCCCTCCCGCGAGGACCTCTCCGTCAATACCGTGCGGACCAAGTGCGAGAAGGAGAATGGCCTCGAGGAAGGATTCTTTGCCCAGGGCGAGTGGAAGTCAAAGTCAAAAGAGCTCATCAAGAACCAAGTGGTCTGTCACCCATCCCGTCTTGCCGTCGTGAGTAGCGTGGTCCGCACCCAGAGCTGACCTAATACCACCAGAACGAGCTCGTGGCAAAAGAAGAAAGCGGCGAGCCCCCTTCGTCGCAGGCTGTGGTTCCTACACAAGAGAAGAAGCCGTCGCCAAAGCCCAAGGGGGAAAAGGCGCAGAAGAATGGCACCAAGCGCGCAGCGCCCAAGGCGACCAAGCCCGCCCCGAAGAAGAGACAGACAAAACCCGCCCCAAAGCCCAAATCGGAATCGGAATCGGAATCGGAATCGGAGCTGAGCGAGCCGCCTGAAGACGAGGACGAGGAAGACGAGGAGGACGATGCGTCTGATGATTACGAGGAAGAGAAGGCAAAACCAAAAAAGAAGCAACAGAAGAAGGCCAAGGCACCGCAGCGCGGTCGCAAGCGGAAGGCCACCGAGACAGACGACGACGAAGCGGAGAAATCTTCCATCGTGGCCGACGGCATAGAAGTCTCGACCACGGGCGTGAAGGAGGAGGCCGACGAGAAGGAGGATTCGCCCCTGTCCGAGCCCCCCAAGAGCGAAAAGGAAGAAACGAAGCCGTCCGTGGCCGTGAAGGACGAGGGCGATAGCAGCCCCCTGTCCTCGGTGATTGACGACGAGCCCCCGCCGCCCAAGAAGCAGCGCAAGCCAAAAGCAGCGCCCGCCAAGAAGGCCAAAGCGGCCGCGGAAGATGACGACGGCGACAGCAGTGAGCTCTCCTCGGTGATAGATGACGAGCCGCCAGCAAAGAAGAAGCGAAAGTCCAAGGAGCCGGCGGCCAAGAAGACCGCTGCACCCAAGGGCGCCGCGCGCAAATCAGCAGGCGGCGGGGAGGAGGCGGACCCGGACGAGGCCGAGGTCAAGAAGCTGCAGGGGCAGCTGGTCAAGTGCGGCGTGCGCAAGATCTGGGGGTTCGAGCTCAAGGGGTGCGGGGGCGACGCCAAGGCCAAGATACGGCACCTGCGCGGGATGCTGCGGGACGTGGGCATGGACGGGCGGTTCTCGGAGGCCAAGGCGCGCGAGATCAAGGAGCGGCGCGAGCTGGCGGCCGAGCTGGAGGCGGTCAACGAGATGAACGACCTCTGGGGCGTGGGCGGGCGGCGGGGCCGGAGGGCGGCTGCGCCCAAGGGCAAGCTCGCGGAGGATAGTGAGGATGATGAGGAGGGCGGTGGTGGTGGCGACAAGGACGGGCAGGAGAAAGGGGTCAGAGGCAAGGGTGGCGACGGGGAGGAGGACGAAGATAGCGACGCGCCAAAGGCCAGTTCGCGGAGGAGGAAGGTCAGGCCTGAGCTGGCGTTCCTGGGGGACGACGACAGCGACGACGACTGAATGTGCCTCTCAGTCTTGTCTGTCTGCCTGTGGCTGCGAGGGCACGCCGCGGCCGGACTGAAACTAATTCATGGATTTTTTGGTTTCGATTACTTGCACTTCGCTATCATCCGGTCTTTGGTGGGAAATTATGAAGACTCATAATGTTTCTCGACAGCATGGGGGCGCCAGGGGATGGAGCATCTATGTCTCTCTCTTTCTCTTGTTTACCAGCCAGCCACCGCCTCGCGTTTGACATTCTCGTGTGTTGGAAGCTTGTACGATCACAACGGCCGTCTTGGAATGCATTGGAATCGAATGACTGCTCACTGCCTCATTCAAGTATGTGCTCCCGTCAGTGAGTGCTGCCTGGCAGGTTGGTCGGCAGGAAGGTGGCGAGGCTGCCGTCCCTCTTATCCTCCCCAGCCGAACCCCAACTTGCCGTGGCGTTCGTTCAACCACCCATGCCCGTCTCGTATTGCCCCGTCGCGCCTTGACTCGCCGCCTCACCTGCCCGCGTTCATCCGCTGGGCTATCAGGCTGAAGACGGCGACGGAGCCCATGAACAGCACGGCGTTGTAGAACTGGATGGTAGGAGTCAGCAATGTTCTTTCGTCCCGGGAAAGGGGAGGTTTCCCCTCATGATATTGGTGATCATAGAAATAGAGAGGGGAGGAGATACAACAAGAACTGCGAAGGGGTTTGGGGGCTGGCGGGGAAGGCTGGCGGTGATGGCTTGGTGGTGATGGGCGGACGCACTGCTTTCCTCGAGACCTCTCTCTCCTCGTCTTCGCTCCTGGCTTCTATGAATAGCCTTCGCAGGTTGGGAAAGTTGGCCTGATTTATGTGTCAGCTTTTGGATATCAGCTTGTAGGGTGATATGGATGCGTACCATGGTATCTGTGGTGTGGGTGGCGTTGGCTCGTGGAGGCCAACCCAGGTAGGCTTTGGGTCTGGACTATTGATGGGGAGGCGCCTGCGTCATGGCTGGATGTAAGGCTGGGTTGGATTTGGTTTCTATTGCATTTGGCTACAGAAGAGGCGAGTGCTGAATCGCATCGAGTGAATTGCTGGAGTTGTGGCTCGGATGAGGTCGAGGTTGCGGGCTCATCATCGATGGCTTGAAGTCGCTGTGATGACTAAGCCGAAGCACATCCCTTTCCATGCTGGGTCTTTCTAGACGTGCTATCTTCCTCCAACTTCTTATGAACAGTTAGCAGTGAATAAATCTAGACCAACTTAACATCACACAACATCAACTGTCACTGGCCCTCGCTCGCCCAATTCCATCGAAGAAAGGTAGTCTATCTGGGATAGGCCTGTTCGTGCGCCATGGACGATGGATCCTCAAACATCCCCGGACCTGCGACAGGTACGGCTAAGCAAATGAATCATCGTTGTGCCGGCATAAGCTAGCCTCGAGCTACGCAGCTACCCCGGATTATCCCACCACGTCATGTCCTGCCCTAGCCGGCGGATGTGCTGGACTCTACTGCTACACACCTAGGTAGCCAGTTCAGTCTTAAGACTGGAAGGCGTGATGAATGAATCCCCCCTGCCGTTCATTCCCCAAGGCGACGAGGTCAAGCCAATCTTCTTAAAGTGGTGAGCTGCATGCAGACTTACACAGGATCTACTGGGCAGGCAGCTAGCCAGTCAGTCTCCCTACAGTATCAGATTTACCTGTACAGGCCCTTTTCGTTTTCGACGATGTGGTCTCAGCTCGAACCTACTCCTCCCCACCTCACCTACCTCACCCTGTCCATCTTCCTGGTCGCCTACTCGCTCTTCTCCGTGCTCATCAGGGATCGACTGCACCTATCCGCGCCGCCCCTCGCCGTGCTCTTCGGCTTCCTCCTCGGGCCCGCCCTCCTCAATGTCCTCGCACCCCACGGCGACTGGGGACTGGACGATGCCTTCACCCAGGAGTTCACCCGCGTCATCCTGGGCGTGCAGTGCTTCGCCGTGGGAATAGACCTCCCGGCCCGCTGGTTCTCGCGCAGGGCCCACTGGGCCTCAGTCCTCTACTTCCTGGGCCCCGTCATGACCTACTCGTGGGTCGCCGCAAGCCTGCTCGCCTACCTCATCTTCCGCACAAGCCTTCCCACCGCAGCCGTCATCGGCGCCTGCCTCTCGCCCACGGACCCCGTCCTCGCCGCCGCGGTGCTGGGGGGATCGCGCTTCAGCGCCCGCGTGCCCCGCCGCATGCGGAACCTCCTCTCGGCCGAGAGCGCGTGCAACGACGGCGCCAGCTTCCCCTTCCTCTACGCTGGCCTGTACGTCTTCGAGACGCGCTCCGCGCGCGAGGCCGCCGCCGACTGGCTGCTCATCACGGTGTTGTACCAGTGCGCGCTCGGGCTCGCCATCGGGTGCGCGCTCGGGTGGGCCGCCAACCACCTGCTGCGCTTCTCCGAGGGGAAGGGGTACGCCTCGCGCCCCAGCCTCGTCGCCTTCTACTTCCTGCTGGCGGTCCTGTGCGTCGGCGTCGGGAGCACCCTGGGGCTGGACGACTTCCTCGTCGCCTTCGGCGCGGGCATCGGGTTCGCGCACGACGGATGGTTCTCGAGCAAGACGGAGGAGGTCCAGGGCGAGGCGTCCTTCAAGGGCGTCGTCGACCTCGTGCTCGACTCGAGCATGTTTGTCTACTTCGGCTCCCTGATCCCCTGGAAGTCTTTCGTGCCACGAGCCGGCGATGTTCTCGACGGTCATGTTGGACCCGGCAGCCTGCTGCTGTTCTTGGCGCTCGTCCTGCTGTTGAGGAGGCTCCCCGTCGTGCTGGCGCTGCAGGTCGGCGGTCTCGTCCCGGATATCAAGACATACAAAGAGGCACTCTTCGCGGGGCACTTTGGACCGATGGGCGTCGGCGCATTATTCCTAGCCATCGAGGCCAGAGCCCACCTCGAGACGGGAACCTCGCTCCCGCTTCCTAGGCCCCAGCCGCCACTCCATGGCCCGCCCTACGACGACAAGACCGTCGCCAAGGAGCTCATCTGGCCGGTGGTCTGCTTCGTTGTGCTCGGGAGCACAGTAGTCCACGGCCTGAGCGGCCTGGCCATAAGCATCGCCGCGTCGCTCAGCAGGAAGGTCGGCGAGAGGGCGCCACTGCTTGGGGGGGAAGTTGATGGTTTGGCTGGTATGGTGCATGATTCGGCGAGCGAGGGTGATGGCGTGGACTAGCTGCGTCGTTGGTAAGCTAGTTGATGGCTGCCGAGGTGCCGCGGCGTGAAATGAAAATTTTCAGTGGATATCAACACACCGATGCGAACAATGCTCGCACGTAGAACCTCGAATTGGGCTCTCCGCCTACACTGCTCTCATTCCGCACGATTCTCTGTCCTCAAGCGCAGCCCCTGGCAGATTAAGAAACATGACCGTAGCCTAGGTTTGCGGGTTGTTGACCGCTACTTAGCCATAGGCTACTCGCCATGGCATACACTACCGTAAAACATCGAGATCCAATTACTAGATCAGGGCATCAAAAAGTAACATGTGCGAGGTAGGAGTCCTCGGGCGGGTGTTCAACCGCGTATGTGGTTTTGTGCCCGGGCAAGTGAAGGAAGCTATCCCGGCAGCCCAGAAGTTGGCCGAAGACTACTCCCACACTCAGGGATTAGTAGGAGCGATGCTATACGAAGGCCACAATCACTTGAGGGTTATCGTGTCTGCCTGGGGGGCATTCTCCCTCGTCCAACCACGCCACCCCGTCAAACCGGGCCTCGATCAAGCTCTCCTCCCAGAAGTCCAAATCAGCCAGGGCATGGGGCCTCCCATCTTTAAACAGCCACCACCCTTTAAAGAAGCCAAACACCATGTCAAAAAGGTATAGCCGCGGCATCAGCTCAATGAGAGCCATGAACTCTTCCCCGTCCTCGGCCTGAGCACCTCCCACGAATTGGTCCTGGATATAAAACAAAAGTCGAGTATGGCTAGCTTGATAACGAACATTTGACACATGGGACAATGCTCATTTGGCACGGAAAATATATACCGATCGTTCTTGCATTTCTAAGTGGCCAGATCATAGAGCTCTCGCTTAGCACACGGTCTGCTTCAATACTGCAGCTGATAATCTCAGACCCGATGTTCTCAGCATCTCATAGCTAACCTTTCAAGGCCTCACTCAGATCCGATCCTTTGAGCACGAGGGAATAACAAGAACTAGACGAACAGTACTCAGTCAATACCCCATGAACTTTGCACCAGCTGAGAAATACCTGTGCAGTTTGTTGTTCCCAAGTTGACCTAGCAGCAACCCCGATTGGCACAATTGTTGAAACAAGGTGCCCCAGGCTGGGGGCAGCCCGCACAATTCTGTCGTTCTCCGAGCATGCCTGCCACGCCAAGGTCGTTGGGCGACATGTTGGGTGCCGCCGTGGCGAGGGAGGCTCCGGCGACGAGGAGGGTGAGGGTGACCTTGAGTGTGGTGAGGCACAGCATTGTGACTGGCGTGTATATTTGGAGGGGCTAGAGTTTTGTAAAACGATCTGGTTCAGCTTAGCGTGAGATATGGATCTGGTGCTTAATGAGAAGTAGGAAAAGCTGACGAAGTAGCACGTATTTATATTCGTTCAAATCTGCCGACTCGCAGGAATGAGTGCCAAAGGAGAACTCCGACTATGCCTGTTGAAGACGAACTTTAGACTCTGCAAAATTGTCAGAATCAGAACATCCGGGTCTAGACCCTACATGGCCCTTGTAATGCGGGAGAGAAGGTTTATTGAGTCAGTGGAAAGGAAAGCTTAAACTCTACCGATATACATCTGACCGTTTCTGTTCAGCTTCGGGTGTCGGTCGAGAGACGAAACCGAGTTAATTGTTCTTGACCCTGTCGCGTCTCCAAGCACCGATGCCGAGGATTAAACGAAGATGGGGACGGCTTGGCCTTCTTGCGCATTCTCACGCCGAAGACTTCCGGCGGCCAACAGATATGGTTCGATCTCATGGGGGTCAGCATCCCTGGTGTGGTAGAAGTGTCAACCGACGGATGTCCCTCAACTTGGGTCCCAAAACTGACATCTTCCGAAACGGCCCCCCCTGCTGCCTACTGCCTGTTGTTACAACAAGACACATGGTGCCGAGCTCTTTCGCACGTCCTATCTGAAGCATCCGGAGAAGATCGCTTGCCCTTCCAGCCTAAGATCAAGACACACATATATTCCTTGTGTATCACACCCGCAGAGCCCCTGCATAGCTTCAACTTGATGCGAAGACCTTTTCAAGCGTAACCTTTTGTCCTTTTCTGAGGTTTTTCTGTCAAGGTCCAGCAGTTCGCTTCATCGAAAGTAGCTGCGGCTCTCCTAAGCGATCAGAGCCGCCGAGTTGCTCCACTGTTGCTTGGAATAAATGAAGGTTAGGTACCACCGCCCAATGCAGATGAGCCTGATTTTCCATACCTCTCCGGCTTTGAGGTCGATATAAGACCCACATAGCCCCACTACCGTTTAACCATCACTTTTATAAGTAGTTCTTAAACGAATAAGTAGCAATTTAAACGGCTTTTTATTATGCAAGTTATAACCGTAGCCGTAATATCCCAGAGAAACCTGAGTCTATTCCCAAAAAGAAAGGGCACATACAACCATTTGAATTTCACAATCCCCCAAGCGACCTTCTAACGCCATGTCCGGATTACTATTTACCATCTTCGTTGCACTGCCAATAGGTGAGCCAGGCTCGCTCGCACCGGTCGAGGTCTAGAGGAATTCACCACCCTTGTCATTCTTCCAGCTGCCGGCATAATGGTGCTCGACCAGCGGAGGACCGATGGCGCCGCTGACCGCCTCGTCGTAGAAACCCATAGACAGCGCGAACGAGTACCCCGGCAAGATCAAGACGTCCCCCACAAGCTTGGGCTCCAGGTTAAACCACGTGCTCGACTCGACCTCCTGAAACTCGCTGTCGGTCATGTTGAGCATCCGCTGCAGGCTGTCGAAGATGCTCCTCGTCATCCTCCTCGGCCCACAGAAGGTGACAATGTCCCCCATCATAGGCGGCGTGGCCGTGATGCCGGCGACGTCGACGCCGTTCTCCCTCGCGACGTCGTGGAGTCCCTGCAACACACCCTCGACCGCAGTCCACATGTGGGGCGAGCCAGGCTTCGCAAGGACCGTCCATGTGGCGAGTTCGTGTTTCGGCGCCGCGCCCGGCCACGTGGTGTCGAATTCCCAGCCGACGACTATGGAGGCCTCGTCTTTGTACTGCGGCGGGATCCAAGTCTCGATGGGCGAGTTGCAGGAGACGTCGAGGTCCGACCACACCCCGCCCTCGGCGTAGAGTAGGAGATAGCGGAGCCAGTCGGCTTTGATTATGGGTATTTGGAGGGCGAGGTAGACCTCGACTATGTCGGGACGGTGGGCAAATCTCTTCTGGACCCACGCATCGGCCGTCTCGTCTGTCAGGAATTCGACTGCGTATCCGGGATTCTTTTCGATGCAGCTGCCAGTCCAGGCGATGGCGTCGTGACTAAGTCCCCTCGCGCCGAACTTATACCATATTTTCCTAGGGATCTCGTCACCGACTCTGACCGTTACTGGTGAATCGAGTGGCGATAGTGGCTTGGAATAGACGGGATGTTGGGAGAAAAGACTCCATGACTGGAAGAGAACAAAGAGAATGCTAATAGAGGCGGCTAGTATCGTCACTTGGCGATTTATCGAGGACGAAGGGAATTGGGAGAGCTTTTTTGATATCATAGAGTGCATCGTAGACTCGATGTCGCGATGGTTGGGTGAAGACTCAACGGTGTACAGAGTCCGATGTCGACCCGCCTCAAGCACAGTCGCTGATGGCCCTTGGCTGTGCTGGGTGAACGCGCAGCGCGATTGCTTGATACTCAGATCCTGCCTGGCATCAGAAGCAGGACGGAAATGAATGACTGCAGATACTTGAACAAGAACTTGGGCAAGTGTTCCGCCGCGTTTCACCGCGCGGTTTAAGGGGAAAGCTGTCACGCCTCCGCGTCAATGCAGGCTCAAAAGGCACTTCTATTGTCACGTGGGAACCTTCCTTGCAAGCCTGATGCAAAAGCGCATGACCAACATGCCTTCAACGGTAGGCTTAGAAATGGCGATGTCACCCACTAACTTTGAGCGCCCTGGCGCCAAGGAGAGTTCGGCGTTGCTGCGCGCTTATTAGCGAAACACATTCTGTGTAGTTACAGCGGGAGGGCAGACAGGGGTGTTACTTAAATTTATCTGCTTGTAAGCGCCGTGGCTACACACGCTAGCCAGTCCATGCAGTAGATGAGGCACAGAACCCTTGACAGATCCTATAATGCACGTAACTATGTAGTGTATCTGCCAGACCACCAGAATCCTTCTCTTCCCGAGAACTGTTGGTTGCAATATGATACCGTGGTCCGGTTTGAGGTTCGCTGTTGGTCGTGCAATTTTGAAGAACTTGGGCGCCACTGCTGGCCTCGCCAATCTGCAGTCGGGCGCAGTTTCTCGCTCCAACGGCTTTCTCATTAAACCGGGTACTATCACTTCCAGTCCATGGGAAAGCTATCATTGCTGAATTTGTTGTTCATTCCTCATATTCTGACTTACAACCAGCAAAATGCTTCTCAATTTTTGGAAATTATTCCTAGCACTCAGTTCTATCCTGCCTGCTACGTTGGCATTCACATTCGTGAACCCGGCTAGTTCTGGAGGCCAAACGAGCTTCACGAAGAACTTAGTCTACCAGGAGAACTCAGCTTTCAGGGTCGAGTGGACTATAGGCGAGACAGATCAAGATGCGACAGTCGCTTTATTTCAGATCGATTTGAGAACAAGTCTGCCAACCGATGAGGTTCCAGAGACGTTAGGCGACATGGAGTATGTCGCAGGTAAGTCACTCCCCATTCTGTTGTGTCCGCACATGGACTTCTGGATGCACGCTGACACGAATTTGTAAAAAGAGGGGCAGGCCTTCAACAGAAACACGCGCAATTGGATAGTGACGACGCAAAAGGATCTTTCCGTCTCGCCCGTGTTCATGATGATGCTCTTCGTCACAGGAGCGACAACTTCAAGCGACCGCACGGTGTACTTCAATATTTCGTCGGCCGATTCGACTACAAGCAGTGTCTCTACCAGTGCCTTGACCGCTGCCTCGGGCAGCGCGACCAACGCGGCATCGATACCAATCTCCTCGTCCAGTCCCGGTCCTGCGACAACCGTACCTGCATCGGGCCTGCCATCGACCTCATCCACATCATCCGAGAGCTCCTCCGCGTTGCCTTCGTCGGCAAAAATAGGACTCGGCGTCGGTATTCCTGCCGCTGCCATAATAGGCGTTGGGTTGTGCTGGTTGGCCTTCCGCCGTGGCAAGGCTCAGGGGAACCAACAGAGTGCCGCAGTGCCTCCACTGGAAGACAGGCCCATGGGTTTCGCCGCATACTCGACCGACACACCCAAGCCTGCTTCTAGTGTTGTTACATACGTGCCGACACAGGATAAATCGGCATATGTGCCTCCTTCGAATGCACCTGCATATGGGCCTGTTCCCAATGCACCTGTGTGTTATAGGCCTGTGTCCGCTTCACCCGTGTACGAGGCAAACAACGAGCCGCCTCCTCCCAGCGAGCTGTATGCACCTCACAATACGCATCGCTAGATGGTGGAGGATATTCGAGAGGGGAATCGGCTTTGTCCGTTAGGATCGATGTTATTTCCGCTTTGGACGTTTTGTGCATATGCCTAGGTGCTTCTTCTGCAGCGTTTTGATTAGCACTGTGCCTTCCTAGATATCTACCGAAATGGACTCCTTATGAAGTCTTTAATATTAGTCTGGTTTTATTCATATTGTTCATTGGCCCCATCGGATCCGTTAGAGTGTCTATACATCTCCACTTATGGCCTTGCCCGCCAACACTATGCGTTTGCCTTAGCTGCCACTTCTGGCCCGGGAAGATCATCTTGCAGGTCCGAGTCAAGAGGCTCCTAAACAGAGTCTTTGATTCCAGCCACCATCGGCACACCCACAGCCAAGAAAACCTTTACACAGGGAAGCTCACAAATCCGATTTGCATTCATTATGGACGTCTCTGCTCCCTCTGATGATCTATAACGTTTTGCTTTTCCCCACACCCAACTAATCATTGCCCGAATGACCGCTGAGAAGAAACCGTCATCCCGAACCCCCTCCCACGCCCCTCCCATCCCCTTTCCCCCGAAATACCCCAATACTAGCATCTTTCCCTCTACTTAGAATAGCCCAAGCAGGTCATCGCTACCCCCACCACTTTGCTGCTGCCCCTGCGGAGTCTGCGGTTGGCTGCCCGTCCCCTGTGGGTGCAACTGCTGCCCGGGTGGAGGCGGCGCGCTGTTCCCGCTCAGGTCCATGCCCGCGAAGCCGTTCATCATGTCGCCCATGGCACCGCCGCCGCCAGCACCGCCAAAGCCACCGCCCATCGGCGGCGGCGCGGTGGACGACCCAGTGGGTGAGCTCACGTCGAACAGCCCCATCATGTCCGCCATGCCGCCCGACGAGGATGCACCGGCGGCGCCTCCGACCGCGGGGCTCGCGACCCTGTCCGGCGTGGCCGCCGCGCTCGCCTGCTCCTGGGAGGCTGGCGCCGCGCCGTCGAAGTCGATGTCCAGGAGGTTCTCGACGTTGCTCTGGGGCTGGGCCCCGTTCGCGGCTGCTGCGACCGAGGCGGCAATGGGGTTGTCGGCGGCCTCGCGGCGCTGCTCCTGGATGGCGGCGCGCTGGATCTCGTCGGCGCCGAAGCGGCCCTTGCCGACGAACGACTCGGGCGGCTTGTGGTAGACGGACGCGAGGGTGGACAGCTCGCTGAGGAGCTGCTCTAGTAAGGCGGTTGGGAGGCTGGAAATGGTTGTGGAGATTGCGGGTTTCTGAGAGAGGATGATGTTCTACAAGAAAATGTCAGCACACATGGGGAGATACAGGTGCATCAGTCCAAAAGCTGAGACACACCTTAGCGACGTCGAGGTCCCCTGACAGCAGTCGCCAGTAGACATAGGCTCGATCTCTAATGTCCGGGTTGTCGTTATCCGCCGTTGCTTGTTGTAGCACCTTTTGGACGAGTCCTTGATTGTTACTTGGCTTCTTGAGGAACAGTTTCACCACTGCTGTGAGGATCTGCAGTTGTGTCTGCAAGGATTGTGTCAGCATCTCTTCTGGACCTCGATCCCAGTCTGGCTGCTTACCTGTGTGAACTCCTCCATAAACTCATCCACGAATCCAGATAATATCTCATCTGCATTGTTGATCTTTTCAGCGTACTCTCCGACGATCCATATCAGCGACCCTCTTGCATTCGGCTCATCAAGTTCATCGATATGGTTGCAAAGCGTAGGGATGACTCCTTCGTAGCCCGGGTACTTCCGCAGAATATCCTTGATCACCACAATGACCTCCTGCACCACGTAGTTGACCTTGGTCGCTATCAAGTCCAGAAGAGCATTGACGCACTTCTCGGCTGCGCTCTCGATCTTGATTGCCACTTGCCCGATGGCCTTGATCGCGCGGCGCACAAAGTCCATGTCGACTTCGAGGGCGTACTCCTTCAGCTCGGCAAGCAGGTGGTCGAAGTTCTTGTCGTTGGCTATCCGCACCATGATCTCAAGCTTCTGCATTTTGACGTACGGCGGGTCGTTATACTTGCAGAAGAACACCCTGAGCTCTTTGCTGAGGATGTCGGGTTTGGCCTGCAGGAGGAGGTCGATATTTCTCAAGGCAACGTATTGTACTTCCGGGGCGGATGCGACGAGGGTCACTATGGAGACAAGCTGTTAGAACATTCCAAAGACTTGTACCCTGAGAGGCTGGGACCAACGTACCTAGAGGAGGAGCCATCTTCTTAAGGTACTGCCGTACCAGCTCCGGGCTGATGATCCTCATGTGGATGAACACCACCTTGACAGCAGCCAACACCACGCTGGGATTGACGTGCTGGAACTGCGGCGCCACCCTCTCGCAGATGTGCTCCGACTCCTTGACGTCCGCGGGCGGGTAGTCGGCCAGCGTGGACAGGATGGTGACCCTCCCCCACTCGGTGCACTCAGCGATGGCCATGAGCAGCTTCTTGAGCATCGCGGGCGTGACGACGAGGGCCTTGGTCTCGGGTGCGGTCTCGTTGATCTCGGACAGCGCCTGGACCGAGTTGGCGACGACCATGGGGTTCGGGTCGCCGATGAGCTCCTGCAGGATCTCGAGGAAGCCGTTCTCGATGCACATGGTCGGGTTGAGGTCGAACAGCTTGGCGACGCAGATGGCGGCCGTCTTGCGCACGTAGGGGCTCTCGTCGCGGAGCGTCTTGCGCAGGGGCTCCTCCATGTAGTCGACCATCTTGTCGACTCTGATGCAGCCCATCGTCCGTATGGCCAGGGCTCTTATGAGCGGGTTCGGGTCTTCTGAGTCTTGGACGAAGGTGTTGACGGCGAGGATGCAGAGGTCGGGATGTGATTTCGCGTAGTTCCTTTGCGAGGGCGGATGCGTTAGAATACAGCTGGCCTACGCCGCCACGGACTGGGTATAGCTTCCGGGGGAACATGGATCTCAAGTGCTCACATCAGATATAGATAGACAAGCTTCTTCTGGTCCAGGTCGCCCGTCGCGATGTTCTTGAGAACGTCGGGGAACAGGGCAGACACATCCTTGCCCAGTGTCATGGCCATGATGGTCTTCTGAATCGCCTCCTTCCTCTCGTAGGCATACTGCGAGACGAGCCCGGCACGCAGCTCGAAGGTCTCGCCCTTACGGGGGACCGCGAACGCGCCCTTTATCCGGTTCACCGCCATCGTCAAGGAGTGTTGTGCGCCGTCGCAGGGCTGCTAGGTCGGAGTCTCGTGTGGGAAGTCGGGAGCAGCGTTTCGAGAGCCCGGTCGGTACGGAGCTTGGGGTAGACAGGGCTCGAAGAGGAAGGGTGGACAGCTAGTCCGCCACGGTACAGAGCCACAGCATGCGATTCGAGAGGCTCGGGGAGGTTGTGCAGGTTGGCTCCGGCAAGTTGTCGCCTTGGCCCGGGAAAGTTGCAGGTGGTCACTGGGGTCGGGCGTCGAGGGGCAGAGCGCGACGTTGGCCAAGCTGTTCTGACAGGCCGCGGACGCTTGGGCCACTTTTCTTTAAGTGTTGCTGCCCCTGTCAGGGGTTGCATGCGAGGGAAGGCCCGACCCTTGGAATTTACCTGGTAGGGGACCAAGAGGGGGGGGGGGTTGTTTGTGCGTTGCGCCAACGCAAGGTCTAGCGAACTGGGACAGAAATCTTGTGATATCCTATCATTTGGACCTCGTGGCCATTTGTGACTATTTGCAAGTTTTTAGCTATTCTATTGGGTATCTCAATTTCCATGCTTCTGGATGCCTCCCATCCCCGCAGCGCTGATCCAAGGGTGCCTGTCCGCAGAAGAGACCTTCTTACCCCTGCGAGTATAAAATAATTCCTGCCCTGCACTCTGTTTATACCGGACCAGGTGGCTTCCAGTATCATCCTGCAGGCGGGTAACCAATGCCAAAAACACCAGCATCCTCCTTGTCCTTGCTCGTGGCCGGCCCACCCTCTTCCACGTCCACGCCGACTTGGTCATCAGGCTCAGGCGTCGCAAGAACATGACCGACGCTCATCTTAGAAAGGTCGTCATGTTCCCCTCCGCTGCCTGGTAAATCAACGCCAACGCCAACCCCGACACCCACATCCACATCCAGGCCGTCGACGTCCATCCGGGCACTTGCCTCGTCAGGGCCGTCGTCGTCTGTCTGCTCCATGAGTATCATGTCGAGGTCACGATCCACTGCATCATCTTCCGCGCCCTCGACGTGGCTGTGGTTCCCGACTGCAAGCAGGTCCTGGAAGCTGTTTGCCTCTGCGTCGGTGTGGTACGAGTGATACGAGTCGTGGTGGTGATGGACGGGTATGGGGTGGTGATGCGCGTATGACGATGGCGATGGGTGGCTTGGCGGCGGCTGGTTGATGATCTGTGGGTCAATCGGTTGATAGGCTGGGGAATGCACGAGGGGGAGCGAGTGGGAGACCGGCGAGTGCCGGTGCAGGTTATGGTGCTGCTGGAGTGATGTGATATGCGGATGCCGTATCATCACATTGTGGTGCTGCTGGCTATGCGGTAGGGGAGCATGTTGCGGCACAGGTGAGTCTGTAGGCGTGTGTAGAGTTTGTGCCGGATAACTCACGGACATGTCATCATGGTGAACCGAGTATGGAGCCGGGGAGAAACTGGGCAGATGGGCGTGGGCGTGACCGGGCAGGTGGGCGCTGGCGTGACCGGGGTCGTCTCTATCTGGCCTGTCTGCTACAGGCGTCGAGACGATATTCGCGATGGCCGGGATGACAGGAGCAGACGACACAGTGGCAGCCGGCACAGGAGCAGCAGGAGGAGTAGTAGCATCACTTTGCTTCTGGCTTGGCGTGGACGGCTTCTTCTGATGGACAGAGTTGCCGTGGCCTAAGCTTGGGATTGACTTTGACGAGTCTTTGCATTCGGCACATGCCCTAATTACATCGGAAACGGTCTCTTTTATGCGGCTCCAGTGGTACTTCTCAGCAATGGTGGCGGTGGTCTTGTTGATACCGCCATGGTGCTGCGAGTGGACCTGACGGGAGATGTCGTACTGTCTCTGGGGGTCCGAGATGACCTCCTTGTCCTTGAGCATGAGTTTGTCGTCATCAAGCAGCTTGTAGTGTGTCGCGGCGCTACGAAGTCTGCTTTTCTCGGCCCGGTCAGCGCCGTTAGGGTATTTACCGTATTTGAGATAGAACTTGATCTTGTCGAAGCGTTCTTCACTCACAAGTTCCTCGCTGTTCTCGTCGACCGAGAGATCTCGTCCGTAGATGATGGCGTCGATGAGTCGACCCGGGTAGCTCTTGAGGTTGCCGCAGCCCTTGACCCTGCCAATGCGCTTGAACCCCAGCGCGTCCCAGATCTTGCACGATGCCACATTGGTCTCATAGACGAGGTTGAAGACGGAGTACGTGTAGCCTAGCTTTGGTGCATAGTCAAGATAAGCCTCGCCCATCAGGCGGCCAACACCGCGGTTTCTTGCGGCGTCCGTCACAAGGAAGCCGGCGTTGCAGACATGAGAGCTCCGCCCGGGGTAGTTGGGCTTGATGTAGAAGCTGCCGAGGCACTCCTTGGACCAGTCCTTGTCGTCAACCACGTCCTCGGGCTTCTCGATCTTGCCCAGGAGCATGATGGCGCCGAAGTTCTGGAACCAGTAGGATGCAAACTTCTCGAATGGCATGGGCTCGATCATGGGATATGTGTCTCCATTGTTGACCTCCTTCGCAAACTGGTCGCTCATGTACCTGAGAAGCGAGAGAGGCACTTGATGGCGAGACACGAAGGGCACGATCGTGGCGACAGTCTGTCTATCTCGCAGGGTCACTTGACGAGGGACAATACTGGCCGGCAGCGATGGGTTGTTTGGGTCCGGATATGGAGGCTCCCCGGCGACGCGGTAGATGGTCGGGGAAGCGGGATCATCCATCATGGCCGGCATCTTGCCCCGAGGTCACACAGGACCGTGGTTGTACAGTGCAGTGCAGTGCAGTGCCCTGTTGCATGTCAGCTTACAATTTCCTCTGCCTCTGTCTGCCAGCAGCAGGTTCCCAAGATCAGATGTCTGGGAGAAGCTGTGCCGTCCCGTTATGCCGCCTTTGGGAGTTGTCTGGGGTGCATTGCAGGCGCCATACCTTTTTTTTGCAGCCGGTTAGGCTCAGTTTGCTCTCAGTGTGGCGCGAGTCTATGTTCAGAGTGCTTGTCGACACAAGGCGGCAGCCAATGGGGTCAGCGTTGCACTGTTCTTTGATGGGTGGTGCATGTGTGAGCGAGCGATGATGAGATGTGCTTGAGGAAGAGAAGTGCGCGCGGGGTGGGATTTGAACAATGCAGTGAGACCAGACCCTGAAGGCCTCGGGCCAAAGGGCGCCTGCCCACTGCCCACCCACTGCCACTGTCACTCACCAAATTCCGACTTCCGATCCCGGACCAGAAACCCTCGAGTAGTGCCGGTTATCCAGTAATCAATCAATCCAGACTTGAGCAGGTAAACATCAACCTTTGCCTTCTTCCCTCTGAAATAGCAATGAGAAGACATACTTGGTTTATTTATACTTGCGGATGCCAGTGGAATGCCGACGGCTAAAGAATCTTCCAACAGGAGATAGCATTGCTGCTCACCCGCACCCAACACTGCGCACCACCCGGCGCGCATTTGCGCATCAAGTGCCTCGGTGCCCAGACTGCCTGTCTCCACTAGCCTAGCAACGGCTAACGTAGGCTTGGAGAATGCACAAGCCTAGCCTAGCCAGCCAGCATGGTTGCAAGACTTTTGCTGTCTTATTTTTCGTAACCCTCGCTTTTAATAAATCGCCAAGACAGTTGCTACCAGTCAATCAGTTTCCACCACTGATACCAGCAGGTTCATCATTCAAACGGCTTTCGAAAGCACTGGCACATGGCAGGCTAAGAGAGACAGCAGTCAGTGATCGTTTTCAATTGTGCCACTTTGATGGCTTGTGATGGATTTACGTGGAAAACGCCGTAGATGCACTTATAGTCGATCTGAACATCTGGTGAGACCGGCAACATTCCTCATGGACACAAATGTCTAGGAACACATTTAAGGAATAGATGATTAAAAGGAATAATAAAAAGTACTGGATAAGAACGTTGAGAAAGGCATCGATTTCCCACAAATTCCAACGACATTGAATAAGATAGTCTCAACACTATGTTGAGATAGTGGACATGGAGCTTTTCTATAGCACGTGGCAGTATCTAACGTGCTTGGACGCAGCGTATAGACGGTGTATAACTCCTTGGGACATCTGACACTCCATATAATGGCCTTCCATTGGTGAATGATACGAACTGGGCTATATGATGCTCATTTGGAGGCTGAATAGCACACCGTTGGAAAGATCTGTCCTTGTCCTCTCGCCGCCTTTGCCCATGATACCGCTCCCCTTATACAGGGTCGCTTCCCACATTTAATATTCTGTCTGTAGTAGTTGGGAGTTTGCTCTCATCCTTAGTGCCTCTTGATGTAGTTTTCCACCATTCTGGCCCATGCTTGTATGCTAAATAAAACACCAGACATATCAAGAAGGCAATGGATACATCGAAGACAACTTCTACTGTACGCTCTCTGTTTCGCTCCGTATCCGTGAAGCCAAATGATCTGAGCAGGTAGCCGAGATTCAAGAGCGTGGCGTTGATCCTTGTTTCGCAGGGATCTGGGCCACAAGTGATCTCTAAATCGGGCAGATGCTTTGCGAGCAGCCGACTTGCCTTCTCGGCTTCCGCCCACGAAGCAAGACGAATAACTGAACAGCTCGGCATAAAGACCCAGTTGACGGTCCGTTCTACCCGTAAGCCATGTCGCGTCAAGAAGTCACCGACCTTTTCATCCTTGACATTCACCTCCGAGGCACTTACCCCGTTGAGTACCACAACATGCGACTCGGAACCGATGGCTGGTATCTTGTTCGTTGATCGCATGAGCTGAACAGTGGTGATCTGAATGCCGTTTATGTACAGCCGGTGCTGCTTGGCCAGTGCTAGGACTCTGCGCGCCGCGGCGTCGGTGCAGAATTCAATCGCAGCGATCCTGGCAGACCAGAATTTTGCATCGAAGACGGGCCCGGGGCGCAAGTCGACAAGAGGCTCGAAGAGATCGACAAGCTCGGTTCCTGCTGGGAGACCTCGAATCATTATGACTCTCTCCTGCAACCTATTGTTTTGTCTGGTCTTCTCGGCGGCCGCATCCTCTCTCCTCTTCTTTTCCTCAGCAGCAGCTTTCGTTTTCGCAAGCAAGTCATCTGCGATCTTCTGCTTCCTCAAACGATCCTCCTCCGTCTCCTCGGGCTTTGCATGCTGTTGCTGTTCCTTCCGAGGAGTCTCCTTGGAGTTTTCGGGTTTGGAGCCTTGAGGCTTCTGTGAGTCTGCTCCTGTGCCAGATTTCTTTGATGATTTCGCGCGTTGCTGGCCCCCTTGAGCAGTCTTCCTGGCCTCTCTTGTCCGCATGGCTTCGGCCTTCCGCACAGCTTCGTCTTCAGCTTTCCACTTGGCCCGCAAGCTGTCAGCAACCGACGACTGACTAGCCATCAACTGGGCTGCAGCCGCTTTTTTCCTGGCCAGCCTCTGTCGATCATATTTCTTCCGCTTCGACTCATCACACAGCTTCTCGAAAGTTTCTTGCAGCTTAAGTGATAGTTAGTCAGGGAAGCGGAAATATTGCTGGGCATAGCGGTTGGTTACTTGCATTATGGAATCTTTCTTTGGCGCCTGGTGTCTTGTCGTGGTCCGGGTGCTCTACCTTAGCTCGCTTGTAGAACGCCTTCCTGAGATCCTTCTCTGACGCGCTTGGATCTGCGTGAAGCCTTGCGTACCAATCGTACCATGCCTCGTCCTTGTTCGAGGGTTCCTTGTCCTTGTCCGAGGATTCCTGGTCTTTTTTCGATGCAAAGCGCCTCTGCTGGGCCCGTGTTGGGCGCCATGTCCATCCCGGCCTCAAGGCTGATGTTACGCAGAACCAACCGGAGCTGAGGTCGCTTCGTTTTACAGCCACAGAATACTGTCCGTGAAGAAGTGGAGAGCTGTGGTTGAGGGCCCTTGTGATGCACGGCCGGGGCGCATCGTTGGTGATGAGCTTCCTAGCCAGCTAGTTGTAGAGGGGGAGAAACTTGCCACTATGGTGGTAGGGGTAAAAACGGGCCTAGCGGCCAGGTTTTTGTGGGGCAGACCTACCCTGGCACGACGGTAATCTACTTTCTCCAGCAGAGCAGAAGAAAACTTACAAAACGCACGGACCATGGAGACTCTGAAGGGAATGCCCTTTTTTTTTTTTTTTTTTTTTTTTAGTACGATACTGCAGTAGCAGCGAGAAATGGTTCTTGTAGAATCCCTATAAGTCTTCATTGAGGCTCTGCCAGTGCCTTTTGTCTCTGAGATTGTTGCCTAAGTTTTGTGAAGCCACCATGCTTTTTCAACAGGGGGCGGCATGTTTGGCCACTCAGGAGTGCAGATTCAGAGATCCAAGACATCGGGGCTCTCGGCAACAAGCCATGGGCATATCAAGGGAAGAAGTACCAGATGGAGACAAATATGGGACTGCTGCTTCATCGTGAGTTACACATGAAAGGGGAAAATCAGTTTTATATGCTCCCGATGGATTCAAGAAGCCTTGGTTAAAGCTATCGAAGTATGGAACCAAACAAGATTTTGTGGCATGGTCAGTTTCAGCTGTGAAAAGACACAATGTTTATGTCCAGTACGTATGATCATTGTCAACGAGCAGGTTCAATAGAAAAGCCTTGCCTTGTTGAATCTGCCTTGCATGTGACCCGATCTATTCTTTCTTAATGGATGTTACCTAGTAGTTGCAGGTGGCCTTGCCGGTGGTGATGGTGCCATCATATTATGAAAGCACCCTGGGATAAGCCACTGCTGGTTAAATTCATTGTAGGATGATCTCCCTTGGATTAGGTTGAGGGACAACCTCCCAAAGACGATTACCTTCTGTGGGACTACCTCCTGTGAGGGTATCTGGGCCCAAAAGAAAATCGATTTCGTGAGAACACCACGGAGCCTTCCTATCCAAGCACAACATCAATGGTTTGTGGATTCAGGGACACCCACATACGCTTGTGAACCCGACCAACAGCTTCTCGAAAAGCAATGCCTTCCCTGCACGTGATCCACATGACATTACAATACTCGTATGAATCTCCATCCTTTGGCCGTTCCTCTACCATATACTCCTTTATGTCCACCGTGCCCTCCGCAGGACTGAGACCGTTCGGGATTGAACCTTGGGAAATCGCAATCAGCTGAACCTCGACCGGGGTCTCCTCCGGGTCCAGACCGTCTCTCGAGAAGTAATCACGGCTGTGCAGCCGCAGAATGCCAGCCCACTCCTTTTGGGAATTCACAAGTGTGACAAGTACAGACTCTGATTCTTCATTCTGTATAGACCAGTATCGCTGTCGATAGGCAGTTCCGGCCACGTAGAGCCGCGCTGTCTCGACAGAACCGAACAGAAATGCGGTTTGGGGTGTCGAATGTGGCCGAGGATCCGGGTCTGATAGGGGCACGGGGTACCAGAAAGTCGTCCTCTCGGAGGATTTGTGCGAGTATAAATACTTGCCGTACCCATCTGGCGGTACACTGTTTCCCGAGGTCTTGGAAGGATGGTGTCTACGCTTCTTCCAGCCCGGCGGTAGCTTGCTGGCCGGGCTTTTGTAGCGCTCTCTCCACGTGCTCCAAGGAGTCTCGATCCTCCTTTTCTCAGATGTACCTGAGGCGTCGTTGCTCGTGTACCAGGTGGTCACCGGAGATGTCTGCTGCCGCGACGAGCCCATCCAACCGCTGCAGCCTGCGACGAAATCATTACCGGTGTTCCAGCCACGGAAGTCTATCTCACCTTGCCACCCTACCCACGACCATGACGGCAAAATTTCTTTGGCAAATTTGTAGCGTTTCCCGGTTTCGATTGGAATGCGCCTAGTCAGGTCGCCGCCGGGATGCCAAAGCAGGGCAGCATCGAAGAACATCTCCGGAAGACCACACAGGAAGCCGCCTTTGAAGACTTGGTTGTACATCGGGAGCATCCCTGGCATCGCGGAAAGACAGTCCTGAGGATATTTGAGATGCCTCCGATTGAAATCAGCCACTAGCCTGGAGTGGACGGTCAGGGAAGGATAGCCGACATCAAGTATCCAATCTCTTTCGTCGTGGGAGCGCCGCGGGTGAGAATGGTTCTCGAAGACCGTGTTCTGGCAACACTGGAACCAGACACTGTCATTTTCGAAACATATCCGCCTTCGCGCGAACAAGAGTTCCTGAAAGGTCCACCCGCGGTCAAAATACACCTTGTCCATGCCCGAGTGTTTGGAAGGCCGACCTTCTGTGGAGAAGTTGGTTCGCCTCAGGATGCTCCTGTCACCAAACGGAATGACTTCCTGCTCGAGGTGGCGCGGCTCCGCAGAAGGGGCGTTCTTCAATCCAGGAATACCACTTTCAGCATTTTTCCCATCAATAGGAATAATTACCGCGTTGGCATAGGCGTAAATTGATGCCATCTGGTTCAGGTGCTCATTCTGTGACTACTCGTCGTCCTGGACAATGCAGAGGCTATAACCCAGAGATAGCGCTCGCCAAGGAGCCTGGTCAGATGTATCGCGTGCCTGACAGTCTTTGGCAGAGAGACCTGCTTCTCTGCATCTTCCAACGCTCCTGGGCATTGCAGTTGGTCCAAGTTAGACTTCACCACCTTGACCACCGCCGCTTGGCCCCAAACGTAGCTTAGAGAAAGATAAGAGGGTTGTGGGAGCGCAGGAGCCAGACAATTCCTGACTGTGTCGATGAAATACTTGGGCTCGGGTGCCGGGAGCCGTTCTATATACGGCGGTCTCTGGCATCCCCCATGGCTGCTGATACAATTCTTGTACCACTGTACGAGGATATTGTCGTCGATCCAGTGAGGGTCGACTTCAACTCCATATCCAGGGAATTGGTCTTGCTTCGTGCTTTCCACCACGTCGAATTCGGGACTGCTTCTATCGAAATGATCGCCGAGATGGAACGAGCAGGATGACGACCAATAGTCTCGGCGGAAGTGCAACGGCTGTGAGGTTTCCAGATGCTCGAACCACTTGCACAGCCAATCTAGCAAAAGCCGACAGGTTTTGCACTCGAGCGCGCAAAGCCTATCGAAGGACCCCAGATTGATGGACAGGTGGGTCCGAGGTGTCTCCTTGAGAGCAGGTAGTAGCTTCTTGCATAAGGTGCAGCTCTGCAGGTTCCAGTTAGCGACTTCAAAACTCCACTCGCGTGTACTAGTGAAAGCTCACTTAAGCATTATGACCTGAGGTCGATAGTTTTGTACATACCGTGGTCCCTCTGGTTGTCAGTAAAGACTGACGATTTTCCCGACTTCTCCTTGCTACAGAATGGAAGAGAGAACAAGAAAGGGAAGCCATCAGATAGTATTGTGAGTCAACGACGTTTGATGGGACTTGTTGCAGATACTTGTCCACACCTTCGAGCGGAGGGGATTTGCAGCTTTGCGTGATCACTCAACATCCCACCAAGTCTAGGCTGACACAGCCACCGCAGCAGGGGGCTTACCTGACTACTTAAGTAACCCTTCTTGTGATTGGTGTGAAGAATGCGGAAGACCTAGTCGGCGACATGTGCGATAAGCCCTAATGACAGGCACGGTGGCATAGGGCCATAGTAATAGAGCAATAATATTTAGAGTGGACGCTCTTATTGTTCATCAACTTATTGTGAATTGTGATCTGAGCGATAGATACAAAGCATATTTACTTCTAGTTGAATTCATGTACTGTGTTCTCGAATAATTAATTTTACCTCGTCCTGGACCGTTGAATCCGGTGCGGTGCCAGACCCAGATTGCCGCCATATTGTTTTACGTCAGATGCATCGGGTCTTGGTCACATTCGGGCAAATCAAGTTGCCATTCCAAGAACAACGCATCAATTCGTGTGTTATCTCTGTCACAGATGGAGTAGAGAGATTGCTGCGGGTAAGAACACACTTCAGGGGCCTAAAAAAGCCCCTGTCCTGCCAATTCTGATTTGACCAAATGCAACCGGTTCAATTCCACCGATGATGCCCAACATGCAAAATCGTAGTTATAGCCATGACTTCATCTAGCATATAACAATAGCATCTCATTTCCCATCTTTGACACAGCAAGTACAGTAGGGCACTGGTAAGAACATGAGGAGCAAATATTTCTTGAACTCCTACTACCGAGAGCAAACGCTCACATAACTTTAATTTCAAATGCTGTACATACTCAATCGTCGGAAGCTATCCAGTGTCCATTGCTTTATCGCAATGTATTTGTGTCTTTATTCAGCCAAGAATGCAGTTACATCACGGCACTGCTGATATTGAGGTACCAAGGCCAGATCTGGGATTTGCCGATCCCAGAACAGGCCTCCCAGCCAATATCAGCATGATTTTTCGCTCCTTGTCCGGACTAGGAAGTCTAAGTTCAGAGTTTGGCGTAAAACCTGGGAGCATGACATAACTTCTCCTGAGAGAAGGGGGGCAGAGGGCAGAGGCTCGCCAGGTCCTTCGTCAGGTCTTTGCGGCTGAGTACGAGCATCATCGCTCTGAAAGCGAACGTGTGGGCGTATGCATCGCTGGTTGCGTATTAATCCTGTGTTAGGTGCGACTCGAATTGTGCGAGCCCTTTGGCCTGGGCCATAGTCCCGCCTCCCTCGTGTCTGAAATGGTTGACTCTACTCGATAGTGAGACGAAGTAGTACTCTTTCTCGACAAGTCTGGTAAAGACGTTCGATTAGTAGGCGCCTTAGAATGGGCTTTTCGCAGGGAGGGACCAGTCTCGCTGGGGGAGGAAGATAGGCAGAGGGGCTTACGGATCAATCTTTGGACTGCCACTCCCCAGCCTTACGCTCATCCTGTCGGTGATAACCGCTGCAGGTAACTTCGAGTTGGACCCGTCGTTTGGCTCCCAGTTATCTTTAATATGCTTTTGTAGGTCCGTTTGGAACCTTCTCGCGTCATAGACAAACGTTGTGCCGGAAGCATTTCCGAACACCCCTCCCTGACTTGCGGGGGTGATCTGGACTCCGAGGCCCTCCAGCCCTTCCCGAGTCTCTGGAGTGAACCCTTGATCTTCGACCTCAACGCGGACAGTCTCGCGGTTTTTCTTGAAAAGTCGCTCCAACCTCTTAACCACTTGTATAATTGAAAAGAATTCATAATGGTGGTGTTTAAGGAGAAATCTTTCGTTGTTCATCTCCAGCGCCTCGCAAACATACTGAAGGTCCATGTTGCCCAAGCCGAGGACTAAGATGTGGTCGATTTCGCTGAATCGTCCTTGGCTCACAATGTCGACAAGTGCCTGACAATCCAGCTCAGACCAGGGCTTCCAAGGGCGGAAGTTGTCTTTCCATCCAAAACGACAAGCTTCCATGCAGGCCTCTAATTTTTCTGATAAATAGCTTCGATATTGTCGTGGTGTTTGGTCTTGGGATTCGTAGTATTCTTGTCATGCGCATTGTATCAACAATGTCAGAAGAGGGCAAGCTGCTTTATATGTACGGACGGAAAGGCTTTCGCCCATCAACACCAAGCGTCTCAGCGGCGGCCTTGGCCAAGTACACCGGGGTCAGTACGGCCAAGTTGGTTCTGTTAGTGGTCAACTGGTCTCGTAGCTGGCGGCCAGTTAATAGGGCAGGGTAGACCAACAAGTGACAGGGCAACCGACCATACTGCCGATTCATGCTAGTACAGAAGCAAAGATGTCGTGAGTCGCTTGACCCAGAGTAACTTCAGTTTCGAGGGGTCTATTCTGGAAATATCTTCTGGCTCGGTGGGCTACAGGCCGGGTCATCGCGAGGTTGCAGGAGGTCATGAGGCGGGCAAGTCGACGAAGTGGGACCAGGGTGGGCTAATTGACAATTGAACAGCATTCATCTCTCCGAGGGCTTCACAGTGACGGATGGGCAGACAGAGGTCGGCCCAAGCCATAGGATGGCCCTTCCGCTTGAAGCTAGCCACTGATGAGTACAATTTCTACTTAAACTATCTACTCTTTGCGCCTAGCACACATGTACGAACCGCGTTTCCTGTAACCTAAATTCGCTAACACCAGCTATCCCGAGAGCCCCTAAGCGCCCTAGACGTGGTGATGGGATGGCTGCTGCCATTGCTCGCCCGGGCCCTTGGCGCTCGGGTTTGCGGCCAGTGCAGGTGGGCCCTGTTCGTCCATCCACGGCTGCAAGGTGGTCCACAGACCGTTTCGCTTGCGGACGACGATGGTGAAGACGAGCGCAACAGCGATGGTGTAGAACCACGCAGTGATGACGGGTTCTACGAACAGGATCGCCGTATAGGTTTCGTAGTGATTAAAGTTGTAGAATGCGGAAAGGACAAAGATGGAGAGGTAGATGACGGTGTACATCCGAGTGAGCAAGTTCAGGATAGCCGCGACGAGGAAGAGCAGTGCGGACTGGAGTGATCGTCTGGGTTAGTAAAAGTAATAAGTGTTAGGTTTTCTTCTGCCGGTGATTCAAGCAATGCTTCAGCATGGATAGGGCGCAACTTACGTTCTTCAATATGTAGTTGCGCTTCGTCTTGTGAAAGACTACGGCGGCAAAAACCAACAACAGCAAAGCCCAAACAAAGGTAAGGACGTTAAAGGCGAAATTAATGTTTCTGCTAGCCTGCCGAAGGGAGGAGTCGAGATAACTATACCATCGGTCGCTAAGATAACGCGAATACACGGCGTTATAAACACCGAAGAATGCAATTGCCAGCATAGCGAGGATGGTACAGGACGCAATAGCAGCGTACCTTACCGCTTTCTGCAGCGCTGTCCTCGTCTGGGTGAGGCAGAAGAGAAAGCCATTGCCCAGCTCAGCGAGTGTCATGATCAGGAAGAGGTCCGTTGTGTTGGAGAAAAGAGTCCCCAGCACAGACAAGCGCAAGGAAGCGTGGTAGACTCCCTCCGAGACCGTGTAGGTTTTGTCGTAGACGATAGAAAGGATACCTTGTATCGTGTACAGTAATAGGTACCTATTTGTATCCAAAGTTAGTGGAAACAGTCTGAGGATTATGAGACGCTAGAGCAAGGCTCTCTGTACAGCATCTCGCTCTGTTTTGGCTGCAGTTGGACATACAGTATTGCCAACGGCAGCATGGCCTTGAAATATGCAGTGGCCACCCGTGCCGGATCCTTGCTACGCCGTGCTCGGAAAAAGCTGATGCACATGATAACGGACAGTGGCACTATCATGATGGCCGTGAAGCCGATGTTGACACCACCTGAGACATTGAAGTCGATGAATCTTGGCATCTTTCGATGACTTGAGCAGAATATTTGGTTGTAGATGATTGAAATTTGAGGAGTAATCAAGGCAGTAAATGGGCAAAATAATTTGAAGGTATGCAAAGCATGCAGAATATGAGAGTTGGATGGGCTGTGACAACTGGACCTAACTACAGAGTGTGCGGCCCGCATTCGTCTTATAGATGACAAAGCCTCACCGGAATTGGGAAAATGGCGAGTGAGTAAGTACCAAATTTCACGCCACAGACTATAGAGCTCTAAACAATATGCCTTATGACCTGGCAAAGTCGCCAGGCACGCGCATCGCACTGCCACGCGGTAGTACAAATAAGGAAGCAGAAATAACGGGTGGATGAGATTTAGATGCAGCGGAACACTCCTTCGAATGCCCAGGCGGCCCAGGGTATACACAGCCCTAGTAATAATACGTCCAGGCAGCCAGTTCAGCAAGCACGTCGAATCATAACGGTTGTGCTGCGCGTGAAGGATCCGCCAAGATTTACACAGGCTACTGCATGCTTATCATGTTCTAATCGGGCCTAGCGCGTATTGCATTGTCCTTCTCGCTACTTTTTCCATTCATTCAGGAGACTCAACTTACACGCTTTCGTTGCTCGCTTCTCGTTGTGTATCTATAGATCCTGAGGCAGTGAAGGTTTCTCGGAATGCTGTGTCTTTCTACGCATATAGCGCTCATCAACTCAGTCGATTTAACATATCACATCAAGTCTTGTGTACATGGCCTCCCTATCATGGTATTTGCCAACTCTGAGTTACTTGAGTAGATCATGACTTGGTCTCTGCATGCAATGACTGGCAATGTCAGAGTCTGGTGCATGCAAAGAGGAGCAGCAGACATCCGTTCACTAACATCTGTGTACTGAGCACTCACACTCGGCATTCGCTTTCCCTCTATCGCTCGTCGGTATGAGCTTCGAGAGAAACAACATTGGCTGAGCCATCGAGCTCGATGGGAGCCGACTGGCTGCTGCTGCCAGGCGTAATTTGCTGCACAGCGCGAATTGTTGGTGTCCCGGGGCTTGGACTAGCTCACCAGAGTGCCTCTGGCAGATCACACTGCCTTTCTGCTCTTGATACTGTCTCATCTCAGTCAATCTCGCGTCTGGAGACCTTGTCGTTCGTTTGCCCAGGGTTAATCGAGCCTTCCTGCTGCTCGACATGGATGGCTATAGTGTTCAATGTTGCGGCACCATACTTCTTTACCGACTGTAACCCAATACCAGTGAGCTGTATCGCCGGTGATATCTGGTTGTGGGTCGGTGCGTCAGGACAACTTGCAGTGGGGAAGCAGGTTGGGCTGCTTCTTTGGTTTCTTGGTTTCGCGACGTGATGGTGCAGACCGGCGAGCACGCAGCTCTCAAGCTGAACCTCCCAGGCGCTCTTGTGCTCATGTCAATCTGACTTCAAGGTTGCTTCATGGTACTGCGACAACTTTTGCTACATCCACAATGATTATCATTTCAACCTGTCTTTATATAAACTTGATAGTAATGTGTCATTATCATCATCATTAAAGTATCCAGACTATGAGAAATACGTATCAGCAGCGCCAAATTATCTCCAGTACGGGCAGACCCAATTGTTCCATTCATCTTCCGTCTCATCTTCCATACTCACAACGAGACCACCCTGCCCAGCCAACATCGATTCAGCCTGCGCTATTAGAAGCTCGGCGCTTTGTTGGTCATCCGGTGGGCCCTCTGAGAGGATAGCAGCCTTCTTGCGTAGGAGTCGTGCGGTATCGCCCGCAGCTTCCCGCAGCTCCGCAATAGTCAGACCCTTGTTGAGATATTTCCTGTGACGTCTCAGCTTAGGCCCAATCAATATATCGAATCCGCACCACCGACTCCATACTTACAAGGCTTGCTCGCGATCACCGGCGCTTGCTCTAAGGCATGCAGTCTTGTACAGACAAGCAGCGAGAAGAAGGTGAAATGGAGTGGTTTCCTCCAAGATGGCGCGAGCTTTCTCGTAGAACTGATCGGCATCCTCAGGGCTCTGGGCAAGCTTGAGGTTTCCGTACGCATAGTTCAGGCTGTAATTATGTTTTCAGCAACAGTAGATCAAGAACGGACAAGGACCGTACGATACTCACTGTGCCATGAAGTGGGCTTTGGGGCCGAACTGATCCAAGAAAATAGCCTCTGCTTGTTTATAGTTCTCCATTGCCTCGGTTAGCATGCCCTTGAGAAAATATGCCCGCCCCGTAGTCATATGGGACACTGCGAGTGGAACAATGGCGTCAGCCCCAAGCTTCACTCTGATCTTCTTTGCTCTGTCAAAGAGGTCCAACGCAACATCATAATTCCCCTCGGCAGACTCGAGGTTGCCGAAGTTATTGAGCTGGTTAGCGAGCTCTTCCTCGGCCCCGGGCACATTCTTCTTGGCCCAAGTTTTCCGAAGGGTCATGGCCTCCTCCCATGTCTGTCGACATAGCTGCAAATCATTCAGTTCAAATGCGCAACAGCCGACGGTATTGAGAAGGTGCGCATATAGCTCAGAGAGCTTGTCAGCGCAGGCATTCTGTGCGATCTCCAGCAAATGCAGAGCAGTGCGATGATCCGCCATCTCGAAAAGGTACCTTGAGGCCATTCGCTGTCAGCTTAATACGGAACAACGACTGATATCGCACACTTACCATGCACAGTGTTTGAGCAGCTCGGCTAGACTCTTTGGAATCGGAAATTCCTTACGCACAGCACGGACCTCAGAGAACCGTTCTGCAAGCCATCTGACATGTTCTATGAGCTCTCTGCATTTCTGCCATTCCCCATGCATTGGACGACCGTTGATCTGACGTGGAAATCGCTTGTACAGCAGATGGATGGCCGAGGAAAAAGCGGCTTCCAGTCTTTGCCCACCTGTCTCTAGCAGGAAGTCAACGTAAGCGTCCTGAACGAGGCGATGAACAGTGATGTTGGGCCCGTCTAGATCAGCAAGGGCCATCTGCGCAAGGTCCACCGAAGCGGTGTCAATTCTGTGGCCTGATTAACAGCAGTCAATCTAATGATAGGGATAGACGGGATAATGATAGTAGCGTACCCAAATTCGTCTTCGCAGATCAGCAACAACTCCGGGGGTACGCCGTCGTCAGTCACATCAGTGCCAAAGAGCGATTGCGGCACGCCATCCGGGCACAAGAGTGCGAGAATTCCAAGCAAAATCCTCGCTTCTCCTTTTTCTTCTCCGCTCTTATCCAGTTGTTCAAAGCTTAGGAACCAGATCCTGTTTAGGACATGTTCCGATCCTACGCGGCGAGTGCTGTCCCCTTCGTAGTCAATGATGCGGCCTGAAGTTTTCATCAACTTCACAGCGCCCTTATTGTACATCTTGAGGAATTTCGAGGCAGTTGTGTTCTTCCGTGCGTGCACATTCATCAAGCCAGCTATAACACGGAGTCCGATGGGAAGACCGTCTACCTTTGTTGCAAGAGCTTCGAGAGCATCTTCGTCCTGGTCATTTAGAACCTGCGACGACGAGTACTTCATTGATTCTGAAAGAACCTTGGTTGCAGCCTCGACTGGGAAGGGTTTCAGTGATACTTCTGATGATTTTGGCAAGGCGTTATCAGGCCGCCGGCTTGTGATTATCACAGCGCCACCTGTGGTCGGAACATATTTGGAGTCAATGTCCTCAATACTTTCCACGTTGTCGAATATCATGAGCCATTTCCTCCCTGTGAACACATTAGTATCTGACGCAGGTCGCAGCGATGTTCACATCTGGATTCAGGACCAACCATTCTTTCGAGCTGCTTGTGTACGGAACCAGCTCTGAACCATTAAAAAGTTCATTTCATCATTTCCATCTTCACGCATAGACCCAGGTAGTTTCAGAGAGCGCGCAATGTTGGTCATGCTGGCGTTGATAGACAGTGTTGTCTCACTGCGGACCCAGAAGATGGCATCATACTTGCCTGCGTTTCGATGCGCATAATTCAACGCTGTCTGAGTCTTTCCAACGCCACCCAGACCGTGGATCAAGACAGAACGTAACTTGTTGTCCGGTCCCTCCAGGGCTTCATCGATCCGCAAGAGAACTTCCTCCCGACCTTGGAAGACGGCGCTCAAATGTGCCATTGGTAAGAGGTTGACCGGGTAGTCCGCCAGATCATCAGATACGTCGAGGCTGCTCGCGAGCTCATCTTGACGAGCTCTTCGTTCGCTTTCGAGCCTTTCGAAGTGTGCAAAAAGTGGAGGGTTCATGACTGAAGCAATGTTCTTCAGATGGTTGATAGATGCTTCGACTTCATCCATAGCCGACGAGAATTTCGATTCAAGCTGTCCAGTCACTGCCTCCCACCTATGAGCCGAAGAGTCTGACACGGAGATTAGAATCTCAAATTGGGGTGTTGTTGGGATCTTCATAGACTGACTCTCGCGCATCCAGCTCACGGTTTGTACCCAGAACTCGATGAGGCTGGTAAACACCAGAACCATGGCCCTGCTCAGCTCATCAGGGAATGAGACCGAGAATGACTTGGCACAAAGGTTCAATACGACAAGACTACGCCGGATTCTCTCAAGTCTCTTGACAAAATCCATCCACATAGATTTGGATTTGAGTGAAAGCTTTTGGGACGGTTTAGTATACGTGGAAGAATAAAAAGGACCATCGAAATGCTTGCCGTTGTTGTGAGATAGATCAAGCCCCACATCACCGCAAATTCTAGGGATTGCGGTGCAATTGCCATGAGAAACATTGCCACGGAACTGTGTAGCACTCTGACCGCTGGCGGCACATCTCTGTTAATCGGTCAGACATGGTTCTAGATGTGGTATCAAGGTGTTGACCAGAATTGGACGTACTGGAAGCCAGATGACCAAGCGTTCCTTGACACCTTCTCTTGTCTGCACTGAAGGTCATGAAGGAGAGCCTCTGCAGATGTGAACGATCGGATCGTCTCGTAGTCGCTGGAAGACAATTTCTGCTTGGCTTTCAGAATTGCCATATTCCATCTTTCCGACACGGCATGTTTGACGTCTCTGTCTGATAATTAGCCATGCTGAAGTGAGTGCACCTTGCAAAGCCCGAGGAGGTGACTTGCTCTGGGTCGTCTTCCAATGCTAATGTCGAGATTGACGGCAATGGAGACCCCCACTCTTTCTTCTCGCTCTCGCTTGTTATGAGATCCGCCATCGTTAATTTTGCGGTGCAAGATAATCCTATGTGACTGGGAAAATGTAATTACTATCAGCGTTGAAAGCTTGCAAACCCAAGACGCAGCTTCACCAGCGTGGCTTCCGGCTCCGTCGTCAAGATTGACAGTGTCTTGCCTAGGACTGATACATTTTAAGAGGCTGAATTCATCTGAAATGTATCCAAACCCTGGAAGAATTTGGGTTCAATCTGGCATATAATTGAACTTTGAATTAATATTCAAGAATCAGCCTTAGTGGCGTGAATTAGAGTGAGGAATGGGGGATGGCATGGGACCCCGACAAATGCGGCTCTGCCACAGACCGACGCTGGAACGAACGGAACCTTCCCCACCTGGTACAACCCACCCAGCAGATGGTGGGCAAAAATGTGCATACACCGCCCAGTATTTATGCAGGCTGAATATTGTCTCACACGAGGTGTGTTACACAACAGTGACGGCTCAAAATCCCTGCCTTGTAGGTTGTACAAGGCTCGGACATTGTGAAACTTTGACTTGGACGATCGCCGGGGAGCCGCAGCCTTGTTAGTGGCAGATGTGATATGTAGAGCGTACAAGTAGGCTTCGGTTCTTCTTGGTCATTTCTGTCCTCAAGCAAAAGAAACGAGACCCCTAAGCCAAGGTTAAAACACTCATTCAGAACGACAGCGTTATTACAAATTTATTAGCCACATCGGCACAGAAATAAAGCAAAGACGCGTCCAAGTAAGAACTTGATCAACATCCGCAATGCTTCAATGCTCCGGAATCTAGAACACCGTTGACCAGGTTCCCCCAACAGGTTTCACCCCCGCAATTTCACACCATGGATGCTGTCACAGTGCACCCGCAATCTGGCCCACAAGTCCACACCCATGACTTTTCACGCTCTGAAGAGAACGCCACACAGACCCTGCGGTATCCTGCGGTCATGTCCAAGACCCAGCCCTGGATGGCATGGTGCCCACCTCTTGGACTAGAGAAGGATTCCAAAATGGTCGTGACCACTCGGAACCACGACTCAGGTACGAATGGGCTTGGAGGATACTAGTAGTAAAAAGCATATCAAGAGCTTGTGCACTGTATCCGGGTCAAGTCATCTGGTCTGTTGTACGGGGATTGCAAAAGCTTGGTACAATTTCTCTGGGCCCAGAGCTGATTTGATCAAGTGGTTTCTGGAAGCATCAGCTTTTGATCGTCCGCTTTGAGCCCATCTTCAAATAGGATTCATTCATAACTCATCATCATCACATCAATTTCGTTCAACATGATCCGTGGCCGACGTTGACTTTTTATGCTCTTCTGTACCTTGCTTTGTTCGACAACCTGATAGTTGGAAATTGATGCGGTATTTGATTCCCTGCCATTGAAATACAAGTCTATACACTTTTGGTCATCTGCTTGTGTAGTACATCCCTTAAAAAAGAGAGAGGGCGAGACAAAATGGACCTGAACCTGTCTATATTTGAAGACGCCGCAAAATTCAACTTCTCCAACTGATATGAGTGAACTACACGAGCTCTCCCATTTTTATGTCATCCGGTCCGCATGTATAACCGGAGGATTTTGAAAATGGAAACACGGAGATACAATGAAACAAAAGATAATGAGCATGAGCAAGGAACCTTTCATATGCACTTCACAAGCAGAACTTTCGTATCCTTAGTGTGCTGAAGCAGATCATTCTTCCATGGGCGAGATGATAATCGACCGTGTCTCAACACTACGTCGTGGTGGTGCGTCTGGGCGACAAGCGAGATTGACAAAGGCTATGTGCGGACAATCTTTCTCAATGTACAGAGGTTAGAAATTTGAGCTTGAAATATCGGAACGAGGACAAGCATGCGCGAGCTCACACTTTGCCTGATCTCCAGGCTTGTCGTCGTAGAGAACGAAAACAGCCAAGTCATTCGGCGTTTGTTCACTTAGCCAACGCTGTTGTTAGGGTATTCACCCATGTGAGTATTTTGTTCAAATCCACGAGCATATGGTGACCAACACTCACCCATCTTTGCCTCTTGTTGTGAAAGAGGTAGTACACCTCTCCTGCACGCTCGGGTATGATGCGATCTGAAGGAATCAAGTCCTGGGGTTCTACTGACCGATAGTCGCAAAAGGCCAAGGGGCTATCTTCACAGATTGGATTGAGAGATCGCCAGGTGCTTTTTGAATTAGCTTGCTATAACTCATAGCCCTTTCGGGTTGATGGAGTCTCACTTGACAATACGAAATCGATAATTTGGGCTGTGGAATTTCGCGTAGTCTTCTGGACTCAGATGATTGAAAATCATCTCGGGCCCTGAGCGTGCCGTGACGTCTAAATATTGTGGTTGTATTAGCTATGCCCTTATAACTACCGAATGGCCACATACCTGTGTGTGCCCCGACAGCCGGTCCTTCTCTGAGCAGCGGGTCACGAAGGTCGATCTCATCCCTTTCATACAACACATTCTCGCGGATCTAACACCAATTGTCCATGTCAGTGTATTTCCAGTCCAAGTTTCACGGAGGAGAGGGGGGAACAGACGCGAAGGTCGTAACAAACAACATGTGTTGCTTGAAAGAAGTCTTTGAGTACATCTTCGGTCTCGGCCTTGTAGGTGTCGATATCCTCGAGAGTAGGCCCGTCGCCATGAAGGCCTGGGAGATTATTCACAGCAGTCTTGTGCTGGAAATACTGGAAGCCACATTCTTCGATTTGATACTTTTCTGCGTGGCCTCTCACATCTCCGATTTCCACCAAATGGTATTCATACAACAGGTTGCTGCGTGGGATGCTTTTGTCTATCTCAGCATCTTGAGACGGCGGGAGCAACACCAGGTAGGGCTTTTCCTGGCTGTAAAGTGGATCTTGCTTCAGAAAGCTAATCTTGCCGGTTGTTGTCGTCGTTACCATGGCTTCTGGTCTCATCCAGACGTTGCATTGCACGTCAACACAAGGTGCAACCTGGCTTTCACACATTCAAGAGGCTCTCGAGGGGTAGAAACAAGGAGGCTGTGATCAACCACGTGCCAAATTTTGCTCGCCCGAAATACGAGGGTCGACTACCTCAAGCATTGAACTTCCAGTCGTAGCCAAGACAATATGCAGAAGACTTTTCTCGCCTGCAATCGCCGCCTCTCTTGTCCCAGAGGGTGGTCAGATTCCTTGATGTGATTCATTTGAGTCGCACGACTTCTTGCTTCTCATGCGCTCATGGCCCAGGCAGACTTTTGAGTCGCTTCCCACGCAGCCTCATCCAGAAGACTGGAAGTTGACGTGGCGTGGCGGCCACATTGCAGAAAGCCTACATGATGTCTGTCTACTGCGTGTACCCCGAACCGATAGTGGCCTGTTGCACACAGGTACTGGGGTGTTCAGTATGTGCATGAGCCGTGATTGTCTTTCCACATCAAGGATAGTCAAAACCAGGACTTGAGGCAGATCGACTTGGCCTGCCCGTTGCCAATGGTTAGGCCGGCAAGCCTGTCCAGCCCCAGGGAGTCGTAATTGTGCAGCGAATTCTGCCGGAGATTTGCCCGAGAAAGGAAGATTGCGAGCCGAGACTGCATGAAAAGGGATTCCGGGTTGTCAATGGCGAGCCAGCGTGACTGTCTTTGGGTAATTATGTACGTAGCCTTAATTGTGAGACTCCATGTTCCAAATGCAGTTCGTAGAATCAGGTACAAAGTATGAAATTGGAACTTCTGAGCAAGTCTCCTTTGAGAACGTGTTTACAATTTGTCGCTTGCATGACTTCACTAACAAATTAAATACAGCCATATGTGTTCTACAGTCTAGGAGCAATGCATTTACACCTAACCGTTCCGTGTCCTAAGGTTACTATTTGCCCAGTCGTTGCAATCTCATCCCCTGCTTTCTTACCACCTCAATCAGGCATCAGAGCATACTGCGGCAGGCAAGGTTGGATTGACACACACACACAATGCAGGTTCTGATGGTGGGTGTCTCCAAATGGTCATTCGGCTGGGCAAGCCACCGATAAGGATCTGGATTTCCGCGGCGCAAACGAGGCTCCGGGGTAGGTAACACACCGGTGTAATGTACCCGCAACTAAAAAGTACATAATCCGCAAATCACTTAGGAATGTGGTGTTTGATCTGCGTCATTCCAGCCTGCAGCTGATTCCCGACGATGGCCAATCAAATTGAGTCTAAGCCGAGGGACTGATGCACAGGTCTGGGTGGTAACAGACTATTTACGACGTACAAATCGGCGACTGCGGTACCTTCACAAGCAAAAGAGGTGGGGGCAGGGGGCCAGTATCCTCTCCATCATTTATTCCCTGATCAATCCACGTCCAAAAGTCTTTCATTTTGGTTGGGGGCTATTCAAGGAATACTGACATTCGCTTTTCGACCTGCCCTAGGGCACACGTGTTCAGTTTTCCGAGCAGCAACATTCACAACTTTTGCAACTCTGGCGGTGCAATTTTTGGGAATTGTTCCCGAACAAAGGAATCTATCAATGTCCAACATCTCTTGAGAAATCTCATAGTTCTTTCCATACTGCGTTTCAATCGTCACATTGCACGACCATGCCATTCATGACGGATCCCGAGTCGCCGGACAACGCAGCGGCATCTCTGGATCTGCTCACAGTCACTAGCACAGAGCTTCAAAAGCTTCTTTCTGATCGCTCTGTTACATCTGTGGATCTAGTAGACGCATACCTGAATCAAATCCAGGAACAAAACCACCATGGGCTGGAATTGAACGCCATGATTTCTGTGACGCCGAGCAAAGTCATATTTCGGATTGCCCGGGAGCTGGACAGAGAGAGGGAGCAGGGCAAGATTCGAAGCCCGCTGCATGGGATTCCCATCACAGTCAAGGTGAAATTCTTCCATATGTAGACGTATTAGTCAGGTGTTAATTGTAAGACAAGGACAACATTATGACCGGCCCCGAGCTACAGCTAGCAACCACTGTTGGCACATATGCCTTGCAAGATGGCATTGCTAAACGAAACGCGCCGATTGTTGACACAGTAAGCATCTTCTTACAATTATATCCATTGGTAGACGCTACTTGATGAGTACTAATAGTGATTGCAGCTGGTCGAAGCCGGCGCTATTATTCTTGGAAAGGCAAACCTCTCAGTCAGTTACTCCTGCGGAGACTACCAATCCTGAACAAAATCTGAGCCTACACACAGGAAATGACAGGATGGAAAGGCTGCGGAGTAACTACAGGATGGTCAGCTGTCGGCGGTCAGACCCAGAGCCCATACATTGTCGGGGGTCTCAAGGACGGTGACAGGCTCCTCGGACACAGTGTGGGTTGAACCAAAGCCTGAAAAAGTCTTGATGCCCTTGAGTGACATTTGACCTCACATATAGGCTCCTGCTGGCTCGTCCTCTGGTAGCGCAGCTGGAGTGGCCGCAGGATTCGCGCCGCTCGCGCTGGCCACCGAGACCGATGGCTCCATCGTGCAGCCAGCGAACCGGGCAGCTCTGTATGGCCTCAAAGCCACTGTGGGTCGGATAGGTACAGATGGAACGGCGCCATGGAGCTCGCTTACCGACAGCATCGGTGGCATGGCCAAGTCGCCACAAGATCTTGAAGCGCTCTTCGACGTTCTTACTGATGCAGACAGATGTGCCGCGAAAGAAGCCAGAGGTGACGGGGACGGCGATGGCCTGCCTGAGTCTTGGACGGGACTGCGTGTAGGTTTTGTCGACCCGACCTTGTGGTCATTCTCGCCGGCCATCTGTGATCCCGACCCTATACTTATCCAACAGCAAAGAGAAGAGATGGAAGCCGCGATCTCTAAGATCGAAAAGTGCGGTGCGGCGGTTGTGCGATCAGTTCCGTTCCCATCCATGGACCAACTGGTGCTCGATGGCGATGATGCTCTAGAGCAGCTGTGGAGTAAGTAGACCACGGTGAACATTCCCCCAGTTGTTTGAGAGACTCTATTAACATCCTTGCAGACTATGACTTCAGCGATGAGTGGGAGATCTTCCTGAGAGGCTATCAGAACAGCGAAATCAAGTCTCTGCGAGACATAGTCGAGTTCAATAAGAAAAACGCAGACAAGGAGCTGCCACCACGTAAGGTCCTACTCACAATATCTTTTAACCCCAAGAGGCTAATCTCAATCATCTATCTGCCACAAATAGGATACCCTGGCCAGCAACTTCTCGAAGATGCTATTGATGAAAGCAAACGCATCTCCGCCGACAAGTACCGGGAGGGTGTCTGTATCATACGGAAATTCGCACGCACCCAAGGCATTGATAAGACACTGGCTGCGCATGATCTGGATGTCATCCTGGGCCCAATGGACGGCAGAATACCAACCATCGCGGCTGCGGCAGGGTATCCAGTGGGGACAATGCCTCTGGGCTACTCCAAGACGAACGGCCGTCCTTTTGGGATGTGTATTGTTGCCGCCGCGGACAATGAAGACAAGATCTTACGAGCCATGAAAGCCTGGGATGCTACTATTGCCAAGAGGAAAGCACCTCCTCAACTGCACAGCAAGCAAGTCGCGGTGCAAGCAGCTCCACAAGAAGACGCTTTGCTTAATTCCAGGCACGGGGACAATCACTCGAGATTTGCCTCTTCAAAGCAGATCATGTGGAAGATGACTGCGGTACAACTCACTCCAAGACTTCTGTTCCGGCCACACTGGGGGTGGGTAAGCGGTTCAAAACTTCTGAATAGTTTAGAGGTAACTAAACGGTTCAAAGGAAGATATGGTTGGCGAAAGGCAGGAGAGGTTTCCACCCAGGACGGCCCTTGGTATGAATTCCGTCGGAGAAAGAACCAAATTCTGAGCTACGATTCCAAGGAGAGATCTGTTGTGGAGGTCTCTGCTTAGATCTTTGCCTTAAGAGCTCCCTTCTGAAATTCCGTCTCCTTTCCTCCCCTCCCCTTCACCTGAGATCCGTCCTGTGAGTTATGATACGGTTGTGTCTGGCCGGGCCACAAGGCTTTTTATCATGTGTAATGCACAGAGAATTTGATGATGAGGGTGGCCGCGTCGTTTCAGCTAGTCAGTACATGGGGCATTTGTCGGGGCGGTGAGAATTCACATAGTCACCCCGAGGAAAACACCCTGATAAAGTTTCTCACCTCCTTCTTTGGTGACATTTACATCGGCCCGCCAAATGTCTTCATTAGTGCGTTGGACCAACTGTGTGATTACAATTGAATGTTGCGCTTCCATGCTAGGGAATGCAGTAGGTGGGCAAGAACAAGGTCAACGAGAATTGATGATATAAATATGTATCTATTTAGCTTGAGGTTATTCGACAATTCTGGAGTGTCTCCGTATCCCACCGGGGCTCCACAGCCATATGTAGATGTCATGCGTTGACCTTGCCCGGAATCAACATCTGATCTGCAGTCCGGCGAGAACAGTCTGGATCATAGACAAAATGATGGACGTGACGCCAAATACGACCACGGCCCAAAACGTCCAGAATCGGTTCAGGTCTCTCACATCGTACCAGAGGGCTCTAAAAGTGCCCGAGTCCTGGGAGACGACAAAGTTTTGGAGTTCCAACAGTCTATCCCCCAGATTGGGAAAATCGGAATCAGACCAGTAGGTGGACTTCTCTGGGAAGGCTTCGATCTGATCAAACAAGACATTGCTGTGTGATGGCATGCCGCAGATTTGATCTCGAAGGGGATCTACCTCGTGGTCTGCTTGTCGGGAGCTTGACACTCGGAAATGCTCGGAATATAGCTCTCGGGCGTTCTTTTGTTGGCTGAACAGAATTCTGTATGAGCATAAGACCTCAACAAAGAAGTCCTGACTATATACGGTCGAGTTCTGAGCTTTTGTGTGGTAGGACTCGAAATCACCCTTTTGGCTTTGGAAGATGCTATGATGTTTGATTAGTGGCATGAACTGCGTAAAAGGCGAAATTGTTCCACGTGGCAAACTCACCTGTCAAAAATCGTAGCCTTCGATTCTCTTGGGATAGCAAGCATGGCACAGAATGAGGGAAATCGGAACAGTTTCAGGGTCATGCTGCGCCTGTCGAATTCGAGATGGAGACTCAGACAGTCAACCCAGACCACACGAATGCCGGTGACCTTGGATAGTATATAGTAGTTGATATTGCTGGCAATGATCGGTTTGTGATCTTGTGATGATTCACTCATTGGCTGGAATTTAAGCTGTCCGAAGCAATTCAGTAGATGGTCAAAGCTCAGTGCTGCCACGTCTGCGGTCAGGAGGCAAGACAACTTCCTCAATGAATGAGACCTAAGTCCTCTTCCTGCATATTCTGGATCTTTCAGTTGCAGCTGAAGATGTGACGGTTCCGGTGATGGCGTTGGAGTGTAGAGGAGAAGGATGGACGACAGCAGGGCGAACACGACCTGGTACTTATGACTTTGCTGGACGTCGAGAAAGTCATCTTCTTCGTCAAAGCTGTCGAAGCGATCTGCAGTATACCCAATCTCGTTCATGTATCCCTCTGGCATTGGAAAAAGGGCTGAGCTGATATCCGACAAGGAAGTTTTACCCTCACAGAGGCTTGTGGCCACTTTGCTCAAGAGGAAGATGGTCTCCGATGTACTAGATAGTTGTGCACTCCATTGTTGCTCGCTTTTTGGGTTCAGAATCTGGAGTCTGTGACCGAATCCATCATTTGCCAGCCAAACCCGGAGTGCCCGTTCAATGTGGTTGAGATACCAGATCGAGTAATGCTGCCACATATTCCAATTCCGGGGACTGAAATCGGATGGCGTGATGAAGCAATTAACAGCTCTGAGAAGTTCAAATTCGGGGCCATCATGTCGTACGGCGGCTTTCTGATTCATGGCTATATTTGCTCACAATCAACATCAGGTGTCTATGACTCCAAACAACACTACACGCACCTGGCTGATTCACGAGTTCTTCATCTGTGGGTGGCAACACACGAGGGTTTCTGTAGCAGAACCACATAATTTCCCGCTAACTTTCAGATGTTTTGTGTGTGTGTGTGTGTGTTAATGCTCATGGCACATCAGAACAGGGTACTACATATCCAGTTGCACAACCTGCCAAGATATAGGTGCAAATCGATAGTGCCTAGTAAATCGGCCTTGAATTATCAGGCTCTCGTTGCAAGGATAATGGACACCCTCAGGTTTTTGCAGGGGCTAAATTCTTATCAGGTTTTTAGCCCCCGCACATACTTCGCTTAGTCCGAACCAGAAGGTCGTCTTGTCATTGTCAGGGATTCTGACCACCTGAGGGAGGAGCGTGGCGCCAAGTAGTCTTAACGTACCTGGTACTTGTCTGCCTGTCTGGAGCCTCGTTGCTTCCAGAATACCGCTTGGCTAAAATCGGCTGCATGAACGGCTGAGCAGAGTCCAATGAGGGTGCATGAGCAGAGCCTCATTTTCGCTGTGATTTGCACAGATGATGATTCCGAGATCATCCACCGTCATCACACGGGGATTGTGTTGCCCGTCCTCCGGTAATACAACGGTGATGGTGGCAGTGAAAAGCCAGATCTGCGCGCGCGTGCGAGCACAAGCATGACGACAATACCACCTTGATAGGTAGAATCAACTTTGAGTTGGACCCCGAACTGAATTTGAGGAAACGAGAAGTTGGCCTCTGTTGAATTGTGTTTCGATCGGGTCGGGACTGAGTTGCCGAACTCGTGTAATAATTCGTGGCGCCAATATGTCCTACCCACGCTTCATGCACGGGCTCGAGCAGCGGACAGTAGCTGTGGCACGAGAACCATTTGAGATGAATCCTTGGTTTCGTTCGTTGCCCGAGGCGGCACAGCAGTTCTTAACGCCATCCAGGCCATCATCGGGCACATCTGTGTTCAGCTTTCCTTGGCGTATGAATGTGATCGGGATGAGTTGCAGCGGCCGGCACAACCGGTCGAAGTGAAGCGACCTATCTCGGGCTTATCATTCAAAGCCTTACCGGTACACCAATTTGCAGCCATGGCGTCGTGGCGCCTCATCCTGCAACGCAATTGTGGAACATCCGCCAACTCCGGTGTGTGCATACACGAGCGTGAGAAAGATGTAAGACGCAAAAGCTCGTGGAACGCCCCGCCCGGGCGTACATTTGATCACTACCCGGGCGTGGAATCAACGCCGTGATATAATCCCGGCTCAGCCTCGTCAGCAACGTGCTTTACTAATGCTTGGGCGGCCGACACCTCTAAGGTTGACAAAATCCCTGCTGAGTGTTGTAATGTACGGTATTACCATTTGAGCTACCCAAAATGGCCATACCACAAGCCAGCGGTAGAGCGTATAGAAGCAAGTGATATTTGTTGTACGGCTAATGAATTCTGTCTTCGCTAAACATGCAGTCAGACTGCTGTGAATTTCCAACTTCTGTATTGTATATATTCCGTGATTTTACTGCATGCAAGCTCCTGGCGATCACGTTAATAATTACTGTGGTCGAACGTGGGTGAAGATTCTCTGCAATTCCTAACCAGATGCTGGAAAACGGGAGTAACCTCCAATAACAGCAACAAATACATTGCAAACTTTCAAAGATCTGTGCTCGAATGCCCAAGGTGATCATAAACATGGCTGGCTGTTACGTCCTTCGTGACCTCTTTGGTGTGCTTTTGTGATGTCCGAAGGCGGATAATTCATACTAGTATACAGGACAGATGATTTACCTTCAGTTCCCAGAGATATCAGTTGTCCAACTATTCGTAGGGTGACTACAAATTTGTTATTTGGTTATCAGTGAGGATGCCTCCTCTGGGATGGTCTCTCGAGGACTGACTTTCCCGTCCAGATGCTTCCCACCTGAGGAGGCAGATATCACTCTTCGTTCACACTCTCGAATATGCCTAACAGCTTTCATTCACTCAAATACACAAAGTCTTTCCACAGTGCTGTAGAAAGACTGGGCTATCGATTGAGAAAACTCGAAACTCAGTGTTAATGATTATTTCAACTCGGGACGTGCTGTTCATGTAACAAGGACACTCTCCACACACGGTTTTATCATTGCAACTACAGCCTGAAAAGGGTGTGATAACAAATGTAGAACGCATACATATTCCACATATCAGCTTGCTTCCTTGTACTTAAGGATGTCCGGACGCTTTGGTTCAACTCCAAGAAACCTTGTACAGAATTAAGAATATCGGGCCAGAAATACGGTAATTTTCGCATATCCTTCACAAGCTCTAGGCTGTGGATCAGTTCTTGTGTTGGGAAATCGCTTCTCCGTCCCTAGCTATCAGCTCATCAGCCTATATACTGCACGTTGCGAGCAAGCGTGAAGAAGCCGTGACGGCGGATGAATGAGTCTCGGGTGCCTTGTCTTTACACAAGCTTGATACATTCCGGGATCGTATGTCCAAAAAGTGTGTCGTTCACTCGTCGAAAAAGACTTCATCAAAACGCCTTTTAACCTCATCCTTATCCCAATCATACTCAAAAACCATTTCCTTTGGCTCGTTCATCCTCCTTTCCATGAATGGGTCCATCACCTTCCTCTCTTTCTCAGTCAGAAGATCTTTCTAGACCTCTAGCAGTCCTCCTTGGCGACATGCATCGGCCTGTCTCCAAAGAATCTTTCATCTAGGAACTTCCAGTAGATTGAATTGAAGGCCCTACCTTCCCGGATAGCATAGCTCAGCCAGAAGCTTCCCGTATCTCAACTCTGGGGCACACTAGTACACGCTGACCAGGGCTGACTGAGATGGTGACCCTCAAGATCAACCCCTTTCTCGGCCTCTTCCGCAGCTTCCAAGCAAATTGGTAAAATCCGGCTGAACCTAGAATTGAATTTATCCAACCCCAGAAGCCACACTTCAGGCATCTCGATGAGTAACCACAAATATTTCAACGAAGTGCCCATTGGATAGCGTTGGGATGTCGTCCTTGCCATTTGGTCGCCTCATATGTGAAGAAAGCCCGCGTGGCCCCAAATTTGACTCAGCATGGACGAGATACACCGCGGATGCCCCGTGAAAGATATAAGTGACGATGGAGATTATTGTCTTGCATTTCGTCGAATGTTGTATAAGAGCGCGATAGAATCTGGAGTTTTAATTTTGTGCGCCCGGAATGCATCTTGGACAGCGAAATTATCTGGCCGCTTCCTGGAGGCATATGACATAAGATATAGACGAGCAATACAGATGATAATCAAGAATCACACCCTCACAATTTAATAGATGCAACAACTCTATAATGCTAACGAGAGGATTCCGCATTCTCGCATTAAGTTATGGGCCGCATGACTGCGTGTCAAACACCCCCTGCCGGCCCTGCGCCTGCCAAGTCCCGGGTCCGCTTCCGGCCCAAACGGAAGACCTACGCCACGCTCAATATGGAATCATGAGAGAGTGAAAAATTCTCGACATCACCAGGCAACTTGGCCGAGTGGTTAAGGCGCTACGTTCAGGTGGAATCATCCTCGTAGTCTCGAAAGGGGCGTGCGTTCGAGTCGCACAGTTGTCAAATTGTCTTTTGCCCAATGTGAGAATCACATTTATCAGGCGGCCTCAATTCTTTGCTTTTGCGGAAGTCACCTTTGCATCTGGGCAGAGCTTTCTGGGTCGGATTTGATGTGTTGGGTTAGGTGCATCAGCGAGAATGGCGCGGCGTTGTGCTAGAAGGGACGTGTGTTGGAACCTGGGACTCGATAATTATATCGTATTGGATGTGCTCAACACTCCATTGTCTTTGGCCATGCGCAGTTTTACAACATCCACGTGCACCACCTTCCATTCGCTTGTCACAGACAACAAAAATGGCAACAGGGCAGTCCGCCACACATGACCTCACCACGGAACATTTCATACCCAGACATGCACAGGACATCGTACATTTTCTAACAATCAATAATGTACCTACAAGCCCGATCTCCCCCTCTAGAAGATCGAACGCATGCCACCCTCGCTCCGGGCACCCGCCCCCTCCGCCTCGCGCTCGGCCTGCGCCGCGTTGCCCGCCTTGGCCCTCTCGTCCTGCATCCACTTCTCGATGTCGGGCTGGTTCCTCCACGTGCAGACGCCCTTGTTTGCATCCGCCTTTCGCCGCGCCTGGCCGCGCTCGCCCGCCCGCCCCAGCACGCCGGCGATGACGCTTACGGATCGGAGACTGTTGGGTGAGGGGTTAGCAAATAGATTTCATGTGGGAACCAGCCTTTTACGTAGAAATTGCAAGTGGAGTAAAGCAGGTGCAGTAGATAGGCTGAACGTACCTGTCGTCGTTGCCCGGTATCACATACGTGACCTGCGTCGGGTCCGCGTCCGTGTCGATCAGCCCGATGGTGGGGATGTTCTCCTGCGCGCACTCCTGCAGCATGGTGTAGTTCTCAAGCGGGTTGAGCACGACGACGAGCTCGGGCATCAGCGGCCTGCGCTCGGTGAGGTGGCCCTCGAACCCTTGCAGCGGCTTATCCCTCTCATCAACAACATGCAGCCCCCCACGCCCGAGGATCTGGTCGCGGTTGGTGATCGTCCCCGGCACCCACCTGCTGAACAGGTGGCACGCGCCCGCCATCTCGGCCGACCGCGCCGTCACCTCCATCTGGCCCTTGCGGTTCCCCACGAAGAGCATCAGCCCGCCCAGGTACGCGACCTCCTCGACGACGCGGGCCGCCCGCCGCAGCGCCGCCGCCGTCTCCTCTAGGCTGATGATGTGGATCCCCGCCCGCGCGCCGTAGATGTACCGCTGGTTGGCCGGGTTCCACAGGCTCGTGTGGTGGCCCATGTGCGTCTGCGAGGCCATGAGCAGCTCCAGTGTCACGTCCTCGGGCTTCGGGGGGTCGCGCAGCAGCGACGACGGGTCGAAGCGCTCCTCCACCACCGACCCCACGCTGCCGATCGCGGACTGCATCTTCGTGAACTTGCGGTAGTTCTGGGCTATGGACTCGTCGACAGGCGCGGAGACGTGCTTGCTGTTGATGACCGTCCTGGTCGGGGGCGAGTAGCCTGTGGTCGAGCTCGTCGAGCGCTCGGTGGCGTCTTGCAGGTCATGGGCCGCGGGCTTGGATGAGGACAGGGTCGGGGGTGCTCCTGCTGCTTCTCCGCTCCGGTAGAAGGCTTCTGGGCCAGGAGGAGGTGGAGGGGGCTCAGCGAAAGTCGTTCGCAATGGCGGTCTCTTGTCGCCTGTCGAGAGGGCTGCTTGCTGGAGACATGATCGCCTTACTGGCGCGGCAAAAGCCTGTCGGCCTGGTATTGACGGCAAGGGTCAGTAGCTGCTGATGTGTGGAGCGAGGGGTGCAATTGGACAGTACGTACAGTGCCGCAGACCCAAATTCCTTAATATCATGACGACTGGCGAGGCTCACATCGGATGTGAAGCTCACGTATGAACCTGGCAACGAGTGATCGAGCTGCATCTTTTCCAGCACTGGACCCAGAAATTTGGGCCGCAGGAAAGGCACGGACTGACGGTTACGTGATTGGACAGCAAGCTTAGGTGGGTCCACTCTCTTCTAAGGTACTTGGGTACTTACGCTAAGTCGCCTAATACCTTCCCCCATAAATCTGGATCACTTTGATGTTCATTTTTACTGAATTCGTCTGCATAGTTGGACAAATGTTACAAGGCAAATCTTCTGTGACAACTGAACACAGGTAAGGTTTCAGAGTCAAACAGGATTCTGGCGGAAAAATTCTCAATTCATCCGAGCCAGCACACACTCAGGAACATAAGCTTCCAGGGAAGTCGGATTCAGCATCGCATTGGAATGTCATAGAACGAAAGAGGCGATGCCTATTAGTCTATGCACGTGGTGGGCGCCACGTAGTTCATGCAAAACAAGATGTGCACCTTCTCACCAGATATAAACACGTATGTAAACACCACGCAACAACGCCTGCTCAGGGGATATCGTCTTTGTTTCTAGAAACCACAGCTCCGTCTTGCCAAAATCTACTGGGTCTATCGGCTTGACATGCGGCCGATCGTGAAGGTAGCCACAATGACAATCGCCAGCGTCGCGATCGCACCAGGGAGGAGCAGCTCGTTGGGGACTCCGGGCACCACCTGCTCAGGCTGGTGCGCGTGCCTGCTGCGGTGTCTCCTGGCCCGCGCGCTCCTCGGCGACTCGTCCTGGCTCTCCTCCTCCTCACTGTCGTCCTCGCCGTCGTAGTTCCTCCTCCTCCGCTCCCGCACACTAGACGCCGGAGGCGTGGGGATGACTGTCTCGGGCGCAGGCGTTGGTACGGGCGCGATAGGGGGCTTCTCCGGATCATGAACAAACAGGTCCACCTTGTCGCGGTGGTTCTGACGCGCGAGCAGGATCGCTTCCAGCAGGTCCTGGTCGGTCGTAATGGACACCGAGTCACCCTCGTCGTCCAGATAGCTGAGCGCAAATCCAGTAAAGGACAGCTTGCCGTCCTCGACGGTAGGCGCGCCACCGACAGAGTCGATCTCGGAACCGAGCTTTGAGATGACGTTTACAACGAAAGTGTCCATGCCCTGCGAGGCGATGACCTGAAGACGGTGGGTGCGGCCACTGGGTGTCTTGAACTTGAAAGGGAACGGCAGCTCGCTGGGTGGCAGCTCCGGGGAGTGTGCCAGGGCGCTCTGCGGGGGCGATTCCACACCAGCGTGGGAGGCAGAATCGCCAGGTGCGACGCTGTCCAGGATACGGTCCCTATTGATATCGGGGGACATCAGCGAGCGCGAGCCGACGTGGCTGCGGTCGTGCTGGGTGCCGTCGCCAGAAACCATGGATTCCGTCTCGTGGTCCAGAGACAGCCAGAACTTGTTCCATGCTGGACCCTCGCTGTCTGTGGTAGACATGCCGTTGATTTGCTCCAGAGTGGCGTATGTCAGCTTGAGCACATCAACCATGCCGACAATCTCACCGCCATCGTTCATGACGGGAAGGTTGAGGTAGTGGCCATCTACGGGTTTCGTTAGCATTCCACAGAAAGCAGCCAGTCATTCCAAGGACGCCACGTACCGTGCATTTTCCGGAGTGCTGCCTGAATGCTCATGTCGATGGGAGCAAAGTCGGGGTGAGGAGTCATAACACGGACAACACTGCAGGTGGCCGGGTCCAGGCCGGGGGCAATGACACGGAGGACGACATCCTTGCTGGTGAAAATGCCGGTGATGGCACCGTTATCCTGGACCAAGACTGCGGTGGTGTGGTTCTCCTTCATCATCTGAGCAGCTTCTCTCACAGGAGTCCTGACACTGACAGTGACTGGCGGCTCGCCGTTCAAGACAGACTCCAAGGTCGGGCCTGACATCTTGGACCGTAGCGCCTCCACGTACTGGATGATCTGCTGGGGCTGGCTGGAACCAAGTTCTGACTGTACACCCTCGAGCGCGTCGTACAGCTTCCTCGAGGAAGAGTAGGCCCTCTCCAGCTTCTCCATCGCGTCGTAGAAACACTTCGTGATGTCGAGGATACCCGAGATGTCCTGGTTCTCGTCCATTACGGGCAAGTGGCGGAAGCCCTTGCGCACCATGAGGTCGAGGGCATCGGTGGCGCTGGTGTCGGTCCGCGCACAGAGCGGATTCTTGGTCATGATCTCGGCGATGGTCACGTTGGCCGACTTGTGCCCGGCCCCCACGACCCGGAAGGCCAGGTCCTTGGCCGTGAATATACCCGCGATCCTATCATCGTCGTCGGTGACCAGTACACAGTCCTCCCTCTTCGCGGCCATCAACTGGGCAGCCTCGGCCACCGTGGTCTGGGGCTTGATCTGGAGAGCCTGGCTGGGCTTCAGGGCGAGGACCGTTCCGGGAGGAGCCTTTCGGGTGTGCCTAGCGCGGCCGGTGAGGTGCTTCTTCTTGGAGAGGTCGTTCTCCAGCTTCCGGCGGATCGCCTGGACATAGTAGTCAGTAGGCATACCTCTAGACATGTCTGCGGTTTCTTTTGGCAGGTCTGGTGGTGGGAGGGGAGCGCCTCAGTAGACGGCCCAAGCTGTTTCTTGAAGCTCGAGAAGCGTGGAGGCAGCATGGCTGCGATGTGCGCATGTTGACTCTCCAGGCTTCAGGGGCATGTTGGGGGGAGCCCGGCGTGACAAGCTGGACAATTTCGAGAGTAATGCAAAGCGACTGACCTCATCCCTCTTGGACTGCTTCTGTCTGCTGGTGCTGACCGTGCTGGCCCCGCCTATCTCGCTATTAGTAGCGTAGCTTTCTTTGTGGCCGAGGTCACCACCAAGAACAGGCCTGGGGATGCCAGAGCCAGAGCCGGCGCCGGGGCCAGCTCCAGCCCCGGGTGCTGGGCTGTGGTTGAAGGTGGGAATGCGGCCACGATCGGCCCCACGACTGGGCGTACCTCGCATGGTGTTGCCTGACATTGCATAAACTTCTCGGCCGGAGCGGGTGGGCGAAAGCGAGATTTAGCCGCGCGTGGTAATCAAGGAAAACAATGCGCGCGGGTGAGGAAAAAAAAAAAGGCGCTCGCGGGCAGGTGTGGTTTGTGGTGGTTGTGCTCTGGTTCGTCGAGGCGGGATGTGAGGTCGGCAGGGCCTGAATCAAACATTAAAATCCCAGAGCTGCGGTCGTCTGCAGAGTGACAGGCCCCTCCAGTAAAATGATATCAGCTGGGATCACTGAAGTGGACTGATGTCGGGGTCGAAAGGGGAGAGGGAGTTTGCGGGATCCCGACTTTTTTGTTGTTTGTTTCCGCGGGGCACGGGCCAGTTCTTGGTACCGTCTCTGCAGGAGGGCCATGTGCGTGCAGGCGTCTCGGTTGACTGGCTCCCTGGGGTGCGTTATTACTGGGCCCTGGCTGCTAGGGGCATTTCGGGGCCCCAGGAGACAGGGTCACACGGGCAACATGGACAGCAGCGAGGCAGGCCAGGGGAGCAGGGCAGTCCAATGATAACACCGCGCTTGGCGTAGAAATAACAACATCAGGACTTGCACCGACTCAATCTCGACTCATCAAATCTCGACGGGCCAGGTCCGGTGCCTACATGTACCTGGCAGTCTAATTAACCAACTGGGAAGTTGCCGGCACCTACACAAGAAGCATCAAGGCATGGGATGAAACTTGAGCGCACGTTGATCCACCCCGGTTGTTTCTCGGCCGTGGCCATAATACGAATCCATTGGTCACGGCCAGCGTACAACGCCAACCACCCTCGATGAAGCACAGAAGGGGGACGGCTGTCCAAATCTGCCAAAGAGAGATTAAGACGACAGTAACGAGCTTGAGGAAAAGATCACCCAGTGAACCGTGTGAGAAACCATCTTCCTTGCCGTAGCCAGGCACGCCGGGAGCAACCGAGGCAACAGGGCACGCGGAGCCCAGGTACAAGCTCTACGTCGGAGCAGCCGAGAGTCCATCTCAGCCCGCCTGACCAGCTTCTCATTTGCTCAAACCCTGCCACACGAGATGGCAACCATGGCTCTACTATATGACAGAGGTCTGATTGTCCTAAAGATATGACAAGCTGGGAATATCGATAAGCAATTACTTATGCGTATCTGTCCCAACGAATGTCGTCTCCTGCGAAGGACCAAACTTCCGTCGACCGCCTATCAAGAGCTCAAGCTAGGGCTACTTCAGAGATGAGGGCAAGCGTCGACAGACGGGAACACCAAAGACGATGCCACCAATGCTCAATTAGCCTGGAATTTTCGGTTGTCAAATGGCAAGCTCCAAGCTCCGTTCAAAGACCTAGAGGAGGCCAAGACTCCACGTGCATTGACATGGAGTAAGCTGCTGGTGTTGTTGAGCTTCATGCCTACTGCCCTACGACTCTTCCCTATCTTTGCCCGCTCGGATCTGCGGCAAGATAGGCCTGGGAGAAACGACCCGAGCAGAAGCTGTCGATCAATCGCCAAGGGTATGCTTGATTTACCACGAATAGCTGGAGGCCTGGACTCAACTGCCCGGGATTGCAACTCGTCCATTCCTCAACCCCGTACATAGCAACCGTCACATAGACGTCGGTGTATCAGAACTGATGCCAACGACCTGTCACGGCATCGCATTTGTGATATTGAAGTTGTGAGACAAGCCAAGAGCAAAAATGAAGCTTTAGCCCAAAGGGCAAAAGATATCATCACAAGACAAGCAATCAGGGAGAACTCCAAGGTCCATTGCCTCGCATTCCCAGCATCCAACGGTCCGCCATGGATGTAGTGCCACGCCTTGGTCACCACCTACTCCACAAAGGGGGAGAAGAAAAAAGACCCGGTGCAAAAGATCATGAAAAAGGCATGAAAAAGGAAGGTTCTGCTGAGACTCGAACTCAGGTTCCCGGAAGGATACTGATGATGGGATCAGAATCCGATGTGATAACCATCTACACTACAGAACCGTTTGTTTGAATTGTGTTGGGACGTGATGCGGTGGGCCGGGAAAAGAGAATTCATATAGCAAGTGGGCATGTAAAATTTCACTCACGAGGAGCCTGAATGGATGCAGTACTTGAAGATCCACTCTGTCAAAGGCCAAGGCTGCATGCACATGTGCTGGGGGGATCTGATGTAGACCAGGGGGTGGACCCGTTCTCCGTTACATAAGCGGGGTGTTTTCTGAACAACAGCAGCCGAAACGGAAAGGTACATGGGTACATGGCGGTCCTGGGCACAAGCACGGTAGTGACCCTGAGCTGCCCAGCTGCATCAATTTTTCTGGCGGCAGACGACAGACAAGCTCCAATCGACCCCACGCGTCCACGCCCCAGCAAGCAAGCAGTCTTCAGCAACCTCACCACCAGCGACTCAACACCCCTGGGCCACTCCTTGCACCCTTCCCCCCGCGAGCATCTGAACTCTGCTGCATATCGACGCCCAAGATGTCTTTCGGCGGGCAGACACCCACCATTATCGTCCTCAAGGAAGGTCAGTAACTGCCCCTCCTTGTCCAACAGCCCCTGGGAGCTCTCACCGTGGACACGCAGCAAACCAACCGCGTATCATACCGCCGCCCATGGCCCTGGACCCTTTGCTGACCCCCTTACAACAGGCACCGACTCCTCCCAGGGAAAGCCTCAGATCATCTCAAACATCAACGCCTGTCTGGCAGTCCAGGCAACGATAAAATCTACCCTCGGACCCTATGGCGGCGACCTGTTGATGGTTGACGAGAACGGCCGGCAGACGATCACAAACGATGGCGCAACCGTCATGAAGCTCCTGGACATTGTTCACCCAGCCGCAAGGATCCTCGTTGATATCGCGCGGTCGCAGGACGCAGAGGTCGGCGACGGTACCACATCCGTCGTCGTCCTGGCCGGGGAGATCCTGAAAGAGGTCAAGGAGCACGTGGAGCAAGGCGTCAGTTCACAGACCATCGTCAAGGGCTTGAGGAGAGCCTCTCAGATGGCCGTCAACAAGGTCAAAGAGATCGCCGTCAGCACCGACGAGGCCAACCACAGAGACACACTCGCCAAGCTGGCAGGGACCGCCATGACCAGCAAATTGATTAAGCGGAATACCGACTTTTTCACAAAGAGTGAGCAACAAGCCAGCCATACCGTGCGAGTCCGCCTGGCCAAAAGCGTGCTAACATATGTTCTACAGTGGTTGTCGACGCTGTCCTGTCCCTCGACCAAGACGATCTCGACGAGCACTTAATAGGAGTCAAGAAGATCCCCGGTGGCTCCCTCACCGAGTCCCTCTTCATCAACGGCGTCGCCTTCAAGAAGACGTTCTCCTACGCCGGCTTCGAGCAACAACCCAAGTCCTTCACAAAGCCAAAGATCGTCTGCCTCAACGTGGAGCTCGAGCTCAAGGCCGAGAAGGACAATGCCGAGGTGCGCGTCGAGCAGGTCTCCGAGTACCAGGCCATCGTGGACGCCGAGTGGCAGATCATCTTCCAGAAGCTCGAGGCCATCCACAAGACGGGCGCCAAGGTCGTCCTCAGCAAGCTGCCCATCGGCGACCTGGCCACCCAGTACTTTGCCGACCGCGACATCTTCTGCGCAGGCCGCGTGGCCGCCGCGGACATGGAGCGCGTCGTCCAGGCCACGGGCGCCACCGTGCAGAGCACGTGTTCCGACATCCGCGCCGAGCACCTGGGGACCTGCGGGTCGTTCGACGAGCGGCAGATCGGCGGGGAGCGGTTCAACTTCTTCGAGGACTGCCCGGAGGCCAAGACGTGCACGCTGGTGCTGCGCGGCGGGGCGGAGCAGTTCATCGCCGAGGTGGAGCGGTCGCTGCACGACGCCATCATGATCGTCAAGCGGGCGATCCGCAACCGGACCATCGTGGGCGGCGGCGGCGCCTGCGAGATGGAGGTGTCGGCCTACCTGCACCGCTTCGCCGACAAGAACGTGCCCCACAAGCAGCAGGCCATCATCAAGTCCTTCGCCAAGGCCCTCGAGATCGTGCCGCGCCAGCTGTGCGACAACGCCGGCTTCGACGCCACCGACATCCTCAACAAGCTGCGCGTCGAGCATCGCAAGGGCAACACCTGGGCCGGCGTCGACTTTGTCGGCGAGGGCGTCGCCGACATGATGGAGCGCTTCGTCTGGGAGCCCGCCCTCGTCAAGACCAACGCCATCCAGGCCGCCACCGAGGCCTCGTGCCTCATCCTCGGCGTCGACGAGACCATCCGCAACGAGGAGAGCCAGCAGCCGCAGGCGCCCGGCAAGCCCTTGCCCCCGGGCGCGGCTCAGAGGGCCCTCAGGGGCCGGGGCCGCGGCATGCCCAGGAGGTAAGAGGACCGAGCGGGTTGGACGAAGAAATTTGTGGGGCTGCATGTTTCTTGTAACAAAAGGACGAAGCAATTACTGTGATACCTACCTACCCATATCGGCGTCCATAGACAGAGGAATGGAAAATAAGAGGGACATCTGTGAGGAGCAGCTACCGCACCGTTCAAGCCTGGCCAACATTTCTCAGATCCGGTGCACTCGTGAGGTCCTTATGGAACGTGATGTGAACGCAAGACCTTTCTTCGACTTTGAGCAGAATGTAACACCATGTCACACGCGACGAAGCTGGACCGGTCCCAGTTGACAGGATCCCTCCCAGTCTGCAGCGCATCTAGTCTGGTCTGTTCTGAACAAAAACGCTCCCATTTTCCGCTCACATCCGCACAACCACTACGAAGATAGTTAGATAGATGGCTAGCTACAACAGCACCAAGCAGATAGAAAACAAAAAGACCCGTAACATGCAATGTCCGCCCCGCTCATAGTAGGTAGCAAATAAAAATCAGGGAGAAAATCGACACCGATGTACAAAAGGAAAAATACCCCCCAAGAAACCCATACCGGACCAGACCATCTGTCAATCAGCCCGCCTTCCTGGATGAAAGGGGTCATGCGTGGCGTCTATTAATACCCAATAACGCCTCCCCGGCCAAGATTTCCCCGGTTCCCTAACTAGCTCTCGACGTCTTTTTTGCTGATGAAATTCCAGGCAAAATAAGAGAAGGAAGAGCACGGCTGTTCGCGAGTAGGCAAAAGCAGACATCAAGAAAATAGGAAAGAAGAAAGGGAAGGTAGGTATAGGTCAAGCAAGACGGAATACAAGAAGAGGAGGCGCTGCTGAATCCCGCTCGGTTCAATCCAAACTGCTCGAACATCGTACACAATAGGTGGAGGGCGGTTGCCCGCTTAGCTGACAGATATGCCACGAGTTCGATGGGCCACTTGAGTGACCCAAAGACTATTATTGAGGACCGCTCGTTCCCAGTGGGCCGGAGCACAACAGCTACAGCTGCTATCAGACAGACCCATTCTCGACAAAATTGTCATTGATGAAGATCAGGTCCTCCAGCCACTCGTCCCCGGGCGGCCCGCACAGCATGGTGTCGCCGCAGTCGGGCGGCACAGGCGACGGGCTAAGCTCGTCGCCCAGCGGGCTCGGCGCGAGGCTGCTGGTCGCGAACCCGCTCGAGTGGCACGTGTCGCCGTCCCGCGTGGGGCTGGGGCTCGGGTCCAGGTCCGGCGGCGCCAGGTGCTCCATGTCCACGATGTCCAAGGACGGCAGGCCGTCCAGGCGCATGTCCATGCCCAGGTCGTCCTCCGTGGTGGTCATGATGGCCGCGCTGTCGTGCCTGCTGCCGCCCATCGGGGCGAAGCTCGGCCCGTTGTGGATGGGGTTGTTTCCGCTGAGGTGCGGCTGGGGCGGCTGGCTGAGGTCTCCCGGTGGGACTATCGTTGGCGGCGCGTTGGGATCTGAGGCGGTGGCACCTGGCACGCCGTCCTTCTTCTTCGGCGGCCTGCCTCGCTTGGCTGGCTCCTTGCGTTTTGTCCCTGGCGGAGCCCCGATGCAGTTGCCCCTGCCTTGGTGTCGGTGCAGTGCGTCTGCTCGGCTGAAGTCGCGGCCGCAGGGGCACACCCACTTCTTGTGCACATCGTGGGTCCGCAGATGTCTTCGCAGGTCGTGAGACCGCACAAAGAGTTTCCCACAGAAGCCGTACGGACATTTGTACTGTCTGTCGTCAAGGTGTGTTTGGATATGCGCCTTGCAGTTCTCCTTGCGCTCGAAGAACTGCCCGCACGTCTTCTCCTCGCTCGAGCCGTCCTTATTAGAAACCTGCTCGACCCATTTGCATATATATTTCTTGTTGGCGTCAGTCCCTGTAGTGGCCGCCTTGTCACTGGCAGTGCTGGCATCCTGTGCCGCAGCGCCTCCAGATGGAGACTCAGTCTCGCCAATGAGCTCGGAAATCTGTTCTGGCTTGATGGTGGACTCAACACGGTATTGCTCCATGTCGCCGTCCGCCAGGCTCACCACGCTGTTGATACTTTGTAGGCTCTGTGTGCGCTGGTGGGCGCGCATGCGCCGGCTCGGACTTGGGGACTGGCGGCTTCGGTTGGGGCTTCCAGATCCTCGCGGAGTTCCCATTGGGCGGAGATCGGGTGCGGTTTGTAGGAGATTCCCATGGGGGTGTGGGCTTGCGTGAGAGAAGCTGTGGCGGGTGGGTGAGGGCTCTGGGGTTCGGATGAGGGTTTCTATGACGGCTTCTCTCGTGGGAGACGGCTGCCGTGCCTGCAGCAGGGAGTCCTTCAGGGGATTGCTGTGGTGTGTTGGCGAGGGCTCGGGGGTAGAGACGAAATCTCTGAAGCTTTGCCGCGTGGGAGACTGCTGTGGTGTTCGAATGAAGTTCTGCATATCGGGAGCGCCTGGGTCGGGCCCGGGACTGAAGCTGGTACACAGGGGAGAGGCTGTCCGCGACGGGATCATGGACGACTCTGGGGCCCCGCTGAAGGGGTTATTGTTGAAGGGAAATGTGGTCTGGCCCGGAGAAGGCATAGGAGACGATTCATAGAAGGAACCGCCGGGTACTGAGCCTAGAGGACCGCCAAAGCCGGCCAGGTCGAAGTTTGTCAACTCCTCGTTGAGGCTTTCCAGCGCCGTGCCAGGAGACATGACTGGCGAGTAGTATGCTGGACGACGGTTAGCGACTTCTATTCACCTGCGGCGTGTCTGTGTCCTTCGCGCCGCCCAATGGCCGGAAACGCACCCATGTTATCCTCGAAGTTGTTCGGGGCAAAGACATCTCCGACGCCGATCAGCCCGTTTGAATTGGCCCTCATGGGGCTGTGGAGGAAGACGGGCGGGCGCAACTGGTGATTGTTTGGCGTTCGAGGAAGATTGGGGATGGCGCTCAGGCTCTGGCCGCGGCGGTGGTGTGTTGGTGTTGAAGGCATGGCCTGCGGTGGCATGTGGAAGTTGTTGAACTCTGTGTCCTGGCCTTGGCTGTGCTGCTGCTGGTTGTGCTGCTGAGGCTGGTGGTGGTGCGAGTGCTCGAACTTGAGGGGCGAGCCGGACCACATGTTGATCTTGAGGACCTGGTCTTGGAGGACGCAGGACGCAGGCAAGATTTAACCGGGGAAGTGTTCACGGGATGGATTGGACGGTGGAGCAGCTGTAAACAATGGGAAGCGATGGTGGGATGGGCTACGGATATGGGAGGACTAAAAAAAGGAAAAGAGCGTTGCAACAGGCATTACGCAGGAGCCTGATTGGCCGCCTCCACAGTTTGTTGCAGCTGAGAATGTCAACTCTGCATGTGTACTAGGGTGTGTGTGTACGTTTCTGTGTGTGCGCGCTCGCGGGATGTTGGTCGGTCTGGATGGCATGGGGGTGTGTGTTTCTGTCTGTCTGATGTGGTGCCTCTTGTCAGCCTTGATTTCGCGAGGACGTGCCAGGCGCCAGCCCAGGTGGATTGGGCGTTGGGTGGGTCGTCATGACCTTCCGGGCATGGTTGGATGGGGCCCGGTCAACATTGTGACGATCTGTTGCGGGGCAACCGTTTTGGAGACGCGATGCGACCACGAACGGCGCCGGGCTCGCGTTTCGTGGGCCATAGCTCCCGCGCAGCCCAATCCCCGTCCCAGCAGTCCCGTTCCCGCTCCACCTTCCCCGTTTTGCCCGTTTGGGCCTTGCCTGCTGTGCGGCCTGCTTCTGCTCTGCTCTGGCCCGAGGCGGACGTTTGCGCCAAGAAACGAGCGTCCCGCCGAATTGCAATCCTTGACCTTGCCGGATGAATGAATCCTCAGGAATTGCATCATCATGAAACCCTCTACACCCCTGCCCTTCGTCCACCGCTCCCGGTCAACATGTCCAAGATTAAATGGTCGCCAAATCTCAACATGCCATGCTGGGTTCTGGCTTTTGAAGACTCTGCCAACTCATCAGTCACGAAGATAAGATCCATACCCAGACGTCAGGCCGTCAGGCCGTCAGCGGGTCTGCCTGACTGTCTCGCTTTCGGGAGGACATGTCAGATGTGCCACAGCATTGTACAGCGCACCCAGCTTTTCCCCGAGGATTACTGTATTCCCGAGTCATTTTCTCGTACCCCGATGCCTCCGGAGAGGCCAGCGCTCCACCTCGGAGCCGGCCATTTGTCGCAGGTTCTCTTGTTCTGGTAGACGGTCGCTCGCTGTCTTGGACAGATGCCTGTGCCACGAGTCGAGATCTCCTGTTGATCGATGCCCTGAGCAGCCAGCTATTGAGCCGAGACTTGGCGACAGGTCCCGGCCCTGCCTGCTAGTCTACCACATACGCTTACGGCATTTAGATCCTAGATTAGATCCCGTGAGTCCTGACATCACCAAGATGCCCAGAGGCCATATATCCAGAAGTCTTGTTCTTTAATGTATTAGCAACGATTTTCTATACGTCTTCTTTTAATTTGTGTTGACTACTCTGCAACACTCGATTGTCTTCTCGGGAAAAGCCTGCCGCTCTTCGTAGCATCCCAGCTTCTCCCGCCTGGAGACCGGCTGACCGAGACGGTTGTCCTTGCAAACTGTAGGATAACCTGTGGGATTATCGAGCCTCTGGGGCCATGCAACTCCTCGACTTGATCGACAAGCTCACAGGGGCAGCCGAGCCAAGACCGGGCCTGCATCCAATCCCGGGAACAAAGCCCCTGACTCTCGAAGCCGCCATATGCCCGCCTCTGATATATTATATAGCACTGCTTTTCCTTCCTCCCTCTCCTCCGCATTCTGTCGATACCACAGCCGTAAAGCTGCTCCGAAACGGCTTCGCTCTCTTGGCAGGCCTGCTCTTCATCCGTCTCCCTCTCGCGTACCATGTCCCCCAGAGTATAGGCCTGACGTATCAGCTCGGGCTGGTTGGACTCTATGGCGGCGCGCGCGTGTTGGATGTCTTCTTTATCTCGCCCTACCTATTCGGTCACATCCCCCGGCGGGTGAGGTACAGGCATGAGTCTCGGGTTGGCACGCCGGTCCTTGAGGGCTTCCGCGATGTAAAAGGCCTCGATAGTCCCACCAAGCCGCAAGCCGGATCACCGACCAGAGCTACATCAGGGGAAGGCGACACTCTCGCACCCACGGCAGACCTAGACGGCCCAAGCCAAGACAGCCTAGGCATCTCGGCCACCGACCTCCTGGACAACGTCAAGGGCGCCCTCCCCACCTCGCTGGGCGAATCGTACCACCTCATCCACCGCGCCGCCGCGGGACCCGGCCCCAAGCCCGTGACCGAGCACGCCGCCACCGAGGACGGCTGGCCGCACAGCTTCCACGGCCGCGCCTCGTGGGCCCTCGAGCTCGAGCTCTCCATGCGCGGCGTCGGCTTCACCTGGTCCACCGCCGACGTCCGCCACACCCGCAAGACCTGGCTGCCCACCGTGCGCAGCCGCCTGCACAGCATCCTCGCGCGCGTGGTCCCCGTGCTGGCGGTGTGCTTCGCCGTCGTCCGCGCCGTGCACGTGCGCTACGGCCTGGAGGACGTCGAGGGCGCCGCGTGGGGCTCTGCTGCGGGGGAGCCCGTCGACCTGTTCGACGCCCGCCTGCCCCTCCCCGTGCAGGTCCTCCTCACGGCCGCGCTGGGCGCCTTCCTCATGAGCGCGTTCAGCTTCGCCCACTCCGCCTTCGCCATCGCGCTGAGCCCCCTGGCCCCGCACCCGCTGGCCTACTTCCCCCCTCTTTACACGACCCGCATATGGGACATAAAGTCCGTCAGGCAGTTCTGGAGCTACGGCTGGCACCGGCTGTTCGCGCGCTTCTTCCTCGTGTACGGGATCTGGCCGTGCGAGTGGCTCGAGCGGAGGCTCACGGGCAAGGCGGAGTGCCAGCCCGCCGACGTGGGCAAGGTGCTGGGCGGGTTCCTGAGCAGCGCGTTCTGCCACAGCTTCGCGGTGCGGGGCGTGCTCGGCGGGGAGTGGGCGCGGGCGACGGGCGAGGCTAAGTTCTTTGCCGTCAACGGCGTTGCGGTCGTCGTGGAGGAGGTCGTCAAGGGTGCGGTGATGGGGCGTCGGAAGAGGGCGGCTGGTGGTGAGGGCGGGCTGGAGAGGTGGTATGATGGGTATGTTGGGAGGGCGTGGTGGATCTGCGTGCTGCTGCTAAGTGGTAGGAATTTTGCCAGAGGTTGGGTGAATGCCGGCCTGGTTAGGGAGATGAGCGCCTTGTGATAGGAGGGTCTTGATAGCATTGGCATCACAAAGTCACTTGTTGCAGAGCGCACGGAATTGAGGTTTTCATGTGTTCATTCGTAGCTCTAGGAGCAAAGGTCAATCAAAGTCTATCTGCTGCGTTCTCAGACGCCTCCGTCCCTCCCCTGGTTTTTTGGGTGTTCTTTTTTTTTTATTTTTTTTTATTTGGTCCCCAGCAAATCACCTCGACCCCACGGAGTAGGGGAGAAAGATGCGGGATGTTTTGCGTTTTGTTGATTTTTTTGGGGGGGCGCCCAGCGAATCGGTCTCAATCCCAAGGTTGGGAGAGCACGATGCGGACTTTTCTGTGTTTTGGTGATTTCTCGAGAAGCTCGGCGGATCGACTTCGATTCCGGTGTTGGGAGTGGTCGATGCGAGCTGTGTGGTGTTGGTGCTCAGCGGATCGAACTCGATCCCGAAGGTCGGGAGAGGACGATGCGAGCGGTCACGGACCCGTCGGTTTCCTTCGATGCCCAGCGGATCGTTATCGACCCCAGAGACTGGGGGAGGACGATGCGGGCTGTCGGGGGTGTCTTTCGGTCCCAGCGGATCTATCTCAATTCCTCGAGTTGGAATGAGGACGATGCGGTATGTCGTGGGATGTTGTGAGTTTCTTTTCGGAGGTGATTATGATGATTGGCCAACTGCCAAGGGTGATCATGCGTCCGGGGTCAGGACAGGTGGTGCCAAAATTCCGTCCCTGTGTTATTACAAGTTTTTGTGAAATGTGGTGATGTGCGCCAACATTCTTGGCTCGTCTGGGGTATGGTCGACAAATAAATATGCTTCGTCGGGGAAGACCACGTCGGTCTGCTCATTACTCGATGTGTGTGTATGTGTATTCTCGTTCGTTCGGTCGGTCGGTGGGCTCGGTTCGGTGGAGGAGGTAAGGGGGTCAGCCCAGTCGATGTGGACTTAGAAGTTCTCGTTCTCGCGATCCTCGTCGCCGTACTCCTTCATCAAGTCGTTGTTCCACTTCCTGGCCCACTCGATGGAAACAGCCTTCTTCTCATCGCTGATCACTGTTGGAAGATGCCTGGTCAGTACGTGGGAGGAGTCGAGTAGCAGGGGAGAGAACAAGACAAGCACATACCTTGGGTGCAGTACTTGCGTACCATGTCATCATCGTCAGTGAAATCGTGACCACACTCCTGGAGGTGGTCGGCCGCGTCGTTGCGCATGAACGGGTGGGTTGTGAAGATCTCAGTGCCCGTCTCGCAACCCTTCTCGGGGCAGGACATGATGTACAGTCCGTAATCATCGCTGAACTGGTACCCAAAGACCCAAGGACGGTTGGGGCGGCCGCGTGCCTTGGAACGGCCCTTCCTCTTGTACTTCGGCAGCCTGTGCAGCTTTGAGACAGTGATAGTGCCGTTGTCCGTGTGGCCGAGATCCTCGGTGGCTGGCTCCGGCTCCGGCTCGTCGGCCGCAGCGTTGGGAGGGCTGCTCCTCCTGCCTTCGTGTCCTCCAGTGGCGGAGGCATCATTGGCCGGCTCGGGTGTCTCTCGTCGGTCCAACATGGGCGGAGGAGACACACTACCAGGTCCGTCGGCTGCTGCAATTGCAGGCGTAATCGGCTCCGGGATGGGGCTCGGTGGTACCTGAGCATTCCGAACCCTTCTCAAGAGGCTTTCAATGGTCGCAAGACTGGGCTCGCCGACTGGAGCTGCAGCCACAGGTGCCAGAGGCTCTGACGGTGAGGAAACCTTGTTCCTCTTCGCCGGCTGCTCACGCTCTTCTTCATCGTCGCCATCGTCATCGCCGCGAGATCGCTTGCCCAACGAGGGTCTGACAGCATAACGGGAAGACTCGGCGGCCGTCTCCTGTCCCTTGATGGACGCAGGCTCGGCAGTCGTGCTCCTTGGCTTGATGAGTGGAGCGTCATCATCTGAAGAAGGCTCGGCAGTTGTCCTCCGTCGCTTGATAAGCGGGGCGTCATCATCTGAAGAGCAGTCTTGGTCTTCAGATGCGCGAGCGCGCTTCGTGGAAGCCGAGTCGATGTGACTGGCCCGTCGCTGCGGCGAGGAAGTGAGGTCGACGACATCCTGCTCCGCATACATGGGGGCAACGGGCGCTGGCTGCTCCAAGGCGTGTGCGCTGGCACGTGCGGCCTCATCGCCAGACTCTCCGGCTGCTGCCTCGGGTTGGGCAGTCGGGGATGGAACAGGGGAAGCAATCGACGACAGGACGTGGCTGTCGTTGTCGTCCAGCTGCTCAGCCGGGCCAGGAGCTCCAGGGGATGAGCTGTACGGGTTGAAAATGCTGAATTCTTCAGATTGTTCGGCCGGCTTGTCGGTGTCAGGAGACGGACCGTCAGGACCCTGCTCATCTTGGTCGCCGGGCTGCTCGGCTGGGCCAGAAGCGCCAGGGGCTGAGCTGTTGCGATCGTCCTCATCATCACGTGGCTGGGCTGTATTATGGCGAGCAGGAGCCCGAGTTGCATGGCCATGCGCATGATCGTATCCCTTGGCCATGTCAAAGGCACCCCAAGCACGGTTGACGAGGTCATCTTCGCCTTCGGATTGCTCAGCTGGGCCCTGGAAACTGGGAGATTGGTCGGCAAGATCACCTCGACTTCCAAGTTTGTGGGCTGGGCCAACAGTGCTGGGAGTCTTGGGCAGAAGGCCAGTCTCGTCACCGAAGTCGAGAACATCTTCGTTCCGTCCGAAGTAGCTATCGTCGCGCTCCTCGCCGTAATCGTCTTCGTAGTTGTTCCTGATGCCCTGCGCGAACGAGGTTTCAGCCTCGTCTGCGTCATCGGAGCCGTCGATTGGGTCAGGCTCCTCTGAAGGCGGAATGGTATCATCGACCATTGGAGATGGAATAGTATCATCGGCCTCCGGAGATGAAATGAGCTCATTGAATGTCGCTCTGGGAGCGCGATTGAATTGATCCTGCGATATTCTGTTAGAATAGGTTCGAGAGGCTCCTGCATGTTTGTACAGCCACATACCTTGGCCGTCTGACCAGCTTCGCCATATTCCTCGAGCTTCTTGAACATCGCGACTTGGAAACGCTCCGCACTCTTGTGCTCATCTGAGCCCTCGCCGAAGACATGGGAGTAATTGTCGAGCATGAGCCTTATGTCATTGAAGAACGCCTCCACGAAATATCCGGGAACCGTGTTCAATCTGTCCTTGATTATCACAAGGTCACGTGGCTCCCTCACCATCTCAAAGTACTTGGGCGACTTCTCCTTAGTGACAGGTGTCTTGAAACACTTGCTGGATCTGAATCTGTGCATGGAGTCGAACAGCTCATCTAGCTGGTCGTAATCCATCTCGACAGGAGGGGGAGGAGGGGGAGGAGGGGGACTCTTCTTCGGCTCTTGCAGGATTACGTATCCAGAGGTGAATGCAGACCCGTCATGGTCTTCAAGGAATGCCACGTGCCGGGCTTCTGGGCACGGGTCTTGTCGTTCTCCGGTCTCCCGGCCTGATTCCTTCACATGCACAGGCTCGTCTGGTGGGCTGGACCGCTTGAGTACGTCCAATCGTGCTTGGATGACGGCAGACTCTTGTGGTATCTGAATACCGTTGTCCTCCAATGCACGAGTCAAAATTTGGGTTTGCTCTTCCAGGAGGGTTGCTTTCTTGATGAGGTCGTCCTTCATGTCATTTACGCCTTTGATCCCGATAGCATCAGGGCTGAGGTGCGGGCCATGGTTGTAGATGACTAGGGGTCCACCTAGACCACCATGCACCTTTGCCGGATAGTGTTCCACGACAGGCCCAAATACCTCCTCTACCCCCTTGATCCACTCCACGAGGGAGGGAAATCGAGCTTCCAGATCCATCATGTACGTTTCGTGTTCCTTGAAAAGCTCGGCGAACATTCCGGTTTCCGGGTTGTTGTACTTTGAGCAGAGTGCCAATGCCTCACTTCTCTCCAAACGAGTCAAATGTCGCCAACGGTTTCTCAATGGAATGAGCTCTTCCACCACAATCCTGAGAAGCTTGTTGCGCTCTTCCAAGGGCTGGCCGAGAGTTCTGGTGAACACCGCGTTCAACGTGATGAAATCACGCGTGACCTCTGGGCCACAATAACTGCTCCATGCCGGCGGTTGATTCTCCAGAGGCAGGTACATATGCTCCAGTCCGATGAACTTAGGCATTGTGTTGCTGAGCCAAGGCGACGATGTGTCAGAGATGTTGTCTGTACGGCAATGTGTGGTGCTTGGGTGGGGAGACGTTTGTTGATCGACACCGACGATGTTTTTGTTTGGTCGGATGAGGTATTGGTCGAGTGTTGTGTGGATGAATAGACACCTGGGCACACCTGCGTGTAGATGGTTTTTGGCGCCGGTAGCTATGTATTTGCTGCTGGCAGAGACTTCGGCGCCACCTCGGGTTGGGGGTGTGTAGTGTCGGGGCTGGAAGTATTGGGGGTGTGGAGATTGCTGATGAATTTGGAGGCGTCGACTGATAGATGTTTGGGTACTATGTCGAGTGATGTTTGGGGGCGTTGAGTCGAAGTTGTCGACTGCCTGAGTAGAAGACGATTCGTGGGTGGGTCTTGTTGACCTGGTTGCTGGCTTGGACCAGTTGACAAACACTTGTCTTGCGTGCGTGTAGCTGAGCGAAGTCGATGTGGCCAGACTGGGCACAAACTCGCAGCAGTCAAAACGAGAACCTGCAAGATAGATTGCACTGGAAGGATACGAAGTAGTGGTAGTAGCTGAAGCCAATACGCATGCCTTTGGGAAGGAATTTTCAAATGGGCCAACAGGGGCAGGTAGTGATGTCGGGGTGAGTGGACGGTTGCTGAGGAGCGGGCGTGGAGTGGTGGAAAGTTATGGCCCTGGACTTCAAACGGCCACCTGGGTGAATGGTTTCCAATTCACTGCCTAGGTATACTAAGCCTCAGTGAATACCGCCAACATACAACAGCTTTTGCAGTACTGGCCCTCGGTCTCCCAAGATGGGTGCCCACGCAAGTTCTGCAGCCACTTGCTCTACCTATTTCTTCCAGGACATACTCCCGTGGTCTAGAGCAAGAAGCACCCTACTCAGATACATTGTATCTAGTTACTCGTCAGAAAGACCCAGCTGAATAGCCTCGCAACGAGCCTGGTGCTGGCAACTCGTCTTCACTTGCGAGTCTTGCCGAGTTACTGCCCGCCCCGTCTTTGCAAGTCCCAGGGGTTTCGCAAATTCCTTCCACGAGACACCACCGCACAGTGAAATCAACAACACCTTGAAAATACTTAATGACAAGTCTGCCGTCGCCATCCACAGCCATTTCCCATTTCCTACCTCACCCTCTCCTCGCCATCCACACTCAAGCTTTTCATAACAGCAACACACCCCACCCTTCCCTGTCAACGACACCTTTGCGAACCCATCACCAGGGTAGGCCGGACTGCTCTCTGTTCGGGCGGCCTTACAAGGAATACCGATAACAAAACCAACAAGGCGCCTGTAATGGCTTCCAACGACGTGGGCTGCCTTGACGGGTAAGGAAGCAAACACCATGTTGATACGTCTAGTATCGCCGTTGCTAATCTTTTCATCCAGTGTCCTAGGCTTCGACATGGGCAGCACAGAAACCCGCGTGGTTCTTGCGTGGGATGACGGCGCCAATGTCCAAAAGCGGGTCATTGAGAATCGCGATGACACACACACCCTTCTCAATGCCACAGCCCAGTTCTCAACTCGCGTTCTCGTACACGATGACGAACCCGTCAAGTACTTAGGCAATGCCAACCAAGTTAACCGCGAAGAATCTTCGGCTAAATTCATACCCTACATCCTTGTTGGCAAGAACGAGAAGTTGAGGGAGCAATACCTCATCCTCGAGCGACTGTGGGACGAGAGAAAGAAGGTCAGAAAGTCGGATTTCCACACTCGTCTGGAGGAGGCGTTCAATCAATTCCTGTGCTTCGTTCTCAAGAGAACGAAGTCCGCACTTCAGACGTACAGCAGCGACGGAAAGCAGATACAAATCAAGACGGTCGCCCTGACGATTCCCAGCCAATGGGATATCAACTTCGAAGAATTATACAGGCGACTGTTCACGCGAGCCTTCCTGCAAATCTTCGACGATACGCCCCAGGCCGCTGCTCGTGACATGTCTGTGGTGTTCCACACGGAGGCAACTGCACTTGCACAGTACATCTTCCACGAGGCTTCTCACACGGGTGCTCTTGGTGGAGGCATGCCCCGTATTGGCACAATACTTGGCAGGCCTAATGCTCAGTGCTTGATCGACTGCGGCGGACACAATGCGGTGAGTGAACTGTCTACCATCATAGCCTGGGCCATTACCATTAAACATTTGGCACGTACAGAACAGCACCTTGACGCAATTCCATCCAAACAAGGATGGACATGGTGTGCTATATGAGCTCGCAAAACCACAAGGTAGGTATCCAACGGCCCGAAGTTCCAAGACAACGCTAAAGATAATGACAAAGGTGCCGGTGGTGGCTCCGAGATGTGGATTCATGATTTGTTGAATCAGCTCATCGAGCAGTACCGTATCGAAAACAAGGACCAGGCCGAGTTACCTCAAGGGTTCTATCAAGACCTCAAGCGAAAGATCACCACAAGTCTGGGAACCCTCATGCAGGAAGCCTTCGAGTTTATAACATGCAAGCATCCGAGGGGGTTAAATCAACCGGTCTGTCTCAGGATTGACGAGGAAATGTGCGAGAAAGCCTTTCAGACGGGCTTCAAGCACGTCAAGGCCATGATTGAGAGCCAGCTGCAGGGACTCGCAACCATCAAGCAGGGATGGGCAACCAAAGACCACGTCGTCACCGTCATTGTGTCTGGTGGATCGTCTCTGCATCCCGGGTTCATCAATTGGATCAAGGAGCTCTGCATGAAGCTCAACCTGCCTGCGCCACTGTTCACGAAGGCAATGGAGATTCACTATGCGTAAGTTGTGTTCTGAGCTGACACCTCCACCGTCGACCGGATCTCTTCTAGACCTGCGCTAACAACCATTGCTTCAGGCCCGCCCGAATCGCCCTCGGTGCTGCATACGCATCGCTCGCTTCAGATTCCGTTACGTCCTTTGCAGAGAAGTGCGCATTCGGCCTTCAGAAGGGCAACGTCATCAACCAGGGAGAGAACGATGAGCACCTCGACTTGGAAGGCTTCGCTAATACCATCTGGTACAAGGAGGTTGGTTGAGCCCCTTTCACAACGATCTGGTTCTGCCATTTACTGACATGGTCCCAATAGCGGGGTGCTGTACCTGTGACGGTTGTTGCCACAGGCGATCAGGCCGAGTACCGAATCGTTTGCGAACCTTTCCTCGAATCTTACCGAGGGGTTCTGCCAACTGACCGAAGCATGGCCCGAGGGTCGAGCTACGACTTCTTGAACATCGGAACTCTGCCCGACGGTTACAAGCACCGCATCGAGTTCAAGCTCAATGACAAGGAGGAGCAGGTTGAGCTCAAGATTTACCGCATTCCAAAGCCCCTGTGTAGCAAGCTGGAGAGCTACGCTCGTCAAACAGCCAGAAAGGATAAGGTACTCTGTCTTGGTCCTTTTCCCGTTCATGTTCAGCCCGGCACACGGTGTCTGGTAATCCAGCAGTCAACCGATGAGATTGACTCCCAAATCGCAACCGCCATGGAAGATTACCACGATGACTCCGACTACGATGATACCGACCTCGATGAGACTTATCGTGATGACTCCGAGGGGGATGACAGCTACCGCGATGATACCGAAGGGGTTGACAACTATGGCGACGATGCCGATGGCGCTATTGACTACCCCGACGATGTCGACAATGAAGACATGCCCAGCAGCGCCCGCCCCGGCCCATCCTCCGGCCTCGGCATCTCTCGCCACGATCCGGGCCCATCTTCGGACATCAACGACTCCCACAGGCGAGACTACACCAGCGGAGAAGACGATGAGGCGGAGGACGATGATAAGGATGATGGGCAACTTACATCCGAAAAGCGGCCCAAGAACCGCAGTGTAGGCCAACGCTTGCGAGCCGCTAAACACCTCGCAAAGATCAAGGTAAAAGAGGCGCGAATAGCTCACAGAATGGCGGTGGCCGCAGTAAACAAGGATAGACGACAGAAGCAAGGACATGGTCAGCCTTCGGAAGCGCGGAAACAGCTACAGCAAACGCAGGGAAAGTTGGAGCGAGCGAAGAGAAAGCTGGAGCAGGTGCCTGATCGATTCGGCGCCAGCCTCCTGCATGCGGACGTTGATCACCAGGCCGCTGCATCGAATAATGCTGGAATAGCGAACAAGGCCTCCGCTACCAATGCATTCACTTCCACCAGCAGCAACTCTTCTTCCGCCAGAGGTGCCATTGCTTCCAAGGCCGACACAGCCCGTGCCACTGGCAACGCGTTCAGGGGCTCCAGAGATGTATCGGGCAGCGCTGCTTCCTACAGCCAGACGGGCTTTGGAGTCCCCGGTGGAACGCTGACTACCGCATTCGGTGCTCGCCCTGGCCCACCCACAGGGCCTCCGCGGAACAACACTGTGTCATCCAGCGGAGCGGCCTCTTCCAGCAGATACATGAGATCTTCCTCCATGGATCCTGGATACCAGGGCAGCGCTTCTGCGACCTGGAAGCGCCCAGCTTCTCCCGAGGATGACGACCGCCGCCCCAAGAAGCGCACTCACACGAGTGGTGGAACCCTCAGCGGCGCGGCTGATATCCGAAGGCAGAATGGCTCTCGTCGCGAGCCTGGCAGAGATCGCGACACAATATCCTCGGCTAGACAGCACTCAGCTGTCTCGGATTCCCGCCGCGATCCCTTGGAGAGGCGCGACGGCAGAGATGAGCGACCCTCCGCCGACACGGGCCGTTATCCCAACCTGCAGGCGCCCTCCCGCAGAGCTGCTGGAGCTCAAGAGTTCACATGGTCCAACCGCTACCGAGACCAGAACCACGAGGCCCCGGTTCAGCCCATGGCGGTGCTCAACCTCGGCCGCAACGCGTCCGCCAGCGGTACGCGACCTCTCGATCCGATGCCCCCTCCCCCTCGCCGCGACGACAACGCTGCTCCACGAGCTTCGCCTGCTGGCAATTTCGGCTCCAGGTCTCGTCCTTATGACAGCTATCGCCCAGCCTCAGGCTTTCTCTCTCGGCGGACCTCGGGCCCAGCAGGCAACTCTCAGCAGCCTCAGGGCTTCAACGATTGGGACCGTGACAACCGCGGCGGACACCCACCCAGGAGCGATTGAGAGAGCTCAAGGTGGGCAAATGTTACCCTCCAGGTTAGAGATGAGAGATGCTCTACTTTTTGAGCTGTGTGCGAGCGGCACAGTCTTGCTCTCGCCATAGCCTTCTCGGCTGTCACCTGGGACAACCACCCAAGAATCTGTCCGGTAATATCTATGGACGTACTGTATCACCTCTGTTGGCGGCTTTATTCCGACAGCTTCTGTCTGAATTACATGAGACGAACGCCATTGCATCTTTCAGGCTTTTGTCCTGGACATGCCTCGCCATTTCTGTTGGCAGCTCTGTTTCGGCTGCTTTTACTCCGAACGCCATGGTATGTTTTACTTCGAGTTGTGGGTACTGTGTGGCGCTTTTGTGGTTGGATGCTGGTGTTCAGGAGTTTTTATTTGGGGGCTGCTGAGATACCCTGTGTGTGATAGATATAATTATGGTTCACCAAAATCTATGAGAAAGTGCATGTGATAGTATTTCTACTTCGGTGTTGGCGGCTCAGGAAGCCCTTTCCAACACCATTGGGGCCCCTTGAGAATATTTATATAGACATGTGTGCCAAGTTCTGTCAGGTCCGGCTTGTGTGTGGTCAGTTGTGAGGCCAATTGTTCCTGATTTTGCACCATGAGCTGGCAAAATCTGCAAAACATTCCTTCGGCGGGAGGCCAAAGTTTGGCTGACACAACTCATCGCAGCAACGGAAGCAGGAGTCATGGCACGGCTGCTTGCATTAGACCCAGAAGAGCAGCAGCCACAAAGACCAACGATGCCGAGACCCAGTATTTGGCCTCACTGACAGACACACTCTACTTGGAAATTTGAACGTCGTCTGAGGATTAAAAGGCCAGATACAGCTGGCGCTTTCCAATTGATCGACTTGCCTGTCTTCTAGGCTACATCTACTCCAAGCAGGTCTCAGGCTCTGTGCTTGAAGGCACTGCCTGGTCGGAGCTGCCGTTTGTTTACTCTTTTTCAAAGCGCGGCTTGCCCTTCCAGTCCGTACTACGCTCCGTTTCTTTCCCAAGCTTACCTTTCGATCTCACCGTTTTGAGGTCAGCAAGCCAGCCCTGACGTGCGAGTTTTGGTCTGCTTGCGGGTCCCCACTTCGACGCCTTCCCCTTCGGTCTCGCAGGCCCGTCCTGACTTCCAGCGTACAGTCCCAGGCTCGTCAACCACCAACCTCGACCTCAGTCCAAGCCACAGGCCCAACCGCGCTCCGCGATTATCTTCGACCAGGAGCAAATCCACTCCATCGTCGAAATGGAGGACCAGCCGCAACCTGATCAGGCCCCAAAGGCTAGACGCCTGCGTCAGAAGGAGCTCGAGGAGTAAGTCGCTCCACTGCAAACCAACGCGACTTTAGCAGCTGCCTCCCTCATCGCTTTGCAGCACCCGATCTTTGACTAACCAACGCGTCCGCGATCACCATAATAGGCTTCGCGACAAGCACCAGAGCGGCGAGGACAAGCTGATCCCCATCTGGCAGAAAGCCGGCCCCAAAGAGCCGCTGACTCCTTTCGTGGACGCCTTCTCCCGTACCGCCCTGGCAACTTTCAGCCCCGTCTGGAAGAAGAAGCTCGACATAAACCCCGAGTTCCTTGTGCTCGACGGACCGTACCTGGGCGTTTACAAGCTGATCCTGGACTGGATCAAGCTGTGCATTGACGAGGGAAATGATGTCAAGTTTCCCGACGTAAGTGGCCCCAGACAGGAATCCACTCTTCTACAGATTCATTGGCGTTCGAATGCCATGGTCGCATGGGGAATGCTGACAGCTCAACAAAACGACCAGATCGAGGAGCCCGAGACCAAGTCCAAGGAGAGTGTGCATGAGTACGAGCGCTCGCACCAGCTCCACGTCCTGCTTCAGGTCATCGCCGCGGCGAACTACCTGCAAATCCCCGAGGGTTCCCTTCAGAACGGCCTGAAGAAGGTAATGCCATGTCACCTTTTAGTCTTTGTATTCGCTTACATATTCTCGCAGCGCACCCCCGGAACCGCCCGCAAGCACATCATAAACCTTGGCTTTGTCGAGCGTATCTACAGCAACGAGAATGACGACGACCTCACCAGTGACCTGCGAGAGGCCGCCGCCATTTCCATCTTCGAGGCCTGGTGGACCTACAAGCTCGACACTCCCGAGTACGACCAGTACGTTTCTTGGCTCGAGCAGATGCGTATCGACTACCCCCAGCTGGACGAGGACCTGCACGAGCAGTTCAACAAGAAGAAGGAGTTCATTGAGGGCAAGCGCGAGGAGCGAAAGCGCGCGCGCGATGCCGAGTTCTCTGCTCCTCCCGTCGACACTGGCTTCGACAACCCGGATGCCCCTATCGACGGTGGCTGGGACTCTGTGGATGGCACTGGTGACGCTGGTGACGGATGGAACCAGGCTGCCGCGATGGTGTCCAACGAAGGCGGTGCCGGTGCCGACTGGGACAAGACCACCGAGGAGGCGCCTTCTTGGGCCGCTCCCTCTAACAGCATGTGGTAGATCACGATCAACAGCGTGCCGACCCGGTGTATGCATTGCTTGCTTGGAGCGGAACAGGTCTGAAAAAGGTAGTTGAAGAAGAGCTCTGATTGGGAAAGCAGTCTAGAAGACTCTGCCGGATCCCTCTGATAGGTACCAAAATACCATGATGCCTTCAATACTTCTCATATGAATAATTGCTCCCGTGACGTCTTCTGTTGATTTGTGCTGTTTTTAGTTGATCCGAAGAGCAGTCAACCATGCCTGTTCAGAGTCGTCTGTACGAGATGAGGTCGCCTTTAAGCCCCGGCCAAGCCTCTCCCACTCGGGTTGTGGGGGTTCACGGCCGACCATTTTGGCTCTGCCACCCACGAGCGGATGCAGGAACAAGACTCGTGTCCAATGGCATGGCCTCGCCTATTCAGCCCTACCGGGATGTTCCCCAGAAACAGGACTTGCTGCTCCCGCCCACCTGCGGTTGAGGCTATGCCCTTGTGGAGTTCAGTGGCACCGTGCCGTCATTCCGGTATTGGCTTCGTAATGCGCCACTGGGAGGCTGCTGTCTTCGCTGCTCGGGCCTTCCGACCTGAGCGGACGGTTAGATATAAATAAAAGGATTGCCGTTGACGAGATGTATAAAAGTTCTGGATAACATCACACATCAACATTCATACTTGATCATTTACACGCAAAGCAATTTACAATTTTAAGATCACAAGCCTCTCCAAGAATTACTCATCAGTTTGAAGGAGTCAACACCATACCGATAAGCCGAAACAAAACCTCAGAACCATCAAATTTCAGTCACAATGGTCTTCGGTCTAGGACACCACCACCACAGGCCTCATCACGGACCCGGAGGACCTCCTCCTCCTCCGCCTCCACCACCACACCATCATCACCAGCCCGGCCCCCGCGGCCCACCGCCAGCGCCGCTTCTTGATTTCGGGCCCGGCGGCCTCAGGTTCTCGGGCGGAGGTCCGCATGGGCATGGAGGCCCCGGGGGCCCAGGGGGATTTGGAGGACACCACGGCGGCCCTTGGTGAAGGGCCCTGAAGCCAAGGGGACATAGGGGGAGGAAGCATCTTGCATAATTACGATACCTAGCCAGTGATTTCGAGATAGACGCATATTTGTGAATTCAATGGATCTTAACCTTAGCAAGTCACCCGTGTTGGTAGTGACCCAGAGTGAACCTCCTAGTTGGTGCACACACTAGCACACTTTCGCCCCCAGCGGATCTTGACCACACCACGCCGGACTGTCATGGGCCTCGCTACCTGGGAGATGGTTCGAAAACCTCTCTGATAGCTTTCGACACGAAGCGTTCCAGATCAATCTTGATTTCATTCCATCTCAGACGTTACACTCTACTTCCGCAATTACCGGGCCGAGTATAGAATCCGCACATCACGCAGATACAATATCCGGCCCCGAACTCACCATGGCATTCTGCATCCTCTTCCTAGTGCTCATTCACTTTGCTCGCCGCCGCCGCCGCCGCCGAAGCAGCAGCAGTAGCGCCACCGCCCGGGTGTGGCAGCCCTTTAAGAAGATGCGCCGCCATCCCTACTGGACGTACCAGAGGCTGCGGGATCACCTGGACGGTAAGCATCTTTAGCCGTATTCGGCTGTTCCTCAGAGTGCTGACCCTGCCGGCCTTTTTCAAAGAGCAATACGGTGGCCGCATCCTTTGGTCTCGCCGTTGCGCATAGATGGACCGCGGAACGCTCAAGTGTGTGGCTGGGGTGCTCGTGGCGGTGGTGGGTATGCCTTTCGCCCTGAGCTGGGGCTACGAAGGACCAAAATAATTTCAAAGGGTGTGCTGCAATTGCGCGCGTGTGGTTTGGGGCCCATGGATGACTATCTGCAGCCACTGCTTCTAAGAGAGGGCCTGGGAGACGCACCCGGGCAGTTGTCAATGACGGAAATGGACTGATGTTCGGGCCACGGCCGCCCAATTGAAGTGCAATCAACCTGCAATGAGGCAGCTAGTTGCAGCACCGCTGAGGGTGGCAAGTCGTAGCCGAGCGGAATCCTGACTTTTGGCTATAGGAAATGAGCCCCGGAAGAAGAGTCGACGTTGCTACCTCGCCTTGAGGAGCTTCTTCGATGGCCAAAGTCTTTCTCCTCTACGAGATTGGACTGCGTGGGAGTGTATTGGCACCTGCGACTTCAGGAGCGATATCTGTATCGATGGCGTGTGGCGCAAAAGACATAGTAAGTGAATTCATGAGCCATGTGCGTGGCTTTGACGTGCCAGGTGCCCCATATTTATTCTTTCTGTACAAATTCAGTGGGTTGGAGCAGAAAGTGAGCTCGCTGCAGCAAGATGTTACGTTTGATCGGCGAAGTGTTGGTGATTCGTGCCGCATAAGCGCAACAATCAATTCGCCAGCGGCAAGGCTGAGGCATGCATGCTCCCAAAATCGTCACCAACTGTTGCATTACAGAGGAGAATGGATGCACCCACACCCTCCGAGTGCGGTTTAGCCCCATACGGCGACTTCCTAGATTCCAATACCAACCAAACAGTGCACGCCGGAATGCGCAATCCACACTGAACTGACCATCTGGAACTGCTGATCAGCGTGCCAATGTGAAGCTCTGCGGCTCTCCGCAGCCAGCCACCAGCCAGTCTGCCGAAGTCCTAGCCATTGTAATGTGTCACTCTGCGGCGCAGCACGGCATAAATACAGTATATATGATTTTCCCCCTCTACAACCCAGCCCCAGCCATCAACATGCTGCCATACCTCGCGACAGCACAACAAGTATCCCTCACACCTCAACCTGCCATTGCTTCCACATCCTCAAAATGGGTCTATACACTAGGCTCCCAGATGAGATCAACGAGGTTGATGTGATCATCGCAGGAGGTACGTTGGTCACTAAGCTTTGTGGTGCTAAATCATCAACCGAGACTGACATTCCCAAATAGGAGGCAGCGCTGGTTGCATCATCGCCGGGAGACTCGCAGAAGCCGACCCAGACTTATCTATCCTACTCATTGAAAGTGGTCCGAACAATTATGAGGACCCAGCCATCGTCATTCCGGCCTTTTTTGGCTATCTCACATGGACCCCAGGGACAAGTACGTCAGAACTTACACGGCAAGCCCAGCAGGCAAGCTTGCAGAGAGGGAGCTACTTGTGCCTACCTCGCGCGTCCTCGGTGGCGGATCATCCATCAATACTTTGATCTACAGTAGACCGCAGAGGTCGGAGATTGATGCCTGGAAAACGCCTGGTTGGTCGGCGGACGAAGTGTTGACCTACATGAACGAGGTAAGAAAGATTTCGTACGCCCTATACTGGCCGGCCGAGGGCTCATTCTCTACAGCTCGAATCGTTCCACGGCCCTGGATCACAAGACTGCCATGGACACGACGGTCCCATCAGCATCACGTCTGGGTACCGCTCTCAGAGACTCGCCGACGATTTCATCAAGGCCGTCAACAATGCTGGCTGGCCAGAGCTCGAGGATATCAACAACCTCGACACCGTCAACGGCGTTCAGAGAATGATGCGATATGCCAAGTCTGATGGCAAGCGAGCAGACGTTGCCCACGCGTATCTGCATCCCAAGCTTCAGGGCGGCAAATACCCCAAACTCCACGTTCTCGTCGAAACCGATGTCGAACGCGTCTTGTTCGACGGCAACAGCAACGAGAGAGCGGTGGGGGTGGCCTTCCGCCCCTGCACGACCTTCCAGCCTGGCAGGGAGAGTGATCCGGTCAGGGCTGTGTCTGCAAGGAGGCTAGTGGTCATCTCGGGAGGGGCACTCGGCTCTCCACAGATCCTGGAGAGGTCAGGAATAGGCCACCCTGAGGTCTTGGGAAAGGCCGGGGTCCCGGTCACTGCCTCGGTGCCCGGGGTGGGAGAGAGCTACCAGGACCACCAGATCATGACCTATCCTTACAAGACTACCACTGGGCCGGATGAGACAATGGACAACGTCCTCGGCCGCCTCATGACGGGTACTCTAGACCTTGAGGGCATGTTGGAAAGGGGTGACCCGCTGCTGGGTTGGAATGCCGTGGACATGCAGTGCAAACTTCGACCCAGTGATGCCGATGTTGCAGGTCTAGGCCCCGAGTTCCAAGCAGCCTGGGAAAAGGAGTTCAAAAACCATCCCGACAAGCCCATGACAATTATGTCGGGCGTGAGCTCTTTCCCGGGCGATCCTTCTCCCGTGCCGGCAGGGCAGTACATGGGCATCGCGACTTTTACCCTCCACCCGTTCTCCCGTGGTCGCTTCCACATCTCAGGCCCCAGCATCGAGGACGAGCCCGTGCTGGACACTTGGTTCTGGGCAGAAAACGACTTGGACCTGAAGCAGCACATGTGGATGTACAAGACATCGCGAGAGATCGTCCGGCGCATGGAGACTTTCGACGGCGAGGTAGCCGGCGGTCACCCTGCGTTCCCGAGCCGGTCGAAGGCGTCCGTGGTCGACTCCAAGATCGCAGACGTTCAGGATATCGAATATACACCTGAGGATGACAAGGCGATTGAGGCTTAGTTGCGCGGACGCGTTGCGTGCTGCTGGCACTCATTGGGAACGTGCAAAATGGCTCCGTTGGATCAGGGTGGTGTTGTTGACCCCGAGCTCAACGTCCATGGCGTCAAGGGTCTCAAGGTTGCTGATCTCAGCATCCTGCCCGGTAATGTGGGTGCCAATACGTGTAACATAACTATGGCTGTGGGCGAGAAGGCTGCGGACTTGGTCGCTCGGGACCTCGGTTTGGCGGTGAACTAGTCCGGGGGCACATGATGGTTTTGAGGACTGAGTGGCAATTCTAAGTGTAGGACGGCTAGAGGGTACTCTATGTAAAGACGCACGACCCTAGTGACTGACTCCTGTTTACTTGACCCCCAGCGACTGCCACAAATGCCGGGCTTAAAGAGAAGATGGTGACGTCCTCATTGCTTCGTTTTCCCAATCGTGCTCCACTTGCCGCTTGCAATCCTCGAGACTGGATCAATAAAGATGTCCCGCTTGTCATGAACCTCGGGGCCTCACTACGCCTTTCGATAGCCAGAGGGTTGCTTTTTGACCCCTAGCACCCGAGGGTGTGTTTTCGGTAATGCAGAAGTTGCTGGCCTTCCAATGGCCATGGTAGGCACTGGCGACTTATCCAGCAATTTTGGTAAGGTCCATCATCAGTGCGACCGATGCCGGGTTGGTGTAATCTCCTGATTCGATGTGGTGCAGGGCTCCACAGGCTATGTGTCGGAAGCTGATGATGACCGGCAGCTCGCCACTCTGGATGCGGCCGGTGATATCTGGTCTCAACCCGGACCAAATTTCATACTGAATGTACCAAGCAACCATACCAGCCACCAGAATGCCGATATTCTCCTCCTTGCCCTTGCGTGCGATAGCGGGGTCCAGCCACCTCTCGTTGGGAGGTTTGAACTCGGCGTTGATAGCTACGAAAGCGGCGGTCGCCTTGACTGCACCGTTTGGGAAGTAAAGGAAGGCGCATGCGTTCTTTTTGGTATCTATTCGTCTTCCGGCCTCTGTACCCTTTGGCAAGGGGTACATGGGGCCCATATCCTCGAGCCTGAACTGCTGGGCCTCAGGGTTGAGCTTGGCGATCTCGCGCGGGACCCGGAAGCTGGCCTCCCTCAGGGCTTGGTCTCGGAGCCGTATCGGGGCCCTGTGCGCCTTTTCGAAGCTTGCCCTGACGGCTGTTTGGACGTCACTACGTGTCCTTTCGTCGGTGGCGCGATTCCAAGAGACTGGAGGGTTGTCGTAGAGTGAGTGACCATGTGAAGCACTGCGTGATGAGCCAATCCCCCATGGGAGGTGTATTCTGGGGAGCAGCTTGCGTATCAATATCACGACGCCTGCGATCCCGAGAGATGCTGCCACCGCGACAGCATTTGATGACTCAAGCAGTCTGCGGGAGGGAATCTGATGAAATAGGCCTGGGGAATAGGTGTTAGCTTTGATGTGAGGGTGAGAAAACAACAAAAGATTGAACCCACGTGTCTGCATGGTAGTAGCTTCGCTCCATGTCATCAATGGAGGACCCGAGCTCGAGGTGACCGTCAAGCTCAAGATGAAGCCCGTTCGCCCTATAGATGCCAAGGGCCGGAAAGGCGAGCCGTGTCTGGTGGTTCTCAGCACCGACTGGTGAATTGTCCTCGAAGACATGGCAACAACATCGGAAGAGTGTCTTCTTTTGATTGTTGTGCCCAGGATCTACCGCGGAAAGGTCATATGAGGTGAGAGTGTGCGCCGCACGCCTAGACGTCTGTCGTTCCAATGTTGTTGTCAGTTGGCTCGGCGCCTGATTACGTAGCTAAACCATCTTCGGCCAAATGCACATGTACAACAACCCCTCCGATCTGTGGATCCCTGAGGCACCCAATTTAGGCAGTATTTAAGCCCCTCTGCAGACCCCCCAAATAGCAGGGACACACAGATCTGCCAAGATTAATACGCAGACATCCGCGCCGCTACTCTCATTTGCAATCAATCATATCAAAATGGCGCAAATGACCTGCACAAGATGCACCACACCCTTTTTTATATACACTTTTTTTTTCATATATTTTCACCTCCCATATAATAAATACCTTCTCAATTTAATTATACCTTATATTAAATGATAGCTACTTCTTTTTTAATTTTTTTAATATTTATTTAAGGAAGGCAAAAGAAATGTTAAAGGTGTAAAGTATATTAATATTTAATTTTTAAAGCAGAATTTAAAATTTTAAGGAGGGTATGTTTTTAAGCAGATTTAAGTATATTTACCCTTCCTCCCTAGTAAATTTAATATAACTCTTAATTTTTACCCTTTTTTAAAATTTAACTTTAACTTAAGTTATTTTTAACTTTAATTTAAATATAAATTTTTCATTTTTTATATATTTAATTTAATAATATAGAAAAGAAATAAAATTAAAAAAAAGCAGCTTTCTTCTTATATATATTTTAAATGGATTAAAGCTAAATTGAGAGAGTTGATAGAAGTGCATATGAAAAAGGGTGTGGTATGTCTTGTGCAGGTCATTAGCGCCATTTTGATACGATTGATTGCAAATGAGAGTAACAAGACTGACATGTCATCTAGGCCTAGCTAGTGCTGGACTATCACTACGTCCGCTCACTTGCTCTTTTGGAGCCTGATCAGTTAGTCCCTCTCTCCACATACCGAAATCAGGTACTGCTATCGACTCGAACGCGACCATGCAAGAGCAGTTTCCTGGCCAGGAGTTCCCGGGAGATGATCCGACCAATTACCTTAACCGCGTCCCGTACGAGGCTCCGTTTGATCTCGCCCGAAGCCCGGGGAAGGTCCTCGATGAGCTGGGCCATGAATTCCGGGTACGAGTCTGTCTCTCCCGCCTCTCTCTCTTTCTCTTCTAATTTTCAAAGTTGGCTGAACTATTCTGCTTTTCCCCAATATTTAGGTCGGAATCAACGGATTCGGCCGTCTTGGCCGAGCCATCTTCTGCAAGGCGTGCGTACAAATTCGCTCCAGAATATCTTGAAGCTGCTCACGTCTTGGGCATCTTAGCTACGACACGCCTTACATCAACATCGTCGCCGTCAACGATCCTCATGTGGACGCGGCTCAAGCAGTAGGTCCAAACATGAACACCACTTCCATCTGCTTGCCCAGACACGTCTCATCAGCCTTCTCACAAATGTTTCTCAGGCAACCCTCCTCCAGGAAGAGCACTCTCAAGGCCGGCTCGCCCCAAGTGCCAGCCTCGAAATCCACGCGGAAGCTGCAGCTGACACGCTCCTGCTCAACGACACCGCCACGGGCAAGACCGCGACGGTCCAGTTCAGCGCGCAGGACGACCCGTCCGTCCTGGGCTGGGCCAGTCTCGGCGCTTTCCACGTTGTCGAGTGCTCGGGCATGTTCACGACCGTGGCGGCTGCGTCCGCACACTTGGCCACGGGGACAACCAGCGGCCAGAGTGAGGATGACGATGGCGCAGGTGGCGCTTTCAAGGTGTTGATTGCGGCGGCGTCGCCTGACGCGCCGAGGTTCTACCCTCGGGCCAACTTGAGGGAGTACCGGGTTGAGCAGAGCGTGTTTGCGTGTGCGCCGCCGGGGGATGACGAGCACCTCGCGGCACATGGGAATAATTCTGCTGTCGACGAGAATCATGTGTGGCAGTACGCCGATCACGTGCTTGAGTTGTTGAGTGAGTCTTAGGTTCCTTGCCTCTACTTGGTCATCACGTCCTGCTTCCAGGTTTGACGGGCCGATGGACCGTAGATTGTCCCTTTCAGAACCCGACCAAGACCACGCACGACTAACATTGCCTTTTCCTTTCTCATTAGGCCTCGTCCTTGCGCGGGACGGCGCAGCAGCAAGCTGCGGCATGGTTCATGAAGAGGGTCGCGCGCCCTCACTCCACACTCTATTTGTGGAGTCATTGCGCTGGGTTCTTGGAAATTGTCTTCCTCCTAGGGAATATTTTGACTACCTTGGTGGGGAGCTGGAGATGGGAAATTCAGAGTTTATGATGGTGAGTAAATGTTACTGCCGGGGATGTAGGGTACCGGAGGGAAAGGAAGATTGGGCACCGCCAAGGAAAAGCAATTAGTGCACTAAATCAAGTACTAATAGCATAGTAATGAAAGAACAGTAGCTCTGAAGAGTAGGCTTGCATGTGCACATGGGCACCGGTAATATCGCATCCACCCTTGTCCACACCGAACCAGCTCACATATGGCAAAGTTTGCCAAAGGCGAACAAGCATGCTTTGGACCCTGTTCACTGGACTCTTGACGATCAGAAAATCTTGGTCATTACTCACCAAAAAAAGCAAGAAAATAATTACTCAAATCGTTCCCTGCCTTCGTCATAGCGTCGAGGCGCAAGAAGCCTCGGCGACAAAGACAACCTGGCCGCAATATTTAATCACCTTTCCTCTTCCCTGTCCACCAAAAGCCGCACCATAACAGCCCACAAAAGTCCTGCGCCGGAGTTAGCCCGCCCAACCTTACCGAGATGGTTCGTCCAGAGGCTCGGCAGTGTAACGCTCCCCTTTCGGCGACAGCCAAGCACCAAGCGAGGTTTTCAAAGGGCGGTTAACAGTGGGGTTTTACACAAACAACCCGGGGCTTGATTTGCTGTTTCGGCGCCGCACTGGCCAAGAGGGTGGATCGCCGCGCCGACCGAGACACGGTCTGTTTAGGACCGCACTCTGCCAACGACGATCGCGCCACGCGCCACGGACCGGCCAAGTGCGGCGAGGTGTGGAGATAATGCGGATTTGTTTGGTACCAGACTTCAATAAATACTGATAAAATCCACAGATCTACTCTGTGGGCCTTCGTTTGTTGCAGAAACACGAATTTACCAGCACGGCTTTTTCTTTTATCACATTCGTTGCCGCTTTTAATGCTGCGGCTAAACAATCCTCCACAAAATCCCTTCTTTGTCGCATTAAAATGAAAACCAGCACGTTCGTCCTCGCCGCCACTATTGCGACTGCGGTATACGCCCAGAATTCCCCCCGAGAGAAATACAGTCGAAAATCGGTCACATCCTCAAACAACAAAACAAGTCGATGCCATCACGGGGAATAGCAAGACTCTTAAACGCCAGGATGCCGTGAGCAACAGCACCGCAGGCGCAGAAATAGAAGAAGCGGAGCCGGAAGAGCAAGAGCAAGAAGAAGAAGAAGAAAGCGAGAGCGAAAGTGAAAGCAGCAGCAGCGAGGAGGAAGAGGAAGAAGAAGAGGAGGAGGAGGAGGAGGAGGAAGAAGAAGAAGAAGGGGAGGAGGAAGAAGAGCCAGAGCCAAGTGGACAAGAAGCTGAGGCGGCAGATGAGGACGTGGTGATGGCGCCGGCAGTGGGAGGTGAAGCGACATCTCCCGCAGCTCTCATTGATGGGCCCTCCGGTCAAATAGCAATGGGGATGGGTGTCGAAAATGCGGACGGCTCGTGTACCTGCAACGTTGCGTGCCCTGCCGGCTCATTACCCATGTAGCCAATATCGTGACGGGCTGTGGAGGATCCGTGTATCTAAAAAAGGTTGGATTTGATATTAATACCCCAAGGTCTTGATAACTTTTGTTTATAACTTTGGAAATAGAGGCTTTTGTCGGTGAATGAGCCAGATTTTAAATTGGAGTGGTGTTTTGATTGTATCATACCTATGCAGTTAACAATATAGACTGCCTGCTGGCTTCACCTCATGGCACTCCATCCAAGCTATGATTTGTGTAAATATTACATCAAGTGATTGACGTGGAATTTAAGTATTCCTAACACTCTAATTCTAACGATTACAATATCCAAATGTAGATGATAAATGATTTACTCCTCCTCAGTTCTTCTTGGCCTTGAGCTTCGCCAGACTGCCCTTGAGGGGATTCTTGCCTCTGAACTTCAGGAAGGTCGCAAAGTAGACCACTGCGAAGTTGAAGACGATAAAGCCACAGACAATCCCAAAGTTTCGCCAAATGTGGGAATAATACACGCTGAACCCCCTGCCAAACTCGTCACCGGTAGCATACTGGCAGTACTCACACAGGCCGCTGCCGTCGATGGCATCCTGGACGTACCCGCCAGCCTGGCTGATATACCCACCCGCGTATTCCATGCAGGTCTGCCCGGGGGGCGGGGAGAACCTCGCGAACTCGTTGTCCGCACACCGAACAGGCTGGTCGTGCAGCGCGACGGCCAGGAAGGCCTCGAGCAGGTAGTGGAACGGGGTGAGCCAGTACATCCAGCTGCGCCAGAAGTAAGGGAGCTGCTGGGCGGGGACGACGACGCCGCAGAAGCTGACCACGAAGAGGAAGAACACCGGCACGAGCAGGCTTGCCAGGAGCTCGTTGGGGCTGAAGGAGGCGATGGCCTGGCCGAAGCCGACGTAGTACAGCTCGAAGAGGAGGACGCACAGCAGGGTGAAGCCCGAGGGGAACCCCTGGTACGTGGGCCTCCAGCCCATGATCCCCCACCACCAGCAGTTGAAGTACACCGCGCCGGCGAAGAGGGACCAGGGGATCTCGGCGATGACGGCCCCCGTGGTCCAGGCGAACCACGAGTAGATCTTTGCGTTGTTCTCGCGCGACTGGAAGATGTTGCGGCTGGCGAGGAAGACGGGCTGGAGCTGCTGGATCAGGGGGGGCGAGATGGTCAGGGTCATGAAGATGGAGAAGAGCCGGCTCTGCATGTCGATGTTGCTGTAGCCCAGCTTGTAGAAGGTGAAGCAGTTGAAGAGGCCCGTGAAGATGTGCAGGATAAGCTTGCCCATGATGTAGTTGGGCTTGCGCCAGTAGCTGACAAACGCCCGCTTCACGACGGCGTTGATCTGCGTCGTCAGGGGCATCGCGTACTCGCGGTCGTCCTGGATGTTCTTGGAGTGCTCGACGTTGCGGCGTTTTTCGTTCAGCTCGTTGATCTCGCGGGATTGCGCCTCGTATTGCTTGGAGGCGGCCCATGTGTCGCCCCAGTCCTGGCCCTTGTAGTCTGGGTTGCCCGCGCCGATCACGTCCAGCATCCACTCGGCTGGGTTGGCGTCGGGGGGACAGTGGTGGCCGCCGTTGGACTCGAAGTATTTGATGAGCGTCTGGCTGTCCTTGCCCAGCTCGCCCGCGTACACGACGCGACCGCCGGACTTGAGCAGGATGAGCTCGTCGAAGTTCTCGAATAGGACGGCGGATGGCTGGTGGATGGTGCAGAGGATGGCTTGGCCCGCGTCGGCTAGCTTGCGCAGGAATCTGACAATGTTGAACGCCGCGCCGGAGTCGAGGCCGGATGTGGGCTCGTCGAGGAAGAGCAAGAGCTCCGGCTTGGAGGAAAGCTCGACTCCAATGGTGAGTCGCTTTCTCTGTTCAGGGTTGAGGCCTTCTCCGACCTGTCCAATGGTGGCGCCAGCGATATCGTGCATCTCGAGGAGGTCGATGATTGTCTCGCAATAGGCGTACTTTTCTTCGGTTGAAACCTCTCGGGGCTGACGGAGGAGAGCTGAGAATTGCAGTGCTTCCCGCACCGTGGCAGTGGGTTCGTGGATGTCCATTTGCTCGGCGAAACCGGTAGCGCGCTGGAATGACTTGGGTAGCTTTCTGCCATCAACCAGGAAGTCTCCAGTCACAACGCCAAAGGTGATTCTAGACGCATGTTAGTATAACAAAATTCACTCAAAACATTGGAGTTAAAGTAGGTAGGCCCACCTTTGAGCCAAAGTGTTTAGCAATGTGGTCTTGCCAGCGCCAGAAGCACCCATCAATGCAGTGAGACGACCCGGTCGAACGCAGCCCGAAACGCCATTGAGAAGCTTCCTCTCGCCACCTTGGAACGGGATTGTGTAGTTGACATCCTGGAACGTGAAGATCGTCTCGTTCTTAGCCACATTCTGCATGGCTTTCTTGTCCTTCTCCTCCCGCTCCTTGACCACGTCAGCCTCAGAGCCCGAACTCGGGCTGCCCTTGACGGCGCCCGACTCCTCGTCCGACATATTTCCCTTCCGACCGCCGGTCTCGATAGACTCCTTGACAGAGTTGGGGACTTGGCCGCGCTTGAAGACAGTGACGGCAGCCCCTCCCGCGTTGGGCTTCATGACCTCCATCCCGATGGCGGTGACGACGAGGAAGAGTGCAAAGAAGGCCCAGATGATGCCGAAGTTGCGCCACAGGTGGGACCGCGAGTACTGGAAGCTCTCCTGGATGTAGTTGGCGCCAGACACGACGGTAGAGCCGGGCGTCGACCCCCGGACGGCGCAGGATTGGTACTGAGGCTGTGCGCCAGGCCCCTGCGGCACCAGATAGGGCGGCACGCAGTCCATCTCCAGGTTGTAGAACTCGTTCGACATCAGGGCCTCGAAGCCGTACTGGATCCAGTCGAGCCAGCGCAGCCAGCCGAACCAGACGCGCATCGACGCTGGTGGGATCAGGTAGCCTGTGTACACGATCAGGATCTGGATGAAGACTCCGGTGACCTTGGTGGCGTCGTCAAGTGTTTTGGCGACGGCTGATACCGCGCGGAAGAAGGCGTATGTGGCCATGGTAACCGTGAAGAGGATGAGTATAGAGATAAAGAACTGAGATGCTGTAGCGGCGAGGCCTGACATCCAGTAGATGATTACGTCGAATATGAACACCTGTGTGAAGATCAGAGGGATGTCCACCACTGTCTGGGCGAGAGCGTAGGCAGAAGGGCGGTAGAAGGAGAAGTTCTTGTGCTTGAGGAGGATGGGCTTGGACTCAAAGGCAGCAGTCTGCTCCGCGAGTGCGAGAAGGGCGTTGAATAGAAGGATGAAGAAGAGAACACCGCCTCGGGTGAAGGCTCCTGCGGTGTTGTCTGGCTGCTGGAAGAACAGGGACCCAACGATCAAACCTTGGAAGACAATGCCGCCCCATTTTCCGAACAGTGAAGCCTTGTCTCCGAGCAAGACAAGGAATTGTCGCTTGGTAAGAGCGAGGACCTGCTGGTAGAATGAGATGGTGTAGTTCTTCTTCTTGCTCGCCTTGGTCGAGTTCTGGCTGATCTGTCGCTGCTGTTCCGCGGTCTTCGCCTCAAAGTCTTCCATGTCTGCAAGGTTGTTCTTGTATGCTTCGCTCTTCTTGTACACGGCGGCAAAGTCTGCAGCCGAACGAGGAATGCGATCCTCCCAGCCGGGGCGAACGCTGCGCTCGTGTGGGTCCACAACAGAAGTTAGGAAGTCCGCCGTGGTCCATCGCGCCGGGCAGTCGAAGCCGAGGTCTTGGAAGTACTTCTTGGCGTTGTCCGAGGGACCAAAGTACAAACATTGGCCCTGGTCGATGACCAGGACCTTGTCAACGAGGTTGTAAAGGCTTTCACCAGCCTGATATAGCGAGACTGCAGTTGAGACCCCAGCCATGTTGGTCAATGCTCGCAAGGCCTGCACGTATTCGACCGCCGTGGCTGCATCGAGACCCTTCGAGGAATTGTCCCAGCCTTGAACGCTGGCTCGAGTGATGAGCGCCTCGGCAATACTGACACGCTTGCGCTCACCACCAGACACTCCGCGAACATGCTCGTTGCCGACCTTGGTGTCCAGTGTGTGTTCGATCCAGAGAAGCTTCGTTGCCACGCGCAAAAACTCCTTGACGTAGTCCTCTCTGGTCTCACCCTCCAGCCGAGACTCCTTGCCTGGTGTCCTCGTCCGCAAAGCAAAAGTCAGGGTGCGTCGGACCGAGAGTGTGGCGTAGTGGAGGTCGTCTTCCGGGTTATAGATTATCTCTCCTCGGAAGTCTTTGGCCATGGTCTTCGCATCAGTCCCGCCATAGGTCACATCACCAAGAACATCGACATAACCCGCGCGCTGGTTACAAAAGGTTTTGAGAAAAGTCGAACATCCCGACCCAGGACGGCCGAGCACGAGCAGCATTTCACCGGGGCGCACGCAGCCATTGAAGTCGCTGAGGATCTCCCGCACGGGTGGCTTCCCCGTCGCAGCCTTGGGCCCTTTCGTGACCAGATTCTTCAAAAACCTCGGCAGGCCCATGAAGAGGTCACCCACGGTGGGCTGCAGGCTGGCGCCGAGCCCTGCACCCTTGACGGTGAGATTCCGGAAGACGACGCCCGAGTGCCGTGTTTTTTCCTCCTCGCTCTGCTCCTGCCGGGCCTTGCCAAACATGCGCGACATCAACCTTTCGATCTCGTGGTCCTCGTCCTCCGTGTCGGCAGCTGAGGTCCCGGTACGGCGGCGCGACAGGGCGCGGAACAGGTCGTCCTCGGTCTGTATATTGCTCCTTCTCTGTTGCAGGGGTGGCCGGGAGTCTGCCTCAGTCTTCATGGGCGCGAAGTGCGCCTCGTCCTCAGCATGGTCGGAGTCGGATGGGTTCGATATCCTCAGGGACGATTCTCGCTCCCGATCATCAATTACCCCCGAGGCCCCTGGCACGGTCGGGCCCTGGGATGGAAACAGAGTGTTATCTGAGGACGGCATGCTTCTGTCGCTGGGTGTCCTGTCCTCGTGGCCAAGCCTCGAGGAAGAACTGGCCTGCGGGTTCCTTGACATTGTTTCTGAGCCGTTTTGGGGTTTTCGTGGATCAGCAGCACTCAGGGGGAAGTGACGTTGAGGTGCGTCAGCGGGCGCATCTTTAAGAGGCGTCTCTGGAAACCCTCCAGGTATATCTTCTGGCGTCGGACCTCCGACCATGTCTGCTTACAAGATGTTGCACAAAGATTGTCATCTACGAAAGTGGACCTCAGAAAGTGAAACCAGTAATAAAATTGGGGTATGGACCATGCGTGTAGAAAAAGAAATCTTCAAGGGACATGTTGCGAGGACCCACTGTGGGTGATGACGACGGAATTAGCAAGACGTTGTGTTCGGATCCGGCCTTGTTGCGGTAGCGGTAGCCTCCTCTGGGCGGTGACCTCGGACGGCGGATGGTCTTTGGTCCATAGCGACTGGCATCGGGATTTAGGGAAGTGCGAGGGACTCGCTGAAAACCGATGTCCAGTTCGGCCTAGGGGTGATTTGTCCGACTTTTGGGCCTATTCCACCGCTTGATGTCTACAACAGAGGCCAGAGAGGCAAGGCATCATCCCGGTTCGCCCAGCGGATCCACAAAAAAAAAAAACAAAAAGCACAGTTCAACGGCGGTCGTCACTCATACGCATGGGGCGAGACCTGCCCAGGCAGCCAAGTGTGTGTGGGAGGCATTGACTCAGATGCAGACCATTCCCGCCAAGAGGGCTGGAAGCTCGATCCAATGTCTGATCGACAAGTCAAGTGCGTAGTACTGACTGAGCCCGTCCGATATGCCCTGCCAGCCCTGCCTCGAACAAAGGCGAGCTGGTCAGATGGTTGACGTCACCCTAACGTTGGGGGCGATGCACACATGCAAATGAAAACGGCCCGTTCCACTCTACCTGCACGGCAATCATTTTCTGCTGAGTGAGCCACGGTAGGCTACTACCTAGCAGGCATAGGTGCAGAGGCGCTGCCCTCCAATGTAAATTGCACTATCACTCGGATTGGATCCCGCCCTGTCGGGACCGATGGGGCCGCTCTGAGTCAGCACAAGTCTTGCATGAGATAAGAGTTCGGACGGCCGAGTATCCATGCGGGATCAAATTCTCGGAAACAAGACAGCTGAAGCTGAATTAAGCCTTTTCCATCCACTATGGTCTCCACTATGCCAACCACTTCCTTGGCAATTAATAGATCGACACTACAAAAGCAGAATCCTGCGTACTGAAGTCGTGATTTTTAATGTTGCATCGATGTTGTGAGGAACCCCGGCCTTCCAGGCCAGAGAATCACTCGACACAGAGCATCGCAATCACTCGCCGAAATTGCATGCCAGCAGCACAGCACCGATAGGTACGCATCAAGGAGGTGGTGCTTAATGTGGCGCAGGAACTCGTGTTTCATTACAACGACTTGCATCTCATCGACAGGCTGGATGGGGTGAATGCTGGTCGGAACAAGGTTCACCTGTGGGAAACAAGCCTGTGTACTCCGTGGGTCACACCCTAGACGGAGATTCGGATTACGGTCGCGGCTCTCCTCTTCTAGTGCTTACGCAACAGCGATCGAGGTCAAAAGCCTACAGGCACGAAGAGACCGGGCTTTGTGTGCTTATGTGGTCGATGGTGCACCTCTTCTGGGGCGCCCAAAGCTGACTACGTGTTCACGCGGGATTTCCTCGACAACAACCGGTGTGTAGTTTGTCCTCTATGTTCAATAATGAGGTGCTAAAACGATACTAGCATCAATTTGATGCATACCCTGTGGACCAAGATCTTCGGCTACACCGTCCACCCGAAGATTCCCACCGACCGCCCCGGCCTGCGAGTGGTAGACGTTGGCACAGGCACAGGGCAGGTCCATGCCCCAGGTTCTCGGCCCTACGGGCTTCTCTAGCAGATTAACACCTTGATGACAAGCATCTGGCTCTTCGATGTACGTGAGTTGGTCGACCAATCGGCTCGTCTGGAGGGTTTCGATATCTCGTTTGACGCCGCACCTCCTACGGAGACATTGCCGCCCAACGTGTCATTCAGGCACTGGGATGTGAACCAAGAATTACCAGAAGACCTTGTGGGGGCATTCGATATTGTCCACGTGCGCTTCTTTGCGTTCGTTCTGATGAACGACCAGGTCCAGCCCGTTGTGGAGCGCCTCTTTAGAATGCTTAGTACGTCCGTGAAGTTGATGATACACCCTAGAAGTCCTCGTCTGCCCGTCAGATCGACTCTATTTCTTATTCTTTTTTTTTTTTTTCATTTTTTTTTTCTGACGATAAATGAACCAGAACCCGGCGGGTATCTCCAGTGGGGCGATCCAGACTTCCAGTCAGTCCGTTTCGACAAGACGAACCCCGAGGTCAAAGGAGAGGCCATGGCAGAGATGTTCAAGTTGCTATCTGTGCAGGACCCACGCTTCAAGCCAACCTGGGTCACGAAGCTGCCAGATATATTTGCTGCCGCAGGATTCACGGAGACTGAGGTTGACAAGAACGACTGCCCACCGCACATGGCATTTATTCTGCACGAGTGTGGGCTGATGATTCACGAGCTCATTTATCGTAAAAACAAGAACGAAAAGATGCAGAAGGAGCTGGGCCGTCTGCTTCCTCTAGCTGTGGAAGAGGCAAGGAACGGGGTTTACACGACCGCGGTGCGCTGGACTGTGATTGGAAAGAAGCCCGAGGCCTGAACTGCGAGCTGAGATAGTTCAGGACATACGCGTATCGTACATGCAGCTAGAAATTAACCATCGCGTTATATTTGCCCAGGCAGTGAGATACAAGCATCAACAAATCGCCCATACAGTTCCGAAGTGGTCCTTCCCTGTCCAGGCCGCGTATCACAGGCAGTGCAGCTGACCGTAGGCTCGAATTTAAGGGAGCAAGATCCGGCGGAATTACTGTCTCGAGGTAATGAGAGTTTGGAAAATTTCATTATTATGACTTCCATCGATCGAGCCGGTCGCTCTTTTGTTATATACGAAAGCCGAATGTTGTCACTAGCTTAATAATTAAACACCACGCTCCATGGCGCGGGTGCGCGTCGCCTGCCTATTTTACTCCCGAACGAGCCGGGATGTGAGCTGGTAGTTGAGGAGTCTGCCACACTCGTCCACGCTCACACGGTTTAGTCAGATCTTCTATCAGCAGTCGCAGCGGGTGGACATCCCCCATCACCGGCGGAGTTCGTCCCTGCATCCGGCAGGCCTAGGCCCAGGGCGCCGGCTCAGCCTTCACTCACGACCTCATCCTCATCATTGTCTGAAATGAAAATCGACTCCTGGGCCCGCCCATCTCGCAAGCGAGCTCCTCTCCCCTGCTGGGGTCCCGGCTGAGCACTCCGACCAAGTCCGGCGCGCGGTGGTGATGCCTGCGCTGCGGTGGCTGCGGCCTCCGCCGCGACCTCCACCGCGATCTGCCTTGGCCTCGCCCGGGCCTTCCTCCCAGGCTGGAAGTCTGGGTTCTCCTGCATGACTCTCCTATGGAAGAACTCGCCAAACTTCCTCCTGAACTCTGGATCCTCCCCGGCGATCCTCTCGCACGCGTCCGCGTACCGCGCGACCAGCCCGCCCTCTGGGCCCTGCCCAGGCTCCCGCACGTATCTGGCGTCGCGCCAGCCGCCCGTCAGCACCCATCTCTTGAGGGCGTTCTCGCCCTGGAGCTTCTCTGCCGCGGTCACATTGACCCTCGTGGGGTTGTGCGCTGCCCCCGGGTGGGCGTCTCGAAGGTGGCGGCGCAGAGAGGGCTGGTCGCGGAAGACGGTGCCGCACATGCTTCCTGTGCCGTCGATCTCGACTTCGCAGACGCCCGTGTTGACTTTGGAGACTGTCACCGGGGGGAAGGCTGGGGCCTGAGTGGCACTAGCGGTTGCGTTTGCGTTGGCTAGCTGTTGCTGGTGCCAGTAGGGGACCGGCCCATGGTGGTAGCCGAATGAGGAGGGGTTTGCAGCGCGCCAGGCGACTTCGTCGTTCTCAAAGTCGAGGCGTCTGAGCATGGCACTTGCGGAATTCAAATTGATTATGTAATTGTTTATGCCCGGGTGACTGTTGCTGTAGGTATTTGCTGTCGACACGCGGAAGGCAGCTGGGTAGGCTCGAACGCCCACCACTCCAACCTCTCATTTTGGTGATAATTTTGAAACCGGAAGATCTGTGCGACGGAGTATTATTAGTCCGGGAATATTTATGAGCATATGCTGAGCATATGCTGTACCAGAAATTGAAGTGTGATGTTGTTGTAGAAATCGATGCTCTTTGTCTGTGATGGCGACGATATGCGGACCAATCACTGTTTGGGGAAGCTCAACTTTTATGTTTCAAGTGCAAGGGCCATAGCTGGCTGTTGTGTCTCTGGAACATTATTCTTCACAGAAGACCAAATTAACAAATTTATGTCTTCCGCCCACATGATACGGAAGCTTTGTAATTTGCAGCTAACGACCGTCGAAGAGCTCGCATTCATTTCAACCAGTCAAGACAGTTAGGCCACTTCGTGAAGGACCAAACATTTCATGTGCATCCATGGAATTGGAGGAACCGGATCAGGGTTAGGGTATCTACAGGGCCCCTGTACCACAGGTGCCACAGCTCAGACGGCAATGCTTCCATTAAATATTTCTCGGCGGCACCCTACTTGTAAGACTACGTACAGGATACCGGACAGCAGCTGTCATCATGTCCCAGAGCCAGGAACCGTCGCCGTTGCCTTCCAATGTCCCAACGATCCTGATCACCGGCGCCTTCTCCGGTCTCGGCCGCGCCTTCTTCGAGCACTTCGCCACAGGATCACGCAGTGAGTCGTCCCATGGTGAGGCACAAGACTTCAAAGTCGTCGGCATAGACAGGCAGCCATGGCTAGACTAAGACGGGAAGCCCCAAACCAGCCACGTCCACGGGCCCCGATCCGTCTACGTACAGGCGGACATCACCTCGCCCCGCCCCGAGCTCGAGGCCCTCTTGCGCAAGTGGATAGGCGAGGAGTCCCCGCTGCCCCTCGTCGTCCACAGCGCCGGCGTGCGCGGCCTGGTCCCCGGCGTGGAGCTCCGCAAGTCGGACGACGTCGCGGCGGCCGAGACGCTGGACGTCATGGACGCGGCGACGATGATGGGCACGTTCGAGGTCAACGTCGTGGGCACCTTCAACGTCCTCACCGCCGTGCTGCCGCGCCTGCGGCTGGCTGCGGCGCGGGGGCTCAGGCCCAGGGTGGCGGTCATGGCGACGCGCAACGGGAGCATCGCTGCCAACGACAAGGGGGGTGCTTATGCGTACCGCGCGAGCAAGGCGGCTCTGAATGCCGTGGTGAAGAGCATGAGTATTGATGTTCCAGAGGTATGCTTCGGGCTCCTTCATCCTGGAAGGGTTGAGACGGGTTTGGTCGGCGTTAAGGAGGACGGTGCGATAACTTGTGAGGAGAGCTTGGAGACCATGTTGCCGGTGCTGGACCGGTTGGGAGGAGGTCACTTGGCCAGTGGCTGCTTCGTGGATCGCTTTGGCGTCACAATCCCATGGTAGATTGATTTCTAGCCGCTTCATCATCATTGCCGTAAAGACTTGCTTTTTTGTAAGTAGTCCAAAGTCCCAGCCTCTTTTGAGTATGAATAAACATTTTGCACATGAGAACTACTGGTTGTCTTCATAGAACCACACTTGAGCACCCCCTTTTGGTATCCCAAGGCTTCGGATAGTTAGAGCCAGGATCCGGATGCGCTTACAAGCTGCACATGTATGCCTCGAAGGACTCATAGGTTATATTAAGCAGCGGTTGTAATGTCTAGCACTCCACCTCCTACGCTTCGGTCTGAAAAGGCCATGCACAACAGGGTTCAAATAGCCACTGGTCCTCAGAGCAATGTAATTATGGGTTCTTTCCAAGGTTTCTACATAAACACACGCAGTAATACGATGAAAGTTTGTTGTTCCTTACCCGCTAGCGCGTTTGTACCTCAAATTGCAAGTTGTCCACTCGTTGTACAAGTAGGTGTTTAGATGTTGTTCAACATAAGACATGTGTTCATTGGAAATATTTTCCTACTGTCTTTGGGCCACCTTGAACCTGGAATGCGGCAATAAACGGCGCTCCGGCCCCAGTCCCTGAGCCCGGCTGCCGTGATTCGATGACCTTCCGGGCAAAGGCAGAGAGTACTGAGTAATCAGGATTTACAATGGAATATCGTGATCGTTAAGTTTAAGAAATTGGCAGTCCTTTTGTTCCTTGTTCATATTTTCACTCGATGTGTTATTGGTTATCAAGTATACAATGACCCCTGTTGGGAGAGAATGAATGGCTACCTACCTAGGTAGGTAGATAGCTTAATTAGTGATATGTCAAGGTGCCCTTCCCATTCATTGTACAGGAGCAGACCAGGCTGGTTGTTACACAGAATCTTCGGAGCGGCTCACTTGGGATACCTCAACCTCTCTGATTACCGGTGGCTTCTTGGACTATATACAACTTCACGATAACACACTGCTTTGCTAGACCATGCCTTCCCCAGACCTCGTCCTCTCTCCTCCTAAGTGACCTCGTTGCCAGCCATACAACGTCAAGCTGTTAATAAGCCATGTCATCATCACGACTTCATTTTGTTGAGGACAGAGGCCAGTGTGCTGGTACACTGTGCCCCGCTCACATGGACATCAGACGAACTGGCCCAATTTCCTAAATTATCCGTTTTGTGCGCTGCTGGCTTGGGTCAACCCTCCCTGTTCACTCCGCTGCCCTCCGGCCATCCCTCCGGAGCATCGGAGCCGGGTTCCGGCGGGGTGTTCGGGTCCGAGCGCCTCATTGAGTAGTCGGCCCACATCTTGGAGGGCGCTTATGGGCTGCAGCCTTGCCCAGCCTTGTCTCTCCTCGTCTCGTCACCATCTGGGGAACAACATTTGGCGTTAGCCACCAACCAACGTGCAACCTTCTTGCAACCTTCTGCCACGCGCAACGATGGCTGACACCGACGATACTGTTGCCGACGACGGCCAGCCTATTGCGATCACCGCAAACACCATCGCTGGACCTTGCCCACCCCAGATGGCTGTCGACGTGGTTGCTCACGAGGGCGGCGAGACCAACAACGCTGAGGGCACGAAGGTAAGCCCACAGCCCACCACGCGTGGCGTTCCTCCATCTTGATGTCTTGGTGATCTCGCGTCTAACATCGCTCCATTACAGGATCGCAATGCCTCTCAGAGAACTTTCAAAGATCCCCCGGCTGCCCAGAAGAGTCGTCTACTGTAAGTTGAGAGTACCCAACCATATCGTGGATCTCCTGTGAAATAAGTCACTCAATGCTGATGGCTCTTTAGGACCATCGCGCCCGAGATTCGAAACATGATCTTCAAGCTCTGCCTGTGTCACCCAGAGGACATTGCCGGCAAGATGGACTTGAAGCTGAAGGAGAAGAACGTCGAGACCTTTTCGATGGCGTCGTACTACCCCAGGGGAGTTGCCCGTCCGAAACTCCAAGAAGCATATGAGTTCAGCATCTCCAGTAGTACCAAGAAGTCCGTCAAGAAGCACAGCCTCCGAAACCTCGCCCTCATGCGAACCTGCCAGACCATCTACAATGAAGCCTCTCTGGTCTTTTGGGGCCAGAGATTCACCTTCAGAACCATCTTGCAGCTGCAGAACTTTCTGCTGTCTCCGCATGTGCGTCATGACCTGGTTCGAGACGTCAAGATCTGGAAGATGGACTATGACATTGGCGTCAATTACATGCCAGCCACCTGTGCCCTCCTTTCCGACAAGTTGACAGGCTTAGAGGTCTTTGATGTTGATATGGGCCACATGCGCTGGGAGGAATTCATCAGCAGGACGAGGCACGATGGAGGATTTCAGGACGATGAGCACATCAAGAACGCAGCAAAGAATCTCGGCTTCGGCATCTACTCATGCATGCACCCTTGGGTGACCAAGGTGGTGCGCGAGCAGGGCATCGACAAATTGATGACTATTCTCCAGATAGTCAGAGAGTCTGATCCGATCGACCCACACGGCACGACCGGCGGAAACAAGAGGGTCTTCTTTGACTTTCGAGGCCGTGGCCAGCTGACTGCGAGCCAGCGGGCGATGGCGGACGCTGTCACCGCCGAGGAGATTGTCAGACTGGTCGATGGCTATGAGAAGAACCTTTTTTGAGTGCAACCTAGGGCACTGACTGCCTAGGCGTCCAACATTTTGATAAGGTCTGTAGGTTTCGCCATGGACTCAATGATGAGTTGGAGGGTCTGACTACCTAGGCTGTGCATTTCAGCTTGGTCTCTCGCAGCAGAGGCCGCTTTTACTGCAGTCACCCCATCGTCTGGTACACACAACGAATCAGAATAGCACTCAGCACTTCGTAGAAACTTTCGATTCTTTTGTAATGAATCAAGTCCCTCTGATACTAGTGTGCTTTGTTAAAATGGCAAGCATGTGATCACTTAAGGGGGCTGGATACCAGACTCTCCCCCGGCACTCAACCAGTAGTTTTGCGTCTCTGTATGCATGTGGTCAGTCATGTAGCACCTCTTCAGCCGAAATGGGTAAACGGCCACCGTTGACAGGCATTGAGAAGCGCGTTAGTCTGTGCCCCTCTTGAGGAGGTCCAAGGGACGGCCCGCTGCGGAAGCTGCACCTAGCTTCCGAAACTCAGCACCACAGCGGTCACTCTTAAAAGAATCCTCCACTACGTTGGCTTGATTCCAAACTCCCCGTGGGCAGGTGAGATGCCCTGCCACTCGCGCCGGGCGGAGGCAAGATGATTCATGCAGGTCTTATCAGTAACGAGAATGTGATTGGCCACCAACGTCTCCAGATTCCGAGGTCGCAGGGCAGCTGGGCAAGCTCCAGCAGCTTTCTCCAACCGCGATCCACTGACCAAAGCCCTTGTGCTGGACCTGGGCATCCCATACTTATCAACCACTCTCACCCTGGACCCTTGTGCTTGCCTTTCGTTTGGGCAGAAAGGCCTCGCGCGGTGAATCTTAATCTTCACAGTCAGGCACAGCCGCCCGGGATCAGGCCCTCTGTGATTGATTGCCCGTGACGTGGCTGGTCCTTGCAGCCACGACAGACCAAAGTCAGTCAGAGAGGCTCACCGTCCGTCCATAAAACCTTGCTTCGGGGATCGTCACGGCTCCTGGTTGCTCACTTTGGGAACTATATCATGGCATCATTGCTCACCTCGATTCATGCATCATGGCGCTGTGGCAGAATAAAAATGTCTCCTCTCTTGGGAGGACCGCCTTCCCAACCTGCTTGTCGCAGGAACATCAACCCCACCACATTCAGACCAAACTCTAGACCCCAATCGAATTCAGCGAAACCACTAAAGATGGGCTCAGTTCCGGATACGAAAGCCAATGTCCTCCTAGTCGGCTCAGGTGGAGTCGGCACCATGGCAGCTTACGCGCTTGAGAAGGGAGGCAAGGCCAGTGTGACAGCAGTCCTGAGATCCAATTACAAGGCCGTCAATGAGGATGGCTTTCACATCAATTCTATCCAGCATGGCAACATCAAGAACTGGAAGCCAAGTACTAGTGAGCCTTTCCTGCGTTCTTCTGTATGAACAACCTGGAGCTCCAGCTGACCAAGTGAGCAGTTCGAAACACGATTCCAAATGTCACCGACGAGGACCTACACTACAACTATGTAGTCATAACCACCAAAAACATCGCCGATGTCCCTCCCGCCATGACGGATGTCATCGCTCCAGCCGTCACCCCTGGACTAACCAACATCCTACTCTTACAAAACGGCCTCAACATCGAACGCCCTTTCACCAAGGCCTTCCCAACCAATCCCATCCTGTCAGGCATAACAGTCATCGGCGCATCGGAGAACCCCCCCGGCACCATCAAGCACGACAACTTCGACATCTCCTACATCGGTCCATTCGACAACCCCAACATCAAGAATGAGGTACCTGAGGCCGCAGCCCGCTCATTCGTGGAGCTCTACGACGCGTGCTCCGCGGTCAAGTGCACCTACGACAGCGACGTGAAATTCAGCCGGTGGCGGAAGCTCCTCTACAACGCGAGCTTCAACACGGTGGCGACGATCCTGCGCATGGACGTGTCGCGCATGCGCGCCAGCGAGCACGTCGTCGACGAACTGATCCGCCCGCTCATGCTGGAGATCGTGGCCACGGCGGCCGCGAAGGGGGTGGTGCTGCCGCTGGAGGAGGTGGAGAAGATCATCACGGTGGATTTGTACGAGAGCTTCTTCCTGCCGAGCATGGCGCAGGACATCAAGAAGGGGAACTTCACCGAGTTTGAGAACGTCGTCGGGGAGCCGCTGAGGGAGGCCGAGGAGCTGGGCGTGCCTACCCCCACGCTCAAGGTTGTTTATGGGCTGTTGAAGGGCTTGCAATTCCAGACTAAGGAGGCGAAGGGCTTGGTCGAGGTGCCGAAGGAGAGCTCACCTGCAATGAAGTACGGTGATAAGAATCAGACATGGTGATGTGTGCTATGGTGGGGTTTGTTTTGGTCGACATAGACTTGTTGATAGACCAGCGATGAGCTGAATGCATCCACGTGCATTTTTCCTATAAAGTTCTGCGAAAGGTCCTACCGGTGAGGTGCTGATGAAGCTCCAGCATTGATCGGCAAACGTGGAAATGCTCGCAGGCGTCCTCTAATCTTCAACAAATCGGCCACACATTTAACAGGTGTCCCGAATCGTGAGACCCCATGCTACCCCTTGGTCTGACTCCGAGGTACACTCGTGAACCGTCTGATTATTGGACACCACCCATATATTAGCACTGAAGTTTCTGATGTTATCCAGCTGCATCCCAATTGATGATTTGAAAGAAAATGAACATGCCTGTCCTTTTTGACATAACCCATCCTGGTGCCTCACTTCATCAAAGCCAAGTAGGTAGTGATAAGTAGCGGATCAGACGGCGCCCTGCTTAGTCGCGTTGCTGCTGCGGAGTACTTACTCAACGTCCACTACATCGACCAAGCACATAGCCGTGGTCAATACCGGAGTGTCATGTTCGAAACTAGTACGTAATTTATACTTGGCTCGAGCGGAGGCAAGTCGACGAGAAGACGATGAGGGCCTTGGAGTTGGGCAAAGAAATGAGCATGACTAACAACGAGCTGCGGAAATCAGGTGTATGGAATGTAGAGACATTTCAGCCGATGCGGAGAAGCCGTCGATTCACATGGGCCAATTTGAATTAGAATGTGACTTACTAGAGCCGTAGGCGCCGACGGTTCATAGGAATTTAGCCTTGGCAGGCATGGATGAGTACTGACAAGGCGCCGTTGACGCGTTAGACTTCGTGCGATCCACGGCACGTTACCGCAAACAAGATCTTCCATCGAGTCGATATTTATTAATCTACTTGTGTTTTCAAGAAAGCCGACTGAGTGCCGAATGCGCTTGAACGATTCCTTCGCACTTCCGAGAAGTCTCATCACGCTAGGCATCCTTACGTCAATTGACTCTGAACGCGATGCGCGCTAGGGAAGAATTACGGAGTCCGGCACGTGTTCGGTTCAAGTGTTTTCGAACGGACCAGGAATGTATTGGCTCAGGTCGGACGTCGGTCTCCTTCTGAATTCGTCTTACCGTCGTGTCGAGCACAGAGGCCGATCAACTTGCCACTTTGTGGCCCTCATTCGCGGCGAAATGCTACGAGGAATAACTTTATGAATATATATAGAGCCTCTCCTCTGGACTTGAGTTTGTTCCGCTGCTCCACCTGAACATCCTTCCTCACCAGCTAATTCAATTATCTCATTTCAACTTTAGGCATTCTCAGCCAGCACAAAAGCTATCCTTGCAACAAGATGCGCCACACGCTTTCAATTCTCGCCGTTCTCGCAAGCACTGCTCTCGCAGGCGATATTCAAGCCCGAGATGCGTGCGTTGATGCGTGCAACAACGCGTGGGACACATGCCGTGCGAAGCCTGACGCGAACCGTGCCTCGTGTGCTGCAGACTTCGCTGGCTGCGTCGGGTACAACCCCTTCGAATCAGGATCTTTCGTTCCACCCACCACTTGTGTGACCACCACCAGTTCCACCCCGGCCCCATCAGCTCCTCCCGCCCGCCCCTGCGTGACGGCTTGCAACAATGCCTACGACACTTGCCGCTCCAAGCCTGACGCCAACCGTGCCGGGTGTGCTGCCGACTACGCTGGCTGCCTTGGGTACAACCCCTTTGAATCAGGATCTCTGATCACGCCCACTGCCTGCGCTGGGGCCTCGATCCTGCCCACGATGGTTTCGCCAAATGCCACCAGCTCGAAGAACATGAACCCCCCGCCCGCCGCCACTACGAAGCCGGTACAAGTTGCCGGGGCTGGAAATATGAAGCCTGCTATGGCGCTGCTTGCGGGCGTGGGAGCAGTGGCGCTTCTCTAGACTGTACGGGCTTGGATTTGGGCGTTTCCAAGGAGAATTCGAGACGTTTCCTTCGGGTCCATAGGGCTGCGTTCGAGACGCGTTCATAAAACGTTCTGATTCTGGCACATTTTACTGCCTTTGTATACCTATCTTCAATACTTGTACTACAGAAGTTCGAGGCAGTATAAGCATCAGGTCAACATCAGATTGTAATGTACATGATAGTGATAGAAGAACTATATACGGATGAAATGGTTTCCGCCTCAGGCTAGTTGAGTATGCCGTAACCTCGTTGCTCGCAAACTCAATCTCTCTATACTTCAGGTCTCAGGCATCCCCGAGGCGCTCATTTTTCCTCTTTCCTGTTCCAAATCTACCAAGTAGTGAGTTCTTCTCCAGTGGAACGACAGACCTTTCCCCTGCGACTTTGTCGACCTGTTTTTATTTGGACTGTCTGAATGCAGTCTGAGTAAGTCTTTCTGATCTTCTTTATCTCCAATGCGGTGATGGTGGGCTTCTGTAGATAGTGTGGAGTGTGTTGACCTATGATATTCGTGGCCCACAAATCAATGCCATGACATCGTAGTAGGAGAGCACAGCCGACGTCATACCATCAGATCTATGATTGTTGTATAATATTTACTTTCCGTGCTCCTTCTCCATGAATCCTAGTGAAGGGTAATGTAGAACTCAAAGAGATAAGCAAAAGCGTACAACACCGAGTGTTACCTGGTCGTCACTACTTCAATCACTGATCCAGTGAATATCAGCTTATTTGTACAGATAAATGCCAATATCATGCTCGCGAATTCTGATGCACATCGGAAAGATGGCTCGGATGGACTTCCACAAAAGTCCGCAAATCGCCCGGCGTCGCGTTGGGAAGTCTGGACAGGGTCAGCACGAGGCCCACACAACGCCATTTATATGGAGAAATTCGCTTATTCAGCGGGAAGCACTTCAGTACAAAATGCCTGGGCCATCATCGACAAAAATGTATGGTCGCTGCCTTGTCACGCAAAATCAAACCTCTTCATCCATGCATCCAGTTTGTCGGCTGCCGTCCTATGCTCAACTGCCCTGTCCACAATGCCCTCCCGTTCACAAGCCGATCGATCGGTCCACGAACTTCCCCTCTCTGTTATCGTCACGCCCCCCAGTCGGACCTATTGTTCTTCTGAATATCATTTCGATTCCCCCTGAAGCCGACAAAGCAGCCTTCTTAGAGACTTGGCCTCGCTCTGCTGAAGTTCTTAAGAAAGCCCCTGGTTACACATCAACACAACTTCACAACTCTATTGGGGAGGGCAACTTCATAGTCAACTACGCCGTATGGGAGACCAATGAAGATTTGAAAAAAGGCTTGGCTCTGCCAGAGTTCTTGGAAGTGTGCGAGGACTTCCCGGATGGTACTGAGTTCAGAGCCGCTGTTCTGCAGAAGGCTTCGGTAAAGGATGTTTGTGTGGGTCCCTAGAAACAAGTTCCACATACCATACATATACGAATAACTCGACCCTCAGTACCATGAAACACGTGACCAAATAGAGACCATTTGAGATTAATCCCTTCGAAAAGAGAGACGTTGAATTATCGTCACCTCCAAGTCGAATGAATTTGGACAAGCCTTCTCTGATTGAGTGCGTGGCATTTGCCTCCCAACAATTATCAGGTCGCCGTGAGGTCACATACCTAAGTGGCCTTTGGCGACATATCCTCCCGGCATGTCCTTTTTAGGCCATAAGAGACACAATAATCATCCCCTCCACATGGGTACCGTGCACCATTACGGTCATCGACACACTATCACACACACATACCGCCTCTGGGATCTGGATATATACAGTCTCCATCAAACGGTGTCCGAACCTTCAGTATAGTATCAGTATAGGGATCCCCATTGAATTATACCATATAGATATCATCCATTATGACGCTACTCAGTCTCTTTTTCCAAATGTCCTTCCTTCCTGCATCATCTCCGGGAGGCTTATGCCTAACCGGGGTCGTCACATTTGAGCGAAAGAGGGAATCCGCAAACGACATCGAAGGGGATTTGAGGCCATAGTCTGGTGTCTCCCGTCGAAAGGTCTCCCCGTACCTGCTTACACGAAAAGCGAGCTGATAGTACTCGAATTCTCCAGGGTTGACAAACTTCTTGACGAGACCACAGCGGACCCATTTTCTTAGTCCCCCGGTGCTCTTTGAACTGGAAGAAGGCCGCAGGAGGAGCCCAAGGATGGTCCCATGTCGCGGATGGCATTGGAGGAGCACGGCTCGGACGTAGTCCTTCTTTGTAGACGCAACACGAGCGGCCGATTCGAGTTCTTCGCTATTATCCCAAGCCACGTCCACTCTGGCATCCTTATATCCAGTCGGGAAAAGAACAGCTTGAAGAGTGTGACCATGCGTGGAGCTGGAAGAAGTAGCTGGAGGAATGAAGGTCATCGGAACCAGGGCCCCGCGGAGGTGAAGGGTGCACTGGTCCAAGCTTGTGGCGCGACCGAACTTGTCCAGGCCAGAACTTTCTAGGTTGATGAGTTTGACGGGCAGCATCGACCTGTCCTCAGTCCTCTGGTATTTAATCGGACCGTTATAGCTGGCACAGGACCACGAAGGCATTGGATGGGTTGTTGGGAACCGAGACGATGGAAACGAAGCATCAGGTCTGGCCCGGCCTTCCCAGAGGAGTTGGCGCCATATTTCGTGAGACCAGATAACCGAATGATATGTGGCCTCCCTCAAGACCTCCGGGAAGCAGGATTGGTAGGCGGATGCTAGTCCTGCGATTGCTACCAGACGGTCATCAGGGCGTGTAGCTGAGGTGTTTGTGTACGACTCAAGTATGTTCATCCATCCAACTACGACGCTCACAGGAGTGACCATGGAATTGAGGGAACTCATTTCTCTCCTGAGACTGGAGAAGGATTTCTCGACAGAACTCGCAGTGTGGAATTGTTGGATGCTTTCCGGGAAGGTTTGGGAGAACGTGCCGCCAGAGCAAGACCACCACATCTGCTCCGTTGTGCAGAAGAGGTTTGCAGGGGCCAGAAGGACTTCCTGATAAACCCAAGCCCGAGACAAGAGCTCGGAAAAGATGATCTCGCTCTCGAATTCTTGCTTCGGCAGCCCGACCCTTCTGCCCGTATGTATCGAGCCCCCTCTAGTCGGTAGTACTGGAAGCAGAGTGTCTCTTTGTGCCGGAAATAAGTCCCCGTCAGAATTCTGACAGTCCACGGCTGTGATGTTAAAGACCCCGCCGGCGTAGACGTCGCCCATCTTCCCTGCTTCAACCTCCCAGTCTGCGTCTGAGTCCTGGAATATGCACAAAGAGTCGATCCATATATAGTATTGCAATTTCAATTGTTGCACAATTCGTATGGCGTCGATAAATACCTTCGGAAGTGATGCGATCGGGACACCTGCCTCAAGTCTCGTGAGTGAGAAGGTTGCTTGTGGATCCCTGGTCAGTTTCGGTGGATTGGGGGAGCCCCATCTGTGACTGAGTGTGACATAGGAATATCGAGAGGAGTTATCCAAGGTAACAAGCTTTACAGTGGTGTTGCGATCAGGATCCAAGAACAGGAGACGAGACGGCTGGAGACGCCGTCTATCGCCACCCGGTTGAGATCGGTATTGCTGACAGGCTTTGTGAGACTTGCTCAGGCATTTAGTCTGCCAAGTGGTGATGGTACTGAGGCATCTTTCCTGGCCTGGATTGGGAACAATGGAGTACTTGACGGAGCGTACTAGTTTCCAAGTGGGATCATTAGTGCTTCTCGTCTGGAGAAGATTTCAAATTGAGATGCATCCCGCGAGCGGCGAAGGGGCTGTGTTTTGGCAGGTGTAATGCTGTGAATCCACGTACAGTCCAGCAGCCGCAGATCAAGTAGCACCGGTCCATCCCCTCTGGCATCCTGTGCGGAGCCTTGGAGCCCGATCAAAATCCAGTCGACCATATCTCTGAAATAGAACGCTGCATCACCTTGTCCCAGTAGGTGTCCTTCCTGGGATCTCCACGCCGCAGAGTAGCGGGACCATCTCTTGTGTAGTATATTACACAGTCGGCATCCCGCTTCCACTGACTTCATTAGGTTCTCGACAGACACGTGATGCTCGTAGGTGAGTCGTTGAGCCGGCCCGTATCTGCCAAGGAGGCGTTTCGGTTGGGATGTATCGAAAATAATCACACATTGATCGCATAGTTTGGTTGCACGACGAAGATCATACAATTCCTGAGCTGACCGGTCGCCAGGAGATTGTTGCGTGTTGTTGTTTCTGATCACGTCCATTCTTTCAACCTGGTGTTTCGAAGTCAGAATCGTCTCCCCTGGGTTCAGGATGGACGTTCGGAAAGGTGAAGCCTTTGGCCGGATCAAGGTGGTCAGCTTGCAGCTTTGTGGCGTCGTGCAGCTGATGTGCCCCCCACCCGGAGCTGCATATGCAGCTAAAACCGTGGCATTCTGTACAATGTCAAGCTACGAAATAGAACCGTTGGCAAGGCCGCAAGCCAGTGGGTATCGCTTTAATATTCGACCCCACTTTCCATATCCCAGGGCCCACTCACACGCCTTCAACAGTACTAGGCGGCTAGGTACGTGACTGCACGTCTGCCTCAGCACGCAAACGACGGCAACGAAGATATCTAGGCAATCTGAGGCCACACCTCAGCACCCAAAGTGGCTCCCGCCAGCTTGTCAAACATGTCAGAACATTTGGCGCGGCCTTACCTCACGCCCTGCACCCAAATTTTCGTCATCTGGCACCAAGATTGACCTTGGCGGTCACAAAGCAAGGGCCTCGACGCGGTGCGCTGTTCACGGACCCCTTATGCAGCACCTTGAAAGGTACAAAGGAAACATCATATCTCAGAACCTTATATCGAGGGGATTCGTAGATGACGGCATCAAACCGCGCAGAACGAGTCTTCGACGCGCCACTGGAACCTGCTGGTAAAGAAAGACGGCGTCGCAGACAATGCGGATGTTGCGCATGTATTGGATCCGAAGTGGGTTGACCTCCAACTTGCTAGGAGATGGAAGGAGGAATGCCTCTCGTTTAATCGTGATCAATGTTCGAATCCGATCAAAATTTTCGACCTAGGGAATCTCACATGTACTTCTCTGAACCGGCGTGCCAGCGCTTACACTAACAAACAATATAAGAACACCCGCTAGATATGCAGTACTCACATAGAATTTTCTACATGCAGAAAGGAACATGATTCAGAATCTTTCATATTGAATTTCGGTAAACATATGTACCTGCGTTCTAGCAAGCACAAATGTTAGGATCACAGCCTCCCCCACACGTAGTGCCACAGCCCTTCACAAAGCTTGGTGTCTGAACCTGGATCTGGAGTTGCCCAGCATGGTTCGTGCTGCCACCGATCGTCTTGCTGATCTGGTATGTCGCCCATTGAAATGTGTTGTTGCCTGCCCACACATCGTATACGTCCTCCTTGATCGCGGTCCACACGTTTGAAATATCCGCGCCTGTATCAACCCAAGTGGCCGTTGTGTTTGGGGTAACGGACGTGTACACAAGGTAGAAAGCAAAAGTTCCCGCGTCGGGATAGCTCAAGTACAGCGCACCGTAGCCCGATACGTTCCCGCCGCCAGGGGTGCCCTCATCGTACCTACAAAACAGTCAATTGTGATCATGTACATGTGTAGTAGAGGTCAGAGTCTGCAGGACTTACAGGCGCGGGAAGATGCCGTCAAACTGGTCCAGGCTTGTTTCGAGGTCGGCTGTTGGCAGGTCGGGGCACTGCGCCGTTGTCCCGTCTGAGTACCATGTGTAGGAAGTCCCGTCTTCGGCTCCGGTGACTGTTCCGGAAGATCTCTTGGTCGGTAGGTGGGCGTATCCCTGCCCAAGTACTGAGGCAGAAGCTAGGGCGGCAGCCGAGACTGCCAATGTCATGATTTTGGAGAAGGCCATGGCTTTGGGATTGCTGAAAGGAATATGGGGGCGGATGAGAGGCCTGTGAACAATATCTGAAAAATGCCAAGCAAGGGAAATTCGAGGGTCTTTTATAGATTTGATTCTTCTGATGTCACTTACTGAAGGTTGTCGGCTTTCTCGGTTCAGTTTTACTTGCACTATTGTATTACTACGTCGTATATGCCGTCTTGCATTTAGGCATGTCCATCCTTCGGAGCTCAAGATAGCCAATCACAAGCGCACACCAGCAGCATTCACGGAGAATTAATCATCTAAACGCAGGGCGGCCGGAACTCGGCTGAAGAGTACTGGTGCTTCCGCGCCCGACCTGGACTGCGCACAGCGGCGCGATACGAGAAAGTGGCTGCTGGCGTGGGATCTGCAGTCGCACCAGTTTCTACTGCTCTCTTCCGGCCCTAGGCTAGCTTAAAATTCCTCTCGCTTAGATGCAGCAGCGTTACTGGGTAAGCGCTAAGCAATGGTTTCCAGAGGTAGTCAGGGGACGGGAGGGATAGCTTCGTCGAGCGTTGGGGGCAAATTTGAAAAAGCCATCTACGTGCAACCGCGATTCGAGGAGATATGACGAAGCAAAAAGTAGTCTTCTTAACGTGGACTCTCCGCTACTCGGCATGCCGGCTGCCGTTCGCGACAACGAGGCATTCGACGCACAGGCACTGCTTGTACACTCAGAATTCCCTCCCCAAGTGCGTGACGTGAGTGAGTATTCGTCCACTCGCATGACCTAGAGACAACGAAAGCTAATTTAACAACACGTGGAACTTTACTGCTAGACCGACCGGCCACAGTGACCAGACATCATGACTTATAGATGCAGTGAAAGCAAATTAAGCTACGAGTTGAATAATGTATTTAAATGTGGCTCAGATGAGTCCATAGAGGTATCAATACGTTATATAAAACGCTGCCAAACCCATCCTTCTACACCATAGGACCAGGTTCATGTTCTAGTCTCCTTGTCTAAATCGCCCAGTCCATCCATTAAAATTAAATAATTTAGGCAGAAGTATCCAGCTTCCCTACGCTCGTCCGTACCCATACTCGCACCCGGAATCTGATGTGCCCTTAGGAGAACCTTGTTGGATCCCCATCCAGAACTTTGGCTTACTAGCCGTCGAACCGCCCACGTACGTCCTTTGGAGCGGATCCATTTCGACAAACGTGTGCTCGGTGCCATCGAATTTCTGCGCCTCATGCGTACTGTCTTTGTCTTCGACACCGCTGTTATAAGACCTTGGTTAATACGCGCAACTCACTCAGATCGGAAGGATACGTGGTGGCAGAGGGAGAAACTCACAACTTCAGGTAGAAAAGGAACTTGAAAAGAGTCGGCACCCACACCATGACAGCAATGAGCTGCCCAAAGGACCAGGATCCCCATGAGTTTGTGGCTCCCCAAGAATTTGAGCCGCCGGTCATAGCGTGTGTGATGGCGAGAATATCGGCGAGATACATGGCCGAGCTGGCAAGAAGTGCACACTCTAACAGGAACCAGATCGTCTTCGTAAATATCCGCAAGTGGCACTTCCTGAACCAATGGAAGACTTGAGCCTGTGTCGGGTTCATGGCTTCCTCCATCATGTGCGAAGGATGCCATCGCCGTAAACTTGGAACATGGTATACCAAGAAGTCGATGCTTAAGAGCGAGGTTGCGAGGTAGATCACAGGGATGCCCGCGTTGAATCGGGTGTTGAGGTCGTTGTCGACATTGCAGTACACCATGGGATTCGGATTTCCCCCACATGTGTCCACAGCCTTTTCCCTCTTGAATGTGTCGAATAGGTCCTCATAATTAGCGATGAGCTTATCTCTCCTCGCGTGCACGATGATGGCGAAGATGACGGTGACCCAGACCAGGATGAAGGTGTACCAAGTAAACGACAGCCGCCTGTGTTTTTGTTTGCTTTTTCTGAGCTTGTACCTGTCGCCGCGTTGGATCATACTCTGTACAAGCAGCAGGGGTATCATGCTGTTTACTGCCAGCATCTGTACGAGCTCACTGTCCATTATAGCCGCTCCAAAGCTGTTGACAGAGTTGATATCTGATGAAGCCGAGGCTTTCGGTCGAAAGGTTGACAAGGTGGCGATTTGAATAGCAGCAATGAAAAAGATCTGGACTTCCTGGAAATCTCTGAGGATTGCGAAAGTCGCCTGGTAGAGATGCCATTGAGACAGGCGTCCCTGCATTTCTGAAGCTTTTAGCCAGGCTTGCTTAATGAAACTGGATTGCTTCTCTCTCGGTCCATCCGTAAGAAATGGGTCTAGTCGATTACTCTCCAGATTCTCTTTCTTCAGTTGGCAAAACAGCGGCGAGAATACAATCCAGGCCCATTTGGTGAGTATGTTGAAGAGTACCCAAAAGCAGATGGATGCGCAGATTTGTAGGAGATAGGAAATCATGACTCCGGGTCCGGCGATATCAGCGTTGATCTCGACGCCGTAGGAGCAAAACCGGCTCATCCCTTCTTGTATCGTATAGAGGTTGTCGGTGGTGACACGGATGTTCTCCAAGACCATAGTTTCCTCATCGCAATGAGAGATATTCGACATGGTGCAAGAGGATGAGATACAGCTGACGAAGTCGGAGATGACCTTCTCCCCATCCCAAGCTGACAAATTCCCGTATCGAAGCTCTTCTTGCGCGTTGTACTGCTCTGACGAGTTGAATGTGAGACTCCCATTTTGGACCAGCATTGCCGCTATTCCCAGTGAATAACAAGTCCTCATATTCCATGGCAACATCGATGTCGTCGAATCGGAACAGATGGCCTCACAGTCGCCTTGGATACCATCCAAAAAGTCCGATGCTGTGAGCGCACAGTTGTCCAGCCAGACCGAGGTTTGTGAATCGCCATATAAGCTATAGGCTGGAGTGCTGTCGATAACCCGCCATGCTGCGTATTCAAAAAACGATACTCCGGAGGACAGGTGCTTTATTGTGGCAATCGTATCCGAGTTCCCATAGTCGACGCCGGAATAACCAATCAGCAGCTCGGGTATTGTAGATTCGGAGCGCGACTCGGCCATCGTCAGGTGGTTGAACCCGGCGAGTTGATGATGCAGTCGTCTATGAAAGGGAACTTCCCAAGCGTGAGTGCGATGCCTGAGCAAGTCATCCATCAGAACTGAGGAAGTCATGAGAATCAGCGGTTAGACGCGAATATGTTGCAAATGTCGTTCTGCCGATTACCATTGCAACCCTACCCGGCCCCCGTGGATCCTACATGCAGGTCGACCAACTGATTTGCCCGGGGCTGATATCCAGGCTCCAAATGACTGGCTATTCGGAATTGGGGGTTGTGAGGAGGAGTGTTGCTAGTGCTGACCTTCGGCGCCAAGCTTTTGTTGGGCGTCCCTGCCCTGAACCTGGAGCCTGCCTAGGTGGGCTTCAGCGTGTGACAAAAGTGCGGCTGAAATTTGCCGGCTCCTTCGAAGGATGCCCAAGCGAGGATCTTTGCAGCTGGATCAGCTCCTGCGTGTGGCCATTCAGCCATTACTATGTACAACACACCTGTTTCGCCCCTAGAGAAATGGCCCCTGTTATGCCTGAAGGGGCTAAGAATAACATGCAGATTGGTTGGGGGATCTCAGGTGCCTCGGCACGAAAAGACAAAATCATTGGCCATCGCACATTGCTCTTGGAATTCGCGTTCTGGCCCCCTCGATAACAGCGTACCAGTCACGGCAGCGAGCATGAAACAGGCTTATTATGCTTGTCCTCAATCTCTTTCTCTCTTTGTAATACTGGTCTTAATCGCCTCCAGTGCTGCCGCCTTTTCGAGAGGCAAAAGCTCTTAGCCGGCGTAACCGGAACTCACCCGGACGAGAAATTGAGAATAGACCTTTGAAGACTGGAGCGAAAATATTGCGCAAGAGATCAGACCGGCGTAGTTGGACCGAAATGTCTTTACGACGAGCGATTTCCCAGCCCCTAAAAATTTTTACAAATTCCAAGTTGTGCACGTATCCCATAATCATCAGCCATTGATGGCAAGAAGCAACTATAATCTCAGTAACCCATCTTGGACTACCATGAACTTTCTACAGCACCGAGTGCCCTACCTTGGACGATTTGATGACGCTTGCTAAATCGCAGGAGACTGCCGGCCTCGTGGTCACCATGCCTTACAAGAACACCATCATGGCTCGCCTCGATCGCCTAGACGAGCTGGCTACAACAATCGGGGCATGCAACAACGTGTACCACGGTCCGTCAGATCTCTCTAAGCTCGTGGGGACGAACACAGACTGGTTGGGGATCAAGGGATGTCTCCTCGAGAAGGGCGACCAAGACACACGCCCAAAGCTAGGCGACAGCGGCAAGCCGGCCCTACTCGTCGGCGCCGGCGGTGCGAGCCAGGCCGCCGTATACTTACCCCTTGAGCACGCAGCTTTTTTCCACGACCATCTACGTCCTGAACCGCGACGAAAAGGAGGTGGAGGACTTGATCAAGGATACAGCACGCATCGAGCCACGGCCGACCATCATACATGTCAAATCTCTGGGGCAGGCTTCCAGCCTCGATACTCGATACTACGTCGTGGGCACCGATCCCGACTTCCCGCCCGCCACAGAGACCGAAAAGACGGGGGCGGCAGTCCTGGAGCATTTTCTGAGCCGTTCTCCCAAGGGAGTCCTACTCGACATGTGCTTCAAGCCGAGACGCACGCGGATGATCAAGCCGGCGGGGCAGCTCGGGTGGCCGACGGTGGAGGGGACGCACGTCATTGGGTACCAGATGGAGAAACAGTGGCGGCTCTGGGCGGGTGAGGAGCGAGCCGCGAAGCTAGACAGCGAGGGCGCCTGGAAAGTGTTGCTCCGGGCTGCCGAAGAGAGCCCCGGGATAAACTTCTGAGGACGATGATAGCGTCCGCGCGTCCCGCGGGAGGTGGTTGGGCTGGCGGGATCGGGAGAGACCTTAACCGGTGCTGGGCATCTCGGCCCCCGCTCGGGGTCTCGTTGCGGGACGCATAGGCGGCCGCCGGCAGCACCGGCTCCAGAATGTTACACAGTGAATACACAAACACGCCGGTTCAAGTTTCAGAATCACAAATACACTAGGGATTTTTGAATATCAGAACAGTCTGTATTTTGCCTCTTATTAACATTGTTTTCGAGCCTTCGGTCCGAACCCAGCAGCGCTGCTCACAACATGCCCGACTTGCACAGTCTCCCGGATGGCTGGTTGCCAGGAAGCGATATCTTGCGCAACAATGGTCCAGACAACCTTGTGATAGAGCGACTCAACTTGCGAGAACTCGCAGAAGGCCGGCCGTGTTACAGGTGTGTGAGGACGTTTTCCACACGGAGCCGTGTCAGCCCGAGTTTAATTGTGCGGGTTGGCGATGCCCACGCTGACGCTGACAACCAACTCGTGGCAGGGACGCGTGCGAATGGGAGAACTTTGCGTCCATTTTTCACGAGGACGCCTACGTATACACTACGTGGTCCGGGCGAGTCAAGTACACCGACTTCATCGAGGGGTCGAAAGCTGGCATGGACAACGGAGCATTCATCATGCACCGCTGCCATGGCGTCACCAGCGACATCACCCCGGACGCAAGGCGCGCAGTCACCAAGATGAAGGCGACCATAACACAGAGGTTCGTCATAGACGGGTGCGAGGTGGACGCGGAAGCAGACTGCCGCTTCATCTTCTTCTTTGAGAAGGAGGATGGCCGGTGGGGCGCCCGGTTCGTCCGTCACTGGTACGAGAAGGACAAATTGATACCCGTGAACCCTGCCAAGGTGCCGGTGCTCGATGGAGAGAAACTCAGATCGTACCCCGATGGGTACAAGGTACTGGCATATTGTCAAGAAGCCACCATGGGGGTGTCGGTCCTGAAGGATATGCCTGGTCATCGGCGTCATGCGGGTACAGCGTCTGGTGACAAGCACGATCTTCTCTACCGTCAGGCACGTGCCTGGCTGGAAGGAGGTGAGATAGAAATCTAGGCCTTTGGGCGTGGTCCGTCTTGTTACGGGAGAGATTGCATCAGAGTGAACTGGTCGATCGGTACGAGAGCTACTGGGAGCGTCGCCGATTATTCGTGAAGACAGAAATATTGGCATTTGTGAGACCGTCCAGATAAGCTAGCTGAAACGCGCAAGCCTAGTACCACCATTGTTCTACCTAGATTCCAGTTGCAAGCGTTCCTTCAGCTTTTGCCACGATCGGATTCCCCTCTGCGAGTGCTGCTTAGGGACCTCGATCCTCTCCTCACCCATGGTGCGCGAGAAGAGCTCCAAGGACACGAATCCCTTGTACCCCATGTCGTCAATGAGCGCCCTGGCAACGGCCTCGACAGGAAGGTACGCCCCACGCTCCTCCTCCTCGTAAATGAAGGCGCGGGCGTTCCGCGACCAGCTCATGCGCGCCGGCTGCACGTCCACGTGCCAAGGGTGGCCCTCGACGAGCGGTGAGTCCAGCCTCTCCGCGTCCACCACCTGGATGAAGAATACCTTCGCCAAGTCCACCTCCCGCACCATAGCCTCAAGCGACGCCCGCAGGTCAGCGTCCGCGTTCGGCGTCTTTCCGTCCGGCGACGCCGGGTCGGCCCAGACCCTGCCGGCGATGTTGAAGGTGTCGAGGCAGAGCCCGAAGTTGGGGCGGTCGACCATTTTGACGATTTGCCAGGCCTTTTCCCACGTGTCGACGTGCGTGCTCCAGCAGAGATTCTCGTACGCGAACCTCACCGGGGGCTCTTCTTTGAGGCCCAGGTCTGCCAGTTGCCTGAGGTCGTCCGCGATCACGTTGAAGTCGCCGGTGAGCTTTTCAGCAGGCGAGAAGTTGGCTGGGACCTGGATCATGGTTGTCCTGAGCTCCCTGGCGATCTTAAACCACACATGAATCTTCTCGATCAGTCGGTCATGCTCAGCTCGATCAAGGAGGCCGTCGAAGAACAGAAACGGCTGGAGGGAGATGACCTCAAGCCCGGCTGAATGACAGGTCTGGTGGATCCCGGCTGCAGTTTCGATCAGCTGCTCTGGGCTAGGGGTCTCAGTCTTGAACAATCGCTTCGCGTCATATTCGAGGTCCTCGTAGAATATTTCCACTCCCTTGAAGCCATCTGCAGCAGCTTGGTTCAGTTTGTGGTGCAGGTCATGATGCCATGCACGGCCCAACGAGGCAGATAGAATGGCGGGTTGGTAGGTAGCCATTGATTCTGGCAGTGACTTGACGATGTTGCCGAGGTCTCGAAATAGGATTGCTAACCCCGCCAATTGCTAACTTCACCGACCCAAGCGATCTGAGGAAGAGTCATATAGCTTCTCTAGAGCTGGGATGATATTACCTCTCGGGTAAGCCATTATCCAGCGCAGAACGCCCAAGACACACCAACTCGCCAATCATGAATGACGTTACGCAGCTTTTGCGGGGCGGCAACACCTTTCACAAACAATGACATGCTTTGTGCTCTAGTCATACGACGTCCATCGGAGGTGATACTCATCTACTTGACGACTTTGGATCTTCCAATTGTGTAATTTGGTCATACCAAGCGGATCTATGTCAACCGAAGGGCGCGTCTCCGGGAAACCCGTCGGGATATCACTTTTCCCCCTCACCATTCCTTCTTGCATCGTGTCTGCTTTTAATGCATGCGCCACTCAGTTCTTCGATTTAAAGTCTGATGGCTTTGAGGTTGCCATAAGAATTCATGAGCAGGCACCAAAATGTGGCCAGCTCGCGCAGTTCGCCTGATCCAGATTTCGAATTTACCAGTCCGTGAAAAGACTTTGAAATTCCAGAGGATCCATGTCGATGTCCCCCAACATCCCTAAATTCCCCACAAACTCCTGTGATAGAGCCGGCCTACTGATTGTCCTGGTCAGCAAGCAAATCAGGGGTTGAAAAACAACCTCTTATCGCGTGTGGAAGGAAAGGGAATCATGAGCACGCACCTGTCGTCATTATACAGAGACACAAGGCTGCTGAACAAATCGTTGGATCCCGTCATCTGGAATTGGGTCACTAGATGCGACCAAGAATCACCCGTATATCTTGCATCGTTTGGAGGAGCTCGATGGGAGGAAGTCAATCTGTCCTCAGTAAGTTCACAATGCACTTCTGGTATTATGAGGATAACCTACCCTTCAGGCTGGAGCGAGCCGGAAGCCCTCCGAGCTCTGGTGATCATGTTCACAGCCGAGATGGGTTCAGCCTGGTTTCGAGTAGTTGCTTCAACCGGGTCACGAGGGACCAAGTTGATGTTACACCAGGTCTCATTGTATGCCGCCCTTATTTCCCGCACGGACTTCATGGAATCAAGTGCTTCACGCGAAAGAGGCGACGTGGCGTTGCTGTTCCTGCTCTCGATGATGTGCAGACATACATCGGAAGCGGGCGAGAGTGTGACGGCGCCTTGTTGCCTCACTCCTTCGGCCACGCGGGCAGGGATCCGGTGTACATCAGGGGTAATAGTGCTGGGACATGAAAGGCTCTTGTACCCGGCATCTGTGCCTGTGGAGACCAGATGTGGAAGGCAGGCAAGAGTGGCCAGCATAAGATTAAGGGCTTGTGGGGATGCGTCGCGTGCTTCAGACTCAGCAACAAGGTTGTCAAGACGATTTTGCGATTGCAAGCGATGGAATATATCGAGATGTTCTTGTGTAGTTCTCTTGTCGGTGCCATTAGTGTGACACTGAAGTTTGTCGTTTAGCATGGTGAATGTTTGTACCAGGAGTTTGAAAGTGCTCAACATTTTTGCAGGTTGGTGGGATGGCCGGGTGAATTCCCAGCTGAAGCGGACGATGATAGACCCGTCGGATTCCATGGCTCCCACTCTTCGATACCATCAGCGTCGAGAAAACCCACGGCGTGAACGTCAGAGGTCCGCATATATGGCCGTCTGTGCAGCCGAGCCGACAGCAAAGTCTCAAGGACAAGCAACTGAGTACAACCCGTTTGCTTCGGTCGTCCAGAGGCGGCGATTTTGTAACTCCCGATTTTAAAAGACCAAGCTCAACAGCGTGGTACACAGCCTTGCCGACGAAGGACCACGCCAGCCCCAAGTTTCCTTGGGCGTAATGCAGAAGCGTGAAGACCAGCATGGCTTGAATATAGCCAACGTCTCTTCGACTCCCGTAGGTTGTTGTCAGTTGTGACGCTTGTGCGAAGAGGCTGGCGAAATGCTCCTGTAGGTCTTGCCGGGAGCTGTGCTTTCCGATGGTACTACACTGTGTATATCTAGCATAGGCCAGCATTGACAAAAGACAGGCCTGATCTCCCACTGGTAGCTGGTTGACATTATTGCTGTTAGACTCGGAAGAGACAGTATATGCCGCCCGGAAAGCGTCGTTCCTCAAGACAATGGGTATCCAACAGTTGGTATTTGCGAAATAGATATCTAGAAGTTGAGACCAATCTTGTAGCAGATTAGATAAGCCTCCGGGTGGAAATCCACTCGATAGGTTATCGATGGTGGCTGTCTTCTGGGTCGAGACTCCATCGTCTCCTTGAGCAGGAGACCCAACGACATCTGAATTGCTGCCGTGGTCAAGCAACACAGCCAGGCTGTCTGGTGGTGAAGCCGCACAAAGTCTCGCTCTTGTGGCCGCCTCTTCCTTGATAGTGTTGTCGGGTGCAGGGAATGCATTGCAGGCATTTCGGCTATTCTTTTCTCCAAAGGCTATTATAATAGCTTCGGCTTCCTTTCGTTGCTTTAGATTCATTCTGATCAGAACAATCAACTCCCCTCTATTATTTTTAAAGCTATAATTTGCAAATTCTGTGACTATTTGCTTTGCCCCTAAGCACTATGGCCCTCTTTTATTCCTCCTCGCGTTAGAGTGCCCTTAAACGTACTGCTGAGGCTTCTAGCAGAACTCTGCTCCACTGTATTTGTGGTGCTCGTTTTCAATAGATAAAGATTTCTTCAGGGCTTCATCGAGTCTGTCGTGCAGATCACGCGCGGTGAGCTCCTCATCTTCCCCGGACTCGACCGTTGAAAGGATTCTGTCCAGCTCCTTCCATGATGGGCTATTCCGCCAGGCATCTACCAACACGTTGACAGTCGATGTAGTATCTTCTTCCCGGTCACCGGGGGAAGCTATGGCGGACTCGCCTTTCAATATGGATACGACAGAGTGCTGGCATCCCTCTATTGAGTGGAAGATCAGCCCAAGGAGTATCTCGAGACCTCTCAGGTAGCCTGTTGCAAGCCCGCGTTTCTTGGGCCTTGGTGCGTAGTGGCAATCGCGGCCTTGGGACTTGTAGGACCCACAGACTGGCTGGTTTCCATCACAGAATAACCCAATTGTGAGCGTATATATCCCCTACTTTGGCACCATTCAGATCTCACGCGAAGGAATAAATAAAGAAAACCCAAACCCCGGACCAGCCTTTATACCAACCAGCGGCCCCGCAAATTCGCCACAGAGAGTTTCGCTACCAGATGCTCCAATATACTCGCAAAATGACGCAGTAATGAGTGCTGAGGACGGAATTTCTGTCGCCGCTGGCTATAATCTCAGTAATACACACCTCGGGGCGCTTGCCACCCCTGACACGGATGTGCCAGATTCATATGATTCGCAACTCTTTCAACAAGAGCAGTACCCTGGGCTGGTTGAAGGCGGAGAAGATTGGGCATTTCAAGCTGTTGACGCTTTCTTCTTCGAAAGTCTCACGGGAAGCAGTAGCAACGAGGGTGGAAAGTCCACGGCTTGGCCTACAATGGTAGACATCGCCGATAGTAGCTAGTATTCCAACATCTTAATTGGGTAAATACTCCCGGGTATGCTATAAAAACAACCCCAAGTAAACTATCTTTTAAATTAAGATGTAGTAAAGATAAAGGTAATTTTACTATCGTGAAAAGAAACAAGTCTCGATTTTCCCATTACTGTATGTAGATAAGGCGTAGGATGGTCGTTATAAATAGACGGCGATCGGCACAACAGTGCGCCATGTCCTGCAACATACAATTTTGAAGTTAAATCCGAGCAAGGCTTTACATAACTCCATAGGAGACTTTAAGTTCATGTAATTTCATCCATATTCTTCAGTTCCTGCTCAAGTAAGTGAATAAGTAGTATTCCTATCACTTACAACAGCTTGTCAGGAATTCTCGGCTCCATGAGCGTAACATTCCCTATGATGATGTTTATGAGGTGAAATAAAGTCCCAGCATTAGAATATGGTTATAACCGTGCAAGTACCCGGTCCCCGGAATCGCTCATTGGCTCTGGGAGTTGGCCGTTTATGACCTCTTGCAGGAGGCACCTAACATCACCTGCACAACCAAAGGCCAGACTCCAGCCGGCGCCCCCATGACCATAAGAATGCACGACTCGACTTATTTTCCCGTCAGGTGTCCGCCGAAGCTCGCGCTCGACGCGGACGTTTCTACCGCGAAAGGGCCGTAGTCCCTGGGCGAGTGGGTACTCCTTGTCGAGACGCGCGTTCTTCAAATCAGGCAAAAATGCTTCGCAACGCGCCCTCATTCGCTTGATATCTGGGTGGTCAATGGTAAGATCCAAGTCTTTCTGACTTGGCTGGACGATCCCTAATTTAGACTTTCAGCTGTTGAATCAGGATTGAGAGTCAGGAGTAGGAGACTGGCAAGCGACATACCTCCCAAGTAGAGAATGCTGTCATTCCGCGGAACGATGAAGACCATCTCTTTATCTGAAGCGGCATCTGCTGAGATAGCAAGGGCTCCCTCGACCTTTGGGAAGTCCTTTCCATCGTTGATCACACGGATCATGGCGCCGCGGAGCGGGTAACAGCTTGCATCGTTAGCCACCTTGGCGCTTCCAAGCCCAGTACAGTTGACGATGGCATCCGCACCAAAACGGGCACGCAGTGAGTCCTCGATCAAGAGCATGTCGTCCTGGATCTCCTCAGTCACAAATATTGCACCTTTCGCCGCCACGAGCTGCATTAGCCACTCCATAGCGACGTCGGTATCAATTTGAGGAGACAGAATCTCGTACGCGTCCACATGCCATGCCGTGGATTGACGCGATGTTGTTGTGCAAGGGCTGAGCTTCGGCAGAATACCTTTACGCCAGACACACTGAGTTCTTTCATCTTTTGCATTTCAGTCGGACTCTCGTCAAGCGAGCGGGGAAAGAAAAACCCCGCTGGCCTCATTACCACCCCAGACTCCTTTTCGCCCACAATAGGGTCTGCGAGCTGCTCCCAAATGTGGTACGATGTCATAGCCCATCGCTTGGAATGATGTAGAGAGATTTTGTCGATATGCTGACCGCATACTGCAGGTGGGTACTCCCAGAGAGCTCCAGCGATCTGGCTAGTCAGGCGTTGAGCTTTGGTCCAAGAGGCCCATTCTTTGGCTATTATCGTAACATGATGACCAGCATCAAGCAGCGTCCAAGCGGTGGTAAGGCCTATGACGCCAGCTCCAATGACCAGAAAATTGTGGGAGGTCTCGTCTGGATCGGCCAGCCGGGAGCGAGTGGGGCTGATGTCGTGATATAGACGAAGTGTTGTTGAATTCATGATGATCTAGGAAAATTCCACTCGGGGTCGTGATGTTGGGAAATGACTGAGCAACAACGCTGGGGATTAATTGAACATCAAGGCTGTTCAACCTGAAATTAATTCAACCGAGTACCTTCGCTTTATATTCTTTCAGAAATCGTGTTCAAGGTGATTCTACGTGCTGTATCATCTGCCGAACGAGCTCCGCGGAAGGATGCATGTGTGGATCTGCATATCTGCCCATAAATCCAGCACTGAGGAGGCACAGCGGTTAGCACCACCCTATATTCTGGTCCTCATATACGCTGATTCCTGTAACCCAGGACTGGTGAGTGGGTCCATGGATATCAACGGAGCTTAGAGCCAAATCCTACTGTCGTAAAGACCGAGATGATGCCATTACTTTGCATCCGACTAGAAACTTGTAGATGAGAGTGTGTTGATAGAGAGTACTCTCTGTTGGCCCGAAACAGCCACCAGTGTCCCTCGCCGTTTTCATTTAATATTTTCATCAATTTGTATATCTCTTGCAACCATTGTTAACTTTCATCGTCTTCTAAAACAACTGTGTCAGGTACAAACTCATCATGCATGAAAACGCTGCCTATTGCGATGGGGACAACTTAGGAGATCGTGGAACATACGATAGCATTTACTAAATTCGATACTTTTCGCTTCAATACATGGGAATACAATTACATGACAGTATTTGAAGACAAGTTGGACGATTTGTAACCCGAAGGAAGAAAATGCCAAGAAAAGAGGGTGGAAATCGGAAGGCATTAGAGTTTCTTGGACTGGAAACAGGTATGTCCCCTTCGTCCACTCCTCATTTGCGCATTTTCGTTCACCACACTACTTGACATGGTGTGGACATCCGTAGGATGTTGGATCCTACGTTATGTATTACGTGATTTCTTACATGTATCAGCTGTTCTTCACTGGTTCCAGTTCGGCAGTTTTCTTAGTGCGCGGCGTTGATGCTTACGATGATCATGTCACTAGTTTGCGCAGAAACCAACAGGTGAACAGCCTTGAGACAGCCCGTGAAAGCATTGGCCCGAACCCATGGCTTATAAGATACTTGGTATTGCAGCTGTCACAGTCGAGTCATAAGCCCACTTTATCGAATTCAGACCAATCATCTTTGTCAACGCCCACTTGAATCCCCACCATGCCGCCAACTCCTGGCTCTGCGAGAGACTTTGCGAGGTACGCAATCAAGCTTACCTGCTCATCCAACTTCGAATATGCTGTCAATGGTGCCAAAGAAAACCTCATGGAACACGAACGGTTTCATCTATACGCGTATGGGCAAAACGACTAATGGCGTCTTTTAAACCCGCATTGCGATGCTGGACGGCGGAGTTGGAGCGGTTGCAAGAGCGTCTGGTCTCGCAGCATAATACATGCCCCTAAGACAGTGCTGCGAACCGGGACATAGAACTATGTCAACGTCGTGACTGTATGAGGACCCTCACAACTAATCCAAGAACCACGGTCCCAACATGGAAGTTCAAAACGAACGAAGCCGCACTATTTAAACATGAAGCATATATTATATCCAAAAACTTAACTCAACATTGATGTCAAACTCGTGGAAGGCAAGGATGCCGAACTGATTTACCCATACAGTTAACCAGAACACATATATATTGAGACCATTCTGAACCCAAAGCATAACATCCAATATCAATGCATTGACACGTCCTGATTGGGTAGAAAGAAAGACTTTTGGTCCCTCTTTTCGAGTTTCTTACCTATCGTCTTCCTCATCTAAGCGTCTTCCGAAAACTTCGTGTTGTCCTCCAGCTCGTCGATAGAGCCCGCTAACAGCATATATTTGCCCAGTAACACCGTATGTGGTCCTTTTCACTCTCATTCCCAAGGCCCAAGTCTGCCTGAGATCAACATTGCCCCTGGAGGTCAAGTGCAAACATCATCTCAGATCTCCCTACAGCGTGGTCGATCAGTCCCGCCACACAAGCAAGCCCTTTGCATAAAGCCCCGCCACAACCCCGACGCGTCGCTCCCTGTCCCTTACAACTGAAGCGCTCGTTGGATACTCCCACCCGGCATATATATGCCTCACCCCACCTTCTGGCGTCCACTCGCTTGCCCACGACGCGGCACCTGTGCCTTCGCACACGGCTTGTGCCTCCTGGCCCTGTGCTTCTAGCACCTCCGCGCGGTGGCAGATGCGCCGCGAGCGCGTGAATTTGTTCAAGCTCGGGAGATGCGGGTGCCCCGCGACGAGCAGAGCGCCGTCGCCTTTCGACACAGAGAGGTTGTCCGGCAGGAAGGGCAGCCAGAAGCTGTCGGCCAGCTCCAGGCTTGGGTGCTGCGCGGCGTCTGCTGCCGGGGAGACGGTATACAGGTTGACGGTGCGCTTGCTCGTGGCCGCGACGGCGAGGGTGGTCTCGTTGAGCAGCACGATGCCGTTGGGGTAGGCCTGCCGGGCGACCACCGCGGCGTCGACGGTGCCGTCCTCCAGGATGTTGACGTGCACGACGGTCGCGATCGGCAGCGCGGCGTACGTCTCGACGGCCGAGAGGAGGGGGTGCTCGCGGGCGGTGAAGTGGTGCTGGTTCGTGACGTAGAACTCGGACCCGCTGACTGCGGCGATGGAGTTCGGGATGCTGATCAGTGGGTGGACGATGGAGCGGACGTGTGTGGCTGTTAGACTTTCGAGGTCCAGATGGAACTGCTCGATTCGAGACCCCTGGCGCCCATGATTTGTCACGAAGAGCGTGGAGCTGGGCTCGTGGTATTCGAAGCCTATCGTGCGGAGCTCGGAGTCGAACCCGACGACCTTGATACGCGCGAGGCTCTCCTCTTCAGGAAGGGACGAGTTCCCGTAGTCCCAAGCATAGAGCGCAGCATTAGGGTCGGGTTCGGCGCTATCAACAAAGTCACCCTGCCGCTGGTCAGACTCGCGTGGAGAGGAAGTCGGTTGCCCTGGGTATTTACCATGACCGTGTTCCAGGTCTCTCGGCCCGGGTCACATGCAAGCAGTGCTATGCCCCCGTTCTCAACGAGAACAGCATCTTCGCAGTTCCGGATCTGGTCTGCGAACTTGACCTCGTAGGATGTGAAGTTTGCATGTCTGGGCATCCGTTCCGGTGCATTAGAGTAAGCCAGGGAGAGCACACGAACTCGTCCAGCCAGCAAGGCGGCGAGAGGAGCAAGGAGAACGACGAGCTGGGAAACAGGTTAGCCGTCGGATCTCAAGAACGAGACAGATTGCAGGTTGAGCTTCGACGCCTTACGATGCTGGTCCTTATATTGACACCCATCATGTACGTGCTCTGGTGTTTGAAGTCAGTAAAATCGAACAGAAATGAAAGACACACGAGCACGTGCTGAGCTCGACGACGCGTTGAGGTTAGATGTTGCTGGAGCCCGGAGCAATCCAAGGTCCGCAGCGGCGTTTCCGCAGAGCCATGAATTAAACTTTGAAGATCCCACAGCGGCCCGCCAACAGCGTGAGCTAAACTACCCGTGAAGTGGGGCAACTACCTGGGCACTCCAGGCTGGCCTGTGGCATTCATGCGAGCTTACTGTTAGGTTATTCCACAAAAAGCGACCAGCGTCTTCATATTTATATGCTACACTGTTTGGACTTAGCATTGCTGCGACCAGCGCATCGGCAGAGTACAAGTACTGCAGCCGGAATAACAAACTTAAGGTCAAGTCCTTAAGTATACTCACATCACTGTGCCATTTCAGTTAAATTCAGCCACAGGACAGAACCACATTTGTCGTGTAGCGCGTGCACAGCTTGGCGTCCATCCGTGTATCTATGTGGCTCGGAAAACTCATATATAGGCTGCGCTCATGGACGCACAAATTTTTTGCCCCTGTGAATACGATTGCATTTGAACCAGGTGAAATCTGGAAATAGCCTCCTTCCACGCACACCAACCCATGTCGATCTTACTTCCTCTTGTCCTGCAGTTGACGAGTGCACTTGTCTCTGGGTGCCTGTTTGAAGCTAAAAGTTTGAGCTGTATCTTATCCGCCCGTCGTCTTCTTTCCTAATGCCTGATGCCGCATGAGAACATTTTAAATGACAATCAAGCTCTTCAGGATGATCCTTGAGCCAAGTAGTGCCCTGCTGTTCCCAGTGGATATTACTTTTCTGAATTACCAACAGCTTTTGCCAGCCTTGGATGCGGCCAAGCGTAGAAGATACCGATCCTGGTCTTGTCTTTACCTGAGCCCGGTAGCTTCCACGACCAGATTCGAGAGTAGGGCTCCCAGATACGGGCTTGCTGCTCCGTGTCGAAAACGATGATGATCCCACGATCGTTGGTATCTATTTGATAAACCGCGGAGGGCAAAATGATGGAGAATTCACGCTTGTGCGACGTGGCAGTTTCCTCAGAGAAGACGGCCTTATTGTCGGCGTCCTTCACACCTCTGAAGTGTGTTTTCAGACGTTCGGTGAAGTCCTTACTTGGAAGGCGAATGGTCAATCGCATGTGTGTTTGTTGATGAGGGCTGCCGTAAAACTTCCCATTCCGTTGGGAAATACTAAATCCAAGAGTATAAGTCGCCGCTTTTGGGACAATGGCTGCCATGTTCCTGTGAATTGGAAATAGTATTTGCGGGACGATAAGTACGAAAGTGAGAAGAATAGGTGATAAGCAAATACAGTACGCTGTGTAACACCATGTGTTTCATAATATGATATCAGTGTGAGACCAGCGATGGCTTTATAGGTCCTAACTCACCTTCTTGCAGCCAGCAGAGTGGTTCTGGTTGGTGAATTAGTCACATAGGTTCTCTTCCCCGTTGCGCAAGCCCCACTATCGATGCATCTGTAGAGCTCCAATCGGGCAGTGGGAGGTGGCCCATTGTTTGACCGGTCAGCCAGTCGAGCGGCGCATCTTACGAGCATGTCTTGGCTGTATGTCCGCTGACGCCCATAGTTTCTTATCGTCGATGAGCGACATATTATCTCGCGTGCTCAATGGTCAGTCTCATCTTGCAGCTGCTTGTTGTCAACCTCTGATTTGAATCAATTTTGCAAGTGTTGTTGCACAGCATTTCATGTACAGATATCTACTTGAGATAGCACAAGTTGGGACTGCACGTCATCTCCATCGCCGCCCTGAAAGTCCCGTTCGCCAGGCATACAGTGGTTCAATGCCAGCGGAGCCCGTCGATGCCTGAGAACAGATGCTACTAGTACTTTGCGACCGAGTACGAGTACCAGATCATCATCATCGGACTGAGTATCGTTATGGTCCATCCAAGTACAGGCTTCTGCTCAATCTCAAGGGCTTCGAGCAGTATCGATATGTTACACGATGCAGGCGATGGTCATGGTTGCCCATATGCGCCATATCAGGCTAGAGCAAGAGGGGGCCTGTGAGCCCCTCTCTATCAATGAGTTGTCAGACGTACCGTATATCGAGTGACGGTACGACGCCCCAGGACTCCCTGTCTCTTACCTGCTACATCATCTTCATGAGACCTTTGGCCTAACTCCGTACCTGTCTTTATGCGACCATGGATGCGGCCATGGATACTCCATCCAGCTCAACATCTAGGTCCTTTTGCTCGAACTGTTCAGCAAGTGTGCTTATTACCACGCCTTGGGAAACGCTAGTTCGACAAGGGGAGCAGGAATCAATGGTGGTTCACACTTGGAGGGTAGAGACCTTCGATGCTGCTTGCGCATTTTGCAGATTCGTCGAGAAAGAAGTCCAAACGAGCCACTTACCTGTAGATCTTGAACCACTCGGTATTTTGATCTTGCCATCCCTATCTGTCGAATCCTGGACAGTACTGGAAATTGGGGCTAATCTCTTTTCATAGTGGATCGTTTGGTCGTTGGGTACAACGTTGGCGTGATGTAGTCGAGTTAGATATAGACCCACGGACTACTCAAGTTATTTACGAGGAGACGACAAATCTCGACCAGCACTTGCCCCGTCGTTCACCTGTTGAGCGAATTAGAGCGTTTGGGTCATCGAGGGGCGAAGTGCCCAGCGGATCCACCGAGTCTTCCGGAGGAAGACATATGCAACTTATTCATGAGTTGAAACAGTTGAACGCCATGTTCGGGCCACACCTCGGGTCAGAGGTTTGCAGGGTATGCCACGCCGCGGAGACTTTATGTCGTAACGGATGTAAGAAATAAAAAGCGCTGCTAGTGTGCAGCTTAGAGAGTTTATATATTTTGATATCCCCCCTTAAGCTGTATATTGGGTTTATAGTTATTAGGTTAGAATTATTAATTGCTTAGGGACTTAAATGCATAACCTTATATAATCTTAATATTAAAGTAAAAACCCTAGGTATCTAGGCCAGGTAAAAACCTCCGTATTATTAATTAATTAGAATTTGCTGCTCTTTTTAATAAGCCATTTGGGCTTATAACCTATAAGAAATAAAAAGCGCTGCCAGTGTGCAGCTTAAAGAGTTTATATATTCTAACAACGGACCCGATGCCATCACGAAAGGCTTCCTCTAAGGTCTGTTTAACAAAAATGTGACCCAAAGTGAGATGAATACTATACTCAGCAACCACGAGCCATACGATCGACAATACATCAATGCCTCAGATACCAGAAAAGCCATATACGAGGCGGTAGACTTCATTCGAAAGGCGGACGTGGTCATAGAAATCAATGGACAGTGGCCTGCTTTGAGGCTTCAAGAATTCAAACGTGACGACATGCTTGAAGAGGAAACTCACGACGTGCTGAAATCGATGCCCGATCTGAGCTGAGGTTGATTGCATGTTTCTGCCCTGTCTTGGTCGCAATCGCGACGCACGACCAGTCGGGTCTTTTCTGGACCCAGAGCTCATCAAAAATTGGATACAGCAGTGCAAAGTCAATCACAGTTTGTGCTCTCAGCAACGCAAACCCTTATTGCCTGTCGACCTGATATTAATCGACGCAGAGGACGAAAGCATTGTGGACATTACCCTAGGTACTAAGCCGACGTGGGGATCAAAGCCATGGCCGGACAGGAACTTGTCCTGCAATTCTATCGTTGGGAGGCAGGGATCCAGATACTAGGGCAGTCTGCATGGCCCGTAGAGGTTCTCACCGACGAACGGCGACCGATATTCAAACACTTTCTCCCGAACGAAGAAAAGATTCAAGCCAAGTTCCGGGCCTTGCAGCTGGACAGCAACACTATGGCTCACCTCATCGGCTTTACGGCGAGTTGTGCCACTCTCAACCTCCGCGAGCCTCTTCATCAGGCTCATCATATCTCGACACCAATGACCAAAGAATATCAAGTCGTCCACCCGCAATACCTCATGCTTATCGCTCATCCACGCATAAATGCCCAGGTGGTGGAGAGAATCAACGTGACGGTGCAGAGCCGGCTAGCACGAGCTGACGATTGGGTGTCGCTGAGGCCGCGGAAATCGATATTCTTTATGGCGTGAAATATGGTAGAGCTAATCAATCAAGGTGTAGATCTTCTTTGGGAGGGTAGCCAGACCGTCTTGGAGCGCAGCAGGGAGCACTTCCTTGTTGACCCACAAAACAGACCTCTTATGCAGCACTCACAGCATTGCACCGGTTTTTCTTTCTCTTTAACTGGGATGCCGATGACCATCAGTGCCGACGTTCCACCATAGGTGTTGTGAATGGAGGCACTAGAACTGCGTGACGTCAAATCCCGTTCCAGCTAGAAATCGCCGCCCCGATTTCTTTAAATCTCCATCAATCTTGGCCTGCGGACGAGCATCAGCGCTTGATACCAAACACGAAGCGGCTCTTGCTAGCCCCAAGCCACACGGGTGCTAACAACAGCGCTATGAAGCAAACTTGAGCCCTCGCGACGGCAGGACGGGTGGTGCATTGAATGCACTAGGGCCAATCCGGAGTCGTTGATCTCATGAGCCCCATTCCGTTTCCGTCCTCGTGTCTACGTGGCTATGATATCAATTGCGTGTCCCCGCCACCGCTCAGCTGAATTATCAGATTTTACGAATTCCGAGTTAATTTGCCTCGCCGACGTCGTTTCGCGGATCTCGAGTTGTAGGCTCGGAAGAGGAAGCCGCGTTGATCATGGCCCCCCAAGCAAAGGAGAGCTGGATTCACCGCGCCCGGAGCAACCCGCATGTGAAGGGCGGTAACATCAGCGTTCTGGGCAGCCATTTTGTCGCAGCTTCTGGCGAGTTCGTGGGGACGTTTTTCTTCCTCTGGCTCGGCTATGGCGGACAGTTGATGGCGCTCACTCAAGCGGCAGCCCCAGCCGGAACAGGAGGAGGTGCCAGCAGCGAGACGGTCGTGTTTATCTCACTCATCTACAGCTTCTCGCTCCTCGTCAATGCTTGGGCATTTTACCGGATCAGTGGTGGGCTTTTTAACCCGGCTGTAAGTTTCCTGTCCTGACGCAGAAGCCACGAAGCTATGAAAGAATCCACTGACACATTTCACATTACAGGTGTCTCTTGGCCTTAGCCTTGCTGGACAGCTACCATGGGCGCGTGCTGCGTTTCTCATACCTGCACAGCTGCTGGCGTCCATGTGTGCCGGCGGCCTTGCAGCGGCTATGTTTAACGAGGAAATTGTTTCCGTCAACACCTTACTCTCGGCGGAAACGTCGACAGCGAAGGGTCTGTTTATCGAAATGTTCATGACGGCGGAACTGGTTTTCGTCATCCTCATGCTCGCCGCCGAAAAGTCAAAGGACACCTTTCTTGCCCCGGTCGGGATTGGACTAGCTCTCCTTATCTGTGAGCTCACTGGTAAGTTCAACAACGCATGTTTTCACCCGCTCAATTATTTCAGGCGGAGACACAGCACAATGTATCACAGGCACTGACTATCGTCGCAGGAGTCTTTTACACGGGTGGCTCGTTGAATCCTGCTCGGAGCTTTGGCTGTGCAGTGGCCGGGAGAAGCTTTCCTAGGTACCATTGGATATACTGGCTGGGACCAGCAATGGGAGCGTCCCTGGCAGCGCTTTATTATCGCTTTGCCAAATGGGCACACTACGAAGAAGTCAATCCGGGCCAGGATAGTGCTGGAACCCCGGAAAATGCCGATGCAGAGAATGTCTGATCGGAGATAAGCCGACGGCGATGATTCTTGCAGGGTTACAATTCCATATTTAGGCAAGTCCATGTAGAAAAAGACTCATACAATCCTCGTCAATGTGCTGGAACATTGATTGGAATCATGAAATAACTGCTGCATCTTTTGCCGCGCTTGACTGTGTGTGATCTGTTAGTGACGTTTCTCTATCGTGTGAGTAGATGGCGCGAACGGCGAGTCCAGTGCTTCGCTGAAGTTTCCAAAATGATGATATCCATTTTGGTTGCCTTTTTGGTTGAAAGATGTTGCATTGAAAGAATAGACTTTACAATTCATCTCAGGAACGAGACTCGGCTCCTAGATATGACACCGACCACGTTATCTTTGGCTTTCATTCTGGTTGAAGATCGCGTTGAGACCCGAGTGGGTCGATATCAGGCATTTGCGAAAGCCACTTACGTTTGAAGAAGTAACAAGAGCCCCCAATTTCTTACACAAGCGATCGCTTAAGTCGGGCGGCTAGTTGAAACAAGCTGATATGTGGCTTCTCACTCAGATGCAGCCTTTCACAGATAGCCCAGCGGCATTACCCCATTCAATACACCGTCCAAGCAGTCGTGGTGGCGCCGATGGGGGCGGCGACTGGGACATTGAGGCAATGCAAGTACCGAAGCTGAAATGCATGTCACTTAGTAATCGTCGAAAGACTGTGATGTGTCACCCTCCTTGGACTACTTAAAGACGTGCATTTACCCAGACCGCCCCCCACATTACAGGTGGGGAGCCAAGGTTTTACTGGGACACCGGTCAAGTTCAGGTACCGATGAGGCTCAGCGCATGCAGATAGAGAAGACTTGGTGGTTGTCAGCAAGACCAGCCTCATATATAAAAGCTACCGCCTTGAACTGACTGGTTGGGGTCCCTGTCCTGTCCAACCACCGACATGGTGAGCAAGATCGGTACCATTTGATCCCCTCTTGCCACAATGTCCGGTCTTTTTGACCTTGCCTCTACATTGCCCCAGTGTGCCGTGAGTTCGTGTCCACAATAACAAGTCGTGGGCTCTCTAAAGTATTGAAACCCCTCCCACAGATATCATGCTTGATCACTGCAATTGAAAACTTGAGCTGTGCCATCACGAACCAAACCTGTGTCTGTCACGATGGAGACCTCAACGCGCAAGCTACAGCCTGCATCCAGAAAAGCTGCACCGTTCGGGAGGCTCTATCGACCAAAAACTTGACCTCCACATCTTGTGGAATCCCCCCTACCACCGGCCCGTCTTATGTCCCCGTCTTCATGACCATGACCATCCTCTGTGCGGTTTCTGTCTTGCTACGCGTCGTTGCAAGACTGAAGGCCGGGTATCCGGTCTGGTGGGACGATTTCATCATCAGTTTGTCCTTTGTGCGCTCAGATCTTTGCTCAGGGGTATTTCAGCCTCGATATCATGAAAGCTAACCTTCGTCTTGCAATTCTTGCAGCTAGGTTGCATTGCGTTTACGACAGTTGCGTGGAAGAGCAAGTATATTAAGATTTGGTCCTTCCTCCTTCCCACACGCAAATGATATGACGAGCTGACCACCACTGTGCAGTACGGCCCCTTGGCATGGGAACGGACATCTGGGCCATCCCGTTCGACGACATCATTCTCATTTTCAAGGCAATGTATACCTGCTTCGTGCTTTATATCACGAGCCGCCACCTCGTGCGGCTGTCTATACTCCTGTTCTATCACCGCCTTTTCGGCCACATTCGCTTGGCACGGCTCCTGACACGGTTCAGTTGTGGGCTGGTCATCGGCACCTGCACCGCATTTGACTTTTCGATGCTGTTTAGCTGTACGCCTGTTGAACACTTCTGGCACTCATGGGACGATCTGCATGAGGGCCACTGCATTAGCATGCATGGCATCTTCTGGGCGGGAGCGTTCATCGACATCGCCACTGATATCTGGATCATGCTCATCCCCATTCCTTTTATTATGCGGCTCAGGCTTTCACTGCGGAAAAAGATCTTGTCCGGCGTAATGTTTGCGTTTGGAATATTGTAAGTGCCTTCTTGATCAGACTGGACGTGCCCGAAAACTAATTGCATATCTCGGATTTAAGCGTCATCGTCGTCAGTCTATACCGCCTCACGATGATCGACCGCTTCGTTTTGTCACAAAATCCAACTGGTGAGTTGCAGCCACATACTTTCGCCTTCTATGATTTAACCTTTCCTGTGCACAGCGGATTTTCTTGACGTCGGGACCTGGTCCGGTCTCGAGCTATACGTTGGCATCATCTGTGCCTGCCTTCCCAATTTCAACTCCCTGCTGAAGCCATTCTACGCATGGATGGGCTCCCGGTCAAAGTCTGCGCGTCCTGTCGCCAACGAATCCGGCGGCAGCAGCGGGCGACACCGCCATGGAGATGAAGAGGAGCAATACGTCCTAGGTCGAACCATCCGTGCGACGACTGTAATCGATGTCGAGGAGCACAGCTCTAATGGAGAGAGTATGAGTATTGATCGTGGCAATGGTGGTTTTGGCCAGGACCGGGCCGCGGTCAGGATGCAGGAGGTCGAACTGGGCATGGCCACGAACAGCGCGATATGCGGGAGGGCTTGGTCGTGAGCAAAGTCAGAGACGGCTACGAGAAGGCGGACAACCTCATAACACTCCGTGAGATATTAGGAGATGTTTGGATGTTATCAATCAATGTTCTGAACCACTCTGAGCATTGTTTCACTTTCAACATCCCAATAGCTGCACATCCAGAGCCATAAATCTAACACTCATTCGAAAACCAATGTCCGCTTTCTTTTTCATCTTCCTTTTTTTTTTTCATGATATTCTTTCGTTCTAGTGTACGAAATTGAGACTGGCGCATCCAGTCTTGTTCCCATTCAGAGAAAGCATTCTTAAAAGACCTGTATCCACGCTTCTGCGACTAACCTGAAACTGTCATTCTTTTTCAGTTCTTCAAATGCAACTAGAAGACGGTTAGAGACAGCCTCCAGCGCCGGATAGCATGCAACAGAATTCCATGTTCTTGCAGAGCGTTGCGGCTGATACCAATATTGAAGACTGTGAACACCGGCGCGACGCCTTTCCTCCTCAAAGTTCTCAATGAACATTGTCAATTGACCGGCAATCAAGGAGTCGACATGAGACAGTATCTCCTCCAGGACAGCATCAGCTATCTTGTTCGCTTCGTCGCTGGCGAGCAGATGTGATAGGGTGTAGTCAGGACATCGGCAATTGTCGACGGCATCATGGCACTCCCACTTGCCGGTGCGGCTGCTACCGAACTGGAGCGAGAGCCTCCTCCAGTGATCCTCGATGAAATTTGGTAGAGATCGGTCGGCAAGGAAATTTGCGGTGGTGTACTTCCCCTGCAGAGCAAACCATACGGCCGGATTGAAGTATTCTAAAGTGATGTATGATTCAAAACCTGGCGTTTCTATTCGGGTAGGGAGGGGGACCCGCCGTAAGATCTTTTCCGCGGCAAGATCCCATTCTTTGGCGAACATTCGTCTCGCCACCCGGGCTTCCCATGGTTGTAAAACCTGGTTTTGTGGCCTGGGAAGGTTGTGAAGGTAGGCGATGAAGTCGCCAACGTGGAAACTGACCTGGTCCCCTCTTCCCTCGTACTGTATCACGAACAGATCGTTGCCCGGGATTGCATGCATTGAGAAATTTAACGATTGGCACACATCCCGGTGCAGTTCCAAATAAAGGAAACAAATCCAATCCTTGGTATGCTGGCAGAGCGATGATGTGATAACGGTATCCAGGAACAGCATGAACTCATTCGGTGAGCCGGGTTGAAATCCCTCGGGATTGAGTGGATCCATCGTGGGAAAATGGCAGGAGTTAGTTGTCGGATCAAAGAGCGGTTAGTAGAATAGCCGGTGGTAGAGAGTGGTATGAGGTTGATTGGATTGACGCTATATTGTTGAAAAATATGCTCGCCTCTGGAAAGGGAGCGCTCTCAATCATATATACTCTTTCTAACCGTAATTTCTTATCTCATGCAGGTGCCAGTGGCATAATGAACAAAACACCTCGTGGATTCATGGTAACAATGGCTTTCTATCTGAGAAAGTCTTTGAATTCATGAAACCTCTCCTGGTGCCTATTTACATTTTGGATTTGTGACAGCTCAATCGCTTGGACCATTGACCTTTACTCTCCTACCAGGGATTGTGGTCTCGAATTTCTTTATACACAGAGCTGATGTCTCAGATGTTGTCGATAAAGGATCAGTTGAGACGCCGAACGAGTACCTCTGCTACCTGCAGTACGTCTCTTTACAAATCCCCTCTGCTCCCCGTTCTGACGTCCTTTTCTGGTTTCACATCAGCGTTCACTTCGGGCGAGCCAAGGTGTTGTGACACGGAACGGACTTGATTTCCGGCGTGGAGTAGCGCAATTTGACCGCATTGTACTCCGCTATTTTACCGTCAAGTGGGACAAGTAGTGAAGAACAACGACTAGAAGGCGTAGATGTCGTTTATTCCGAGCAAATCCCCAGGGACAAGTATATACTTAAACAAACCACGCAAATTTGAGATGAGTTGGAGAGTGTCTATCGCCTGAACGCGATGACAAAGGAAGGGAAAAGAATAGGCTATAGGACGAAAACCTCATTCATTAGAAAGAACATCGCGAGTAATGACCCAGAGCTTCTTAGAAAAAGGTCCCTTCGAGACCCACGTGACGTGCATCCCAGACGTCAACCCAATAGCATCGCCCGCCCTGAACGAGTGTTTCTTACCACTCTCCGTCTCCGTCACGTCTACCTCTCCCTCTAAGAGGACGATCGTCTCATCGCCAAGCGTCCCGGTATACGGCGTAGTCAACGTACCATCCGGGGCGACGTCCGTCCCAGCGATCCCCTTGCCACAGCGCCACACGCCGCTCAACATGGTGCCGGTGGACCCGCTGTTCCGGATGAAGTAGAGCTCGCCGGCCACCTGGTCTCCCTCCTTGGGCTCGGTGAAGTGGTACTCGGTCCAGTCAGGGGGGTTGTCGCTGACATGGTTGATCCCTATGGTGGTGGGTGGATCCGCCGCCGGCGCGCTGCCGTCCCAGATGCACCACCACTTCTTGAAGAAGGGCGCGTCGATATCCCACAGGACCTCAAGGTTCTTGGGCGTGCTGATGATAGTCCCGGGGCCGACAGTGTGCTTCTCGCCGGTGGACACCACCGTCAGGGTGGCCGAGCCGTCGATGACGCACGCGGTCTCGTCGCCCAGGGGTGACGAGTAGGTGCACTTGTTGGAGCCATCGGGATTGGCCCCTGGTGAGTTGGGGCCCATCCTCCAGAAGCCGGAGGACAGATTTCCAGATACTCCGAAGGACCGCGTGAAGGTGACTTCGCCTCGGCTCTGCTCCCCCAGCTTCGGTTCCTTCCACGTGAATGGAACCCATTCGCTGCTGGGCGAGGACTGAAGGCCACTATGGACTACACGGGTATTGGGTTGAGCCATGTTGTGACTCTCAAGGATATGTGGCGGGATAACGAGACTCTAAGTGTTTATGGAACAGGTAGGGGGATTGAAATCAGGTTTGGGTATTGTTCAATAGTCTCTTTTGTGTGATGAGAGGGTTTCTTTGGACAATTATATCACTGAGCCGAGAGCTACGAAGACCGAGCCTCGCATGTAGATCCCGAATTAGTTCACTGGATCATACGATTGTTATCGTGACCACATGATCACTTGTCTCCTGGGCTGGACTGAAAGTCAAATAGGCGAGGAAAAGAATTGCGGCGGGGTCGTTAAGGGAAAGCCGTAGTCGCCTTTATGGTGTAGCCGAGATCAGCCGTCTTGCTGGTGTCGATCAGAGAGGGGAAAGGTGAGCCAGAGTACGCCCACCCAGCTTCCACAGTATGCCCACCCAGCTTTCAGCGTTGGCCTACCTAGTATAAGGAAATTGGCTGCATGCGCTATAAAATATTAATACTATAGGGGGGTCCCATAGCTACCCCTTTATTTGCAACTTAAAAGTTACTTCTGCCCTTTGCCCTTAGCCCTCTGCCCCCTCTGCACCCTCTGCACCCTCTATGCCCTCTGCGCCCTCTATGCCCTTTATGCCCTTTGCGCCCTTTGCGTCCTTTGCGCCCTTTATGCCCTCTTATGTAAAGGATATCACACCCCCGCACCGGTTGTGGACACAACAGTGGATACACGTATAAACAGCTGAGAGCTAAATATATACTCCGGCGCGCAGCTTTAACTACCCTAACCCTAAGAGCTATTAAAGTTAGTTTTAAATTAAAGATTAAAATACTTTAAATTTCTTATTTCTTAAAAATAAATAAAAAGGAAATAAAGAAATAAAGCTTTATTAAAAGCTTTTTTTTTATATTATATAAATAAATTCTTAAGAAAAGATATTTAATATTTAATTTAAAGTTAATAAATATTTAAAAGTATTTTTAAAAATATATAATTATTATTTATAATTAAAATTAATAAATTATTTATTTATTTATAAAGAATATTATATATAAAGAATATTATATATAAAGAATATTATATATAAAGAATATTATATATAAAGAATATTATATATAAAGAATATTATATATAAAGAATATTATACTCTTATATTAATGATAAATATATTAATAAATATATATATAAATAATTAAAAGCTAAATATATACTTTAATATATATTTTTAATTATCTTAATTTTAAAAATTATTAAGTTTAATTTTAAATTAAAGATTAAAATATTTTATATTTCTTATTTCTTAAAAATAAATAAAAAAAGAAATAAAAAATTTAAGCTTTATTAAAAGCTTTTTTTTATATTATAAAAATAAATTCTTAAAAAAATATTTAATATTTAATTTAAAGCTAAATTAATATTTAAAAGTATTTTTAAAAATATATAATTATTATTTATAATTAAAGTTAATAAATTATTTATTTATTTATAAAGAATATTATATATAAAGAATATTATATTTTTATATTAATTATAAAGATATTAATAAATATATATATAAGAAATTATAAATTAAATTTATATTTTAATACATACTTTTAACTATCTTAACCTTAAAAATTATTAAATTTAATTTTAAGTTAAAGGTTAAAATACTTTAAATCTTTTATTTCTTAAAAATAAATAAAAAAGAAAATAAAAAAATTAAGTTTTATTAAAAGATTTTTTTATATTTTATATATAAATTTTTAAAAAAAAATATTTAATATTTAATTTAAAGTTAAATAAATATTTAATTAAGAATTAAATAAATATTTAAAAGTATTTTTAAAAGAAGTATAATTATTATTTATAATTAAAGTTAATAAATTATTTATTTATTTATAAGAAATATTATATATAAAGAATATTATATTTTTATATTAATTATAAATATATTAATAAATATATATATAAATAATTAAAAGCTAAATATATATTTTAATATATACTTTTAATTATTTTAATTTTAAAAGCTATTAAGTTTAATTTAAATTAAAAATTAAAATATTTTAAATTTCTTATTTCTTAAAAAGAATAAAAAAAATAAATAAAAAAATAAAGCTTTATTAAAAACTTTTTTTTTATATTATATAAATAAATTCTTAAAAAAAGATATTTAATATTTAATTTAAAGTTAAATAAGTATTTAATTAAAAGTTAAATAAATACTATTGGCGGGTGCAGGGAATTACGTGAGAAATAATATCACGCTAAATTTTAGCTAGCTATAAAAAGCTAGCTTTTATATTTATTTTAAACATTCTTTTAAGGAATTAACTCTTCTCTTTTTTTATATATTTAATGCTCTAATTAAGCTTTTCTTATTTTTAAGAATTTTTAAAATATTTATCTTTTCCTTTTCTTTAACTCCCTTTTATTTTTATCTTCCCTTTTTATTATATTAAAGCTTTTCCTTAAGTTATCCTTAAGAGGGTTTAATAAAACTTATCCCTTATTTATTTAAATAGCTTATTTTTATTAATAATTTAGCTTAAGCTTAATTTTAATCTTATATATTTTTAATTAATAATAAAAAAAATAAGAAATTAGCTATAAGTTAATTATTTATTAATTTTATCTTTTTTCTTATTTTTATATTAAATATTACTAAATTATTTTATATTTTATTTTAAAGCTTTAATTAAAGCTTATATTTATTTTTATTTTATTATAAAAAAGAGTTAAATATAATTAAACTTATAATAATATTATAAATACCTTAAAATTATTTTTTAGTTTTAAAGTACCTTTTATGCTTTTAATATTTAAATAAAATATTATCTTAATTTTATATTAATATATTATTAAGCTTTAAACTTATTTTAAGTTTCTTATTAAAAATTATATTTAAAATATAATAATTGTGGTTATGGACGTGCCATAGGGGGAGAGCAGCACTATGGGCGATAGGCACTATGGGCAATTGGCACTAGAGCACCGGCAGGCAAGGGTTACGTGCGGCAGCACGTGACCACCCCCAGATAGTTTATAGCCAGAGGGAGGTTTTGCAGCCTATAGCCGCAACCTTCCTTCCTTCTAAATAGCCAATTTAAATATAACCAATCTGCTATTAACCAATATATATTAACTCAGCTAATACTAATTAATAATTACTTATAAGTAATTATAAATAGCAAGGTAAGCAAGTAATAAATTTATATTGCTATTAATTAAGCAGCAACTATTAATAATAAAAACTATTATAATTAAGTTGCAATATTTACGCTAAATAGTTAATATTAATATTATAAAAGTAGGTAACTATTAATAATAAAACCCTATTTAACTAAGTATTAATAGCTATGCTATAATTAAAATTAATAAAAAAAGATTAATAATACCTTAACCTTCTTATTATAAAGATTTAACCTATTAATTAATAAATTCTTAATAATGCCTTAAATTTATTAATTATATAGCGCATTTTATTATATAATTAATACTAAGAATACTTATAATTACTTTACTTTAGCATAAATAATAATTTATATTTACTTAAATTAATAAATACTCTTTAATAAATACTCTTTTATTGCATAATTAATACTCTCTTTTTATGCTTTAAAATAACCTTATTACATCCCCTTAATCACCCTCTTTCTTTTTCCTTTATATATAAATCACCTAAATATTTTAATAGCCTAGCAAGATAGCTAAATTTAATAGCAATGCTAAGAAAATATTCTTAAATATTAATAATGCTTTTATATAAAAACTTTAATTACTCTTTAACCTTAATAAGAAATTTTAAAGTTAATAAGTTAATCTTAGCTATTAAGATAAATTAATAATAAAGGCAAATAATATAATTAATTAAGTAAATGCTACTATTTTTAAGTTTATAAAAGAAATAATAAGATATTAAAATATAAATAATAATTTACTTTAATACTTTATAAAAAACTTTGCTTTTTAAAATATAATAATATTTAAAAAGTTAATTATTATTTAAAACTTTAAAAAATTCCTTTAAAAAAAAAATTAATATTAAAAAAAGCATTAATAAGCAATATATTAACTTAAAAGTATTGCTTATATATAATAAATATCCTTTATAATAAGAAAAGGAACTATATAAGGCAGCTAATATATATAAACTTTTTAAATTTTATACTTAATAACTTTAATCTTAAAAGCTAAAGATAATAAATACTTAAGAAATACTTACTATTTAAGAAATTTAAAAAACCTTAGCTCTTAATATAATTCCGCTATTTATGGCTTCTTTTTATTAAAACTTAAAATAAGTAATTCCCTTTATTAAAGATAATAAAAAATTTTAAAAATTATAACCTTTTTATCCTTAATTATTTATAAAATTAAAATAAAACTTTATTTAATTAACTCCCTTATAATAAGTATTATAATTATTATCTTATAGAAAGGAAACCCTTAATTAATTAAATATAAGGACTTCCTTAGGATATTAAGAAATATTATCTTAATAAAAATTAAGTTTATTAAAATACTTAAAAACTTTATAACTTAAAAAATAATTTATAAGCATTTTCCTTAAGGAATTAATAAAAACGCTATACTTAATACTATTATTTATTATAGCATTAAAACCTTTATAATTATATAATTCATATTAAGACCTACTCCCTTAGGAAATAGTAAATAATCTTCTTAATGCTAATAATAATATATAATTTAATAAAATATAAAATAAAAATAAAAACTAAGGCGGCAAACTATATAATTTATTAAATAATAAAATAAGGATCTTCCTTAATATTTATTAAATAATAAATATTAAATTTAAATAATTTTATATAGTATTTCCCTTAATTCTTAAAAACTATATTAAAATCTATTATATTTATTATATTAGCATAAAGTCCTTTATTTATAATATATACCTAAAGCTTAAAGCTTACTTTAATATAAAGGTTAATTATTAATAATACTTTTATAATTAAACTTTAATTATATTTAATAATATACATATTAATTTAAAGAATATTAATAAATACCCTTAAAAGGTTTTT